AAATCCCTTACATGTTGAGAAATTCCCATATTTTTATGAGCTAATATAATTATATATTTTCGGCAATACCATGTTCAGAAAGAAATAACTAATAAGCTCTAATTTTATATTTCCATGAGACTAACTTCCCGTGAACGTCATGTCTCAAGCTATTACAAAATGCGTAGTATTATTGTTCATGGAGATTTGGCTGATATATAGTGTTTAACTAAACTCCTGAATTATGAAATATATTTGTTGATTGTTGTGTGTTTCTTGGAACTTACTTTCTGACGTTAAAATGGTCTATTTTGTTAACGTAGTGAGGGATGATTGGGCCTTGCAACTAGATGGGCTCAACTCGGTTGTAGCTACAGACTACAAGTCCAACGATTGTTCAATACAATTAATCACTGTGAAATACCCATTAATCGATAGGTTTGGGCCCAAAGTGCCAACCCATATCCCGAGAGAAGACAAAATAAATTCTTCAATGTTACTAATCTATCTATACATAATATAATAGGCGGAAGGGAAAAACGGTAGCCCCATTTCAAAATCTCTGCTTCCAGAGCGTTTTGCGGAGGGGCAATTTTGGAAAGTAGGGAAAAATTGTTTCCCACGGCTGGCAGGTGCATCTGTTTCGGGTGGGCCTATTTTATGCTTCTCGGCCCAATCTATCTACAGTCTAATTTGTAGTGGCTGGGTATTGACAGGTATCTTTTTTCGGTTCGGTCTCTCTCCATGTAAACTTCTTCTCCGGCGAATCCAGGAACGAACAGAGGTGGCCGGGATTTTCTCTTCCTCAGCGAATCGAGGAGCATACGGAGGAATAGGGGGAGGGTCGACGGGTTCTGGGTAGGATCGACGGACGCTTTTCACTTTGTTGCTGAGCTTGGGAGTGGCGGAGGTGATGCGTGCAGGGGAGCGGCGGAGGGAAAGTCGGCGAATAAACTTCGAGTATGTTTCTGGGAAGGGAAAAAACGAAGGATTATTTCTGGGCACGGAAATTGACGCATTTTCAAGGACATCGCTGGTTCAACGTTTTTGAGCAAACAGAAGATTCAAGCACATCCTCAACTGTACTTTAGGTCTGCACATCTTCATGCCCAAAAAACTCGGTCAATTTTAATACATGTTAATGCATTGATTTGTTCAAATATACTTACAGACGCTCGAGTGCTAACATGTCAGTGTGCTAAACTATTTATGCTTGGGAAATATGAGAACTTGAGTTTGGTAAAGTCAAGAGATGGGGTAAGTAATGAGCTTCATTTGGGTTGTTTCGTAACCTTAATTTCCTTGATTATTTGATATTTAGAGAATGTGTATCCTTCGACTAATGGAAACATGAGTTTTCTCAGCTTGAAAGTGACGGGTAAGTGATGAATTTCATTTGCTTTGTTCAATAACTGTTGGGTGTCTTTGTAATGCTGTTGGGTTCTTAGCTGTTTCCTTTAGTGAGTTAGATTCATGCCTTTGTCGCGATTGAATGATATTGTGCCTTTTTTGTTGTAAATTGATGGGAACTTTGGGTCAGGCTCACTATTTGTTCTTCAACTTTAAAGTTCTCTTGCATATAGAGGTGGCAATTGGATCGGATTCGTGGATTCGTGGATTGGATTGGTGGATCAATGGATCAAATGGATTGGATCCAATGGATTGGTGGATTCATGGATTGGATCAAATGGATTGGTGGATTGATCCATGAATCCAAATGACATTCAAGGCTTGGACCAAAATGTAAATTTTGAAAAGTTTAGGTAGTAAAATGTCATTCTGAAAAATTTTAGGTACCAAAATGTAATTTTCCAATGATATTTTTCGTATAAAAATATAAATTTTAGGTACCAAAATGTAAAATATAAAAAATATAGGTACCAAATCGTAATTTGCCATTTGGATCCATGGATTGATCCATGAATCCACCAATCCAATTGGATTTGGATCAAATGGATTGGATTTAAATGGATTGGATTAAGTGGATAATTTGGTGGATGGATTGGATTGGATTCATGGATTTGGATCCTAATTGCCACCTCTACTTGCATATCTCATAGCCGTTTAGGGAATCATCGCCCTTCATCTCTTACTTCTCAATGATTCTCCTTTCTGTGTTTTTAAAAGGTCTGTTCCGTGTAGTTTCTCCTTGATCTTCCAGTTATTATTCATTATCATTCTAAGGAGTTCCATTTAAACACAACATTTTAAAACCTATTTTGCATAAAAAGATCATTTTTAAAACCTACATTTGTTAGCTAAACTGAATGTTAAGAGACTTCTGTAATTTGGCTTTAACATCTTATATTTGTAATATCCATGTATATGTACTTCTTTGTTGTTAAAAGGTAATGTTGTTTTTAGGTTGGTAACTTTAGATAATTTGTTTCCCTTTATTAAAGATAAGATTAGACAGGCGAATGAAATGGATCAATTGGAGAAGCAGCATCAGCATGATGTCAAGGAGAATATTGAAATAGCAAGAAAGAATCTCCATTCAAATGTGAGTTCATCTCAACCTTTCTCAAATCCAGTATCTGTTGATGTACGTGTTAATTGAGCCGTTTACAAGATATACCTGTTTTCTGGTCTTCATTAGTACTATTCCGAGTTCTGTTTAAGTTGTGTGAGATGGAAGATTATGATTTCCATGTCTGATCAACTTTGGAGCTGTGGAAATGCAATATTGTATTTATGAGGGTGGCCCTGAGGATAATCACTAGGAACTTGCCCTTTGATTTGTCTATGATTACGTATTTATATTGAATTTCCGAAAAAAGGATTCATTAGGGAATTCATACTAGCTAAAAGAGTAGTACGGTTACTGGTGAAGATATGAATATGGCTACGGTAGACTTTTATGCAAAGGCCCCTCTCTTTTGTTTTTACTATTGAACAACTATGACGAGATCGAGAGGAGAAAGATTGCAAGAGCAAAATGAGACTGAATGATAAAGTAGATAGGGAAGAAGGCTTGCATTCATGAATCTCTTTCTAGAACTTAGGAATTTACTATCAGAGGTGGTAGTCGGTTCCATTTCAAGCCAACAGAACGAGGACAGATGATTGATTGAATATGCACTCTTGAACTAATGGTGCAAACTGCAAAGTCTTTGGAGTGGTGTCTTAGTCATTTCTAGGGAATTTCCTTTTTCCTGCTTTCATTTTATTACATTTTTTTATTAGCTATATTATCAACCATATTTTTGTTCTCTTTTACTTTTTTCAGTTACATGATGACCGATGAAGGATGTGAAATGGATGAGAAATATCTCTATTGCATCTCCTGCATGAGGACAAAAAACGGAGGGTTATGGTAGGTCACACATCTTTGATAGGCTATTTAGTTTCATTTTGGGATCAAACAAAGGAAGACTTGAACAATGAACTTAGAGAGCATCTCAAGGATTATTATTTCATATTTTTCAAATTGAAATTCTCGTTTGGTCTTCACATGAATTTGTTTTGATATGACTATAGTAGATCCTATATCATTCCATCTTGGATCCATTAGCCTGTATAACGTGGACGATCTTTATTTTATTTAATTTTAATTGTGGTGGTTAGATGTTGACGAGAAGGTTCGTTGTTCTTATATTTAGTAGGATCATGGAAAGACCAACAAACATGACAAAGTAATTGTGGAGTAATCTTTCAATTGAGGGCAATTGATTGGGGAACATATTATACCTATAACCCTTTTTTACCATTCTTACCACTTTATCTTTTAGCACAGGCTGATATCTAGAGTGTGTATTCCTATTTCCAATCTATGACCACCCATGGATTCCCACCTAGGTCATCACTACATGGAAGTAATGACAACATTGATGGTCATGTTGTTATTGTCAAAGATTGTATGTGTTTCACATCTTTCAATCACTCTAAAAGAAAACATGATAGTTTTATTATCATTCCTTTTTTTCATGTGAATGCTAACTATGGTGAGAAGATAAAACAAACCAGAAGGACATATATACTATGTTTTCTTCCTCTTAAATGTGTTTCATGCCTGTATATTTTGCAAACAAGCTACATTTGGATTCTCACCAATATTTTAGTCTCCATCTCAATTTGAATAATTAAATTTGTATTTCTTTTCACTTCCAAATTTTAATCTTTCTTCTAATTACTTTCGCAACTATAAAGGGGTTTTCTAATCAAGGAAACCTCTTATTCAGTTCGAATTGAAGTGTTGTCCTCATCTGTCTGGTAGATACAATGAATATTTGCTAGATGTCCAGTTTAATTAACTCGAAGTAGGTCTCATTTTTGCAGTTTTCTTTGGTATCCTAAACACCGAAACAAATTCACGTCACTTATTCCCTATTCCATTACCAACTAATGACAAGTGGCTAATGAGATGCTACCCTCACAATATACATGATCCAAGAGCATTATTACGTCCATATCAATAGTTCAATATTCGGGTCAACTACCTCCGACCAACGGGTCGGGTTATAAGCTAGTTGACTACGAGAAAACAATCATTGGAGAATCTTCTCATCTAACCTTTGTAGTAACTTTACCAGCAAACATGTCTATTAATATTGGATATCTCTAATTAAATATACTTATTTTACTAATAGTGGTTCAGCCGGTCGACCAGTTGTTAGAAGTGATAGATCAATTGATGGATATGGTAGACCACTTGATGAAAGTGGTATACCGTTTTCTCCAAGTTACAATGACTTATAAATTATCGTAACAAAGTCCTATTTTTAATAGCTCATTTATTAGATTGGGTAGGTTTGGTTAGTAAGGTTAGTTTTTTTTAATTGAACATGTGGCAATTTTTATAACGGTACGAGTCTAGTTTCCAGTTTTTTAAGTTAAATTTGGATGAGTTAGCATTTTTATAGTCAAGTCATAAAAAAGTCGAAAATATTAATGGAGCCTGAAGAAAGTTAACGTGTTGTGAATAAAATTAAAATGATGATTTAGTTGGAGTAACCACTAATACAATTAAAAAAATTAGATGGCAAACTTGTAACACCTTAGGCGAATCCCACATCGACAAAGCACGGGAGAGATCCATGGTTCATAAGTAGGAAACCTGTCTTAACTGACAAGACGCGTTTTGGGGTGAAATGGAGGAGTTCTCGTGAGAACTCCAAAGTTAAACGTGCTCAGTGTGGAGTACAACAAGGATGGGTGACCTTATGGGAAGTCACCCTGAATTGCACCCCAAAGCGAAAATCGTGTGAGTGTAGAGGCCCAAAGCGGACAGTTTCTTGTCGGGAAAAGGTTCGGGATGTTACAAGTGGTATCAGAGCCTCTCCGCGTCCCTCTTGAACGATGGTGGGGCAAACCTCAACGACGGCGTTACGTAACACCTTAGGCGAATCTCACATCGACAAAGTACGGGAGAGATCCATGGTTCATAAGTAGGAAACCGGAATTAACTGACAAGACACGTTTTGGGGTGAAATGGAGGAGTTCTCGTGAGAACTCCAAAGTTAAACGTGCTCAGTGTGGAGTACAACAAGGATGGGTGACCTTATGGGAAGTCACCCTGAATTGCACCCCAAAGCGGACAGTATCTTGTCGGAAAAAGGTTCGGGATGTTACAAAATTCGTGAAACAAAATTATGATTTAGTTAGTGTATATAGCACCTACCCACCAAATAGCTCATTTGATTACCATAGGGTGAGTGGTGGGTGGTTTTATGCGGGTTTGAAATCACGTTGTGGTGGGTGAAAGAGAAAATGGCTCACACCCCCACCCAAATATTACATGTGGTTGGGTTGGGTGATTCGGTGGATTTGCAACATATATTTTATATTATCACAAATGATAGTTTTAAACTTAAAATGAAAAAAAAATTCAAACTAAATAATGCTTAATCCATAAATCAAGTGAATAATTTATTTTACAATATTGGTACTGGTAATTGTCCATAAATTACAAAATATTCAACGGATAAACATAGGTGTGTTCAAACAGTGTGGTTACCGTGGTAACCATTTTAACCCGTAGTATTTGGTTAATTTGTATGATGAATTGGTTTGGTTAAATTTTTTAGCTTGTTTGGTTTTGGTGGTTTGATTTCAGAAACTCCTAACCAATCAATACAAACTAACCAGTTAACTAATTAGTGATATATCTAATAATAAATATTATATACACATACTTTATAATTTGCATAACTACTCAAAAGTCAAACGTTCCTCCCTCTTAGGCTCATTAAAAATAAAGCTTGATATTGTTTCTATATTGTATATTTGTATATATAGAGTGTAAATCACAACATTATGGACGTCTAATTTAGATAAAACTAATACATTATGTTGGAAACAAACTTGCGAGGAAGGTCTTTTTTAGCCTAGGATAATTGCTAAGAGATTAAGTCAATTTACATTACACAACAATTCATTAACCCTATATCATTGATATATATTTTTGTTACGTGAATATTTCTATTGATAGTAAGATAATTGTATTAGTTACATGTATTTACTTTAAGAGTTATATATAATTATGTGTTGATTGATTATCAAAAAAATTATGTGTTGGTTGTTATGTTTTATTCATTATATAAATTATGAATTGATGCATTAATTGGAGATTTTTCTCACTTAATGATGTGATGTTATATCGGTTAATCTGGTTAACCAATTAACCAAACCGATTAAACTTTAGTTTGGTTAATTTAGTTGTTGTATTAGTTTGGACGGTTTGATTATGCATTATATTCCATGGTTAATAGGATTTAGGCCTGTTTGGTTTGGTAATTACCACGATAACCATTTGTTCACCCCTTAAATATGGTCTAAGCCTGATAATAACCAAGGTTCAAGAAGACACTAGGCATAATGCAAACGTTTTGGTCTTGCCTAGCGCCTCATTCGCCGAGAATAGTTTTTTAACCTATAGTTGCAAATTACAATTCCAAATCGATGGAAGGCATGAAGGACAAATCGGTGGTAGTTTAAGATGATGTCATTTTGGGGAAGACAATTATCTTTTTCTGTCGTTTGTCTTCTAGTTATGTTTAAGTGTACGTCCAATTGGCTAAGCACACCTCACAACACAATCATTTGATCGAAATTGAGAGAAATTTTTGTGATTTTAAGGGTTTAATTTTTCGGTAAAGTTATATGTTAGAGCTTTGATAGTTTGAGATTAAAAAATTGGGTGGGTCGCGGGTCAACCACTGTCTATCCATCCACAGCCACCCAATTTTTTGTGGGTTAACTATTTTACAACCCACACCCACCCATAAGAACCACCCTCATAATAATGGATGGATCGATTACAGGTGGATTTGTGAGTTCAAACCACCCAAATGCTCAACCCTAGATTACCGTTAGTATAGTTGAATTTTCTCTTTGGAAACAATGGTGGACTAATCAATCAACTAACAATAAGACCGTGATTTACGTCATGACTCATTAAGCAAACGAACAGAGAATGTCAAAGTCAAGGCGGGCTAATCAATTAGCAATAAGCCATCAATTAACGCTCCTTTTCCCCCCAAGACTACGGGAGCCATGTCAAAGTCCATGCCTAACCTCTTTTGTACTCATTTCTCATTGCCGTGAAGGACGCGGAAAGAAAGAAAAAAAGAAATGGCAGCACTGCAGTCATCACGGCCGGGGTCCGTCTTCTAGTTCTGTTTGCAACTTCATGATGGCCACTCTGCTTTCTCTAGCTTGATCATTCATTAACCATGTGCATGCAAAGGAAATTTTTAGGGTTGCTGCACTCATCGGCCGGCCACTAATAGCGGCCAGACTTTCGCCAATCAAATTGAACTTGATCTTTGGGGAAGTTAACCGTTATAGAGACATATTGGTACTGATAATTGGCTTGGTTGTTATTATTTCTTAACAGTTGGAGTTGGTCATGACAATAAGATTTTGGAAATTAAGATAAGTCATTGTTTGTTTAGTTTAGATTAGGTGGAATGAGAGTGGGTACTGGGTCTTTTGGACGATGGATTTAATAAATGATGCAATTTGGCACAATTATTTCGAAATTACCTCTTCTCACAATTGCCACATCATTCATAACGTTTGCCTCTTTTTTTTTTTACAATAGTCAATAGGTAATGTCAATTCAAATCAACGATAGGAGTACAAGTATGCTTTCAATTAAATTTAATGCAAAACGAAGCAATTCAAATTGTCTCGGGCATTCCTATTCTCTGTTGCCAAATGAGGCCAATTGATCCAATTACTTCATTTTGAGAAAATTAAGTCAAATTGTATCATCCAATTCCATCATTTTAGAAATGATTGAGTTCATATATCATGAAATATAATACTCTCGCCTTTATCTTTCATAATTCTCCTTTTATCATTGTACCTCTCTACATTTCATTTTTGTAGCATTACATCTTACAAAAATTGCATCCACAAAACATGGTCAAACATCACATTCCATGGAAACTTTCATGCATTGCATACATCCACAAACCAAGAGGGGAAAAATAAGGTGAAAATACGGAAGAACCAAATTAAAAAGACTCCCCACTTGACTTCTGAACAATACAAACCACGTTAGTCTTTGCCCCTTGCCCGCCATTTTCCACTCGATGCTTACTATAAATTGCCAACCCCCCCAAACCTTCCTAGCTCTCCACTACCAAAATTCCTCCCATCAAAACCAATACTTTTAAGCTCTCTCTCTCTCCCTAGTCCTTATGGCTTCAGGATTGCGCTTCCAAGTCCTAGCAATTCTGTTTCTTGCTCTGGCTCTCACCTGCCTCCACCCAACTCACGGTAAATAAACAATCAATTACCCTCACTCCCTTAATGTTTTACCCTCATCTGAAGAAGTTTGCATGTGTTTTAAGGATCCTCAACTTTAATGTTGTCTTTCTTGTCGATAGGGTTTGGGGATGGGATTAGGTGCTAACCCCTATAAGGGTTAGCACCGTGATAACTAGCAAAAATCACTACGGATTATTATAAAATCAATACAACATCTAAGCTAAATCACTACTAATTCAAACTAGTAGTAGTTTTTTCCCTTGGTTAGGACAGTGCTAACTATTGTACAATTAGCACCGTAACCCCTCCCCAGGGTTTGCATCCTACTCTTACTACGTAATTTACGATCCATAATTGAATATCTTCCAATAACTCAAGTTAATTGGATAATTGGTTCTTTGACATCATAGCAAACTTCAATCTTTAACTTTCATTTAATTTCCTCTCCGGACTAACTGGTTCTTCACCGTTGCAGGGGAAGAAACAACTATAACATGCGAGAAACTGGAGCAAGGCGCGTGCGCCTACGCGGTATCATCGACGGGAAAGCGGTGCGTGCTGGAGAAGCGCGTGAAGAGGGGAGGTCAAGAGGAGTACAGCTGCCGGACGTCGGAGATCGAGGCCGACAAGCTGAAGAACTGGGTGGAAACCGATGAGTGCATCAAGGCCTGCGGATTGGAAAGGAAAGCTCTCGGGATCTCGTCGGATGCCCTCCTCGAGCCCGGATTCACGCGCCACCTCTGCTCTGCTCAGTGCTACGATGCCTGCCCCAACATCGTCGACCTTTACTTCAACCTCGCCGCCGGCGAAGGTGACTACAAATTAGATGTGTCGGTTATGGGCCTATGGGCCGGCTACTAGGATCTGTTGATGGGGCTTATTGTATATGGGCCTTATTTTCTTTTGACTATTGTCGCAGGGGTTTTTCTACCGAAGCTGTGCGCGGCCCAAAACGGTCCAGGGCGGAGGGAATTGACGGCCGATATTATTAAGAGCTCAGGCGGCGTGCTAATTGCGCCGGGGCCAATTCAGGGGGTGAGCTACATGGTCGCACCAGCGACGGCGCCGGTGCCAGATCAGCCACTACCGATGTCGCCGGAGCCGGCCAGTTTTGCTCCGGAGCCTATGTCACAGATTGATTAGTTGAAGCGACGAAGGTAATTAAGATGGACGATATGAGATTCACGAGTGGGAGAGATTGATTATCTAATTAATATATAATAATAAAGATGTTTGATTTTGAGTATGAGTGAACGATGGATAGAATAAAAAAAGAAGCTGCGCTGAGGATCCAATCTGTTAGGGCCGGCCTGCTTTGGTTTTGATTATTTCTATTTACGATTAAAACGATAATTTGTAGACCTATAAAAAAAAAAAACGATAATTTGTAGTGGTTCGAATTTCATATCATCAATAAATATTTTAATTTTATATGATACATAGTATTAGTGTCAATTTCGCTGGATAAATTAGTAATAAATTTTGTTTTACCAATAAGTTAAAATTGATCATCTGATTGGCATGTAGAACAAAACATAACATGTTGCTGATGACACGACTACTTTGAGTTACTAATTAATAGTATGTATTGAGATAATCGACATCAATCAGTTTTGTTAGGCTGATTATTTTATTAGCAAGAGGACAGCATGTGCTAATACTTCTAATATGCATGGACCATGACGAGCTGTAGCTTGGAATAATGCCTGGATAGTGGATTCTTTGTAAATTGGACAACAAAACAAACAAGCTTTTGTTGGGGGGTTTATAAAAATGAATTTGATAGTACTAAAAGACAATATGTACTTATGATTCGCATGTATATAGTGTACACTGAAATTAAATCAAACAAAGATGTAACAAAAACTGCTTCGGATATGATCGAATTTTCAAAATCGAACAATTCATACAAGGGAAGATCTAAAAAAAAAAGACATCTTACATAGGGTGAACAATCATTAGCTGAAACAGTTCGTCGAAGTTTTATAAAATCATGCAATTATAGGCGCTTTCAATTACATATGCAACCACGAGTCGCTTGACACTGTTGTCATCAGTGGCGGAGGGAGGTAAGGAGGAGAGGGGTCCTAGGATCCCATTTGGCAAACAATTGGGCAACAAAACCCTTTAAATACATAGGTTTTAGTACGATAATTCAAGTTTAGGACCCCATTCTCTCAACAATGTTAGCTCACTAGTCACCAAGGACCTCGATTAACTCTAAATTCATTCGATACATAAACATTAGTGTTAATAAATTTTAAAGGACCCCAGTACACTCAATGTCTGACTACGCCACTGGCTGGTTGTCATTACTAAGAAAGTAAGAATTCATATTCAATTACCGACAGGTAACGAATTTTAGGTGATTACCTCAATCATTTATCCAAAGATCTGAGCTGATTGTTATTAGGGCCTAAGATCACGATTAACAAAAAGACTGTGTTCCATATACCTTTTAGTCTCAAGACTCTCAGCAGCCATTAGAGACCACGAGGCATGACAGACTGCCGCGTGGCAGACCGATCAGCATTCCACCAGAAACCGTCCAAAATCTTTTTGACAAGTCATATATAAAACCAAATTTGAGCTTCCCAATGACCAATCCTCCATTTCGATTTTGCTCCTTCCACCCTCCAGATCGGCGGCCCGTAAGAGCAAGACCGAATTTCCGATAGCCAATTCGTTCGCTTCATCGCTTACTTCCACAAAAATGGCGACTCAAACTCAAACACTCACCGGACTTCTGAAGCGCGTCGCCCACGAGTTCCCCGACCGCCGCGCCCTCTCCGTTTCCGGCAAACTCGATCTCACCCACGCTCGCCTCGATGAACTCGTGGAACGCGCCGCCTCTCGCCTCGCCTCCGCCGGCATCAAGCCCGGCGACGTGGTCGCGCTCACTTTCCCCAACACCGTCGAGGTAAGTACTTGTTCTGATTTCCGGCTCTTCTCTGTTTGCTTTGCGGTTGCGAAATTTAGTTGGATTCTGGATAGGAAGTTGGGGATTTTGAATTAGACAGTTTGGTTGCCGAGAAAATGCTGGAGAAAGAATCAGCAAGAAAAATTGGTTGCTTCGTTTCTTAGGTATTCATCATTTTGTGTTTCTGTGATACGATTGCAGTTCGTTGTGATGTTTCTGGCCGTGATTCGAGCCAGAGCAACAGCGGCGCCGCTCAACGCAGCCTACACAGTGGAGGAATTCGAGTTCTACCTATCGGACTCGGAATCCAAGCTATTGCTCACTTCTCGCGACGGAAACGCGGCGGCGGAATTCGCCGCTTCGAAGCTCCAAATCCGCCACGCCACCGCCGCTCTCTCTGCCGAAGATTCCGAGCTCGTGCTCTCTCTTCCTCTTCCATCCGAGTCAGGAGCCAACTCGCTGGACCAGCTGCCAGTGAACGAGCCCGCCGACGGGGCGCTCTTCCTTCACACCTCCGGAACCACCAGCAGGCCCAAGGGCGTGCCATTGACTCAGCTCAATTTAGCCTCTTCCGTCCAGAACATCAAATCTGTCTACAAGCTCACAGAATCCGACTCGACGGTGATTGTCCTGCCCTTGTTCCACGTCCACGGCTTGCTAGCTGGGTTACTAAGTTCATTAGCAGCCGGAGCTGCAGTCACTCTTCCGGCCGCCGGTCGATTCTCGGCTTCAACATTCTGGCAAGACATGGTCAAGTACAATGCCACTTGGTACACCGCAGTTCCCACCATCCACCAGATCATACTTGACCGCCATAGTAGTACCCCAGAACCAGTTTACCCCAAGCTTCGGTTCATTCGAAGCTGCAGCGCCTCCCTCGCCCCATCGATCTTGGCTCGGCTCGAGGAGGCGTTTGGGGCGCCGGTTCTCGAGGCGTATGCAATGACTGAGGCAACACATTTGATGTCGTCAAACCCTTTGCCGGAGGAGGGTCCGCACAAGCCCGGATCGGTTGGGAAACCGGTGGGACAGGAGATGGCGATCCTGAGTGAAGATGGTGAAATTCAAGGTCCTAATTCGAATGGCGAGGTCTGTATCAGGGGTCCTAATGTGACCAAGGGTTACAAGAACAATCCTGAGGCTAACAAGAGCGGGTTTCTGTTCGGGTGGTTCCATACGGGAGATCTCGGTTACTTCGATTCAGATGGGTATTTGCATCTTGTCGGGAGGATTAAGGAGCTTGTCAACCGTGGAGGTAACTTCCATTCCCTTTTGATCAATTACTTACTTTTCACATCTGCTCTAAATGTCATTCCTATTATAAAGAGGTGGTTGGATGATTCACAGTCTAGTACACCAAAAACCAATACTTTTAGGCTGAGTGGAGTTTAGCACCATCATGCTTCCACGTCTTCTAGTTGATGCTGACAAAGAAAGGTTTTTTGGCCCCGTATAGAAGTTGTTTTATCCAGAAAAGCTAGGCCAAACTGGCTTAGTGGAAAGGCTGGATGGCTTGTCTGAGGAATCTTGACATGCTTGTACTGATGCTCTCCTTTACTATCCGACGACACTAAGCTCCCATGATTGATTGGAGTAACTTTGTACTTCCACAGTATTGTCTCTGGAGAACTGATTGAGCATCTCTATAGCACTTTCTAAACCATATTATACTGCTGTGATCAACAGGAGAGAAGATATCTCCGATCGAAGTCGACTCGGTTCTTCTATCTCATCCAGACATCGCTCAAGCAGTCTGTTTTGCTGTCCCTGATGAAAAGTACGGCGAAGAGGTAAAACAATCACACCCTTGCAAACCCTCCCACCTTTCCCAAATTGGTTGCAAATTTCCTACTCAGTAGACTCTTAACTTGGAGCTAATGCGTGCTGTGTCGGTCTGCTTTCTTGGCAACCAACAGATCAACTGCGCAATCATCCCAAGAGAAGGGTCGAAGATCGACGAGGCAGAAGTGCAGAGCTTCTGCAAGAAAAACCTGGCTGCTTTCAAGGTCCCCAAGAAGGTGTTCATCACCAACGACGTCCCCAAGACCGCCAGCGGCAAGATCCAACGGAGAATCGTCGCCGAGCATTTCCTCTCCTCTTAAAATCAGCCCCCCAAGTATGGTGATGTGTACCAACTATGTAATGAAATGGGAACTTATCAATGCTACATCTTGGACTTAAGAACGTTATATCATTGTCCAAATCACATATATAATTGTATACGATTCTGCGAGAGAGGGAGGGAATGGGGCTTACACAATCAACCACTTGAAACCCAGGGAAAGAAAATCACAACTTGAAACTTTACACGAGAAAAACAAAGGTTGATGGTTTCCAACTACTCAAACATAGATATTATTGAATTCTGAAGACTAAATACAGTAGCTGCTAGTACTGAATTAGTGAATTTCAACTCCACAATACTTGACCAGAAAGTTGCGATAGTCTTCGGCACCCACATTCTCCTCGACCACAGCCTGAAATGCGCACAGGATGAGCGAATGAATGGAGTTAGGAGGCCGCAAAAACGTCAGCGCATGCATACATATCTCTATTTAATATTATACCTCGGTAAATCTTCTGAGTAAAGAATAGCAATCATTCGCCATTCTGTTCTTGGGGAATTTCGGCTCCACAAGCTTCACGCTTTTGATCTTACTGTTAACTCCGTGCTCAGTAAGATAGTCCCACACAATTTTTTCAGAAGCTACGAAACCTAGCACAACCCCACACCGGGAAAAAGGAAGAAGAACATTGAGAAAGAGATAGCAAGAGAGGAAAGCTTAGCCAAAAGTTACCGAGGAGGGAGCAGAAGTAGTTTCCATTTACCATTACGCTCGAGTTGCGCAGCTTCGGAATTGGTACCCCAGAAAAGCCCTTTGTCCAAATCAAAGATAATCGTATGCGATTCTGCGAGAGAGGGAGAATGGGTTGCACAATCAAACACCGAAGAGACTTTAAAATTTAGGCTCGAGAAATACGAAGGTCAAAGAAATCTGGGAGAAGGGGGGAAACTAACGCAGCAGATCCGAACAGAATTACAAAGTACAATCGAAATTAGTACCACCGTAAAACTTGAATCCGATCGCCATGGCCGGCGGTCACCGTTGAGAAATTGGTTTCGGAGATCGCGGTTTGGAATCCCCTACCTTCCCTCCGGTCCCTAGCTCATTCTCTCGATCTGCTGTTATCTCTTTCTGATGTTTGAGAAGGGGGCAATGTCTAAAAAATCATGTATATATACGCAACCTGCTGGGCCAGGCTGGATATATAAGAAATATGGATTTGGGCTCAACTGGTGCTTTCCGGCTGGGCTACAAAGCTGTGTTCTACACAAATAAAAGGAACACTTTTTTTTATAACTTTTATTTTTATAACTTCGGGTCGTTTGGAAGTTGTGATTGTTTTGTTGAGATTGTCATTATGCATGTATTGTTTACAATGCATCCTTTTTTTATTTTTTTAGCAGAAATAATACATGGATAGTTTCTGTGATGTGACAGAAACTATCACTCATTTTGAGTGATAGTTATATCTCAACTTTTAGTTGTGATTGTTGAGATTGTTGAGTTGAGATTGTTTTGTCTCGGCTTTTAGCTGATGCGACATACGCAATCACACATACCAAACGTTGTATTCTACAATGCATCAAAATCGACAATACATGTATAATATTATACATGCATTCTCAACAATACATCTATTTAACAATCGCAACTTCCAAGCGACCCCTTCATCTTTATTTTATTAAATTGTAGCAGTCATTATATCATCCTCTCCCTAAGTTGGGTTACAAGAAAAATAGGAGGCCCTCTATCCCAAACTTCCTCCTCCCAATCACATAACGCATGGCTCATTTGGTGGGCTGCTTTGTTTCTATTCTGGCCCACATGAGCCCACTCGACCCGGCCCCAATCCCTGGCCATTTCCAGCACTTCGCGACACACTCCTCCTTCCTCCGTCTCCTCTGGTTCGCCATTCCTCAGCTAGGAAATGACGAACAAACAATCAGACTCCACCATACACTCCTCTAATCCCAACCTCCTTCCCACTGTCAGTCCATACAAGACCGCCATCGCCTCTGCTACCGCTGGTGGCCATTGAGTTCTGGTTCACTTCACCGTCGCTCTACAGAATCGGCCATTCATATCACTAATTACAACCTCAAACCCAGTTTCTTGGTCCTTAAAGATAGTGTCATCGATATTGATCTTCATGTAAGCCCGAATCAGATGCTTCCATAGAATCTGCTCAGTCGGAGTGGATCTTTCCTCAGTTTGATTGTTCTCCAGGTAATCCTCTAGCCACCTCTCCGCACTGCTCATAATTTCAAACTCCTCCTTTTGTAAGGAATGTTGAGTACGTAGTCGTGTTGGCCGAAGGACATATGTGTCTTTTCATTGTCTTCGGCTGAAGCTTAAGCATAACCCTAGGGGATTAGTCGAATAGGGTTATATATATATGTATCTTGTAATCGGCTGCGTACTATGAATACAAGCTGAGAAAGCATAACTTCTCCGTGGACGTAAGCTCATTCACATCGAATGGGAAGAACCACGTAAATCTGTGTCTCGTGTTCGTTTTACTTTACGTTATAGGATTATTTCATGGTATCAGAGCTGGTGCTCGCAATCTAGGTCTTCACGATGAGCGGCGGCGGAACTGGCGATGTTGTGATCGGCGGCACCAATGAAGCAGGAGCTACCATTGTGATTCCCGCTACGTTACGTATCCAAGCATCGGACAACCCTGGTCAGTTGTTTGTCGGCGAACTGTTGAATGATTCCAATTATGGGGAATGGGTTACGGACATGACCGAAGCCCTAATCGCAAAGAATAAACTGGGTATCGTGGACGGTACTGTTGCTAAGCCTGAAGCGGCAGGAGAATTGCAAACCGCGTGGTTGCAATGTGACGCCCTTGTTAAGGGCTGGTTGAAAACAGCCATGGATAAAGAAGTGAGAAGCTCGATCCGTTATGCCAAGACGGCGAGAGAGATGTGGCTGGACCTAGAGGCGCGATTTGGAAAGGGATCTGCACCTCGCGCGTACGAACTTCGGCAGCTGGTGAGTTCGCTGCGTCAAGAGAAACTTTCCGTGTCCACTTTCTTCACCAAGCTCCGCGCGATATGGGAGGAAATGCAGACAATCACTCCTGTTCCGCGTTGCACGTGTGGACAGTGTACATGTGATGTAAGCAAGCAGGTGATGAATAACTTGGAGAATGAAAGGCTTTTTGACTTTCTCATGGGACTAGGAGATGTATTTGGTACGGTGAAGACTCAGATCCTGGCCATGAAGCCGACGCCAACGCTTGCTGAAGCCTATAGGCTTGTTGCTACTGAAGAGCAACATAAACAGATTGCAGCGAACCGAAGGCCAACAGTTGATGCTGCAGCGTTCCAGGTCAAACAAGAGCGCGACGTCTTGGAGTCTGGGAAAAGAGACGAGAGGGGCAGGAGCTCTGATCGGAAGGAACGTGTTCGATGTAGCCACTGTCAAAAGACTGGTCACGTAAAAGAAAATTGCTTCGACTTGATTGGTTGGCCGGAGAAGAAGCCTCGGCAAGGAGACAGGGAACGCAGCACACGTCCAAACAACTCTCGTGCTGCTCAATCCTCTGCCGGCGCTGGGGTAAGAATTCCAGGCCTTAACTCGGATCAGGTACAACAATTGCTTCAGTTTCTCAATGCCAATGGCGGACAGCCCGCGTCTTCGGAGCCGCAAGTTAACATGGCAGGTAATATTCTTTCCGCATCTGAATGGATCATCGATTCGGGATGCAATGAGTACATAACCAATGATGAGTCGTTGTTAGAGAACTCCAGTGAAGTACCAGGCTACTTACCGGTCAGTATTCCGAATGGGGACAGTGTAACTGTTAAGCGTGTTGGAGATGTCAGTTTGTCGAATGGAATGAAGCTTAGTCGTGTATTGAGTTTACCACTGTTCAAATGCAATCTTTTGTCCGTCAGCAGACTCACTCGGGACTTTGATGTAGCATTGACATTCTTACGCGATTTTTGCGTCATCCAGGACTTACACTCCAAGAAGACGATTGGGACGGGACAACTTCGTGATGGGCTATATTACCTTCGACTCCTTGGAGCCGAGAAGTCCAGTGTCTTGGCAGCTGGTAGCAGTGACGGAGGAATGGGGGAGCTTTGGCACTCCCGGTTGGGTCACCCATCACCCAAGAAGACTCCTTTATCTTTTCGTTCTATTGAGAATAAGAGCAAGAATGAGACTTGCGATTTCTGTGTACGAGCTAAAAAGACTCGGTTGCCTTTTCCTAAGAGTTCTATAAAGACTAGTCGATGTTTTGAGCTAATTCATGTGGATATCTGGGGTGGTTTCAAGGTCTCCACACAGAATGTTGCTCGTTATTTTCTCACAGTCGTTGATGATTTCAGTAGAGCCACCTGGATTTATTTGATGAATTATAAGTCCGAAGTTGAGAGTTATTTGAAAATGTTCATAAACATGGCTGCAACACAGTTTGGGCAGCAGGTTGCTCGCATTCGAGCAGACAACGGAATGGAATTTGAAACGACCAGTTTGCGTAGTTTCTATGATGATCATGGCATTATCTTGCAGACATCATGTATCGACACACCTCAACAAAATGGTGTTGTCGAGCGTAAGCATCGTCATTTACTGGAAACAGCTCGAGCTTTGCGGTTTCGAGCCAATCTTCCACTACAGTTCTGGGGTGAGTGCGTACTTACTGCTACATATCTTATCAATCGTCTTCCTACTAAGGTACTTCAAAATCGTACTCCCTATGAAGTGTTACTTGGTCGGCAGCCTCCATACGATCATCTTCGTGTCTTCGGATGTTTGGCTTACGGGAAGGACACTCATAAAGGTCTATCCAAGTTCGGTGAACGGGGGAGGCGCTCTGTTTTCGTTGGGTACCCTGCGTCACAAAAGGGATACCGTTTATTTGATCTTATGACCCGTACATTCTACACGTCACGGGATGTGCATTTTGTGGAGGGGAGTTTCCCCTACCATACACCAGCATCATCATTCCCATCTCCCATGCTTTCCGCTTCCGCACCAGTGGTTGATGATGAGTTGGTGGCCAATAATGAAGATCATGGGCCAAGTATTGAGGCTACTGTCCAGCAGCCACCTGCTGCCTCCCCTGCCGACTTAAACAAGTCTGCTTCCCCATCACTTGGCGAGTGTCCTTCACCCGTCGCTCCCGTCGAGCAGCCTGTGCATGAAGTTCGTCGAAGTCTCCGATCGCGACAAGTTCCTCGTCGCCTAGACAGCTATGACGTTGAACTGCCGCCATCCAACGTTCCCTATCCGATGTCCAACTTTGTAAGTTACACAGGTTTCTCCCCCCGACATCGTAGTTTCTTGGCTGCGGTCTCCAGTCAGTCTGAACCCTCGAGCTATCGGGAAGCTGTTCGTTATGAAGCATGGCGGGTTGCCATGCAACGTGAAATTGATGCCTTGGTTGGCAACGGTACCTGGACTCTTGTCAGTTTACCTCCTGGTAAGCGTGTAGTCGCTTCCAAATGGGTATATAAAATTAAGTACACACCGGATGGGAATATCGAGCGCTATAAGGCTCGCTTGGTGGCGAAGGGGTTTACTCAGACCGAAGGGATCGACTACCAGGATACGTTCGCACCAGTGGCTAAGTTAGTTAGTGTTCGCTGTTTACTTGCTGTTGCTGCTGTTCGTGGCTGGGCTGTCCACCAGTTAGACGTGGATAATGCATTTTTGCATGGGGATCTTCAGGAGGAGGTTTATATGCAGATACCTCCCGGTTTTGCAGCTCCTGGTGACACGCGAGTATGTCGACTTCATAAATCCATCTATGGTCTGAAGCAGGCATCGCGAAATTGGTATGCAAAGTTCACCACTACCCTTACTGGTCTTGGTTTTCAGCGTTCTAATGCTGATTACTCCCTTTTTGTTCGTCGGAGTCACGGTACCTATGTTGTGGCTCTAATTTACGTCGATGATGTGATCCTAGCGGGTGATGATTCAGTTTTCATTCAGCAAGTTAAAGACACTTTACATCGGCAGTTCGGCATCAAGAACTTGGGTCCTCTCAAGTATTTCTTGGGAATCGAGGTTGCTCGGTCTCGTGCAGGCATTGCCCTCAGTCAGCGTAAATATACGTTGGATCTCCTCCGTGACAGTGGTTTCTCCGGCAGTCGCCCTAGTGTTTTTCCCATTGAGCAACATCATTCCCTTACTCGCTCTGATGAGAGTTCAGTTCGTGTCTCAGCCGAGGAAGCTGCAGCTTATCGTCGTTTGGTTGGGCGCCTCCAGTATCTCACGGTCACGCGCCCTGATATTGTATATGCTGTTAATATCCTCAGCCGTTATGTGCATGCTCCTACTGTAGCTCACGTTGCTGGTGCCGAAAGAGTTCTTTGTTACCTCAAACGTGCTCCTGGACAGGGCATTCTCTTTCCCTCGAGTAGTTCACTTCAGTTCACAGCTTATTGCGACGCAGACTGGGGTGGTTGTCAATCCACTCGCCGTTCTACGTCTGGTTTCTTTGTTACTCTTGGTGGCGCTCCTGTCTCCTGGCGTACCAAGAAGCAATCTGTAGTTGCTCGGTCATCAGCTGAAGCCGAGTACCGTGCTATGGTAAGCACTGTCAGTGAAGTCATTTGGCTTCGTGCTCTTCTTGGTGTTCGTCTCACGTCTCCCACAGTTCTTTATTGTGACAACCAGGCGACGCTTCATATAGCCGCTAACCCGGTTTTCCATGAGCGCACCAAGCACGTTGAGATGGACTGTTATTTTGTTCGGGATCATGTTGCTTCCCATGAGATTATGCCTCGGAAGATCTCTTCCCAGGCACAGCTTGCCGATCTGTTCACCAATGGCCTTGCTGGTGATCGTTTTCATGAGCTTCTCTCCAAGCTGGGCATTTGTAACCTGCATGCCTCAGTTTGTGGGGGAGTGTAAGGAATGTTGAGTACGTAGTCGTGTTGGCCGAAGGACATATGTGTCTTTTCATTGTCTTCGGCTGAAGCTTAAGCATAACCCTAGGGGATTAGTCGAATAGGGTTATATATATATGTATCTTGTAATCGGCTGCGTACTATGAATACAAGCTGAGAAAGCATAACTTCTCCGTGGACGTAAGCTCATTCACATCGAATGGGAAGAACCACGTAAACCTGTGTCTCGTGTTCGTTTTACTTTACGTTATAGGATTATTTCACCTTTTTCTTCCCATTTCACATCTGACTATTCCTTTCCGCCCAAATGAACCAAAGCGCCACCAAGAAACCCCCAATTCGCTCCTGAGATTTTGTCTCCTGCAGCAGGCACATCCAATTCTCACAAGTAAGATCCTCACCTTTTAGAAATAGTGTAACACCCCGACTTTGGGTTCAGGTTCGACCAAAATACAATAACGGTTGGGTTAACAGTTACGTACGAAGGGTTGCAACCGTGAATTAGTAATAATAATATAATAAATTATTATTGTACATATATATATATATATATAATTGTACAGGGAGGGCCCACTCCCCATCTCTCCAAACCCCATCTAATTCCCCAACTCACCACGTCACACCCTTCCCAACAAAGGACCCCTCCCTCTCCCTAACCATCCGCCCAAACAGCGAAAACCCACCTGTGGCTGTTTAGCTTTACCCCACCCTCTAATCATGGTATTCCACATGTCATTATTAGGGTTCTCAATCCTTGCAAACAGAGCAGCTGCATGACAGAGTACAAACACAGTATAAAGATGGTCCCGACTCCCGAGCCTATATAATAGGGTACTCTAGTTCGCCTTTAAGGGTACTCTAGTATTTTATTAGGTTTAATCGATTATGGTTTAGGGTGGGAGTCTATATGATGTTCTTTTGCCGTTCAATTGATATATCAAAGAAAAATTTATAAAACTATCATTAGAATTATCCCTCTTCTTTCAAATAGCTCCAAAGAATCTTAATTCCCAATTCCGAATCATCCAACTCTGTCCAATTCTCCTCCCAAGCACAGTAATTTCTCTTCCATATAGTTTATATTGTAGTGAGTTGCGAATCAGAATCCATTTGCTGTGTTGTCATTGTAATCTTAATCCAATTACAGATTAGCTCTTTACATGGTAGATTTTGGTTGCGTAACGCTTTGGGCTTTGGCCCAGTATTACTAACGTCGTTCTAGTCCACTTATCATAGAAAGGGGATGGGATGGAGGCAGTGGCGGACCCAGAAATTTTATCAAGGGTATTCAAGAATGAATCAAAATCTCTAAGGATTGTCAAATAATTTCAAATCCATATACTACCATCATTGAAATCAAATTTTACACTAGTAATATATCCAAATTTTGCACTTAAGGTTTGTCAATTGACAAACCACTCTTGCAAGTGGGTCCGCCACTGGATGGAGGCAACGAGGGGCGGGCAGGGGAACGGATGATGAAATGGAAATTCGGAGACTTAATTTATTAAACCAATACTTCAATTTCAATACAGTGGGAATAAATCATTTCCCTCAACCAAAATATTTTCTGATTGGGATTAGGTGATTGAGATGGCATGTTATGAGCGGTTAATTTTTTTGACGGAAGTAGATGAAAGTACCATTTTGGCATCTTGACGTATTTATATGACCAGTAGTTAGTCACCTTGCAAATTTAGTGACCATTTTGTTATCAGGCTAGACTTGTGTGACCATGTCAATCAATTCCTTGTACTCGTTCTCGCTACTTGGTTTGTACGTATCATAAAACCGCCTTTTCTTTTTTGCCCACATATTCGTTAATGGACTTCGTTCTTAGGAGATCGGCCCATAAAAGAATTTGTCCATTAGCTTGGCCCATCATATATATATAGAGGAAACGTTTCGAACACTACTTTAGAAAATCGCAATTACAATCAATCGTTACCAAATCAATCCACATTTGAACTGAATAGGATCGAAATGTATGTGGGTCCTATAAAATATTTTTATTAATAATGAACAAAAATTTAATTTCAACCAAATCGATTTGAACCAAATGAACGATTGGTCAGTTCTGGTCCTTATTTTTTATTTGCTTATGGAGTTATGGTAAGTCCTATCTTAATTCGATCCGATTCTTTACAGAATCCCCTACTTTCAACTAAGCAATTTGCATAATCAGTAACCACAAAGACACATACACATCATATAAGAGCGTCCTGGAGGAGAGACAAACCCTAATCTCAATAACTCGAGTTGCTAGAAAAGGTTCAATTATGAATTTTATACCACATACTAACACATCGCATCAAATAAAAGTCACTCATAAGGGTTTGAAATTTGCACGGGTTTGAATACCACGTGCTTAACAAGTGAGGGTTGTCGGAATTTGAAGAGAAAACCTTCCGATCACAGAAGACTCTAATCTCACGTTAAGAACTAGTGGGGTCCCAATAACTTGTATTATCAAAAGAGATTCAACTATAGATCTTATACCTTACACCAAAAAAAAATCATTAACCAACAAAAGAACAACAAATAGTCCAACACAAGTGCACAAATTAAAAAAAAAAAAAAAATGAAGCCCTCAACACCATTGATGGCCCAACGTAAGGCAATCCACAACCCTGTCCGACCGTCACAAACCATCTCCGCCTTCATTTTCTTCATATCCTCTCTCCCAAGTTTGTCAATCAAAGTCTTAAAGTCCGGTTCCATCAAAATTGGGTTGTAGTTGTGATTCAGAGCTAATCGCATGTCCCACAACATCGATTTTGCCTCTTCAATCTCCAGCGTCCAGCTCGTTCACGATCTATGCACTGCCGCCATGTGAAATTGGCATCCGTTTGTCTCGTCGTATAGCCATGCAAAAGCCAGTTCCTCCATCGGAGAAGGTCACTGCATGCATCAACATTCACCTTAAACAACCCTCCCTAGGTTTCTCTCATGGATGCCCAACTACTAATATACTATTATTGGAAGAATTGGTGTTTTAAGGTCCATGTTATATTTGTACCATAACAATCAAATATAAGTTCAATTTGCAATTTAGAGGAATTGGGTAAATACCACATTTAGTCACTGAGATTATTAAATCGTGTCATATTTAGTCACTAGAAAACTTTAATATCAATTTTGGTCACTCGAATTACTGAAACAAGTCACGTTAAGTCACTCTCCGGTTAGTTTCCATCCAACTCCGTTAATGGCAAACAGAGATAAAAAAGAAACGATTACTTTAGAAAGCATACAATAGCACGGGAAAGAGTTACCGATAAAGTTTCATAATCGGTCAACCAAAAAGCATTGCGAACATTGATCCCTACAGAAGAGATAAATCCCCAAGCTAGGAATTCTCAGGAACGCAACGGTTCAAAATCAGAGCAACGAAAAGAACCGCGACAGAATATTGTAGCAAAACAACGGGGAAAAGGAAAAATACAACTACTAATAACCAAAACTAGTACTCTTCCCCTACACCTTCCTCCTCCTCTTCATAATCCTCATACCCTTCCTCCTCAGCCGTAGCATCCTGGTACTGCTGATACTCCGAAACCAAATCATTCATGTTGCTCTCGGCCTCGGTGAACTCCATCTCGTCCATGCCCTCACCAGTGTACCAATGCAAGAAAGCCTTCCTCCTGAACATGGCCGTGAACTGCTCGCTCACCCTGCGGAACATCTCCTGGATCGATGTCGAGTTGCCGATGAAAGTCGAAGCCATCTGCAAACCCGTGGGAGGGATGTCACAGACTGTGGACTTCACGTTGTTGGGGATCCACTCCACGAAGTAGGACGAGTTCTTGTTCTGGACGTTGATCATCTGCTCGTCGACCTCCTTGGTGCTCATCTTGCCGCGGAATATGGCGGAGGCAGTGAGGTACCTGCCGTGGCGCGGATCTGCGGCGCACATCATGTTCTTAGCGTCCCACATCTGCTGGGCAAGCTCAGGGACGGTCAATGCGCGGTACTGCTGCGACCCACGAGATGTGAGCGGAGCGAACCCGACCATGAAGAAGTGCAGCCGCGGGAATGGGATCAGGTTGACTGCGAGCTTACGGAGGTCGGAGTTGAGCTGGCCGGGGAAACGGAGACAGCAGGTGACTCCGCTCATGGTTGCTGAGATCAAGTGGTTCAGGTCTCCAACTGAATCATGACAACAACAACACAAGAACCCAAGTCAATAAACGAGCTCCTACAAACAAAGCATACCCAAATTCAAGAGATGGAATCAAAGAGGCTTACAGCTAGGAGTGGTGAGCTTGAGGGTGCGGAAGCAGATGTCGTACAGAGCCTCGTTGTCGAGAACCATACACTCATCTGCGTTCTCGACGAGCTGATGAACCGAGAGGGTCGCGTTGTAAGGCTCAACAACGGTATCAGACACCTTTGGTGATGGGAAGACGGAGAAAGTGAGCATCATTCTGTCAGGGTACTCCTCCCTGATCTTGGATATCAAGAGTGTTCCCATTCCTGAACCAGTACCTCCTCCCAAAGAGTGGCAGACCTGGAAACCTGCAACGGAATTGAATCGAATAGCAACAATCAGCCATCGCGAATCAAGTTACAGGTAGCTAGGCAAGCTAATCGGACTAGAATAGCAGCTACTGTTAACATCCAACCTAACCCTAGTCAATCTAAAACACGATTCCAAATAAATTGATTATCTAACCACAGTCGATCAATCGTAATCAACAAACAGCTACTGATATAGTATGGCAGGTTAACAGAAGGCCCGATTCATCAATCAAATCTTAAGTCAAGAGCTAACCCTAATTGAAGTGAAATCTAGCTAGCCAAACAGAGACATTCGGAAGAAAAGGGGGGAAGTTACCTTGCAAGCAGTCACAGTTCTCGGCCTCCTTCCTCACGACGTCGAGGACCGAGTCGATGAGCTCGGCGCCTTCGGTGTAGTGTCCCTTGGCCCAGTTGTTGCCGGCGCCGGACTGGCCAAAGACGAAGTTGTCAGGGCGGAAAATCTGGCCGTATGGACCAGATCTGACGCTGTCCATGGTGCCAGGCTCCAGATCCATGAGCACCGCACGAGGGACGAACCTCCCGCAGCTCGCCTCGTTGTAGTAAACATTCACCCGCTCGAGCTGGATATCGGTGCTGCCCTGGTACCTCCCGGTGCTGTCGATCTCGTGCTCGGCGCAGACGACCTCCCAGAACTTGGCTCCGATCTGGTTGCCGCACTGGCCGCCCTGGATGTGGAGGATCTCACGCATCTTCGCCGGCGGAAAAAGGATATCTGGTAGTGCAGAAGTGAGAGAAGTGAGCTTAGCAGAGAAAAGAGCGTTTGGTTTGTTCTGTGAGAAAGCTCTGCTCTGCGAATGGAAAACGGGAGATGGCGGAGCGGCGGATAAAGATATTTATATAGTAAGAGGACGGAGAAGGGGGTTTGTAGCCGTTAAGTGGGGCGTTAAACGGTGACAGCCGTAACGGACGTTTGCTTCGTTCAGAGGGAATTTGAATTTTGAATTCCATTTGGGGGATTGTTTATCCCGCCTTTTCCGCTTTTCTCGGTTAAAACGCGAAGAAGGGTTGTTGCTTGACGCCTGTTAATTTTTCTAGTGGCTAGCAAGCTCACTCGCGAAGGGAAGGCAGGTGAGAGTGAGAGTTAAGTTGTCTCTGGGCTTTTCTGTAAGTGGTGTAATGGGCCGACCCAATACATTTACGTGGGCTTAGATCTTGGATTCTTGATTTATCCGATGAACGTCTCTTTCCGATGCCTTTGGAGCTGTGTCTTATCCCGTGCAGGTGAATATTCCCTTTGCAGTCTAAAACTCTCAAATCGTCAAAAAAGAGCCAGAAGAACAAAAGAAAATGTTTGTGTACTGTCTGAACTCACAGTGATGATCCTACTCGATCGCGAATGCAGATCACGCTGTAAAAACTAAACCATTGAGGTTAATGGCAAAATTCTGGAATGATTCGGAGTAAAATTGGGATAGAATGTAGCAATCGTCACACCTCGTTGTCTACAATGAATCATAGTTAAACCACAATTAAAAGCATTATCAAGTCCTAGCAAAAAACCACACACAAAGGTCAACCGAATTAGTTGATAACAGGTTTCATTTCTGTAAAGCTACTAGACCAACCATGATATATTGTGCACTTAACCCGCAGGAAAAACCACTAAACCCTACCGTCCCATAAACACACAAACTCGCACTATAAGCAGAGAGAGATAAGGAACTCCACCCAAACAAGGCATTCAGGAACTCAGAACAGTCAAAAACACAAGCGACAAAAAAGAAGAAGCACAACATAGATTGTAGCAAACAGCAAAAAACACTTGACCCTGCACCCCCAGGCTATTACTATACCATCCTTTCTTGTATCTTTATCAAGCGTCGCCTAAAGCTTCCTCGTCTTCCTCATAATCCTCATACCCTTCTTCATCAGCCGTTGCATCCTGGTACTGCTGATACTCAGACACCAAATCATTCATGTTGCTCTCGGCCTCGGTGAACTCCATCTCGTCCATGCCTTCCCCGGTGTACCAATGCAAGAAAGCCTTCCTCCTGAACATGGCAGTGAACTGCTCACTCACCCTGCGGAACATCTCCTGGATCGATGTCGAGTTGCCGATGAAAGTCGAAGCCATCTTCAAACCCGTGGGAGGGATGTCACAGACGGTGGACTTCACGTTGTTGGGGATCCACTCGACGAAGTATGATGAGTTCTTGTTCTGGACGTTGATCATCTGCTCATCTACTTCCTTGGTGCTCATCTTGCCACGGAACATGGCAGAGGCAGTGAGATACCTACCATGGCGTGGATCAGCAGCGCACATCATGTTCTTGGCATCCCACATTTGCTGAGTCAGCTCTGGGACTGTCAGGGCACGGTACTGCTGCGAGCCACGCGAGGTGAGGGGAGCGAACCCAACCATGAAGAAGTGGAGGCGAGGGAACGGGATGAGGTTGACTGCAAGCTTGCGGAGGTCCGAGTTGAGCTGACCCGGGAAACGAAGGCAGCAGGTGACTCCACTCATGGTGGCAGAGATCAAGTGATTCAGGTCTCCAACTGAATCAAAACAGCAAATGAACCGAAGCTAATTAGTCGATATTCAGCTAAGCAATCAACAAATAAAAGCACAATTCAGAGTCAGATCATGAGGCTTACAGCTGGGAGTGGTGAGTTTAAGAGTACGGAAGCAGATGTCATATAGAGCTTCATTATCCAGGACCATGCACTCATCTGCATTCTCAACAAGCTGGTGAACTGAGAGAGTTGCATTGTAGGGCTCAACAACAGTGTCGGACACCTTAGGCGAGGGGAAGACGGAGAAAGTGAGCATCATACGATCAGGATACTCCTCCCTGATCTTGGAGATCAAGAGAGTCCCCATACCAGAACCAGTACCACCACCCAAAGAGTGGCAAACCTGGAAACCTGCAACAACATTGAAACCACTAGCAATATCAGTGAATGCAATTCCAGTTGTAGGTCTCTAAGGAGAAAAGAAAGCTAGCGAAGCACTACTGTCAAAAATGAGGGATGACCGGATAAATAATGGTACAAGACCAATACAACACGAGACTTGACCACAGTCGATCTCTAGTACAAAACCTTGAGAAATTGAGCAAGCATGGAAATCAAAATAGGACCGCCGATTTTGAAGATAATACGATCAGAAGCAGCTCTAGATCTACAAATTCTTCTATGCACGATTCGACAAAAGTAAACATCAGAGGCGTTTCAACATTAAATTGGTGGATCAAGCAGATAAATCGAGATTTGGACACAGGTCTCTGTCATAATTGACCACGATTACAGCCTGAGTAAAGCGTAAACGAACAGAATTCTCTAAAAGAAGGTGGAAGCGAGCAGGAAATGGAGCTAAACAGAAGCGTAAACCTAAATTCAAGCAAGAAGACAATAAGTCAGAGGAATTCCCCCGCTGAAAGAGAGGAAGTTACCTTGCAAGCAGTCACAATTCTCTGCTTCCTTCCTCACAACATCGAGCACCGAGTCGATGAGCTCAGCACCTTCAGTGTAGTGTCCCTTGGCCCAGTTGTTCCCGGCGCCGGACTGGCCGAAGACGAAGTTGTCAGGACGGAAAATCTGGCCGTAGGGACCAGATCTGACGCTGTCCATGGTGCCAGGCTCCAGATCCATGAGCACCGCACGGGGGACGAACCTCCCGCAACTCGCCTCGTTGTAGTAGACGTTCACCCGCTCGAGCTGCATATCGGTGTTACCCTGGTACCTCCCGGTGCTGTCGATGCCATGCTCGGCGCAGACGACCTCCCAGAACTTAGCTCCGATCTGGTTGCCACACTGGCCGCCCTGGATGTGGAGGATTTCACGCATCTTCGCCGGTGAAAACAGAAATCTCACAGAAAAGCAGAAAGAGAGAGAGAGAGGGTGAGTCTTTTTGCTTGTTCTGTGAGATAGAGCTCTGTGAGTGGAAAATAGCGGAGCGGCAGATGAATGAGCTATATAGTCAGGGAGACGGAGAAGGGGTTTAGTGGGGCCAGGATATGACGCCGTGACGGACGTTTGGTTATTTTTCGGGGGAATTTGAATTTTGAATTCTTTTTCGAAAATTATTTATCCGCCTTTTTTTCCCCCTGTTGTGTGACTGGCTACTGGCTGTGATCCGGTTACGGGAGAAGGGGATAGTTGTCCATTGGGAAGCTCACTCGCGAGGGGGAGGAGAGTGATAGTGACGCGCCGTGAGCATCTGGATTCAGGTGGAAAAGTTTGGCCGGCGGAGTCGTCAGGGAGACGAGCGAGATCTCGACTGAGTGCAGCAACCACATGAAAGTGGAAGCTGGGATCACGTGATCCTACGACCGGGGCACGTGAGTGGCAGAAACAGAAGCAGCTTTTCCAAAATTTCGAAGTCAGTAAGAGCAATTTTTTTCCTCACTGTGACTAACGGCCCGGCCCATTTGATAATCAATGAAGCAAATAACTTATTGGTACCTGAACTTTATTGATATTGTGAACTCATGACTGAAGTTTGTTCTCGTCTTAATACTCCTCGCAAATTTTGCAATTGTGAACACATTTGACTATGGAGGTACAACATGCAGTTTGGGATTAGTGGCGTAGATCGGTGTTGACCTATGCTTTTTCTTGTTTATTTAGGAATCGACCTGGCACAAAAGCTTAATGAGGTCGTCATCTACCTGAGCTAGCCCTTTAACAAATAAACCAAACTTTTCACTTCAAATTAAGGATCCTTTACTCACCACTAGAACGTTTGAGGTACATTATAAATGTCCTTGATCAAAGAAATCAAGTTGATCATCGAAGTATTCTAGAATTATTATAAGTTAGTCAAAAGAGTGACGGGTTGTAACTTGTAACAAAATCATGTTAAGGAGCGAGAGATTGAATTTGTGGGAAAATGATCGATTCCTTGTTAGTAGTTTGACTTTGGGATAGAGGTAAATTCATGATTCTTTAGATTTGCTCGGGACACTCCTAAATTTGGGGAGGGTAACTATTATCCTCTAAAAAGTAGTTTGAGTTTTTTTTTGGGGTGGTGACTCTTTGTAATTGAACCCGTAATATTGTAATTATTAGAGAAAATGTTATACATTACCCTACAAAATAATTTATTGCTATATTCCGAATATAAAATATAAATGCAATTTCAATTTAAAAAAAACTATGCTAACAATACTACAAAAACTTAAATTTTGATGCTTGGATGAGAGGATATGGGTCTATGTGAAATTAGGTAGAATGAATAAGTTTTTCTATTATATTCTAAATATTGATGTTTCGAAATACAAATTGAATTTGTGCCTTAGTATAAAAAATTTTAAGTTCATTAAAATTACAATCTATCTTAGTAATTGTTATCCAAATTCTCATTATCCAACCTTCTAATATTAATGGAGCTTGCATCACTATCATAGTATCATGTTAAATTGTTTTACTCGGTTCTTTATATGCAACCGGGAGAGTTGATATACCGCTTTGATGAGGTTGAGTACTGGGTTGTTAATTTGTATGACTAGTCATGACCCGGAGAATAAATTTGCTACTTGAGACAAGGAGAAGCTAATAAGTCTGACTCGATTTTTATATTGATGAGTTTGATCACCTTTCCAACTCTCTCTCTCTTTTTTTCTACAAAACTTTGAGGGGTCGTTTGGATTGAGTATTTGATAAACTTGTTGTTTAGGGCCAATTACCACACAAATACCACATAATATAAAACTTGTTATTTGGTATGTGATATTTGGTCTCAAACTTGTTATTTGGGAAATACCTGCCCCCTCCCAGGTATTTGGCAAACAACACTTTTTGTGTTATTTGGTCTCAAACCTGTTATTTGGCAAAACACTACATCCAAATAACACATCCCACTTTTTGTCAGCCAAACATGTTATTTGGGGTTAAATAACAGATTTTGTGTTATTTGACCTCAAATAACACTCCCAAATACTCAATCCAAACGACCCCTGAGAGTTTTCAATGATGCAATTTTATCTCATGAGATAGAAAAAGGAAAATGAATGGATAATTGGCCCCGCCTTCTTGGGAGGCACAGGGCCCAGTAACATGCGTGCGATTCACTCGTAAACAGAGCGAAGTTCCCACCACCACCGCATTTTGTTGCCTGAATCAGAAGCAACATTATAGTAATAGCAGCAGCAAGCAGCTGAAGAACTGGCAAAAAAGCAAAAAGAAAGAAAAAAAGCCATTGATTAGAAGATTGGGAAGTGGGAGCAGAGCAGAAGTAGCAATCACACCTTCAATCTTCATCCCAAAGGCACCTCTTTTGCTTATTTATTTCTGCCCGATTGCTTCCTGTTTTCTTCTCTTTTCCACTCATACAGGCAAAGGAAAGGGGGGGGCCTATAATTAGCATAGCTTCTCTAAGTTATGTATGAAATGATCATGGAATTGAATTGAACCCACGAACTATAAACTATGGGACACTAATAGCATAATTGTCTGCATCCGACAACCAATTGGTTATGGGAAGTTCGATGTTTGCCGGTTTCAACTGTTGTGTTTCTCTGGAAGGGAAGGTACCAAAAACAGAAGCAACAGCTTTCTATTAATACTTGTGTTTTTGGAGTTTGGACCATTATATATATATGACTATAATAATGGCAGTGGCTCAGAAATCAGGAATTACTCGGCACACAAAATTCTTGTTGGTATGTTCACTTTTAGTTTAGTTTTTTTTGTTTGCATGTTAGAAATTTGGCAACAGAAACAAGAAAATCCGTTGAACTTTTATTCTTTTTTTTTTGTTTTTTTAACTACGGAGATGAAAATTGATAGTTTTGTACGGTTTCCGAAAGGAACAAAATGTTATTTTAACTAATTTTTCAACATTTGCTTTCTCGTGATTTTTTTTACAAAAATGCTCTGTTTAATGGATGATATGAAATATTTGAATAACATGATTCTAAATTTTACTTAATATTATTATTTTAATCCCTTCAAATTTTATCATTTACTGAATTTTTATTTTTTAGTAGATATAATCTTCCTCCTATAGACCATTAGGAACCAAATGAATCAAGCATTTATAAAAAAAAAAATTATTTTCTTCTTTTTATATTTAGTACTTGCATTTGTTGACTTTAATCACAAACAATCTACCACTATTCAGGTTTGATTTTCATAATTCGCCAAAAATTCCAGCTAAACATGTTTTTGTTTTCATGTTTGCAAGTTTTCTCAAGAAATGATAGCTTTGTTTCCTTCACGATGATTTTTCTGTTGCAACAACCACACAAAATGGAAACACAAGTGAACACGCCTGTGTGAATGTGATTACTAATTATTTGATAAAAATTAATATATTATAGTGATTAAATTTTATTGAATCATGATACAAGATCGGTTACAATACATGTAAAATACTATAAGTGCAATCAAGAAATACATAATTTTTTCCTGGTTAAATACATTGTTTGGTTCTTTTTTTAGTTATTGTAGAATGAAATAAGCTTTATTATTTTTTGGAAGAAATTTCACTTTTATCCTCTATCGAACTCAAAAAAAAAAAAAAAATATCACTCCTACATTTCCTTCCAACTATCTCTTTTCATGAAAAACTATCATTTGTTAAATAGTCCCAGCTTAAGAAGCTAGCAGCTCAATATATTTTTCATTTTTTCTGCACCCACCTGAATAGCTTGACTTTCAAAGGAGGCTAATGTCTGACAACATTTCCTAACTAAAAAAAAAACGAGGTGAACTATTTTAATTTGGTATGACCAAATTATTATATTTCACTCGCCGAATTCGAAACATTGATTAAGTTAGTATTTGTTGAAGTCAAGGATTTAAACATCAATTAAAGAGACAAATACGCTATCATTTCACACAAAATGTACTTTGTTTTTACAAACATAACGAAATACTTAACCTTGTCATTGATAAGCCAATCAAGCAACTTCATTCAAAATTATTTTACACCTTAAGTCAAGATTTATTTTTTATTTGTTATCAAGATGTAACCATAAACAACAATAATCAATTTCCTGCAATAACAGGTAGTCACAAAACGTAAATAATCGACCACAAAACAAGTTTTTTTTTTTTGGCATAGATAGGATAATATAAATTGTTAGAGAACAACACACAACCAAATCCGGCAGTCGACAAATAGTGGAACTGCCAATAAAAGGTCCTTTTGTGCCAGTAGATGGACTACCCTGTTGTACTTGCGGGGTAAAAGTACAATTGAAAATTGGAAAAATAGGAAATTGCCACCCGAATCTCCTCAAGAATTGCACTACTGGATCCATGCGAAACCTCCTGCTCACGAACAGTCTGAATCAACGTTTGACAATCCCAGCATAAATTAACGACAACAAAACCATGCATTAGACACCAACTTATTGCATCTCGTAATGCCAACAATTCCATAATGAAAGGGTCTACAATACCTGCATAATGTTTGTTGGGCGAACCCGATTGCGCCGCGTATTCTCTGCCACCATGCTCCGTCGAACTGGACAAGAACTCCACCCTCCGGACATGTGCCATCTTGTCAATGACGGATCTAGGGGGGCCGCCCCCGGGCCACGACCCAGCCCTCCTCCGTTCGAGAGCTAGTATAACACTTGTAAATTTTCGATTTTTTTGTATTCGTTTTAGTGTTTTTCGCGTTACGGCCGAACCCTCTCCGCCTTCTTTCAAATGTGGCCTAGTGCTCTACCATATTCTAGATCCACCGCTGCATCTTGTTGAGACCAAGTGACAGCTACCGAGGTCGGTTCATGCCTATTCCGAGTTGCAGGGGTGTTTGCCGCATGCCATTCGTCCACCTGACCACAAGACCGTGATTGGAGGCCCGAAGTAAAACGGGCCTACATGGGCCGGACTATTCGGCCCGTTCAGCTGTTAACTGCTGGATGAAAATTCCCCCATCCACATTTTCAAGCCCTTCTTCATAGTAACCTCTCCGAGCAGTCCCGGCTAAAACCTCCGCTGTTTCTTCTTCCCACTTTCTGCTGTGCAATCGGTTTCCGTTAGCTCTTCAACTCCACAGACCACAGCTCCGTTCAAGATGGTGACCAAAAGGCAGAAATTAGCCCGAAGGAAATTCAAACAAGAGAACCCAGCTCTGTTCCCAAAGCCAGAGCCGACGCCGCCGAAGGACCCCAACAAGCCGAAGAAAAAGAAGAGCTTGTTCAAGCGCAAGAAGAAGAAGAACACTGAACCCAGAGATCCAAGCAAGAGAAGCAAATTCACGAAGCGGCCCCTTAGAGTCCCTGGAATGAAGCCCGGGGATACTTGTTATATATGCAAGGCTGTGGACCATATTGCCAAACTCTGCCCCCAGAAAGCTGAATGGGAGAGGAACAAGGTTTGTTCATAATTTCCTGAACTTTAACTGGATTTGGTTGGTTGAGTAGTGTTTTTATGGTGGGTTGTTGATGGCGGTGGTGGTGGTTGGGTGCAGATATGTTTGCTCTGCAGGCAGCGGGGGCATAGCCTCCAGCGTTGTCCCAATAAGGAAGATGAGACGGTGGGTGCTAAGCTGTGTTATAATTGTGGGGAGTCTGGACATTCCTTGGCTAACTGCCTTCAGCCTCGTCAAGATGGTGAGATATTTTTGGTGTATTGAATTCGGTTTTAGAGCAGTGGAAGTTTGGTTGAATATGCACATTGTTTTTTTTGGCGTTGCTGATTGCTTGTGAGTGTAATTTTCATAGCTTGACAACAGCACCCATTTGGTGAATCAGAAAGAGGCATTTATTTTGCTTCGTCAATCATTACCCATTGTAGTAGTCTTCAAATTAGAATCGGGTTTCTGTTGCAGTTCTTGGAATTGGATAGACATGATAGTACTCCTTTAGTGTTCATCGTTGTTTTGTGTTACTTTAGCTCGGTTCTTAATCACGAAGGGAGGTCAGTGAGACTAAAGCTCCATTTTTTCAAGTAATATAGTTCTTGAAAGATTGTACAAACAGTCTCGATAAGATGTAATTTTCGTAATTCGACATTTAGAGCACCCACTTTGTGAATCAGAAATAACCCTTTTATTTTGCTTCTTTACCGTATCCAAGTCTTCAAACTATTCTGGTTCTTCAAAGATTCCGATGAACTGTCTCGATCCATATAGTGTGATATATATTTTGTATATTGGTTCGTGAAGATAGATCGGATTGAAACTCAGTCCTTGATCTTACTTTTTGGTTCTGAATCTCTACATTCTTGTTTTGTAGGTGGAACCAAGTTTGCCAATTGTTTTATCTGCAATGAACAAGGACATTTGAGCAAGGACTGCCCCAAAAATGCTCATGGGATATACCCCAAGGTAATTCAACTCAATACAGTTCTTGTATGTAGTTGCTGGAACACAGATCAGGTTATTCTGCTATCAATTTGAAACCGACATTTACCAGTGGATTGTGTATTTTGCAGGGTGGTTGTTGTAAAATATGCAGCGGGGTGACCCATTTGGCTAGAGATTGCCCTGATAAGGATCAATGGTTTACTCCTGCCAATGATAGACAAGGTAATGTACGACTTTGGTAATCCCATTAATAATTGTCATGGAGAAGCATTGGCTGTCTGAAGTAAGAATGTAAGATTAGGTTGAAATGTAGTCGAAATGTTTCAAATTTATGCTCATATATATATAACTAGATACAACTCTTTTTGTTTCAGCATTCCGAAATGTCGAAAGGCTAACAGGGAAGCTGACCAAGTTTATAAGCGGGGATGAGCTTGATGACGATTTTATGCTAGATAGTAGTGCATACAACAGCGAGCAAACTGGGAAGTCATCTGATACGAAGGAAGAAGCTACAAAATCCAAGAAGAAAAAAGAGCCCAAAGTAGTGAACTTTGAAGGGTAGGAAGGTGATGGTTGCTTAGACTTATAACCACCCGGCTTCCTGACATATGTCTCAGAACTCATAGAAGTGTTCAAGTTCCTGGATAGTCTTCCCCTTCCCTAGGAACACCAATTTGCATTGTCAAATTCAGGGTTTTGTTTACTTGTGTTCTCGTTTTTTGACAGATCTTTATAAGTTGAGAAATGACCACCCTGTTTCATGTGTTGTTCTGCTTCACACTTCTGCCAAATTTTTAATGAAGCAAACTATAATTGGTGGGAGACATTTGGAAAGCTGTTATGTGCAATTGTGCTTGTCGAAAAACTATAATCCATCACTAGTTTTTTACCCGCCCATTGGGCGGTGCAAATTAATATATTTTTTATTGTATTAATTTATTTTTTATGATTCATGTATGTTACACTATTATACATGAAAATTTCAATCTCCTTTACCTTATTTTATAAGAAGATATTGTTAGACCCTTTGTATCTTACATTTATTAATGAAACACTAATTTTATTAAATTATTTTATGTAAACTATTTTGTGTCTACTATTTATTATTATTATTTTAGATCCTATGAATATCATGCCATATAAGTTATCCATGTAATTTTGATAGAGCAAGAAATCTCATTAGCATCCACATAATCAATCTTCTGCTTATCCATTTTAGTTTACCTTAGCAATGTTCTAGCATAACCAACCAGAAATAGAACTATCAACTATCATTAATTTATTACAATAATAGTTTCAGCAAATTTAACCGCATATAAATATAATTGATATTTAGTAGAGGGCTAAATAACCTCTGCAAAACGAATATTTTTTTTAACTAATAACAACATAGACGAATAGTGAAAGTTGCAAACTTCAGTACAACTCAATTCGTTCCATCTTATTAATTCCTCAATCATGAACTGGATTGATGCATCAATACACGCTAAGAAAACAAACAAATGACATTGCACACTTTAAGAAATTGAAAGAACATCGACATAGACAACCCAATGACCACCACTACCACTTTATTTCTTATTTGTGACCTTTATAAAACTTCACATCTCTTCTACTTATAACCCCCTATAAAGCTAGCTAGTAGCAAGCCACTCATGAACATAATAAATATGAACATAATAAATATAAAAACATCCTCTGATGGAACATGGTAAGGTGACAATCCTCACAATTTGTTTTCCATTTTAGCATCCGATGAATAATATAAAAGAGAAATGCTAGAAATCTCGAACTTTTGAGCAAAGAAGAAAAGATTTTTGTTTGTTTTTACAGGGCTTGACCCACTCAATTAATTTTATTCTTTTCAATGATGGGTTTTATTTTTAGAGAGCTAATTTATACAGGAAAAAAAAACGTATAGAAACAAACAAAAAGGTTGCATTCATTGTTATTAAGTTAAATTTATGTGTTATTAATGATAATGACGATTGAAAGTGTTAACATAAGATACGTCATTTATAATTAGAACTTTCCCACCATGAAAGGATGAGAGCTATCCATGTGCTGATGTGGCAGTAATTTAGTTTTGAATAATACCTAAAGCGAAGATGAAAGACAATGGTAGATCAAGTAGGGCAATTTACAACCCTGCCACCATAATATGAAAGTACTTAAGAAATGGAAAGAAGAGTAGAACCCGACCAGTTAATCACAAGCAGCCAAATATCGTTGGAGAAGAGAGGTCAGTCATCAGCTGCGGATCACGGGAGAATAGGGAGTTGTCGATAATACTTGGCTTGGGTTACTTCGTATTCGCAATGAAAAGAACTTTTTTGCCAATAGGAACAATATATTGCAATTTACAACTACTCAATTGTTTCTCATCTAATTGCTGCCTCTTGTAACTGACGCAATGAAAAAAACTCTATATGTCTTACCATTTTCCTTACATGTTGATGTATCTATGCATAAAATAGTAGAGAAGATAACAGAAATGCTAGAAATCTCAAAATTTTGAGTAAATAAGAAAAGAGTTTTGTTTGTTTTATAGGGTTTAACCCAATTTCTATCTTTTATTTTTTCCAATTTCCAATTTTATTTAGATCATCTACACTGGAAAATCAATAGAAACAAACCAAAAGATTGCATTCATTGTTATTAACTTAATGCATATTTTAATGATAATAATGATGATTTTAAGTGTAAGGAAAAAATTTATAATTATAACATGTCTACCATGAAGAATTAGAGTCATCCATGTGCTTATGTGGCAAAGATTTAGTTTTGAATTCCTATAATATTAAGTAAGGATAAGGATAAAGTAAATTAAATAATTTATTTTTCAAAGATAATTGAATGTCAAATGTTTATTTTCTCTCTTTTCATATATATTTTGTTTAATCGATAAAAACATTATTTTTTATGTTTATGTTTGTTTAATTTTTTTCATCAAAATGTAAATTATCATTCAATTTTAGTAAAAAAGAGTATAAAATTTTATTCTTAAGGTTTAATCAGAAATTTTTTATTTAAACATATATGGTATATGTGACTCTCTGTTTTCTTATTTATATTTTGTTTTCTGGACAAAAAAAATATTATTTATGTGTGTTTTGGTTAAGTTTATCAACATATAACTTATTATTAAAGCAAAAAAAAAAATACATGGATAAATGAAAAAGAATAATTGGATAAAAGAAATGGAAATATTAAAGAAGAGAGAGGTAGCTCCATAAATACATTAATTTGGTTTACTTCGTATTCGCAATGATAAGAACTTTTTTTGCCAATAGGAACAATATATTACAACTACTCAATTGTTTCTCATCTAATTGCTGCCTCTATATGTCTTACCATTTTTCTTACATGTTGATGTATCTATGCATAAAATAGTAGAGAAAAAAACAGAAATACTAGAAATCTCAAAATTTTGAGTAAATAAGAAAAGAGTTTTGTTTGTTTTATAGGGTTTGACCCAATTTCTATCTTTTATTTTTTTCAATTTTATTTAGATCATCTGCACTGGAAAATCAAAAGAAACAAACCAAAAGATTGCATTCATTGTTATTAACTTAATGCATATTTTAATGATAATAATGATGATTTTAAGTGTAAGGAAAAAATTTATAATTATAACATGTCCACCATGGAAGAATTAGAGTCATCCATTTGCTTATGTGGCAAATATTTAGTTTTGAATTCCTATAATATTAAGTAAGGATTAGTTTCTTTTACCAAGAAACGTGGCTAGCTGATGATCTATCAATGTAGAGAGAAGCAAATTTTAGCACATGGATTCTATATTTAGCTTGTAGGAAAAAACCATTCATTGGGTACATATTCTTTCTTCTGTTTCGTGTAACAACTTGCAGGAAAACACATAAAAAGGCCATTGTTGGATGAACGGTGAAAAGGGTGAAGAGAAGTGTCAACCTTAGTTTAGTCCCTGAAAAATCTCCCTAATCCTGGTATTTGTCTGACCCTCGCCATAGCTCCCCAGAATTAAGGATCTATCCCATATTCCCCCTTCCCATTCTCCATATCTCTTGCATCATCCCATTTTCCATTTTGTTCTTCCTTGTTTCTCCCCAAGCTCCTTTGGCTGTCTCTTTCTTTCAGGACATCACCATGGTAATCTCTCTGTTTCTTTCCTCTGTTTTTCCTTATGATCATGGTTTTCATCCATCTGGTTCCATGTTCATGTTGACGTCTGTTGTTGTTTATGTTGATTTGTGGGTGGGGCATTATGGATAGGCGAACTCGGCATCAGGAATGGCGGTCCAAGACGACTGCAAGCTGAAGTTTCTGGAACTAAAATCAAAGAGGAACTACAGGTTCATCGTGTTCAAGATTGAGAACCAGCAGGTGGTTGTGGAGAAACTGGGGAGCCCAGAGGAGACATACGAGGATTTCACCAAGTGCCTCCCTGCCAACGAGTGCCGTTATGCTGTCTATGACTTCGATTTCACCACTGATGAGAACTGCCAGAAGAGCAAGATCTTCTTCATTGCATGGTAATACACAACACATTTCGTTACAAACTACAAAGTCATAGAGAAGAAAACCCATGAACCACAGAAAAAGAACAAAATGTTTGTTATCTCCAATGTTTTTGCAGGGCACCTGACACATCGAAGGTGAGAAGTAAGATGGTGTACGCGAGCTCGAAAGACAGATTCAAGAGGGAACTTGACGGGATTCAAGTAGAGTTACAAGCAACCGATCCCAGCGAAATGAGTCTTGACATTGTCAAAGGCCGAGCTCTTTAGACACACACACAGACAGACTCCATCATCAGAAGTTGTCCAAGTTTTTATAATGCTACAGAAAAATATATGTTCACTCACACGCCACCATTAAATTCATTCATTGTGGAGCGTCTCTCCTCTCTTCCACCCTTTCTCTTGCTACTTGCCCCGCCCACCATTGTTTTCCTTTTTTCTTTTGTGTTGTTCATCAATGGGGTTTAGTTATATTTTTCTCGGGGAACCCTTTGTTTCATGGTTTCCTTGAGTTTCTTATACTGATGTAATTTTTCATTTTGTCATGTTATACATACTCTTCTCTTCTTTGTCATCAAAGTCACTTCTCCTGCCTTAATGTTCTTAACTTTGCTGCTGAAGAAAGAAAGAAAAACCAGTAGTGTTGTCACCAATGCTCTTTTATGGGTTTGATTGATTCATGACTCTAATGTTTGCTGCTGAAGAAAGGAACCCAGTAGTGCTGTTACTAAAAGCTATTTCATAGGTTTGATTGATTCAGCCCAGTTGCCTAATTGTTGCATATACACTTTTGATATGCAATCTATGGGGGATTAACAAAAGAAACAGGCCAAGTTGTTGCTATTAACAGAGTGCTAAGTTTTCAGAAATGTTGATTTAAATATGCAAATATTGTGTTTCAGACAAGCAATCTACACTACATGTCCCCTAAACACAGTTTGGCAAGCAAAGCATACAGTTGAGGGCTTGAGGCAGCTATTTACCATAAGTTGAATACATCTACCCGCTTGTTAAACCGCTACGCATCATTAGGTTTATCTGACATTCTGATAGTGCCATTCAAAGTTCACAGCATACATGAATATGATATACCGCCATACCCGTAAGAGTTATTGTTAGAGAGTGGTATAAGATCCAACATAACATTTTCTCAACAATTCGAGTTGTTGAGACCAACTGGTTTATAACATGGTATCAAAGTTGGTTTGATCAAGTGGTCGTGTGTTCGAATCTCCATGACACCAAATATTAACTGTTTGATTAAAGCACAACGTATGGTGAACTGATCTGTCCAAACTTCAAGCTCATGAGTTGGCTTTCGTTTGAGGGACACATGCACGAACGAAACACAATTGATTGTTGTCTCAGTTACCACGAATTGAAAGTCTTTCTACCGTGCCTTGCTTCTTTACAAGTAGTTTGCACTTTCCCTCACTATTTGGCAACCCATACCAAGCTCATTTTGTTACTTGTAGTATGTTTATGGGTTGCTTAGCGGTTTCATGTTTTAGCTGGTTGGTTTAGTATGTCAATGTACTTCTTGGACACCACATTTTTCTAGTGTGTTATTATTATACTTGAGAGTTTTTCCCATTTGTTTTTGCACGAGTCTTGGTACTACACCATTGTTTGGTTTTATATGTTTTTTAAAATGGTTTGTCGAGCTAGTATTTTCGTTTGTATATTTTATTTGTAATTTTGAAGGAAATGAATTTGATATTTGGTATATACCGATACCAAATAATTTTTTTGGGATTGGGGATATCAAATTTAGTTTGGGCTAAAATTGTGATAGAATTTAGAGTACTATTTGGCATTTGAAATTTGTCGATACCTTACCGGTTTCCAGTGATGGGAGAGCATTTTAGGAAGAGGTGATGTGATGCTTGGTGGAAACCCGGCCAAATGGCGAGATCTAGTTCGTTTTTGTATGGGCCCATTTAGACAGGCTCCAAACATAACGGCCCATCTACTCAAATATGTAGAGCCCACTATTGAAACTGGTACAAATAATGGAATTACTATGATCCCAATGATATCACATATAACAAAAAGTAAAACTAATCCCCCTCTGTATATTGTATAGCACCCTATTCCTCTAAGCCTGCTGCTGTTGCTACAGTGCTACTTGTTCTGATTGTCCCAGTACCTCTTCTCCCATAACTCGACCTGCTTGATCGAATTCGAATTCCTCCTCAAAACCGCACTGAGCGATGGAGGGTCGTAAGGCGGAGGAATCGTGCACGGAGCCCTCTCTGAAGGACCCTTCACCAGCGACTCCATCATGAACTTCTTCTCCAACCCAGCTGCATTGCAGGCCATTGATTCCGAACACAGCTCAACAGCTCCCTTCGGAACAACCGGCTTGAACGTCAGTAGCTTCGAGTATTGAGTCAGGAGATGGAGCATGTAGTCGTACACGTAGTCCATCTTCAACTCGTCCTGAATGAATGAGCTCGCCGCCTTCCCTATCTCTTGAGCCTACAGCGAAAGGGTTCGCGCTCCAAGTTAAGTTATTGAAACACAATTATTACCCTGCTGATCAAGGTGTGAGTATGGAGCTATGCTATATTTTTACCTTGTGCTTGTGATTGTTGCCCCAATCGACTGCGAACTTGATCGATTTGCACTTGTCGTGTTCTTGTATAGGCCAGTAATGGTGAACAGGGACCAAGCTTCTGGTGAAGAAGTCGTAGTAATGTGGCTTTACGATCAGGGTGACCGAGTCACAGGCCATTATGTACTTCTGGCTCACTGACCATGCCGAACCTTCGATGTAGATTTTGTACCTGAAATGTCACAAACACATAGCACTGGTCAAGAATGTAACCAAAAAAGGATTGTGATTATATCGTATTACAGGATGTGGTTAATGGTGTAATTAACTGACCTGTGTAAGCATTGGTTGGCTAAGTCCGATTGCTTGTACCCTTGCTGTGATTCTTTAACCCAATCCTGCCCACCATAACCAACTTCAATGTTTTGCCCATTTCAAGTAAGATAGTAGACAAGAAGTCATTAACAACATTAATCACTATAATTTCATCTGTAGCAGATTGGTTACAATGTTTACAAGCAATTTACTTAACAATCACTTCTTCCAATCTCAATCAAGCTTGCATCTAAAATTAGTATGCCAACTCCCTGATTAACTGATACAAGCAACAACTTGCAACTCGTAATCGCTCCAAACCAAACACATTACTCTTATCTAATTCCAACCCGATGTTATCCGAAACTACCATAAACCTCACGACGCGATAGCAACTGTGCATTTTGACTACGAATCTCACCTGAGCAAAGACGCGAGCATTCCAGTCGTGTTCTTCAGAGACATTGCATTTCATAAGGTCCATCCTCGTCTCCGCCACCGCCGGATTCCCCTTCCAATACGCATAAGCCTCTCTTTCCATCCATCTCTTCTTTGTGTTCCCCTCCCTCAGCTGCTTCTGCAAACCCTCCCATGGCTTTATGTTTATCTCCGGCCTAAATGCACCAATTAATCAAACCCTTAATTAACTACATTGTAATGAAAATTTAACTCCACAGAAAATGAGACCAAAAAAGGGTTTCTAACTTTCTAGTTTCTACTTACCATCCCCAAAACGACCAATCGGGGAAAACGATATCGAGCGTCCGATCATCCCCGCAGTACCGAAACAGAGGCGGTGGGCCGGTGGTGTTCGGCCCATTTTCACCGTAGCCGCCCGATTTTCCGACCACCGGCCAGTCAACGCAATCGAACATCAGCTCCAAGTCCGGCACCTTTCCCGGGTACCGCCGCAGCAGCTGGAGAATCCCCCACTGCGTGAATACATCCCTCGTCTGAAACGACTTCTGGTACTTCTCCACGTAAGCCTTCCCGTTCACGATTACCAACCGAAAGTTCGCCGTCCGCTTCGCCGTCTCCACCGCCTCCCTCGTGATCCCCGTGTGGGCCCAGGCCCGAAGATCCTCGTGGATCCAACGGAAGTACTCCGGACACGTGGACGGTGGGCCGGGCTCCTCCTGATCGATCGCGCGCGGGTAGTTCGTCGGGCAGGTTCCGGTGCGGTTGAGCGCAGTGCAGTCCAGTGGAATCTCGAGATGCTTTTTCGGGATTTTGTCGGGAAGCGTGATTCTGCTGGCCGTTAGAGCCTTCCCCGGCTCCGGTTCCCGAGCCGAGCCGCTGAACGCCTGCGACGGAGAATGAGGGAAATAAATTAAATAGATAATTATTACAAATGATACTAATTTATATTGATAATGTAATTACAGCGGATGACGCGCCGGGATCGCTGCACGTGAAAACGACGTCCGACCACCGACGGTCTCTGGTTGGTTTGCGGTAGCTCGCAGACAAAGGAGGAGTCAATACGGCACCGTATCGGGCCCGGCAGGCGTCGAGGCGAAAAGTCAAAAAAGCAAAACGGCAGCAATTATTGACAGCGAGAGCTTGATTTTTTTTTTTTTTTTTTGCTTACATTGGAGTCGAGGAGGCGAGTGGAGATCAACGCGCCGCCGAGGAGGAACAGAACGGAGAAGATGACAGCCGATGATCTCGATGGCAGCTTCATTAACGGCCGGCAGATCGTTTCCACCAATTGACGGGAAGCTCCGGATCCGAACCACCTCTGCAAACTCAGCTGCATGTTTTAGTTTCTCTCTCTACCGAACTGGCCGCCGTTCAGCGCTCCGTCACCGCCATGAAGCTACCCTTCCCCCGCCCCAGTCCCAGATGGCCGATTCAACTTCCAATTCGATTTCAGGAACTGGGTTAGGAATCAGAGTTGGGGGTAAAGATCAATTGCAGAGAAGACGAGCAAATCGAAGGGAATCAGGAACAGGGGAAGATGCTGGATCCCAAGTGTGCTATAGTACAGACAGAGACATAAATTGTCAAGAGAGAGTGGGGAAGCTGAGCTTTTCCCCGTGACAGAGAGGCTACTTTCAGGAGGGGATTTATTTAAGTAATGGGGGAAAACGGCAAAGAAGAAGATGGGGAAAGTGAAGCTTTGAAGCAGCTTTTGAGTTTTATAATTGCGGAAAACGAATGGGGGAAAGGAGGGAGGGGTGTGAAGGGCACCAAACTAGAGCTTCATCATCAAAGTGACAGACAGGTCATTTAAATTGTCTTTCTTCAGTGTATTTACTAGGGTTTTAGGAGGTCCGCTTGTGGCAGCGAGAAGCTTGTTTATGTGTGGAATTTTGATTCGTTGTTTTGTTTTTTATATTACAGTGAGATCTCCGCCCCTCCGTCCGGGCCCTTTCCTCTCCCTTGTCCTGCATTATAGTCACATTTTCTTCCCCTTGGAATAACACATGAAGCTGAAACGCAAATCGCCAAATCTCTAGTTACATCATTGAGAAGATATAAATAAAGTGGTTATACATGTCAAGAACCAATTGTCCCAATAACTCGAGTTGTTGGGAGAAGTTCAATCGTTGATCATATACCACAACACTAATACGCCCTCTCAAACGAAAGTCACTCACAAGAGCTTGAAGTTTGCACAGGTCTGAAGACAAGAATACCATGTGCTTAACAAATGGGGTCACCGGGAATCGAACACAAGACCTCTCGGTCACAGAAGGCTCTGATATCATGTCAAGAACCAACTGTTCCCAATAACTCAAGTTGTTGGGAGAAGTTCAATCGTGGATCATATACCACAACACTAACAATACACACACATTCGGTAATGATGTATGTTTGGAATGACAGAGTGTTCTTTCTTCCCCCATACCGTTTACGGGCGTGACTCGAACCGTTGCACACCAGACTTCACACTTCCCGACTTATCGTCTTGTCTGTCGCTATATGTTTCTGAACCGATTTAACTGTTGAAATGAGTTTAAACTATAGCCCTGTATTATGTTGTTTATTAGGGGCAGCTAAATCGGGAAGTTGAAAGCCAGATAAGCAACACCGGCAAGTTATAGCAATTAGGCCTCGAGCCCTTCTATAGAAAATGAGCCAAAAACAAGTACACCAACAGCCTTTTAGTTGGAAAATGGGAGAGAAACAATTTAATCAAAGATACCGACCTTTCACGACCCTCAACCACCCCAGTGGAAAAAAGGTAATCGTCTCTGCTCTTGTTTTCTTCATAGTCTATTATTTAAGTGGTGTTTGGATAGGACTTTTTTTTAACTTTTTTCACCAAAATGGTAGGGTGGGGACTTGGGTTTCCATTGCGTATTTGTATTAATCATCTACGACTAATTATCTACGATGAAATTTATTGTTATTAAGAATGATCTCTCGTCTACCAAATTGAACGGATCCAATCAAACCTACCAACATTGTAAGGCTTTCAATTCGCAGTTTGATGTAAAAGTTCGTATTATTTCATTTAGGAGAAATAGTACACGAGTCTGATAACAACTAAGCGACTAGAATAATAGGAGGTCTCGAGGTCCAAGTATTATGTTGGTCACAACCACGAACGGTGTGAGCCATAATATGGGTAGCCTGGTTATTGGCTCGACCCCAAAATCAGATCGAAAGCATTTCGAAACGAGCGAGAGATTCTCGAACTTCTGCCCATACATCGCCTTCGGCGAGTAGAGATATCTCCTTTCTTTGCAGCATATGAATCGCGCGAAGGCAATCCGTCTCAATTATAGCCACTCGAGAAAACCAAAATCTTCCACCACCCTTAGACCAAAACGTATGGCCTGAATTTCATCCAATTTAGGTGACCACTGAACCATAGATATCCTCACCGTCGCGAAATGAAAGTTCTTCTCCTTATCCCTGACCACCAGCCCAAAAATCCGAGCTGGTTCTTTCAAAGCATGCAGCATCGACATTGACCTTGAAATTCAATGTCACTAGCGGTTCTCACGGTACTCGTGTTTTTGAGTTTCCACATATCTGAACGTTCTGATAATCTAGGTAAATTATTGTCATATGAACAACTTTTTTTTAGTTATTTTAGAAATTGTTATCATTATCGTGTCTTTTATGACTTCAAAATAAAAAATAAAATTTCCAAGCTGTTGCCTGTTGGTTACCAAATTGTCTTCCTTTTGGAAATATGTGTTCATGACTCCATTTTAACGAGTAACGGCAGGTAGAGGTAAGTCAGGTTCCATAAAAGTGGTAAGTCAGGTAGTTAAAGACTAATTTTTCGGCCTCAGACGCCCAATTCTAACGAGGCCGGGTCCAATACAAGAAAAGTATGGGTAGCGGGTGGGCTGTTTATGTGGGCCTGAAACTAGTACATTCGTTACCCGTTTCGCATAAACTGGGCTCCTAATAAACCTAAAAAATAGCCTCTAAGTCAAATTATTTAAGTACCATGTTTACTGTTTGCAAAACTGTTTTTCTTGAGATCCTATTGATTATTGGAGTATTTTTTTTATAAAATTTTTATTGGAGTCATTTTATTCAAGGACGTATATGACCAAATCTAATTACTAATTAGACTCACTTTCAATTAGCAATTTATAATCCAATTTACCAATCCAATCTTCCAGTTAAATATTCTACTAATCTAATCCAATTAAATTCAATCAAATTGGATTGGTGGATTTATGGATTGATCTATAGATCCAAATAAAAAAAAACACGATACGTTACTTTTTATATTTTACAATTTGGTACCTAAAATTAATTTTTTTTAGAAAAAATATCATCGAAAAATTATGTTTTGGTACCTGGAATTTTAATTATGATATTTTAGAAACTAAAATTTCCAAAATTTACATATTTGGTCCAAGACTTGGATGTCATTTGGGTCCACGAATCCACTAATTCATTTGATCCAATCTACTTTATCCATGGGTATATCAATCCAAACCACCAATCCATTGTTGGAAACCGAGATCAATGAGTTTTCGGATTCGTGTAGGATTGGAAAAATTAGTTAAATCAATTAGGGATTGATCTAGCTATTAATTTAGAATAGAGGAAATTTTGAAGAACAAGGACAGGAAGAGAGATAGTCGCTGGCCAGCTATGGGAGAAGATAGGAGGGCATAGGGAGAATGGGGAAAGAGAGAGAAGGATATTAGGGTTTGATAATTTGATTCTGTAATTGCTTAATTAGTAAATCTCACTAATTACGGATTATATAGTTCTATTAATAACTATTTCATACCCACTAATACGACACGACAAACTACTCCCTAATTATTCCCCAAACAAGATCAAAACTTCTCAAATCGATAAATAATCTCAAATGACAAAAATTAGCAATAAATGTGTTTCTAACATCCATGGATCCAATCAATTTGTCACCTCTACTTTCAATATATTTTACCCTCTTCATTTCTTATCCTTATCCCCGAAACCTTATCGCCATTTATTTTCATATCTTTTTCTCTTTCAAATTTTTTAAAAACTCGACATGTCATATCATTCCTTCCATTACTTTCCTACTTTTGTGTTAGTCTAAAAAATGATCTTAAACGAGGTCTAAAAAATTAACTAAACCCATTTATGTTTGCCGTCAACTTTAATGATTTTTCGAAATCATTAACTATACAAGTTTTTGTTTTTTTATTTGAATAATGTCTATTTTTTATCCAAATCTTTTTTCAGATTCTTTTATATTATCCAAACCTATCGAAATACTGAGAATTAGCCAAATGTTAACTTTTTATTAATAATTTTGTTAGTAATATTGACTTGACAACATGATAGCCACCAAAATCAAAACCCCGATTGCTTTGGCCCAAGCCATCCTCCCGTCTTGGAAATCACATCGCTGGATTTGATTTTCTGCGATCAATTCAACGAGAATTCCCCCACAAGACCGGATTTTGCAGAAGCTGAAAAATTCCCCCTTGACTAATCTCAAGAGTTAGAATCTCACGAGTACAATGCAACTTTCCCAATCCGCTCACCAAACGGAAAAGGAGAACAGAGATAACGCAGGCAGGAAAAGTAAAGTCAATGGTATCATCGCCGCCGCACTTTAATTTCTCTCCACAAAATCGACGACCGGCCCAGAAATTTTCATCGCCGGAAACACAGACACCTTATTAACTGTCTCATAAGAATAATAATCACCGGGGACATCGGGGATTTTCTTCGTAAAAATAAAAATTAGTATTATTTCTTGTCATCTTTTTTGTCGTCCTTCTTGGGCTCGCCGCCGCCACCGTCCTTCTTTTCTTCCTTCTTCTCTTCCTTGGCGGGACCGACGGAGACGATGTCCACTTTCCCCACTTTCTTCAGCTTCTTCACCACCGCCACCGTGTCCATCAAACCGATCACCGTCAGCTTCTGCTCCTTCGTATCCGCCGCTATCGAATCCACCCCTACCATAACCACCACAGGATTCAATCTCTTCAAATCAATCAGCTCATTCCAAAAAAATCCCGAAGCAAGAAGGTGGGGCGGGAAAAAAAAAAAAAGAGGAAATTTCGGGCGTACCGAAGATATCAGCGGCGGCCTCGATCGCCTTCTGCTTCGTCTTCTCGTCGGTCATCGTCAACACCTTCAGCACCAGTTTCTGCTGAAATCCTCCCGATTGAAGAAAACAAATTCCAAGCTCAGAATCCGATAGCCGACGGTATGAAATCAATTGAAAGACAGAGGAGGCAGAGTTTGGATTATCAATTACCTGAGCCATGGCGGCGGCGATCGATTGTGGAGAGGAAAGGGAGGATGGAGAGAAACCAGCAGGCAGCAGCTGAATTGATTGCTTGGGAGATGATGAGAAAGCGAGATTCTTAATCTCTTGTTTGGAGAACAGAGAAGAATTGTAAATTGGGGGCTGGGGAAGGTATGTGTATTTATTTATTTATTTAGTTGGGGTTTGACAGAACAAGAAAAAAGTGCCTAGTTATTATGACTTTAGCTAATGGTGTAAATAGTGGTCATAAATCCACTTTCCCTTTGTGTAATCAAACCACTTACTATATAATCGAGTTGTCCTTTCCCACTTAGTGGTCTTGTTTTTACTAATAAGTTCTTTTTTCTCTTTAATACCTTTGTTATTTGGGGGTATTTATTATTAAGGAATATTAATGGTACTTGCTACTCGGTTCATACAGAGATTGCCAGTTAGTTATTTTAGTCTTTTGAGTTCTAGCCTTTTCTTAAACAATTAATCAAAGCAACGGCATGGTAGTGGCCTTTCCGTGCGTGCATGAGTTCATTAAGAGCAGCAAACAACCTTTGAAATTGACTGCATGATAAACTAGTGTACTAGGGATGGCAATTTATGATCTGACTCGTTTTTATTGGACCTGTTTAACATGTTTAGAGGTGGGGCGGGCGTGGGGTACTTTTCTTGACCTGACCTATACTCAAATTATTTACGATTTTACTTTAATTACATCATTTTTTAGTTGTAATGAAGTTGTAAATAGGTGAGAAACTCCGTTTTGCGAATAAGTTTAACTACATTTATCCTATTTTAGTTTGTCTCTTGGTTTTTAATGAAAAAATAGTATTTCTAACGTTTTTCTTTCAAATGTGTGTCGACCTGCCCTAACCCGTGCTCTGTGGTAAATTAATCGACTTGGATCCGACCTGCCACTAGGCGGGCATGAGTATCGATATACACGCTCAGGACTTCACTGTTCGCGCTATGATCTATTGTTGAGCCTCAACAAATTGTAGGTTTTATTGTTGTGGTGATTGCTGCATAATTGTGACAACAGAGATACAATCACAATAACATGAAATAAAAAAGGGCAATGTCTATTTTATATCCAAATCTTATCAAATTCTATTAATTAGCCAAATCTTTCATAATTCTATTAATTTATTAATCATTTGTACGTTATCGTTAATAATTTTGTAACTCTTTTCTTAGTTAAAATTCTAAAATTTTAGAATGTTAATCTTCGTGTGTCTCTTCCAAGTCAGTATCATTGTTGTCAAATCAATATTACTAACGAAATTGCTAACTGAAAGTTAACATTTGGCTAATTCTTAGTATTTCGGTTTGGATAATATAAAAAATCTGAAGAAAATTTGGATAAAAAATAGACATTATCCTTTTTTATAATTATTAGGTGAATAAAATTCCAAAAGATTAGGCGCCAGTTTGTACGGTTTTTTCCGGTCTGACCGGCCGATATGAAGATCAGTTTGGGTCCGATTTTTTCCGGTCTGACCGGCCGATTTGTCCCAATTTTCAGAACATGGGTAATTTTCCCAAACACAACGGAGCCCGTTGTTTATGTGTAGTTGAAATGTCAATAGATATCACTACTCAGTAGTCACTAGCCGCCAGAGACTCTTTGACAAGTAACAAGTTTGATACACAGAAGCTATAGGTAAGCGGTAAAGCCCAATATGTCGTATTTTGACCAGCTGCCGATCTAGAAAAAGCCTTACGAATGTTGAACAAGATTTAGGTATTTTTTATGTTAATTTATTCATTAATCAGTGAGCAAATTTGAGTTATTAAGTTCGCCTTAGCTATCCCGGCCCAGCCCAGCCCAGCCCAATTTCATCTCTGACAAACTTAGACCTATAGGTTGGGCTAATTCAAGGCCTGTGGCCCAATAACACCTAGATGGCCAATAAATTTTTGTTTGGCTGTGCATTGTAGTTCATTCTGTAGGGCTGCAAATGAGCCGAGTCGAGTCGAGTTTTACCTCAGTTTGAGCTCGGTTCGTTAATAAACGAGTCGAACTCGAACTCAGCTCGTTTATTAACGAGCCGAGTCGAGTCAAGCTCGAGCTAGCTTGTTTACTAAAATTTATTTGGTACTTCATTTTGTATATCATCATACATGTGATTTATTTTGTTAGCTAATCTCATATTATACTTTGTTGGTATCATATATCATTTAGTTAATAAATTTTAACTACTCCAAATCATATTATTTCATAGTATCGAAGCAATATATGATACATAATTTCTTTTTAAAGTAGAAAATAAGATATGTTTGCTCACATACTCAACGCGTTAAACTTTATATATGGTGATATATGTAATTTAACAATCATATGAATTAAGAAAATAAGATATAAATTGATTCGCCCATAAGTCTATAATCGGGTTGGCTCTCTAGCCACATGTTGAGACATAGCTCTAAACGAGCCAGCTCACGAGTTTAGCTCAACAAGCCACCGAGACGAGCTAGCTCGCGAGCTTCCCGAGCTGAACAAAGTTTAGCTCATGTTCGGCTCGTTTATTAACGAGCCGAGTTTCGAACGAAATTTTCTCGAGTCGAACGTCGAGCCGCTCGCAAGTAGCTCGGCTCATTTGCGGGCCCTAATTCTGATCATGGCAAATCATTCCAAAAACGCCGTGCTTTCCGGATTTGTTTTTATTCTTTGAAGTTTAAACACTTGGTTTATTGAATCCAAATAAAGAACTATATATTTGAAGATTGCTTACTTATCTTGTTCATGTCACAAGGAATCATATATTGTTAGCACAAACTATGTCAGGGCACCAGCAATGAGTGGGCCATAAACCTCCCACTTTGTATTTTTAATTTTTGTGTTGATTATCATCAGCACTATGTATATCTTTCTTTCTTTTTCCCTCTCGCATTTGAACAAAATTTGTATAATAGGTATTTGTCATTGACAGAAGTAACTATCCCTCTTTACCAATTGATCGCATAGTAAGTAGCTGGTAATTTACTTTCACGAACAAAGATCAAACATATAACCTCATGATTCAACATCGAGACAATCAATTACTATGTTTCTACTTGCTTATGGATCAATACAATTTTTTTTTTCTTTTGTGAAAAATGGAAAATAGCTATGTGGCACTCATCGAAAGAATGTATGCCGGAAGGAAACTCATGACCCTTCCTAGTATAAAAATCAGCAACAAAGTTACATCCCCTAAACACATGGGAGATTCTAACCTCCTATTCAAAATTCAACAAACGATTGATATCTTAGACTCTTGAACAAACAAGTCGTGTTGGTGATTTATGTCGTTGCAAATTCTTGATGATTGAAATTCCGGTAGAGAAGTTAAAGTTCAGCATCACCTTCCTAAACCCATACCGCCATACATTCAGCAGCCCCCTTCAATTAGGGATGGCAATTTGGTCCATAACTGTTTGGTTTTACCCGAAACCGGACCGAGACCGGATTGGGACCGAATAGCAAACAATCCAATCTCATATTCGGGCTTAGATTTGAGGTAAAAAACCCGGATAAAGACCGGATAAGAGACCCCAACACTCAAATCCCCACAAGCTCAATCTAAAATCAAAATCAAATTGGGACCGGACCGGGTCAAGACCGGAGTGTATCCAATCCAATCTTTGGTCCTTAGAAACCCAAAAAACCGAACTGGAACCTGATCAATTTGGTCCAATTTAACCGGACCGGATAGCATAGCCACCCCTATCTTCAATTCCGCACTTTTGCGGGCGAGAGATATACATGGGTGTCGTTTTCTTTGCATTTACCATCACGAAAAACGCAGCAAGGAAACAAAATTTTGTTTAAATGTTTTATTTATTTATTTCGTGATTCCTTAGCCATTTCTCCAACGGCTATTACTATTTTACAGTATCACTGTCCACCGCAGAAACCTCTGGAACTCTCAGGACCGTTTTCCCCCCCTCCGAGTGGGGTCCGGTCACACGTGTCAGAATACTACAGGGTAGCCTGACGAATCCGTTGTTATCGTTGTGTAGGTTGGGAAGGATGACGGCGACGGGGCGACGGAACTTGGACGGCGGCTGACGTCACGACGGGCGGTGGGTGGCGGGGTCGGCGACAAGGGCAATGTGAGGCGGGAGGTCACATCATCGCCAGGCTGTCAACCGTGCGATGATGATCCGGCATCGTTTCGAACAAATTTTGCCAATTTGTGGCTCCCCCCCCCCCCCCCACCACGCTAATCCGGTGATTATCATCGTTAATCCAGCGGATTACGAGGTTCGGGAGCTTGTTTGTAATTTTTGTATAGTATGGGGACTAAACGTACATTAATCCCTTGAACAGAAGAAAACAATGATGTGCGACGGTTTAGGGACGAAAGAGGGAACTTTCCATTTACAGGGAATGTCTTCGCTCCTCTGATCTTATCTTCTTCTTCATGAATTTTAATGATATCCATTCCCTATCTTTATACAATGATTTGAACACATGTGCTATTATTGTTTCTTTTAAATAATTGGAGAGAAAAAACTTGATTATATATGATCTCAATGAGTGGATTATATTCGAGCTAGCTAGGGACACAATCAATAGTGCTATCATTCTTGTGATGAGGAGAACAGCTTGGATTAATGCATGCAAGTGCTGGCTCCTTGGCTAGCTAGCTAGTGGCTACTTCCTCTTCAATATAATATATGCCACATTCCAATTAGGGGTGTCAGTTCGGGTCGGGTTCGGTTACCCAAACCGAAACCCGAAAAAACCCAAAACCGAAAATCACTAAAATCGAACCCGAACCCGATAAGGATTTGAGGGTTTCAGTTAAACAAAACCGAAACCAGAAAACTCGAAGACCTAAAAATAAGGGCTGAGTTCTATTCATTGAAGGTTTTTAGCCGGAACCCGAAAATCCGATAAGCAAAATCGAACCCGAAACCGAAAAAACCCGAAACCCAAAAAGAACCCAAACTCAAAAAACCAAAAATGCATATAATCGGGTCGGTTTCGGGTAAACCCGAAAAACTGAACCCAAATTTACACCTTAATTCCAATGCATATATATATATGGGGAATTCTACGGTACCCAGGGTGAAATCCGGGGTACCGCATACCTTGAGTAAAAAAACGCTATCCAGAACTTGAATTTACTGATCTTTCGGACATGATACTATACTCTAACCCTTAAAGATCAAAATATAGGTCTTAATTCTGTAAATCTTATACCCCAAGATCAATTTAATTAGAAACAATAATCGATGGTTATGATTCGTCCAAATATAGGCAAAAAAATCAACGGACCATCTTAGGTTTATAGTTTATGATTTAGATAATTAGGACCTAGGGTTCACTCATTAAGGATTAGTGTATAGTATCATGCCCACAAATCCTGCTAATTTGAGGTCTAGATAGTGTTTTCATATTTAAGGTATGTGGTACTCTGAATTTCACCCGGGGTACCGTATATATATATATATATATATATATACATATGCCCATAGCAAGCTTGTTTTTTAAATAAACTTATAGCATGCAAGAGTAAAATCAATGGTGGAGATTAAGTGAAGCACTTACCTTAAACCGCTGAAAGGTCAAACCGATAACCTTTATAGAAGCTAGCAGCGTATGCAGGTTTTCCAGCGATATAGTAAACTAGTTTAAACGAGAGCCACCAATTTCCCATATTTGCAGGGCTGAACAAATGACATTATTTGCAAAGAAGTTTATTGATGTTCTTCCTTTGATCACTATTAACACCTGATCTTGCTGTTAATGAGTTTGTACTTCTAAAATACAGGTGTTGAATTGAAAGATGATTTTTTTTCCCGAAAAAGTTGGCGGACGACGGACACTTCATCTCGCCACTGTACGTCGTCGGTGCCTAATAAGTTCTCATCATTATTAATATTTGTCATATGAACGAGTGATACTCGTAACACTTCAAAAACTCTAGATAGAGTCATTTTCACCACATGCATATACAAGGTTCATATGGATAAAAGTGTTTTAATCTATATAAATAACATTAACACGCACACTTAACATTGAAATAAGAATTTGGCAAGATATATATCGACTAGTTTAACATGCATGCTTTAAAGCAACAACTAGCAAAAGGAGAAAGAAATCACTACTCATTCGTGGCAAAAGTAACTTCATCCTTTCATTTTCCTTGTTATCTTGAAGTGAGGTCCTTTGTTGTCTTCCAAGTCATTAGTCACTTTAACCGAAAGTTCAAAACACCAACTCGGCACTTTAGGATAGGTAAACTCAAATTCACCATGCAATGAGAGAGTAACCAAACCTAACCAACAGTAAAAATGTGAAATGAATAGTTACCGTTTCTTCAGCTAAAGAAAGACAAGAAATAACCGTTGGAGAAATAAATAGGAGTGGCTTTTGGTTTTGGTTGGTTGGATGCCAGGCTGACCTCTTCTTCTGGCCCCTTCTCTCTTCAGAAAAAAGATGATAATCTCACACATGGGTATATCTGTGAAGTGAACCTCTGGCCCACTCTCTCTCTCTCTCTCTCTAGTCTCTTCTTGGTCCAACCCATTTTCCAATGGCCCAATTCTTTTTCTGTGTACCCAAAATACCCCTGGCTTATCCACAGTCCACACTCCACACCCTTCTTCTTCTGGCTTTCTAATCCTCTGTTTTTTCCTTTATATAAAGCACCCGTTGTACCACTAGCTTTCCACTAACCTCTCTCTCAAAAAATTCCATTACTCTTTCATCACTCTCTGGTTCAGTCTCCCAACTCAGGCAGCCATGTCGAAGGAAGTGAGCGAGGAGCCGCAAGCGCACCACCATGGCAAGGACTACGTCGACCCACCACCAGCACCATTGTTGGACTTCGCCGAGATCAAGCTCTGGTCTTTCTACAGAGCGCTCATAGCCGAGTTCATCGCCACCCTCCTCTTCCTCTACGTCACCGTCGCCACCGTGATTGGGCACAAGAAGCAGACCGATCCGTGTGGTGGAGTTGGGCTTTTGGGCATCGCGTGGGCTTTCGGCGGCATGATCTTCATCCTTGTCTACTGCACCGCCGGTATCTCTGGTAAGCAAATTAGACATACAACTATAACCCATTTCTGGTTTGGTCATGTAGATTAATGGGTTGAGGTAAAAATCTGAAATTTCATTTTGTTTGTGTGTGTTTTTCTTCAGGTGGGCATATCAACCCAGCAGTTACATTTGGGCTGTTCCTGGCGAGGAAAGTGTCCTTGATTCGAGCTGTGTCTTACATGGTGGCTCAGTGCTTGGGCGCCATCTGCGGTGTTGGGCTGGTGAAGGCTTTCATGAAGCATCCTTACAACAGTCTCGGCGGTGGTGCGAACTCCATTGCCCCTGGCTACAGCACTGGCACAGCTTTGGGGGCTGAGATTATTGGAACGTTTGTGCTTGTCTACACCGTCTTCTCCGCCACTGACCCCAAGAGAAGCGCCCGTGACTCCCACATCCCTGTAAGTAGTCAAATTCCTCTGTTTCTTGAACATTTCGGTAATGGGATTTCAAGAGTTGGGGATGCTGATTTGGGTTTGTTTTGGACTTTTGGTGTAGGTGTTGGCTCCTCTGCCTATTGGGTTTGCAGTGTTCATGGTTCACTTGGCGACCATTCCTATTACTGGAACTGGAATCAACCCGGCTAGGAGCTTTGGCGCGGCTGTGATCTTTAACAATGATAAGATCTGGGATGACCATGTAAGTCTACTGTCTAGCTATAGCTTGCTTAACTTCTACTCTGTTATTTGGGTTTAGGGTTTGCTTACTGTGATTTTGAATTTTTTGTGGGGGCAGTGGGTGTTCTGGGTCGGACCATTTGTTGGAGCACTAGCGGCAGCAGCATACCACCAGTATATTTTGAGGGCGGCAGCCATTAAAGCTTTGGGATCTTTCCGCAGCAACCCTACCAACTAGAAGGAAGCAACAACCCCCAGCCCAAGCAGAGAGCTCCATGAACAGAACTTTCCTCTCCATTGTTGTTAATTATGTTTGAATCCCCCCCCCCCCCCCCCCCCCCCCCCCCCCCCTTTTGTTTTGTCGTTGGTGTGTATGTGAGATAGTAATTTTCCATGGCTGATGGTGAATGAAGATGATTGTATTTATTATTGATGGTTTGATGGATGGATGTAATGAAATGGGTTTGGATGGATGGACGATCTTCTTTTGAAACTCTTATCTCACCACTTCTCTCTACACATCATAATCTGGTTAGGCATTTGATTTCACCTTGGCTTTTGTTCATGAAGAAAAGGACTATTAACTTTGAGCATGAAATCCCTTAAACACTGGATCCAACAAACTCCCCAAGGCCCAAGTAGAGTAGTTACTGTGGTAAACGTTACAGTAGTTAGAAAGGACCAAGGAAAGAGAGAGAGAAGGTGGGAGGAGGACAGGGATGAGGGAGCTCGGTTACCATTGGTTTGGGCAGAATTGGGAAATGTGGCAGGTCGAGGGTGTTTTTAAAGGCATAAAATAATGGCATTGGGCTGGGTAAAATAATAATTGGGCTTTCTTCTTTTTGCTGAATGGTCAATTCCATTGCCCCGGTATGGTATCGCTGTGAGCTGGCATGGGCCTACACCCCTCAGGTTAATGGGCCCGTTAAGAGCGACACGTGTCAATGGCTCATGAAGCATTGGTTTCCACTTTTCAAACTTGCAAGAATTCATGGTAAGTACTTGCATTGTATCACGTACAAAATTAGTTGTTAACCTGTTATTAATGGTGTCGTTAGGTATCCTTTCAATTCTCACAGGGGCTTCTTGTTTGCAAATTGGATTAGAAAGATGAACACCCACTTTCCTCCACCTTCAACCAAAAGGCAAAAGGGAAAGGCTTATCTTTCCGTTGGCTGCTCTCTTTTTCGAGTGTTGTTTCTTCTTTCACTTGATTTGGGAAAGCTCTGGCCCCCCATGGTAATCTTCCTACATTTTGAACCTTCACCAGAATGCCGCAACCATCAGGTCGGATGGCAATGAGTCGGGTTGGGGGCGAATAGTGAATATATGTTACCCTACCATAGTAGTTCGAGTATTACCCATACCCATACCCACATAAGAAGCGGGTAGAAAATCAAAACCATGCCCATACTCATTCGGGTTTCGGTTATCCGCGGTTATCCATGAGTAAAATTTCTCTTTATAACTTGAACTAATATGTTACATTCACACGCATTCTCACATGACATAAGAGGAAAAGTACGACAATAATTCATTAGAATGAAGAAAATTAATTAAACAACACAATTTCATGAAAAATACTATATTCATATGCTTAATACAAAATATGTTAGAGAAAAATAAGAATTATCTCTAGACAAAAAACATATGCATGCGTATAATCGGGCACGTTCGGGTTGGATAGTGAGAAAACCATGCCCACCCATTACCCGCAATATTCGGGTTCGAGTTTTACCCATACCCACTAAAAAGTCCTTCGGGTTCGGATTTTACCCTACTCGAGTAGGTCGGATTCGAACGATTACAGATATTTTTGCCATCCCTACAAGATTCGGCCTGTATCTCGCAGAGTATATATCAAAACAAGCCAAACAGAACGCTGGTTGTTAGAGAATTGTTAGTTGATCAAGTAAAAATTGATCCCTAAAGGCTAAAAGAATGTTTTTTTTTGGACCAAAGATGAACTTTATTCCACTCTGGTGAAACCAAAAACGGCGGTTACAAAGCTAAAGGAAATCGGAAATTAGATCAAGAATACTAATCCAGTCATCTGGGAGTGAATTTCTTGCCAAAGACCTGGCCACCCAATCAGCTCTAGCATTAAACTTTCTATGAACAAACCTGACCTCAATGCGATTTGAGGCCTGAAGGATCGATTTCATGGATCCCATCCATGCCGCTCCCCTCCATGGCCATCTCGCTTTGTCCTGTCTGAGAGCTTGAACAAGATTAAGACAGTCTGATTGGACAATACATTCTCCTCCATATTCTTGGGCTAATTTGAGACCTTCCAAAAGCGCCTTCGCTTCAGCTTCAAACGGGGTGGAACAAAGTAAAATGTCAGCTCGCCCATCGCATACTTGTCCATGGTGGTTAATAACAACAACATCATAAGCCGCCGGCTGGGAGTCGCTTATGAACGACCCATCACAGTGAATCACCATGTGGTGATTGCTTGGCGGTGGAGAAGGATGAGGTAGGTTATCCCTGAGCTGAACAGAAGATGTTTGGACATGAGGCTGGGATAGTCTCGGGCACGATGTCCATTCGGTGAATTCCCTGACGGTCTGCCTACAGGTATTTGGGGGCCACGGGATACGATTCTTGAAGGCACGCTCATTCCTTGCTTTCCAGATATTCCAGCAGAGGTAGACAATCAAGATGAGACTATTGGGCTGCACACTGTCTTTCAATGAGCAGAACCAATCAAAGAAGGTGGTGGATTGAGGTGGAAGTGGAAGAGATGGGAAAATGTTGTTCCACGAAGATAACGCATGCTGGCACTCAAACATGCAGTGGACGATGGATTCAAGTTGATTCTGGCAAACCGGGCATGTCGCATCCGGAGAGCATTTACGATGCCTCAACCTCTCTTTCGTGGCAATCCCATTCTTTGCACACCTCCAAATGAAGAAAATGAGTTTCGGAGGCAGCTGTAGAGACCAAATCCATTTCCACTTATCAGAATTCCCTGGCGGCGCAGTGATGGTGTTGGTCTCATGGATCGCGTGATACGCTGATTTGACAGTGAAATTGCCCTCATTATTAAATTTCCAAGCCCAAAAGTCCTCCGAATCCTCTTCCCCTATAGGGATTCTCAAAATAGCTTCCAGTTCATCCTCCGTCACGTTTCCCTGAATGAGGTTTGAGTTCCAGATCCTTTCTCCCGGTTCAATCCACTCCTTGACTCTGATGTGGTTCTGAGGGCCGCTTCCAATAGTCCCCTTCTGAAGGGTAGGGACCCACGGGTCCTTATCCACCCATGTTTCCTCACCTGATCCAATGACTTTTACCGTTCCCAACTCAATAACTTTTTTGGCCTCCCATAGGCTCGCCCATATCCAGGATGCTCTACTGCCCTTCTTTGCCGAAAGGAAGTTTCCCCTTGGGAAGTACAGTCCTCTTAGCAGACGGCTCCAGAGTGCATCCGGTGAGGAGAGGAGTCTCCATGCTTGTTTTGCCAGGAGTGCCAAGTTGAAGTCTTTGAAACTTCTGAAGCCAAGCTCTCCTTCCGTCTTCGGGGAGCACAAGATCTCTCTTTTGCACCAGTGCATGCTAAAAGAATGTCAAAGAACTACTAGTGACTCGTTGTATAGAGTTCTGCAACATAGGCTGAAAGCCTGAAACCGATCACATGGAGGTGTGGGTTACTGGAAGGGAAGGATGGGCTGCAATTGGCCTGGCTCGGCGGCATAAACAAACCCCCACCTTCCTTTTTTTCCTTCTGCACTCTTTTCTTTGGGAGTTGGGTGCAGTTGTGGTCCAAACTCAAAAGGCTAACAAGGCTCCAAATCAAAAAAAGGAAAAGAAGTTCCAAAGGCAAAATGGAGCAGTAAAATTAGCGAGCTAGCTACCACTCCTTTTCTCCTGTAGTGGTAGGCTATAGCATAAAAAAAGAGAGGAAGAAGGTAGGTGGTAGGCTGCGAGCTATAGACTCAACAACCTCATTAAATTTCCAGGGGATGGACCAAAACTTCGTCCACCCCTATTTGGCAAACAAAACATGGAGGAATTCTAAGCGAAAAGGACCGCGCGAACAAAATATTTGGTAATTTGGAGAATGATTGTGAAATATATTACAACTCTTGCTTAAAGTTAGAATGCCAATGAGGAAATAAATCGTGCAGAGATACTGACAAGGTACTTTATGATACACAAATCAGAGGAGATTGATTGCATCCTATCATTCAGTTGAGGAAATTGAAAAGCCCTCCCCCAACTCGAAAGTTTCAGGGAACGCTCAAATTCACAGATAACCGCAGAAAAGGTTAAGTACTTGGGGAAGCTTACCCAAAACAGTGCACCCCTGAGAGAGTGCGGCATAGTTTAGTCGGGCAGTGCAGTTCCCCTCTCGAGATTGTTCTTAATCTCCAGCGTGTATTTACCGAAGGCTCGTTCAATCTTCTTGTTGAAGTGCTCATTACGATCGTTGATAGAGTCGATATCCTTCTCTTCATGGAATCTCCTCCTCCGGCTGAATGATCCGCGTTTCGCATCCCGGTCCTTGAGTTCCTTCACCATTCTGTCAATCTTATCCTCTGAGATCTTTGGTGCCTGGCATCAGTTTACATTTCGCGAGGTAAATATGATTGTTCGCTATCTACAAAATCATATCCACCGGCAATCATACTATTGCAGAGAGGATTATTACCTTTCCGTATTGAAGACTTGAGGCGTCCCGGTAGAACTCAGGATCGGCTTCTTTCATCTTGTTATACTCTTCTAGATCGACATTAACATTCTTTGTTCGCTTTTTATATGCATTATACAGAGTCCTCTGATTGAAAACTGGTAGACCATGATGCACGATAAGCTTCAACTCCCACTACAGATCAACCCATAAATGAAAGGGACTAAGCAGAAATGCAGACTTACCATCCCAACCAAATGGAGCAGGATCTTTGTCCCATTTCTTGTACTTGACTTCTGCGGCCTCTTGCGTATCCAGCATATATGCCTTTGTCATGTCCAAGTCATTTGCATCAAGAAGTTTACCGATCTTCCTCTTCCTCTCCTCGAGCCATTTTTGTTTGGAAATGCCTCTAGACTCTTGGGGAGGTTCCAATCTCTTCTTTTCAGCCACCATTGCCATTTGATTGGCTTTCTTCGCCTCATACTGGATTTACAAACAAGCAAACAAAAATGAACAATCAGAGGTTGAGAAAGTGAAAGGAAAATATTCAAAAAGAACATCTCATGAAACAAACAAATCAAGATACTTCTTCAAGATTCTTATTAGTTAAGAAGAATACATACCATCTTACGCTTCAACTCATACAACTTTTTCCGCCTTCCACTCAGTTTAGTAACATCTTCTTCCTGAAATTCCTCCACGCCTTGGTCATTTTTGTCACTGTGGCTATCATCATCATCGTTAGAATCTGGTCTTACGACAAGCTTATCTGTCATTTCATCCGAAACCCGTGTACTGGCTAGATCATTCACAGCTTGAGCTTGCTTGAACTCTGATACAAATTGGTCAACAACCATGAGAACACAGCCATTTAGCAAAGGGGCAATCATTATGAACACCAGTAATGTAAAATTGAACTTTCAAACGAAAAAAGAGATCAATTCATCCACGAGACAGAAAGAATAAAACTTCCGACTAGGGATGTACAAGAACAAGGGAGCTCGATAACCCCCGCTAAAAAGGGTCTCCCAAAGATGTCAAGCATAATGATCTTCCGTACCTGCTTCTTTATCTGCTCTAGCCTTGGCTTCTGCAATCTTCTTGAAGCAGTACTCAACACACTCATGGTAAGGATTCGCCGCATTCATACAGTCAGGGTGAGCTCTCCTTTCGTCAGCCATGTTTTCCGGAGCCACTGTCCCCTTCGCAATCACTTCAGCTGCCTGCACGAACCATTCCCAAATCGAATTTAGTTCCTTCGCCATGGATTCGTCACAAAAGAAGGCATATATGGATCTACTCCTCTTTGCGACACATATACAGCTTCAATTATAAATCAGAACTTCTCCTCCGACTAAATTTATTGAGATTGACAGACAAACGAAACCCTAGAAAACAGAACCCCCATCTCCGCCGTACCAGCGGGAAACTAAGGGCGAGAAGATGAAAAAGGAGCAACCATTCGGCCGCAAGAGTTCCGCCTAACCTGTTTCACGCTTTCTTGGGGCGCAGTCTAGTTGAAGAGAGACGACGATTCAAACACACCACTGACACCAGAGAAAAGTGCTCGTCGCCGTGGAATTGATCGTCGCCGTGGCCGCCTTCAGGTAGGATAAGGGAGAGAATGTACCGCGAGAGAGCAGGGATAAAATAAAAACTAATTGGGCCAGTTTGTCGGCCCGGCCCAGTTATTTTCAGTGTAGAAGTAAAATATGAAAATAAAACTGCGAAAAGGTTTAGTAATTTCCGTTGCCGGGACTTGAACCCGGGTCTTTCGGGTGAGAGCCGAATATCCTGACCAACTAGACTACAACGGATTGTTTGCTTCGTAACGTCTCTTTATTTATATCTACGTTTTAGAGTAGAATGGCTGCTCCACTGCCCAAACTACATACACACAGTTATAGATGACGAAAAAGCTACATCTACATCAGTATTAATGCTAAAAAGTACAAAAATTAAAAGGTATTAAAAATGGCTTCTATTCATGGAAGGATCAAAATTTTACAGTGTGTGTACATTGTGCCCATCAAATATTTGATGGAGAATAGGGTCTTCTGTGTAAGACCCAAGTTTATCGAAGTAAAAACACTTGTAGTTCCTAGAAGTTGAGCTCAGTCTACAGCATATTCATGTGCAAGACAAGGTGATCACAAGTTCACAGTCGCTAGATGCTAAGAATGTGAGCAGTGGAGATCAGAGAAACGAGGCCAACTTTCCAGCAATAGCAAGCATGATGCTCAAGCTGCAATGTGAAGAAGCGAACTGCTTCAACGCACAAGGCGTCCTCGTTTTTTCCGCTTCATGATTCTCGCTTCTTTTTTGCGCCAGTTGGAAATTCTAAAGGGTTTTTTTTTCACTGTCAACCCAATATCAGCATTATTCGACATGGTCGTGCTGCAAAAATTTCTGAAGATTGATGCTGTTGGCTTTCTGTGCCAATGTTGTGTTGAGTAACATGGCTAGAGAGTGGAGAAGCAGCCCCATATGGACAGGAATGCAACTTGCCACAGAAATGCGGCTGCTCAGTCCTAGCAACTTCATTATGCATGGAGCGTCGTGTTGCTGACTAAACTCTCCGATCAAGCCTGTTACAAAGTTGATAAAAGCGAATCAGTTCACATTAAGATTGAGAAATCATGTAGCCATCATAGACATACAAGAGTGAGTCATGGGAGGAGCAGAAAGCAAAGGACAATATAGAGTAGTCACTTTCCGAATGGTCAGAAACTAACACAGCCAGCTTACATGCTCAAGCATACAAGCTCGTTTGCAACAAGTTCAATTCATCAGAGACTAACACTCTGTTCATGGAGAACCATTTCATAGCTTCCTGTTATAAATTCTGAATCTCAGGCCTCCCCTTTCATGATCAGAAGGTATGCAATATAACAGAATCCTGGAAGTCCATAGCAATTTCTCCAATATCATGAATGAAAGAAGGGGGGGGGGGGGGGGGGGGGGGGGGGGGGGGGGGGGGGAAACAGCATTTGGTTCAGGGTCGGTAGTTACTCTAAGTTTGGTACAATTAACATAGTGCATCCCACAGACCCACACACATTCTTGGCCACAAAACCCTCATAGCAGCTTGACCAACCATCAAGGGAACGACTAATCCCTCTAATAGACAAATGTATTGCTGTAAAAACAGCACCCATTTATGAGAGAGCATTTGTACCTTGCAAACAGCATACCCATCATGGACATAGAATACAGAGAAAGCAAATGACAAGAATGAAACCAATTGACGTGGCGAATCTATATAAATCTGGAATTGCAAGCCAAGACCACTTGATACACCCAACTTTAGACTCAATTTGAGAGCAGATAAACCACTCATTTATATGTCCTAGTTTCGTTTAAAGGTTGTAAAGATCAGTTTCACAAGAAAAAAAAGTTATGATACTGAATCGAGATTCCATTATACAGCAATAAAATAGACATACAATGAAAGACATGAAACAGATCATCACCTGTGCAGGTTTCTTGTATAGCGCCCACACCACATAGTAGTGTACATGGCCTTCAATTGATCGGCCAAATCATTCACAACTGTGCCAGCAATGTCACGGCAATCCAATGGTTAAGCACAAATCTCGCGACTTCAGCTTTGCCAGTTCCACCTTATCTTTCGAGCTAGATGGCCATATCGCCCCTTTTCAACCATCTGTTTAATTATGCCACGGGCTTCACGAAGCTTCCCAGCATTCCTCAAATTGCTAACTAAAGTTCTGTACACAAGAAAATTCGGACTACAACCTTTGGATTCCATCTCCTTAAGCATAGAAATCGCCACCTTATAATTCCCTGCCATACAATACCCACGAATCATCGAATTGTAAGTAAATGCATTTGGCAGCTGGCCTTTGGCGGTCATGTCATCAAATATGGCCTGAGCCTTTTCAAACTCTCCAGCCACTACATATGATGTGATTATTACAGTATAACAAACAACATCAGGCAAACATCCATTCTTCTTCATCTCATCCAAAAACCATTCACATGCTTGTAAATTGCCAGCCCTACTCAGTCCATCCATTAGCGTGGTGTAGTGGAGAACACAAGGATCAATACCTTCTTCCTTCATGTGGATCAATAACTTATGTGCAGCTATTGGTCTGTTAGCTTTACCAAGAACATGAAGAATTATGTTGTAGGTGTGGAAGTCCGGTGAAAATCCATTCCTCACCATGTCATCCACCATCCTCCAGACCTGGCCTAACTCCCCCAACCGATACTTTGCACACATGATGACATTATAAGTTAGAACATCTGGGTAAAGACCCTGGCCCAACATTTTCTGATGCACCCAGTCAATCAACCTGTAGTGACGAACTCCAAGAAGCGAGCAGATAATTGCATTATAGGAGTGCTTGAAGGGTCTATAATTAAACGTCTTTGATTGAATGAACCTCTCCACAACTCTTCGAGCCAAACCTGCCTCACCACAAGTACAAATTAATATGTTGAAAGTTCGTGCTGTAGTTGGGAAACCATTCTCAGTCATCTCATCGACCAGCCTCCACATGGCCATGAACTCATCACAGTCTGCAAAAATCTTCATTATCAGATTGTAGGAACTTGACGAGTGCCTGTAATTTTCCTGCTGACCAGACCATAAAAAGAACTTATACCCCAACTTCGCCCACCTCGCTTTGTTGTCAGGATTTATGGTCCTCAAAATCCCCACAAGAACCTCTCTCACAAGAATCCACGACACCTTCAAGTGAAGCTCGGTTAACGCTGCTATAGAGTCAACTCCAGGACCATCTTGCATTAGAACTTCAATCACACGTTCAGCCTGGAACCTACCTTGCTGCCTCTCACACCAACGACTCTCGATGTGGATCTCGAATTCACTTCGAGAATCGGGCCCTGAATCCCCCCACGTCATCTTGAGGGGCTCTTCAATTAACTGGAACCCATTATCCATCATGGCATCCCCATCAGAGCTATAGTCACACAATTTCCTCGAAACTCCCACGATACATGGAACTCTATGAACCAACCTCGTACCAAATAAGGCTACGACGTTCATCCTTTAACAAGACTGGACCCATTATTACAGAAAACTGGCCACAGTTGAAGAAACAGAGAAGAGTGCAAACGGCAGATTGTTGGCAGACCTCGATGCAGATAGCTTCAAAAGCCTTGTGCAAACTAATCGAGAGACACCCATCAAACTATGCAAGCAACCCAATTCGCGAGGAACAATTCTTATTCCAAATTTGAGCAGGTTCCACGATTCAACCTAACTTACGGTTGGTAAAAATGAAGAACAAGTATCATTTGATGCTCTTCCTGAAGTAAAGGCGTACCTGGAACAGAGAGATAATTTGTTCCGGTGAGAAGAAATCGGAGGTTTATTCTTCCCCTTCTTGTTCATGAACTGGTGAAGTGGCGTCAGTGGACTGAGACTGAGAAGAGAAGGTATGAGCTTACGGCGAAAAACCCCTGGTTGCCTGAGAGGGGTTAGGGGAATCTCATCTACTGCGCCCAAGATTACTGGTACTCGCCGAGTATTGGCCCAAGTCGTCGATGCCGATCTGATACCCAGTTTCCAATTTCCAATTTCGGGTCGTCTGGAACAAAATTAACTGGGGAAGGAGCTGAAGATCTAGGAGCCCAACAAGGTTCGAGGAAAGTTGGGGCGGCCCATCCAATGAGACATGAAGGAAAGACACTAAGCTGCATAGACTTTTTTTTATTTACTTCGGAGTGATATCAAGAGAGTACAAGAGTAAAAGGAGCAAGTAGCGAAGGACCACTGCAGTAGTAAAGTTAGAAAGAGGTTTGCTCTGACCTCTCTCCTCGTTTGCTTTTATGACCGTTGCGAGTCAAGCCCCCACTGCGGGGGAAGACCACTGCCTGAAGCCTCCCGACGGGTCGCCGACTGCCTCTCCCGTGCAGCCGAGCAAAAAAGCGAGGGCTAACTCAAGCACGGAGTTCTCAGGGCAGACAGATATGGATATGGCCATCGTCACAGCAAGAGCGGAAGACGAAGAGATGCATAGCACGGAAGATCCAAACGAATCTAACACTGGAGCACCCTCCTCTGCCGCACTCAACTCAGGGGCGGAAAAAACCAGCTACAGAGACTCATTCCTTGGAAACAGTCCACCGGTTGATATCCCGGAAGGCGACGACCTAATGTCCGATGAATCAGAAACAGAGGATGCTGAGGATGATCCGGACTCTCCGACCATCCGAATAAAAAAGAAAACCAATGCCAAGATCTGCAACAGATGGCGACGTGCGATTACTTTCAGAATCCTTGGCCGAACCTTCCCATTCGCCCTTGTCCAGAGCAGGGTTCAACGAATGTGGGCAAAGACAGGTGGACTCAAGGTGGGTGATATTGGAAATGGATATTTTCAGGCAACTTTTGTTCCCAGCTGGATCACAATCGAGCTCTGTATGGCGGCCCGTGGACGATCGAAGACCACTACATCGTCTCGGAGCCATGGAGACTCGACTTTGACCCCGATTTCGACACGATAAACAGAACGGCGGTCTGGGTCCGCCTCCCCCGCCTCCCATTAGCTTACTTTGATGAAGAACATCCTGTACGACATCGGCAATAAAATTGGAAGGGTGGAGAAGATTGACTATAACACGGCCAACGGATTCAGGGGTAACTATGCCCGAATCTGTGTGGAAGTCGATCTCCAAAAAAGGTTAGTATCCAAGTACAGAATTAAAAGAAGGGTGAGACGGATTGAATATGAAGGGTTGCACATCGTGTGCTTTGAATGTGGCCATTACGGTCACTTTGCAGAGAAATGTCCACAAAAACAGATCATGGGAAGTCAGAGTACGAATGATGGAGGGACACAAGCTAACCAAGGACCCCCGAGTCAGGCTATTCGCCCAGAAATTCTGGAGGATTTTGGGCCATGGATGTTGGCAACCAGAACGAAAAGGAAAGGCAATCAACAAAGGAAGAAACAAACAAATGGAAAGGAGAATGGTGAAGTCAGGGAAACAACAGGGAAAGCCTCTGGCTCGAGATTTAGTGCCTTAGACACTGAAACTGATGTTCAAACAGGGGAAGAAACTACAGAAAATCATGGTGAAGGCCAGAACAACAATGATATGGAAATGGAGCAAGAGCAGAAAAATCAGACTGGAACTTCAACCAAGGCAGAAACTAAGGAAGGGAAACAAGAGGGTAGGAAACAGGAGAAGAGGAACACTGGGAAAGCAAGTGGGGAAGCTAGCAAAGGTTAGAAATCCAACACAAAGGGGATGTCTCGAAAGGAGAACCAGAAGGCTTCCCCGGTGCTACCCAAGCAAAACAAGGATAAGGATAAAGTACCAAGCCCCACCAAAACCAACCAGATCCAAGGTTTTAAGGCTGGGAAAGGAAATTCTACTCAAGGTGCTGTCTCCCCTGCTGGGACACACAAGCTAGGAGCTCCTGTCTCTTCTTCTTCTGCTTCAGGAAAAGTTGGAATGGGGAAAGGAGTTGCTGCAGAAGCAAAATCTGGCCACCAGCCAAAAATGAAGCAAGGGGCAGATAGGAAGGAGGATAAGCAATCCACCAAGGAAGGAGTGAAGAATCATACCATTGAGGAAACAGTCCCTAGGAAGATTGATTTCAGTCCACCGAGGAAAGAGAAAGTCAACAGGCCAGAAGATGCCATTGAATTGAAGGAGTCTGCTTCAGGAAGGATTCCAGAGATTCAAAAGACGGCACTAGCTGTCGACAAAGGAGAGTCCTGACCCATTGGGTCGTTGCAGGAAAGACCCCCCTTTTCCTTAATGGTTAAGTTTCTTTCCTGGAATTGTAGGGGTGCCTTGCATCCCAAGTTTTTGTCTACTTTGGAGCTCTACAAGGCTAGCTTCAAACCTGATGTTGTTTGTATTCTTGAGCCACGAATTAGTGGCAGAGATGCTGAAAGGGTGATCAAATCTATTGGCTTTGATACCTGGGAAGTTTCTGATGCTGTGGGTTTTAGTGGAGGAATCTGGGTGCTTTGGAACAGAAGCAACCTCAACCTGGAGCTTGTGGATAACCATAAGCAATTCCTCCACTTTAAATGCACTGCTGGAGGTAGAACTATCTTCTTTTTCACTGCTGTTTATGCTTGTCCTAATGAGCATGACAGGAGGGACTTGTGGCAATGCCTGAGAAACATTGATTGTGGCACCAATATCCCTTGGATGCTCTCTGGCGACTTCAACTCAATCACCAAGCCCTCAGAGAAGCAAGGTGGGGCACCTTTCAATGCTGCCAAGGTTAAAGCCTTCAAGGACTGCATCGATGAGTGTGGGTTTATTGATCTTGGGTTCACAGGACCAATGTTCACCTGGTTTACCAGATCGACAGGTCTTAGGGAGAGGCTGGATAGGAGCTTGTGCAACATGGAATGGCAGCAAAAATTTCCTGCCACTACTATGTTTCATCTTCTCAAGCTTAAGTCTGACCATAGGCCGATCTTGACTGACACCATCCAGCTGCCTGATTCAAGAAAAATGGAAAGAAGATTCCATTTCCTCGCTGCCTGGTTGGATCACAAAGAGTTTCAGCCGTTTGTGAAGCAGGAATGGAAGCCAGGAGAGGAATTTCTTTCTTCTATGAAGGAACTCTCTGAGAAACTGGCTGAGTGGAACAAGGAGGTGTTTGGAAACATCTACAAGAGGAAGAAAGAGTTGTTCAGAGCTCTGAAATCACTTGAAATGTTCAACGAGAGGAAGCCTTCTAGAAGCTCTATGGAAAAAGAGAAAGCTACCAGAGAATAACTTGAAGACACTTTGTGGCAAGAGGAGCTGTTATGGAGGCAGAAGGCCAGGGTCAATTTGGTTGTGAAAGGAGACCTCAATACTCGCTATTTCCACAATTGCACTCTTAGCAGAAGACAAAGAAACAAAATCACCAGATTGCAGGATGCAGAAGGGAACTGGATTGATGACCCTGCCATGCTCCAAGACATGGCTAGAGAGCACTTTGTAAAGCTGTTCACAAATGATGCTCCCTGTTCAGGAATCCAGTTACCTGCCCTCTTTCCCCATGTTGCTGAGTCTTGGCTCTCAAGAATTGGAAAAACTCCAAACATTGCTGATATCAGAGCTGTCCTGATGGGGATGAATGGGCTTAAAGCCCCTGGAAAAGATGGGTTTCATGCTTTATTCTTTCAAAAATGCTGGAATACTGTGGGGACTGACTTTGCTTCTTTCGTTCTGAAATGCTTTGCCATTCCCAGCACAATCCAGTCTATCAATGAAACACTGCTGGCTCTTATCCCTAAAGTGGATTCTCCCTCCTCTATGAACCACTTTAGGCCTATTAGCCTATGCAATGTGGGTTATAAAGTGATTGCCAAATGCATTGCCAATGATCTGAAACATCTTATGCCACACCTGGTGCATCCCAACCAGTCTAGTTTTGTTCCAAAACGTCATATCACTGACAATATCATCATTTTGCAGGAAACTGTCCACTCTATGTCAAGGAAGACTGGTAAGAAGGGGACAATGCTCCTCAAGATTGACCTTGCCAAGGCCTATGACAGAATTGACTGGAAGTTTCTCGAGGAAACTCTCATGGCTGCTCGTTTCCCCAGTAGCTGCATCAGACTCATCATGGCCTGTGTGACAACCACTTCATTTCAAGTTCTGTGGAGTGGTGGACAAACAGACAGCTTCACCCCTACAAGAGGTCTTAGACAGGGATGTCCACTCTCACCCTACCTCTTTACTCTTTGCATTTGACGTCTTAGCCATTGTATTTTACAAGAAGTGAATGATGGAAACTGGAAACCTGTGTGTCTTTCTCCTGGGGGCCCTGCTCTTTCACATCTCTTCTTTACTGACGATTTAGTTTTGTTCTCCCAAGCCAGCTTGTCTAATGCTAATGTTATCATGAAATGCCTTGATTCTTTTTGTGCTGCTTCGGGTGAGTTAGTTAGCAAAGATAAGTCTAGGACTTTCTTCTCTAAAAATGTGAAACTGATGGATAGAAGAGACATATGCAGTCGTCTTGGAATCCAAGAAACCAAGGACCTTGGGAGGTATCTTGGGGTCCCTGTGCTCCATGGGAAACTTACCAAGAATACCTACAGATATGTACTGGATAAAATGGATCAAAAGCTGACTTCTTGGAAAGCTAGAACTCTTTCACTTGCTGGAAGAGTTACTCTAGCCCAATCTGTGTTGAATTCAATTCCAACCTATGCTATGCAAACTACCCCCATTCCTGCTTCTGTTTGTGATGAGATTGATAAGAGAGTTAGAGGCTTTGTTTGGGGTTCTATGGATGGTAAAAGAAAACCTCACTTGGTTTCTTGGGAACAGGTTTGTCTCCCTAAGAAACTGGGGGGTCTTGGTCTTAGATCAGCTCGTTGTTTAAACAAAGCCTTTATGATCAAATTGGCCTGGAATATGTTTAACAACGAAACTGATCTTTGGGTTCAAGTTTTGCAGGGTAAATACTATAAGCAGAGAAATGGAAACATCATTTCCATGAAGAAAACCAATCACTCTTGTTTGTGGAGAGCTGTGGTGAAAGCCATGCCCCTTATGAAGGAAGCATCATGTTGGAGCATCAGAAATGGTGAATCAACAAGCTTCTGGCAACACCCTTGGATTGAGAATGGACTGATCCTGGAGGATTACCTGATCAAGGAGATCACTGATGAGGAAAAACAAACCCCTGTGGCCTACTGGGTTACAGAAGAAGGTGAGTGGAAATGGGATGAACTGAAAGAACTTCTCCCTGAGGACAAACTTTTGCTTGTTGCAGGAATGGAGAAACCAAGCATTGAACTGGGGGAGGACAAGATGATCTGGGGACTTGAGCGGGATGGGAGATTTCGACTTAAGTCTGCCTACTTCGTTGCAGACACCATGGAGAATGTTGAAGAAGATGAAGATGAAGGAGGATCATGGAAAGCTCTCTGGAAGTGGAAAGGACCCAACAGAATCAAGCACTTCATGTGGCTTGTCCTCCACGGCAGACTCTTCACCAACAAGGAACGAGCAAGGAGGAACATATCCACCAACAGTAATTGCAATCGATGTACTGATTGTGAGGAATCAATTGAACACATTCTGAGAACCTGTGATAAGGCAAAAAGGATCTGGGAAATTTTTCGAAACAAGCTGTCAAGGATTGATAGCAGATGCAACTTCCAGGAGTGGCTCCTCTCTAACCTTCTTCACGAAGACAAAGGGGTTGACTTTGGTGTGATCTGCTGGAGTCTTTGGAAGCAACGAAATGAGGAAATCCTGGATGGCAAGAACTACAATGAAACCAGTCTTAAATGCAGAGTGGAAGCCTGGCTCAACATCATTCAGCAAGTTCGGGAAAGGTCGGAGCTGGACTGCTGCATTTCGACGAAGAACTACCAAAACGAACCAGTTTCTTGGAAAGCACCTGATGAAGGTTGGATGCAACTTCAGACTGATGGCTCAGTGATCTCCCCTTCTGGGAAAGCTGCTACGGGGGGACTGCTGAGAGATTGTCTGGGACGCTGCACTGATGCCTTCACCGCCAACCTTGGTTGCTGCTCATTACAAGTGCTGAGCTGAAGGGAGCGATCGAGGGACTTCGGATTGCGTGGGAAAGGGGCTACAAGAAAGTTCATCTTAATATGGACTCTACTACAGCCATTGACATTGCTTTGAAATGCTTGGATGATGACCATAGACATGGTATCCTCGCGAGACAGATTCAGATTCTCCTCAATAGAGATTGGGAGGTTCGAATTAGTCATGTGTATAGGGAAGCTAATTTTGCGGCTGACTTCCTTGCTAATAGGGGTCACCTTGTTGATTTTGGCACACATCGATTCAATGTGTGCGACCCTGAGTTGGGTAGATGGCTTTTGTACGATATCATGGATATTGCTCATGATCGTTCGATTATTTCTTCAATGAGTTAGACGCTTGACGTCATTCCTTTTACCAAAAAAAAAAAAGAGAGAGTACAAGAGTTATACAAACAAAATTATCCAGTAATCTCTTATAAGTGACACTTTGGTGAAGCCACCCGAAAATCGAAAGACTTTAACTCTACGAGAGACAATATCAGTGCTTTAAACGTCACTCTACGGACAGCACTGTTGGCGGCTCTAGAAACCGCCTGAAACTCTATATAAACTAACAAAGAGTCTAGGATCTTACGACACTCCCGGAGCACCGGACATCTTAAGGAACCTTCTACGACACTTTGTCGGATCTGGTTGATGACCACATTGGAATCATCTTCCACTATCACGTGAGTCAAGGAACTTGAGGCGAGGATGGTGATAGCATCTCTAACGAGGAAGAGCTCTGCCAGATAGGGATTGACTACTCATTGGTGATGTATAGTGGCTGTCAGCACCACATGCCCGTTTGACCCACGGATAACAAGACTGGACGGGCATCTTGAATCACGAACAGCTACATCGAAGTTGATCTTCAAAAAGTCGTCTGGTGGAGGCTCCCAAGTGGCGGGAGGAGGATTTGTGAGGAGCAATCTGGGAGGCGCAGGAGGGGGTGAATATTGGAGACTTCAAGGATCTAGTTGTAGAACTGTCTGGCGAGGGAACAGACATGGGGTTGGTAGAATTCAAAAACTACTTTATTTCTATACTTCCAGATTCTCCAAAGTAAAACATGCACATTCCAGAATGTGGAATGGGGAGATCTCATAGATCATGACATGTCACCACTCACCACCATAGACTAAGATTAACGGTCGGGAGCGAAATCATTGAAGTTGCTCAATCTCACTAAGGTCCACAACTTGGTGGCTATGGCCTATGAGGCATATGAAAAATACGTGTTCAATGCTCTCTTGATGTCTCTGGCACAAGAGAAGGACCCATGATAATAAGTGTTCAATTCTCTTTTGACTAAAATTAAAAGTATCGCTTCAATGCTCGTGAAAATAGTTTAAGAGGGGGACCCATGATAATAAATAATCTATGTAATGGAAGGTAGAATTCAAATTCTATGAGAAATTTTCTTGGTTGATTAAGCTAGGAATCGACGACATTGACAATAAATAATTACCAATTGAATTCTCCATAATTATTGTCCCCACTCAAACATTCTCCCCATTAACTTGAAAATAATCGGATCATTAGTGTAGTCACAAGCCCAAACATGGTTACCCATTCAGCCAATCCAAATTCAACAACCAAAAAGGATACATTACTTTATATTGAGGAGAAGATGGGCAAAAAGTTGCAAGGTTGGAAACAACGTACCCTGCCCAAAGCAGCTAAGGACACTCTAATTAGAACCTCAACCACTAATATACCAGTTCATGGTATGATGTGCTTTAAGTTCCCAGTTGATACGTGTAGACGTTTAAATGGCCTCTTGGCAAGGTTTTGGTGGGGTTATGCTACTAATTTTGTTCATCTAATCCACTGGGTGTCATGGAAAGGTCTCGCCCAAAGTAAGTTTCATGGAGGATTAGGCTTCAGGGACTTTAGGGCTTTTAATCAAGCTCTATTAGCCAAGCTATGTTGGCGTATTTGGTCAAACCCTAATTCTCTCATTAGTCGATTATATAAAGGAAGATATTTCAATGAAAATACAATTTTGAAAGCAACCATTGGCTCTAATCCATCTTGGGGTTGGAGAAGTATTCTCTATGGGCGAGAGCTACTCGTGCAAGGCTTATGATGGCAAGTAGGTGATGGAAACAACATAGAAGCATTCAAAGATAATTGGTTATTAGCAGATAAGCCATGCCCTCCTGAGCTTAGGCGGCAAGAGGATAATTTCAACCCAAGGGTTTCCTTTTTCATCAGAGAAGGCCTACGGGAATGACATATCCCTAGATTAAGGCATTGGCTCAAAGAAAAGTCAGTTGACCTCATTCGTACTATGGTAGTTCCCATACTACCACAACAAGACAAGTTAATCTGGCACTTTACCAAAAATGGAACTTATTCGGTAAAAGCAGGATATCATCTTGCCTTGGATAATATTTTAACGCTTAGCCAAAAATTGATGGCCTCCATCATTGACCCTCCTATATGGAAAGGAATGTGGGCACTTGACGTCCCACCAAAGCTCAAGTTCTTTATATGGCAATGTCTGAAAGTTATTTTGCCAACTATGACGGCTCTTAGGTCCCGGGGAATTAACTGTCAAGTTCGTTGTCCAGTTTGTTGGGATAGTCAAGAGAGTATTGAACACCTCTTTTTCTATTGTCCTCCTGCTCTTCACCTCTGGAATATGGTGGGATTAAGCAGTTTAATTCTCTCCGCCCCAATTGAAAACTTCGGTATTTGGTGGCGACATGTTATGAACTCGGAAAACTTCCAAATCCACTATCTCCCCTGCATTTGCCTTCCATGGAGAATTTGGAAATCTAGAAATAAAGTGGTCTTTGAATTTACTCAACCACTAGCCAGCTCGCTTGCCCGTCAAATTTTCTTCCAAGTTCAAGAATATTCCTCAGTTTCTCCCCACCCCCAGATCCTTTCTCCCCGCCCCCAGCCCTCTCGACTCTCCAGTTGGGTTGGTCCTCCTGAAGGTTTTATCAAGATCAATTTCGATGCCGCTGTTCGTGTTCCGGGTTGCTCGTCAGGACTCGTCGTTCGAGGATCGGATGGGCAAGTCTTTTTGGCCTTGGGATTCCACCATCCAGGAGTTTCAAATCCCTATCTTGCAGAACTGCTGTCCGCCAGGGACGCCATCTCTTTACTTCATTCTCGCAGTATTCCCCTCGCCATCATCGAAGGTGATTCAGAAGTAGTTATCCGGTAACTTGATGGTAGATGCTGTGAAGACTCGGTGGGCGGGCCCTTACTTCGTGATTGTATTCAGTTATTGAGCTCATGTTCTTCTTGTATTCGCTTTAGCTCGGTCCCGAGGACTGTCAACTGGGCTGCCCATAGAATGGCAAGACAAGCCCTGCTGTTGTCCCCTGTAGAGATAGCGTCCTTCGATTTTGTAGGGTGGCTTCATTATTTGTCTTTTTGGGGTTTTGGGTAGAGGATTTAACTATTGTACTTTGACATTACTTGGAAAAAAAAATCCAAATTTTCACCGCAAATTAAATTCTCCTTAGATCCGCCGAGGGGAAGATTCCAACAATGGAACTTGGCTGCCATGTGCTAGCCTTTTTTTTTTTTTTAATAAAACCACATAATTAAGTTTTTATTAAATTTGGGCCAGGTACTAACCTTAATCACTAAAAACTTGGAATTCCAAAACCGATAATGAAAATGACCAATTAAACATACCAATAAAATGAGGTGGTCCACATAATTAAGGATTTAATCGGCCCATTATCCACCAATAAAGATGGTTTAATAGCCCACAAAGGCTTTAACGGCTTCTTCAATCTCCATGGGCGGCCAGATCTTCGATCATTTCTTCATCAATGTCATTGTCTTCTTTCCTCCACGTACTTGGAGCTGCTTTTACACGCAACGCTGCTCGTCCATGAATGTAAGTAGATTATCATTATCCAACTTAGTTAGTAAATATTCAATTTAATACGCGTATATATTGATGTACGTATGTTGACACCTCTTGTATTAAACACGTTTAATATTCATATTTATTGAATGAAATTGATAACTAAGCATTATTAATTTTAAAACAATTAACTTCTTATATACGTACCATTAATATATAGATTAAAGTTGATGACGTACATAATTATATGTACACACCACATTATGTTCTCCAATCATGCAGGCAGAGGCAGGGGCAATGTAAAAAGCAAGTAAGAGATCAGAAGTTTGAAAGAAAAACAAACTGATAACCATAAAAAGAAAAAAAAAAAAAAAACTGAACGACGCCGTAAAGAGGGAACGGCTACGGTGCTAATAGTACAATAGTTAGCACCGTCCTAATCAAGAGAAAAACCACTACTAGTTTGAATTAGTAGTGATTTAACTTAGATGTTGTATTGATTTTATAATAATCCGTAGTGATTTCGTTATTTTTAGTAGCGTTTTTTCCTAGTTATCACGGTACTAACCCCTACAAGGGTTAGCACCTAATCCCATCCCGGGGAGGGTTTACGGTGCTAATTGTACAATAGTTAGCACCGTCCTAACCAAGGGAAAAACTACTACTAGTTTGAATTAGTAGTGATTTAGCTTAGATGTTATATTGATTTTATAATAATCCGTAGTGATTTTTGCTAGTTATCACGGTGCTAACCCTAAGGGTTAGCACCTAATCCCATCCCTCCCGTAAAGAGCAAGTAAGAGATCAGAAGTTTGAAACCAAAAAAAACGACGCCGTTGCCGGGGATCGAACCCGGGTCACCCGCGTGACAGGCGGGAATACTTACCACTATACTACAACGACATTTTTGTTTAGTTTAAATGATTAAGGAAATAAATAAGTTTTGTGCAGTGAGCTGCTTGATATAATACGATTTTCGATTTACAGAGCAGTGGCGCGAATTTTGATTTCGTTTTCTGGAAGAGCAGAACGTTGGCCAATCTTCTCGCTTCTTCTTTCAGGTCTCTCTCCCTCTCCCTCTCAATCTCGCAGAGTCGACTTGGTGCGTTGTGATTCGGCGAGGAAATGCGAACTCGTTTCCTGAACATAGACTACTTCAGCTCTTGTTCGTCTTCGTCCTCTTCCGTCGAAACCCTAACTATCGTTGAGCTCCCGGTGCCGGACCTCGCTACTCCGCGTCTCTTCAATGTCGAGGAGGATTTCGATGGCTGCGAAGACGTCGCTCCTTTTTCGCTCGAGATAGGGAAATTGCCTATCGAAGCTGCTCTATCGAGGTTTATTGCGGAAGTAGTGCCTCAGTTCGTTGATACTGCAGATTTCGGAGATGTCTGGTGCGGAGAAGATAAACAAGGTTCAATTGGCGAGCTACGATCGTTCGTCTTCGTAAGTGATCGGAACACACTCCTCGAGGTAGATTTTGAGTATAACTTCGAATGATCGCCTGCATGAGTTGTTTTCATTTTCGTTCTGTGCTATTGATTGAAGTAGAATTCCGTCGTCTACGATGCCAGTTTGAATCTCGATATAAGATAATGGAAGTTGGAAGGAAACGAGAAATTGAAATACTCTTAGATCTGAGCAAGATATGTGGTAATCACAATTAAGTTAACATGACATGTCTTTTGTATCCCGTTCAGTGGACTCAGTTTGATGTAATTTGCAAGGGTAGCCAAGAATTCTTACCACAATGATGAAATTAGATCATAAGTTACCGAGAGAATCACAGTATGTTGTTAATTTCATTATTATTATGATTGTTAATTTGTGGAGAACACGGTTTAAAGGCTATACAATTTGATTGCAGAAGGAGGAGGACGGTAGTTTTGTGGCAGATGAGAGCATAGAGGCTCATGAAGTCATAATGTTTGAAGCACCAGAGGTTGATGCGTTTCTGGTAAGTTTGCAGAAATCAATCATCCGGATGGATCGAAAGTGCTTGTGTATGAAGTTTGTAAACTTATGCATATTGGTTGAATGGCTGCAGGGGGAGAGACACTCGTTCGTGGAGGGTTTGCAAAGTCTCTCTGAAGTTTCATACACTGAGAAAAAGCTGGTAAGTGCGTGTGCATGTCACGCTAGTTTTAGTAATAATGTATCTGATTAGAATGCTCATCAGCCTTACCTGCTCGGTTTCAGTGTTTGTACCATCTAGTTGGTCCTTTTGAGTTCTTCTTTTGCTGGTTATTGGTGATGGATTTTATTCACTGAGTTGTAAATTTGTTTATTTTGGTTGTCTCCTGTCAAGGTGTCTTTAAAAGGCATAATAATGTTCGCTTGTGTTCTTCTGAGGGCTTATTCATTTAAGGATAGTTTCAGTTGTCCTGCTCGTTATTTATTTGATTGCCATGTTTACTTTCTTGTCATGTATTCTTTCAACTGTTAGACAATTCCTTAAGGCTTAAATAGGTGATACTTAAAACCACAAGTTTTTTTTCTTCTTATCAGTCTTTCCTATAAGCCAAGTTTTGAGTTAATGGATTTTTGGTCCTGGATGCTTAATGACATAGGCAACTTGATGATCCCTTTGTTTTTTACTTGCAGGACCTGCCTATTCCAGGTCTTCCAATGCAGCCTTATAACAAGATTAAGGAATCGATTTATTCAGTCGGTGATGTCTCTTTAGAGTATGACATCAATCAAATGCCCTATGCATGTGAAGATGATGGATCCATGCAGGGGCGAACATCCTCAAATCACGACTTATTCCCTACTTTAGAAGTTCATGAAACTAATCTTCGACCTATCACAGGATGCTTTAAGGAACACCAGTTTCTATCATTGCTAGAAAGCATGGAGACCCAGAGTGCCAGTACTGAGATGGAGGCCTTTGGATCTGTAAAGTGTGATATTTTTGAGGCTCCCTCAGACCATTGTCTATCAAAGGACTGCATAAACTCTGAGGTCACATCCTCTGATTCAATTCTACTAGTGGACGATATAACCATAGTGGACACCATATGTCATCAAGAAGGCTCTGCTGTTTGTTCTCTTCCAACAGAGCCTATCACTTTTGAGGAGCTTGTATTTGTCTGGACACCCTTATCTCAACTTTGCGATATCTTCTTCAATATGCAAAAAAGTCTCGAATCAGAAAATTGTGACTTGATGACCCAGAAAGAATTGAACTTCAGGAATTTGAATGATTTGGTTGTTTCTTCTGAGCTGGCTCTGATAGATGGCACTTTCAGAACAATGCCTGCACCTATTCTTTCCGACCAGGATAGGATAAAATCAATGTATACCATCCTTGAAGAAGTGCTCACGGAACTAAAGGAGCAGCCCCTCTCTGCATCTAATGATATTTACTTGGATTGGCATTTTCTATATGGTGATTTGTGCAACTGTAAAATTGGCTGCCGCAGTATTCATGGATTGGAGGATTTGGATTCTCACACCCGAAAGCTGGATATGGAATTCTCTGATGATGGAAAGCCGATACTTGACTTCATTCTTTCTGATTTTACTTTGTTCAAGACGGATGAACATCAGGAATCACTTATTATTCTTCCTGAAGGCTTGCCTGGCTCTTCAAGTATGTGCCCAGGTGGTAAATTTCCAAAACCAGCAATGCTTAGACAACTGGATGTGGAAAATGGCGGGAAGGCTTCCGCATTGTTCAAGTCCATGTCGCAATTGAATGATCTCGACCTTTTCTTGAATCGTGGGAAAGCAACTGCTAAGAAAAGAAATGAGCCAGCAGTTAAGGCACCCAACCTACATCCCGTGCTTCCTGAGGTAAAATTCTTCAAAATTAAGTTGGAAAAGTGGATTTCTTGTATAACCTTGACAATAAACTGATTCACCCACGACTCAAGGAAACATCTTATAATTGATAGCATTTTCTTGTGTACCTTGAGTATTTGTGATCATCAATGTAAAGCATGTGACTGATAGCATCTTCATTATCTCGTTTTAGATTTCAGGCACTGTTGAGTTATCATTTCCTGCGCCCTGTGATAGATAAAATAGAAACTTGATTAATGCTGCATTGTCCTTATCCTAGGAAGAAGTTTTCAATCGGGAAGAAAGTATGGGCCAACATAGTCTGAATGAACAACTGAACTCCAGACCTATGGATTATAACATAGAGAAAGGGTCTTCAGAGGCGACAGATGAAGGATCTATACAGCATCTTTTTGGTCCTAGTGCAGCTAACTCTAAGTGTACTCAAGGAAGCAAAGTTTCTGGCCCCAAGACTGTCATTGTTGTGAATACTCAAAACTTTGACAAGGAAATGATAATGTCCAGAAGAAGCGTCTATAATAAGATTCTAGTAATGGAAAAGGACGGAACAGAAGTCGTAGAACGTGACATAGATCTTCCTGTGGACGTCCTGATAAATTCTGCCATGTGCCTGGCCTGGTATGATTGCAAAACTATAAGAAAGAATGCAACCACTTTTGAAGAAGCTTCGTCAGGCTTTCGTTTGTGCATTGAGAATATTGCCACACATGTTCTCACCTTGCTGAGTTTCACTTTCAGTGGCTGCATTCTGGTAATTGATTAAACTTAACTTTATTTAATCTCTTCAACCAGTTGTTGTTAAAAGTAGCACAAGGGGCACATGAATTTTTTTAATAAGTGCAACTTGAATGTGGTTCTCAAGACATAAATATCGTCTCTATTATCACCAATCTTCTTTCGTAGTAATTTCCCAAAATGTTCTGCTACCTACTGTAGGGGATCACATTGCCTGCACATCTGTATGCTGAACTGTCACTAGATTGACGGATTTAGGAAATGAGACCAGAAGATGGTTCAGGCAGTGACATCAAGCAGGAACAACCTTTAGTTTTTGCAATGGTTTTTTACTGTGTGGCCATGCTATGAAAATGCTATGCTTTGTTGAATACTTGCAAGTTTCTGGAACTCAAGTTCTGGTTTCATTTCTGTTACGCTGTAGGTCTTTGAGGGGGAAATCAACTTTCTCTCTGCTGTGATGGAATCCTCGGATGGACTTTATGCTGCAGCAGCAGGCCTTGGAATAGATTTACAGATTTTCTGTTCATACTCATCGGAGTTGACCGGTGAAATAATTTTGGGCAGTGTCTTACATACAACCAAGGTGTCCATGAGCATATGTCCTAAAATGCCGGAATCAGAAACCCTTGCAGAATCATTCCTCACCAAGTTCCCTTCAATTAATCCTCTGGCGGCTCATGCAATACTGTCTTCTGGAGGGACACTCATCGAGTTTCTTGAATACTCTCATGAGCGTAGGATCCTTGCACTCCAACAGCATCGTATTCCTGAAGAAAGCATATCACTGTTTAGTGCATTATGCAAATATGGTGAGGGGGAGGATTCTAAATCTGCATTGACAGACTCCCTCTCCTCCGCATCATCTGCAGCAAACTCCAACAAACATCATATAAGTCCACATTCTGAGAGGAAGAGAAAGAAATATGTCCATAGTCCTCCAAAGATGGATATATGCATGGACAACGGGTGGCAGTTTCAACCAGTAGACAAAAAGGATTGTTGGACGCCTGATGTAAAGGAGATTCTGGATGAGCCGAAACAGCCTATCCCACATCTGGCAGGCTTTTCTGGCCAGAAGCAAAAATCAAATGCTGATGTGGCTGTCAATTCTTGTAGTCTGCCAAAACCATATGATGCCTCTCGGCACTCAAGAGCTGCAAAGGTAATGGACAAATTGCCCAACAGAGGGATTTTTCTGAATCAGTTCTTGAGTCAAAACCAGGGATCTGATGCCAGTGAGAACCGGCGTAAGGACTTCATGGGTGACATCATTGACCTCACTAATAGTCCCTCATCGGATAATGAGAGTCCCTCTGCAAAAGATTCAGCATATTTCCCCTCATGGTTGCGTGAAGAAGATCAAGATTTTATTAGCAAACCTAAAGCTGCAAGAAAACTGGCATATGGCGGGGACAGCTTGTTTAGCTTCCCAACGGCCAGTGAGATAAATCCCAAAATAGATATATGGGCGTCCTTTAAGGATCACGGCAAAAGCAGTTCGCTAGACGTTAAAGGTTTCTATGATGATGATTATAACCAACTTAAGTTTTCTGCAGAAGACCAGAGTGCAGACTTGAAAGAGTTTCCAGCACAAAGAAGTCGGGCAGGAAGTTCTGTTGGGTTGCCTCCTGAAGAGACGGCACATTTTGGCCCAGCATCATTCTCTAGAAATGTACATAGCGAAACACCAATGTCTAGAGCCATTCATTCTTCCGAACCTCAGACTAGTTCACCATGGACAATTGAGTTTCTTAACGGGATCAGAGAGAGGAGCAGATTGCGGAAGCTTTCATTGCAAAGCAATACATCTCCTGCCGCTCCTGGCTATACAATAGATGTATCTAAAGGTATAAAGAGGAGAAGCCCTTCCGTCATCGACTTTTTCAAGTACCAAGGAGGTCACACTCCTGATAGAAGATCTGGACCCATGAAGCAGAAGCCGCCTACTCGGTCATTAAGTGCATCAAGGATTGGGAGAGTTCAAGCATCAGTTTCTCCAATAAGGACTCCCATCGATAGAAGGGCAAAGCAGGTGATGTGGGGTTCCTCTTGTTTAGTTGTGGACTTCATTCTCTCTTGTTTTTGGTCAGCTGGTTATATATCATTCTCTCTTCCTTTTAGCCAATGTTTCCTCACCATGTTGCAAACTTTTTTCTTGCAGACACTGTCATTTGCAAAGAGTAGCAGTGGAAGCCAAACTAAGCTAGTATGGACTGATGGTGGTGTGAGGCGTTTGAACAAAAAGATGCGGAATCAGTAGCGAAATGTCATTCAGCAAATAGGTAGCAACACAGACTTCTTTGGATCAACATTGTGAAAAATGGAGGTTGGTATTCTGCAATAAAAATATCCTGACTTTTGTAACAATTGAGCCTGCTTATGTAATTATATTCTGCATAAAAATCAAAATATATGCTCTCCTTTGATCAAATGGAAATATCAAGACACTGTATTAACTTTCAAATTGTACATCCGGTAGCAGGTCGATTTTCACATTTTAGAAGGACCAGTATAGATACTTCAGCCTCAATAAGGAACAATTTCACCATGGTGGGAAAACATATATTTTATTAATGCATTTTCCCTGACGATTTTATCAATTTGTAAATTTCGTGTCCTGATGCCAGAGACACTGCCTGATTGCTCCCACCATGGAATGATAAGGAGCAACAATCAACATTGATTACTGGTCTTACAGCAACAATTCCCTTTTAGCTCTTCTTACCAATTTTCAGGTTACGTACAGTCATGACCAACTGCTGCCTTTCCCCTTCTACCTCAGCAAATTTGAGGCTTATGTCTGAATATCTCACCTCCATTTCTTTCAATTCACTTTCCATGCGTCTGTTCCTTTCCTTGATCTGTGCTATCTCATCCAGCATTTCTGTCAGATTGCAGTTTTCCAGGAGTTGCTCTGTGTGTATCTTTGCTTTCCTGTAGGAAAAAAATATTGAGAGTATTACTAATGTGACTATGTGAGGCAGCTCTGCGAAGCGCTGTGTCTGATTGCATTGAAAGTTGAACTAAAAAACTGGCCTATTGCAGCACGCAAAAAAACCATCATAAGCTCAAAGGCGAATGGGGTAAACTTTACCAGTTATCAATGACCTCATTATCTGCGACCAAGCGATCATCTTCCTTCTTCTGTAGCTCCCCATTCAATTTAAGGATTTGCTTCCACAGGCTCTCTTTCTCCAATTCTTCTTCTGACAGGCTATGTTTTAACTTATTATGTTGATCTTTAAGTCCTTCTATTTCCAACTGTAGCCTCATTAGCATTGTCTCCCTTTCATCCTTCATCGACTTCAGGTTTTCCAACTCTTCCCGAACTTCTTCTGCTTCTTGCTTTGCTGATGAATATTTTCTCTCCAATTCTTTTTTCTCTTCGTTCTGTCTTCCAATCTCTAGTGTTGTTTCTCCAAGTGATGTCTGCTTGGAGGCGTCTGCTGTTGTGTGTGCTTCTAGTTTAGCTTTGAGCATTTGAATTTCCCTAGAGAAAGCTTCTTGCCTTTCTTTTTCTCGCTTCTGCACACTTTCCAGCTGCATTGACTTTTCTTCTACTTCCAATGATATCTCTTCCATCATTTTTGTCCTGAGATCAAGTTGAGTCAACAGTTCTTCCACTCGGACTTTGTTCTGGTCTCTGATTAGTGCAACCTCTTCATAAGCTTTGTTAAGCTTTTCTTCCATGATCCCATTCTGCTCCCGGAGCTTTTCTGATTCCATGTGAACACTCGCCATGTGCTTCTCATTATCTTCAATTTTACTTGCCATTTCCTGTGAAAGCTTTTTAAATTCCTCCTGGAGTCGCTCTGCTGTGACGCCATTTTTCCACATTGTCTTCCTCAAGGCCTCTTCTGCACGAATAGCTCTTTGTTCCTGCTCGATTTTGGCTTGGGTCAAATCATACAGATCTTTCTCGAATCCCACTGCCTGCTTCTCAAGTTCCTTCTCCAATGCTTTAACTTGACCTTCAAGCTCATTGATACGGAGCAATGATTCGGACTGCTCTTCTGTCTGCTCTCTCATCTTATGCTCTACTCTCCTTAGCTGTGATTCAAGTTCTCTAATAATAGCCAAATGTTCAGAACGTTCATTTTTCACCTTCAAATTTTGTTCCATGTTCTCCTCTAACTCAGAGGAGATCTCAAGGTTTTCTTGTTTTAGGTCCTCATAATCTTGTGTGAGATGCTCTATGTACTTCTCTAGCCTTCCCCTGCTCTCCTTATAGGCCTCTATTTCATCAGACATGTCAGCTATCTGTTCTCTCAGCGCTTCACTGGTAGTGGTATCATCTTGATTTTCATCGGTTTCTGTGTTGCAACTACACTTTTGGCAGTGGACTTCTTTATCCTGATGATATGATTCTTCTAGCTTGCTGGTAAGCATAGATATTTCCATGCTTTTCCCCTTCAACATATCATCAAGGTCCTGCACAGCTAGAATCAACTCCGAATTTGATTCTTGTGTTTTCTGTAGCTGCAACTCGAGATTGACCTTCAACTCCTTTTCATGGGCAAGCTCCTTCCTCATCTCTTCTATCTTCACCCTTGACCCTTCATTTGATGTCTTTACTCGGTCCAGAGCCTCTGCTTCTACTGTCTTCCTCGAGAGCTTGAGTTGTTCACATTCTCTTTCCAGTGCATCTCGCTCCTCCTTAATGTCCATCATTTCTCTTGATAAATCTTGTGCTCTTTTGGTCTCTTTCGTTACTTGTTTCCGAAGAGTCTGCAATTCCATTTCTGATAACTCTGACTGTCGCATTAGACCAAAGATTTCACTTTTAAGCTTCTGAATGGGTTGATCTCTACCTTCGTGGAACTGTTTTGGAACATTGTTATTATCATCACCAGGGCTGTTTGTTGAATCAACTAAACTTTCGTCTGATGCTGAGGCCATTGACCATTCTGTGTTAGATCTTCTGTGTAGGCGGTTCTTTGTTGTTGTTGAATTTACATCAATCGATGCCCTCTGAGGCATCGAGTTTTGTCTCCCAACTGACTTGAAGCTGCTTTCATTAGAGCCGATGGATGCTTTGAAGTTGTACTCTTCTTCAAAGTCATCTATCTCCTGCTTTCATGACAATAATGAAAACTTCAGTATTACATGGAGGATACATCATCCTGTCTATAAAAAAATGTTATAGATATGCTACTGAATGACAAGAAAAAATGGATCTTTTAAACCTACTTCTGCGAAATTCTTGTCATCTATGTCTGAACGATCATTGCTCGATAGGCTCATCAACCTTTCATCCTGAGGTAGTGCTGCTTCTCCATTACTTACCCTGATTCTGAAATACTTTCACAGTATTGCATATTAATATAGGGAATCAATTCAGGCGTGCAAGTAAAATTTCGACAGAGAACATAATAAAAAAGAGCATTATCAGTTTTTGTTTGTACCTCTGATCGATGCCTCCTTGAATCTTATGAACTGTTATCTGTTCCATTGATGCAGAAATATGAATTTGTTCAGAGTGGAAAATGGTTCAATTAGAGCAAGAGTCTAGACACAGAATTAGTAATCTTCTGGTTCTAAACATGTAATAGTTGTGCGAGAAGGAGGCAGAGCATACATGTAAAACTGCACCAGAATTCGCAAACTTCAGTGGCAGAGAGACAGTCATTGGTTCATTTTCGTCAGCAAAATCTGCAAAATCAATTGATGATTCTCCAAGATAATCTTTCTTGGCTGATCCCTGCAAAAAAGGTCAGCAGGTGTCAAGCTTCAAGCAGAGGAAGATACAATACAACCGGTAAGTGCAGAAGCACGGCTTACGCTAGAAACAATGAAGTGATATATTTTCTCGTGCAGCTTTCCTGTTTTGGGCTCCCTAACGAGTTTAACTGTCACATATATAGGATTCTCCCACAAGCAGTTCCCATCTTGAACTGCAGTTTTCTGCAACTTAAATGTGGGCTTCCCAACATCCTCCGGCACCAAAGACACAGTCAGAGCAGGCTTCTTTAACTGTGGTACCTGAGAAATGCAGTTGTGGAACCAGTTTGACAGTAAGTCACCCAAATCACCGGATCAGATTATGACATTATACAATTATGCATAAACTAGAATATCCATCTTGAATTGACTTGACTTGAGCAGAAACCCACTAGAGATTCGACAGCAAGAAACTCTTTTATCTTCTTAATAGATTCATACCTGGGTTGCCTGAAACTGCAGCTGAAACACTGCTTTGAACTTCTTCTCCTTGCTCCTCCATGACTTAAACATGTTTCCTTTCCTTTAAGGCTTCCCCACCTTATTCTGGGCTTTTGCAAAGAATCCTCATGAAAATGCTCCCACCTGGGGAGCTTCTTTCTGACAGATTGTACCTCAGTCAGGCCCAGGCACAAAAACAATGCCTGGTTCTTCAGAAGCAACCGAGTAAAATCCAGAAAACACAGTGAGAAAGCAAAGGAGAAGAAGACGGCAGGTTCTGTCCTTTTGTGGCTTCTGTTAAACTAGTTACGTTTGCAAAAAGAACCCGTTACAGTATGAAGCAGGGAAAACTAAACCCAACTAAAAAAAAGAAGAACAAGAGCTCTCTCTCTCTCTCTCTCTCTCTTGCAGACTTTATTGCCATATCGTGTGTGTATTATTACGCAAAACTAGCTGGATTTGTTCCCAATTGTTATTTTATGGTTATGGATCTTGGTTTTCTTTATAATGCAGGAAAGTACTAGGTGCTGAAGATTAAAGACACCCATGTCCCTACATTTCAGTGATATATCTTCATCAGCCACCTTGGTCTCCGGGTAGAAATCTCTTGTATGTCCCTAGAGCATCGTTGGCGTCTTGGCGACAGGGATGCCAAGGTGTCGGAGGCAAAGAATTTCATTCAGAAATCACAAAGCAAAAAGTGGTGCCCTCTTAAAGTCAAGTTCATCCGTCCCACAAGAGAGGTATTTCTCTCCTACCCCCCACCATTTAATTGACGCAACTGCATTCATCCGTATGTACTGTCCCCAATAATTGCGATGAAACATGCTCTACTCTGCGAGAAAGGACCAGTAGTAGGAGCCAGAGGTTAACATTATGCCATAATGGTTCAGTGCTAAAAAATTTCTAAAGATTCCTCGGTCAATGCCCATTGTGTTTAATTTGTAGATGGCCATTATGGCAAATGAGCAGTTGAGACTGCCAAAAGATTAGGAGTTTGTTGAGGATGCAAAAAATCTGAGGCTGGTGTAGTTAGAGAACTAAAAATCATCTTTGTCAATTCGATTAGGAGTTTCTATAAGCACGTGCTTAGATCGTTAACTTGTGATTCTTAGTCGTTGGATTGTATGTAGTGTCAATGGTTTACGTTTAAGTACGTGAATAAAAATTTCGTTAACCCGTCGTTTGTCCAAATTTATCTTTTTTTTCAAGAGCCATAGTCGGCCCCAGAAAAGGCACCGGGTGCCTTTACCTTCCACAAAGTTGCAGCACATCCTCATCGTGTTCCAGCAATGCAAAATTTTAGAAAAATGCCTGCCCCATCTTTGGGTTGGTTGCATTATTTTTTGTGGTAAAAACTACACTCAGGTTGGCCAGTTTATGTTAAAGCACGTTGTCACATGTGCTATGGCCACCTTCTCTTTCCTGCTTACCTCCTAATCTGATGACCATTATCTTGATCCAATTCCACAAAACAAAGCCATGTTTCTTCATGTACTCATAGACAACGAATACCAAACAATACGTGTGTAGGATCCCACCTGGGTTTTCTTTATTCTGTCTTTTACTTAATTGAGACCGTCTTTTTTTTTTCCACTTCAAATGACCATATCTTTTCTTTCATGCTGATCATGCATACAGGAAGTCAACTACCAACGGTAATACACCATTACTGTCAGAGCCGTAGTAAAGGAATCTGCTGCATCTCTGCATCATTTCTCTACCAAAACCAAACGGCAGACAGTCACGCGAGTCAACTCGTCGCGAAAATGGACTCGGCTGAAGCTTCATGATGGGTTAATTGGTTATAAGGTACGCCATGCTTTTCCCTTTTACCCAACCGCAATTGTGAATGACAGTTCAATTCCTACCTATAACTTTTCCATTTTGCTGTGCTGTTACTGTTGCCATAACTTGCTCTTTAACTGCCAAACCAAACACACGGGGTTCGGCCTGGAAAGTTACCCCCTAGCTTTCAGTACATGACCAGTTTTGCTGCCTGGGCAGCTTACCCGTTGCTTCTTTACTAACTAGATAGTGATTGAGGATAACAGATCATCCACGAATTTTTTTCTCCTATTGCATTCCATGCTTTTCAGTCCCAATCGGGTCTACTGATATTCTCCCCATTCTTTTGCTATAATACAAAGCTTGCACCTACCATATTCCTCCCCATTTAAGAATGTTTTTTTTAATTAGAAGAAACATCGTTGAGTGAGGCAACCATATTATACTGTTTCAACCTACATTTCCATTATGAGATCATAATACAGATTTGGAGTTTAGTAGCTTCCATGCCCTCTGTATAGCTGCCACAGACTACCAACCGAATGGATTCTGTCGACTAGGAAGAAGATAAGGATCAGTAGGGAAAGCAGAAGGTTCTTATAATCATTGGCTTTTAGTATTTCTTATATGCAGTGCGAGTTGTCATATTGGGGAAATTAGTGTTTTATGAGGGGAAGGTGAAATAGGAAGAGAGGCATTGGATTCTGGTGGAAGAATGAATGTGTTAAAATAGATTGGTGAGGGGAAAATGCTTGAATCATTGATGCAAACATCGTGGCTGTCTTCACGCTTGAAAATGATGGAAGTTGAAAAAAAAAAAAATTGTTTGCGTCCTTTTGTGAACACCTTTTACTTGTGCCATTGTTAAGGTCAGTAGGTCCTAAGTCCTTGTTTTAGGTGCTCCATTGCCCATTGGAAATCCTATACATGGGGTGTGAGTCCTTAACCTGTAATCCAGAGTTGAAACTCTGATTTGCGTGTGTCATAGCTTCATTGGTTAAAAGAAGTGTTACCCAACATCCATTCATTATTCTTAAGTTTAGGTGTTTAGTCACTAATTTTCGACCATATAATAAAATGCCTATTAATTTACTTCGAATTCGATAGAGTTCAAATGGTGGTAACATTTTTTTTTTTTATCTTGGTACAAGGTGTAAGTTATACTTGTGTAACTGTAACTTTAAGTTTAGGTGTTATAGCTTTATTGGTTAAAAGAAGTGTTACCCAACATCCATTCATTATTCTTAAGTTTAGGTGTTTAGTCACAAATTTTCGACCATATAATAAAATGCCTATTAATTTACTTCGAATTCGATAGAATTCAAATGGCGGTAACATTTTTTTTATTATCTTGGTACAAGGTGTAAGTTATACTTGTGTAACTGTAACTTTAAAAGTTTGTCTAGTATTTCTTGTCTTTGTACTCTTTGTATAGGAAACTTGGATGGAATTAGACATTGTGAGTTGTGAGACTCGAATGTTTGGAGTAAAAATGTGATGACTGATTATATTTGGAAAGGTATCATAGCCCAAAGTTCAGTCATATTATGATATCGGCCTACCCAGCTTTCTATGAGTGTCAAGCCCATTTTGATGGGCCTTTAGCCCTAATGAAGTAGGGATACCAACTGGTCTAAGGTTATAGCTCTGGTGGGCCATTCTTGAAGGTCTGGTTATGTGGAAACAGTCAGAGTTGCAATCTCTTGTACACCTGGAAACAAGAGGCTGTGAGTCTGACTGTAGTTATTATTATTTCTTTTGATGGAAGTTCTTTTATTTTACTTATAGAAATCATGATTAATTTAGTGACTCAAGTACCTAAAAGCAAAATACTTTTTGAAAATTTTCTAAAAAGAACTGCATTCTTTTATAAAAAAAAGCAGGTTTTGATATTAATAGAGATGGATTTCATAGAGAATGGATTAATGGGTTGAAGTTTCTAGATAATTAGCCTTATTAACAGTGGTGAAGTAACAATTCAGTATTTTTATCCCCTAATAATTTGTGATTTTAACTTAACGAGCTTAGCTGGTTTGATAGTGGACGAATTAGATTCACTTTACCTCTTAATGTCAATTCCAGTACATTACAGCTGTCTAAGTGTCTAACTAACAAGAGCTTCAAGTAGCGACCGCAAGAAACATCCAAAGTAGATTTTTTTTCCCTTTCAGTCTGGAACTCTGGATCCTTTTCACTAGTCGCCCTTTCCAGTGACGTCACTGATGACTGCATCTTGTTTCAGATTTTGGAAACCTACCCCCAACGACGTAGTATCGCTAGTCGTCGCGCTAACCCTCGGACAGTTGCAAGAATCATGCGCTAGATCCTCTCTGGATCGAGAAGTTCATCCATCTGCTGTCTGTGCTCTCCACAGTCCACACCTTCTACCATTTATTTCCACAGCCTGCACTGCTTTCTCAGAAGGGCTCAAAATCCTAGGCTCTTCTTATCAGCTACTCGATTGAACCCACGTGGCAAAGATCCACTCTTTTGGGAGGTCTCCCCTCCATCTGACGATCATCTCTTTGCATCACTTTCATCAATTGGTAGAGACATCGGAGACGTGGCTAACACAGACCCCAAATCCAGACATTAAACCCACTCTCTCCCTCCCTCCCTCCTGTCTAGTGTAGTCTCTCGGCAATCCTGAGCAACAGCAGTCTGTTCTTTCTGGGGAGAGAGGAAGAAGAAGAACCAGAAGAGAGAAGATGGCTTTAGCAGTAAAGGCATTACCTTTCACGTTTGTGGCGCACGCGATTGCGGTGGTGGCTGCAGTCATGGTTTTGGTTTGGTGCATCCACTTCAGAGGCGGCTTAGCTTGGGAGGACACCAACAAAAACCTTATCTTCAATGTAAGTTATGACTAACCCTACTCTCTGAATCTCATGCTTCTAATTAATCTCTTCTTTCTGTCTGCCTGTTCATTCTAAGTCTGCAAGTCCAGTCAGTGGTCATCAGCTCATCTCTAATCCCAACTCCAAATGGGTTTTACTTGCTTGTGGTCAGTGATTTCGTTTGCTGACTGTTGTTGGGAAAATGGTTTGTTCTTACATGATTGATTTCTGCACTTGCATCTCAATCTTTCCTGATCTGAGTAAGCTCTTACATTGAGGTTGATCATACTAGGCCGTTTTCTTTGTAAGCAATTGGGATTTGAAGGTTTGGACTTTTGCTTAGATTCTTTCTCTTTTACCTGTCACTGACCATCATCCAGTTAGTTAGACTCAGATTAACAGAGTGGTCTGTGAATCTAAGAGTTACTAGAAATAAACCAGAAAAAGCTATCTCCAGAGAAAATTTTAAGGGGGAATCTATCAATTTGGCCAATTCAGTTACCAGCTGGACTCTTGGTATCCCCTTCCCTTTGCTCTGTTCTGAAAAGTAAGACAGCTGATCTTCTAATTTCTGGCAATCGTTCTTGATTTTTTATCTCCTTGTTCGTTAGTATCTAACTCGAGAAGAAGATAAATGAAGAAACTTCCGTAAAACAAAGAGAGAACCCATGTGAATCTTTCCATCCAAGATGATCTTACTGATTGTCCACACTAAATTGCTAATATTTATACTTTCAAGGAACCTTCTTTTATTGTCCATTTGGTACACACTTGAGCTCATCTTCAGTTCTGCCCGCTGATGGCTGGCATTGCTGTTTCACGTGGATTTGTCTTGGGACTTTAGCTCAGCTCCTCCGTGTTCTCTAGGCAGGCAGTTGTCATGGAACAAAAAATATATTCAGATTTTACCATCCACATGTGAAACTTCAACAGTTCCTTATGATGTGAGCAACTGTGGAGACCTTTTTACATGATTGCTAATGAGCATATTGTACATATTCCATATGAGTAGCAGGATCCTATTGTGTTACTCTCCTCAGCCTCAGGTCAAAAGATGTCTGATATCATGCTGTACACTGATTCCTCGGGTAGTTAGGTTTCAATATGTGTATCTGATTGACACTTATAATGCTTACTGGAGACTGATCTTATTGTTCAATTTGATGCTTGCAGCTTCACCCCGTGCTGATGTTGATCGGCCTTATCATCATAGGAGGCGAAGGTATCTCCACGATGCGCTGCTAATTTCATTTCCATCATACTCCTTTCAATGCTAACCATTTTCATCTTGCTGGTACCCAATACAAAATGCCAGCTATAATAAGCTACAAATCTCTCCCTCTGAAGAAACAAGAGAAGAAACTCATCCACCTGGTCCTCCATGCCGTTGCACTCATCCTCGGAATCATTGGCATCTACACGGCATTCAAATTCCACAACGAAAGTGGCATCGCCAATCTCTACAGCTTGCATTCCTGGCTTGGCATCCTCGTCATTTCCCTTTACGGCATCCAGGTAAAGATCCCACTATCGAGTCCGAGTTGCAATGCTTTAAAAAACTGACATATAATTCATCAAAAACTAAACCGGTTGCGAATTTTGCAGTGGGTATATGGATTCCTCATCTTCTTCTACCCCGGAGGTTCGAGCGCCCTTAGGAGCGCGTCCCTTCCCTGGCATGTGCTGCTCGGGCTGTTTGCATTTGTATTGGCAGTCGGCACTGCAGCAATAGGGTTCCTTGAGAAGCTGACTTTCCTTCAGAACTCCGGACTGGCTAAGTACGGATCCGAGGCTTTGCTTGTGAACTTCACTGCTGTGGTCACCATTCTGTATGGTGCCTTCGTCATGCTGTCTGTACTCGGTCAGAAGCAGGCTGAAGATGACTACTATACAGCCATATAAGTAAAGCCTAGAGAACGAGGTTTGTGTATTGGAGGAGGGAAAAGAACGAGGTTTGATCTGGTAATATTGCGTAGTACCCGTTCCACGGTGTAATGTACAATCGGCACGATGGATCCTGTAATGTAGAGCTTATTTCTATGTGTATGTAGATTTGGTCATGGTGATTCTCTTATGTTACAGGTTACAACAGAAGTGAGGAGACAGGAATGGAAATTTTGCCAGGAAAGTGGGAAGCTCGCTGATGTTCATTCACAAAGAATGAAAAAGAAAAACCAAATCACGGTTTTCAGGGATTGATTGGGCTTTTCGGGTTGCCGTCAGTGGGCTTTCACCTGGCGCTGGTCCAACTTGAGAGGACAGCCGAAATCTCATATGGGCTTTTGTTTTTGGGCGAGTACCATTGGACTCTTTAAGGGATGGGCCTACGCTTACATTCTAGTCTAAGCATCATTTTGTTTTCGTCCACGATAAGAAACGATGCTGAATAAAAAAAGAAAAAAGCTAAAAAATACAAAGAAAACCATTCTATCGGATTTATCTCCCTAGAATAATTTTATACAATGAAATCTTTTTAAAACCGCTCTTAACTTTGCTTACAGCGTTCCGTGATTGTCGAATTATCTACGTGCGATTTAATAAGGGCAAAGCATTGTACGCACATTCTCGCATCGGCCGTGGGCATTTTAGCAGAATTTGTTTCCGTCAAAGCAAGCTTTTGCAGACAAATTTTTTGGGGCAGATTTTAGAAGCAACAGGTTTTTGGTTGCGACAGGATTCGGTGGGTGTGGGCCGGCATGAGACAGTGACACATGTCTTCCAGGGACCGAGGGGAATCTTTGAGAATCCAGGGACCTCATAACGTGGCAGATTGTTATTTGTTAGTTCACATCTCTGTCCTACAACCGTCGCAACAGCTCACAGGATAGATAATCTTTTTTTTTTTTTTTTTTTTTCTGGGTAACGAGGTCCTCCAGTTGCCCTAATCTATACACACGTTGTGTATGTGTTATGTGTCAATGGGGTATGGTTTGGACTTTGTATCTAAATAATTTAAGGGTGGTTTATTACTTTATTTAGTGGATTTGAAAAATGAAGGTTTTGGTAAATTTTGGGTTTTGTAAAATTATGGATATATGAGGACTTGAAAAATATTATTGTTTGTTTCATAGATTTCATGATCGAATTGGTTAATTAGATTTGTACTTATGAAGTGAAATTTACATTTATTGTCCTCATTGGTTTGAGAAGAGAAATGAAATAGGAGGGGTAGTTTGGTATTAAATGATGAAAATCAACGTTCATGATCAATTCTCACCTAAAGAGGTGGAACTTTCAAGTCCGTGGGGTCCACGAATTTGAACTCTTAAAGTTTGTGGGACCCACAAATTCGTTGCTCCTAAATACATGAAGTAAAAAAATGGATTTTTGACAAAGTCCATGATGGATCCAAATCCGTCAAGCAAACAACCCCTAAGGGGTCGTTTGCTTCGTGGATTTGGATGATGGACCAAATCCATTCCATCATGGATTTAAGGAAAATCCATCGTTTGCTTGCATTTCTTTAAGGGTCCAAATTCGTGGACCCCATGGACTTGTAAATCCAACATATTGACGTGGGATTCGTAACATGTCATAAATCCATGATGAGATTTTACCCTTGTACTCTCATGAACTTTTAAAATTTCAAGCTTGCACTCACATTTACCTGTTGTACGTTATAAATAGTCAATTAGTTAACTACAATGAAATAATATAAATATTCAATTAATATGCAAACATGAGTTAGATTTTTTATATCCTTTCTTGTGTTCTAGTTTTCTTTGAGGCTATTTCGATTCAAATGAATGTATTATGGAAAATTCACGAGAGCAGGAGATTTGGGTTTATAGCTATGATTGTAGACTGTAGTCACAAAACGATTGTTCCTCAAAATAATATGTTATGGTAGTCAAATTCAACAGTCTCATCGTGTCCAACCTCATGTCTTACAACTTTGAGTCACTCATTAGTGATATATGAATTATCACTATTTCAAGAAGCTAAAGAGGACTCATGATTATAGTGTACATGTACTGTAGTTTAGGAGGGGCTGCAGCTCCTCTCAGTACTTAGGCTCCAGGTTTTAACATGTGATTACATATAGTAAGCAAACTTAGAAAGTGGCCAAATGGCAAGGTATCAGGTATGAGCCTCCTCCTTCCATGACTACTTTAAATTTCAAGTGCTTGGAAGCTATTGAATGCTTTCTTAATTAGTTTCTCTTTTTTTTGTATCACTTTAAAATTTTGGATTTACCAACTTTTGTAATAAACACGACTCAAATGAACATTATCCCGCTTAAAATGTCAAAACAAAATTAGTTCATAGATAGAAATCCATTCTGAAACCAAAGTGCCCACTCTATCCTCAATCAATCTACAATAAGATGACAAGGATGTGTTGGCATTGAAGTTTCGTCTGTCCATTGTTGTGGCGCACAACTAGAGATGACAATTTTAACCTGACCCGTTTTATCCGATTTGTTTGGCCTGTTTTGGGCGGGTCCAATCCGCCCTGTAGGCGGGGCGGGGCGGGAATGGGTACCTCTCGTCGACCCGACCTGCCCTGACCCGCCCCATCCTCGACCCGTTCTTGTTTAAATTACATGTAATCTTAGTCAAATTACTTAGAATTTTCTTCATAGTACCTCATATTTTAGCTATAATAAAGTTATAAATAAGTGAAAACCTCAATTTCTCCAATACTTTAACTACATTTTATCATATTATGATTTATTTCTTGGTCTTTTTAATGAAAATAATAAATATTTGTTAAGTTTTTCACATAAATTACATGTCCATTGGGCCGACCTGCCCCGACCCACACCCCATGATAAATTACCCGACCTGAACCCGACCTACCACGAATTGGGTATGGATATCGAGATATCCAGCCCGGACCTGCCCCTTCTCATTCCTACGCACAACCAACTTAATTGGAGAAATTATTAGTTTGCCTTTTGAACCGTTTTATGTGGGAATTCCAATCCCTTGATGAAATGGGGAAATTAGGTTATCGAAATGGATTGTTAGATAGAGCGTCAAAGAATTGAAGATGGTGGCTATGGCCTGAGGTAAACGGAAGCATGATTATGCTGCACCAGCCAGCCAGCCAAATCAGAATTCGTGGCTGTAAACAAGGCATTAGGAAGTCGTGGCGCCAGCCAAAGCAGCAAGCAAACTCATATGTGATGGCAACCGAGTCATCAATTACGTTGACCCCATTTTCAGAGTTGGAGACCAAATGTTCGGTCAATCTCTAATGCACAAACAACTGTGTGGTCTAGTCATCCATTGGTTTTTTCTTTCGATATTGGATAAAGTGTAGAGAATCAAATATACCGGTCCATCAATCCATGTGACGAACTCGACAACAGTGATTTATCGTGTGACATAGTAAAAGGTGATAAATTACATGGCTAGCAATATGATGTGGTAATAACAAATTTCACGAAAAGGTACTGCAAGCGCTCAATCTCATCCGTCCATTTTTAAAAATGAGAGATAATGAATCCAAGGCCCAAGAGGTGGGCAGTGAAATTGACAATCCACTTAGGGGTTGTGAAAGATCTCATCCCTCTCCAAATTTCATTAATTCCATATTTATGAAGAAAACTAATAATTTTTTTTGTATGAAAGCTAAGTATAATATATGTAAACACTAAACACCGAAATTGTATTGATAATATATGTAACAGTGTTTGTGAGATCGTACCAGCAGTGCGGATGGAAAAACTTTCTATTGGAGGCTAAATTGGTAGGTGGTTTAATGGTATAAAATGATTATAGCATAATTTAAGTATAAAACATTCTTTCGTTAACATTTTCCATACAACCTCCCACTAACATTTGCTTTTAATTCACAGATCCAGAAGCAACCAGATTACCGTCCTTCAATTTTGGTCTCAATTATCTCATTGAACAGTGAACTAGATAGTAGTGTGATGCTTATGGTTCTTAATTCTTATCGACAACTTTTGCTTCTTTTTCTTTTCTGCAGCCATTAGGGTTTCTGGATGTGTACTTAAGTGGCTAATACATAAGACTGCGGTCTCAATTAAGCCGCGTCCACATCAATCAATCACACGCTCAGGCCAGAACTTAAGCAAATCAACTTATAATTAGTATCCAGTTCATCATAATACCGCTAATTGACGAAATTAGCACGATGATGTGAAGTAATCCAACGATTTATTGCTGGCTTTGGAGAAAGTGGAAAATATTAAAATGCCGTCGACAGATTGGAATTTCCACAATGATTAGCTACCTTGCTCAAGCTCCCATGGCGTAAATTGAAATTGGAAGAAGATTATCTGGTGAAGTAAATGTATAAATATAACAACTTGCTCTAGGTAAATTGCGACAACTCTGAAGATTTCAAATATGTTTTGTATTGAAGTTTATATTTCTCGTGAATGTTGTGGTCGAAACCTTGGATTCACACTAATAGCATTTTAGTTGTGAATCTGAATCCAATGAATTTTTGAAAGCGCTTCTCTTGAGTGATTCAATCAATAATGTATAAAATTCACGATACCTCATTATATGTATATGAGAATGTGATTTTTATCAATGTATTCAAGTAATCATCTTCTACAAATTAAACCAAGCATCCCAAACAAGGATCCTTCCGCAAATGCATCCTTTTTACCAATCCACTTACTGAAATATATATATATATATATATATATATATATTCAAGTCTCGATGGTCATAAATGAAATATGTTGTTTTTTTATAAAAGATAATCATATATTGAATCAAAAGAAGATAGTTACATTCTGGATCGAAGCCAGGCCTGAAAATCAAACAAACGACAAGTAGTCGGAAACAAAGTAAGGGCCTTTCTAGCCACCGAATGGGCTACCCTATTGCTATCCCGACCTACAAACCGAATACTAAAACCCATCAAACTCCTCAAACAATGCACAATTTCTTCCAGAACCACCCCAATCCTGCTGTCCCTGGTCACGCCTTGGTTAACTTTGTCAATAATAATCTTGGCGTCACCTTCAAACAAAATATTCTGGAGACCAAGGCGTACACACCAGAAAAGAGCTTCTCTGAGAGCAAGAGCTTCTGCTACCAAAGGATCATCAATCGGAGGGAATTGGCATCCATGATCCAGAAGCAACCTGTGGCGCGCATCAAGCAAAACCATTCCAGCACTCGAGTGAGACCCCGCCCGCGTAGCCCCATCCCATTTACAAACCACCAAAGGACTCGACGCCGGAGGATTCGTTATGGGATCAACTTGGGGCCTATCCTGTGGCATCCTGGTACCCATCACATTCCCTCATTCCTCACACTGCTGATGATACTGGCGCATCAAAGCCGGGAAACAAAACTGCTTGCCTTCAAAGACAACCTAGTTCCGAGACTTCCAAATCCGCCAGAGAATGACAACCACCGACATAAAAACCGAGGGCTGCTGAATAATGTTTAACAATCTCCTGAGGAATAGGGGAAAAGTATGGCGGGGTAATCCTTTCCCCATATGCTCCAGCTCCGAGTAGTCCCACAGGGTCCGGGCCACCGTACAATCAAAGAACAAATGCTCCATTGTTTCCAAAGCCCCCCCCCCCCCCCAACAGCCCAACAGACCGGACAACGAGGGAGAACAGGGGCCCGTTTTTCAATAAGGGCTTCCGTGGTCAGGAGGATACGATGAAAGATCTGCCAGACAAACACCTTCAACTTAGGAGGGATGTTAGCCTCCCAAAGTCGAATCCAGCTAGCTCTATCCATCCAACTGGCCGACGACCGCCAAAGGCAACTTCTTTTATCTAGATCAACAGCTAGATGATAGGCGGATTTAACAGTAAACGTCTCGTCCGCCGTACCATGCCAAATTAGTTTGTCCTCCACAGAGTGCCTTGGCAAAGGAATAGCCTTGATGCGTCGGCATCAGACCAACCACCCCCATTCGGCTCCATAACCTCCTCTACTCGAGGGTCACCCCCCTATGGAAGGACTAGTGGATTAGCCACTGGTATGTCAGGGTGGAGTAGGGGAATCCAATTCGACCCAAGAAGTGACGCTTTTCTCCCATCCCCAATCTGCCATCGAAGGCCTTTCTCGAGCAAATCTCTCCCAAACACCACACTTTGCCAGCCCCATGAACTTACCCTTATATACTTGCGCCAGCAGGGAGGTGGGTTCATTGAGGATGCGCCATCCGATTTCAGCCAATAAGGCCTGGTAAAACTGTTCAAAGCGGCGGAAACCCATCCCCCCATCATGTTTACTACGACACATATTCCGCCAGGAGACCCAGCGGATTCGTGACTGATCATTCGTCCCACCCCACCAAAACCTGGCGACATGTTTATCAATCAATCTACAAAGGGACAAAGGCAGCTTGAAGCAAGACATTACATGGAGGGGCAGTGCCAAGGCAATGGATTTAATAAGAGTTTCCTTCGCAGCCCAAGATAATGTACGTTGCTTCCATCCTTGTAATTTTTTGAGCAATTTCTCCTCTAGGTAGCGAAAGGTCGCCATTTTTGAGCGGGCAATTAGAGTTGGGAGCCCCAGGCATGAACCCCCACAGCTCCTACCCCCATAACTGTCGCCAAAAAAACCTGGTCCTCCTCGTGGTCTATATTCTTGCTAAAACAAACAACCAATTTCTCCAAGTTCACAGTTGGCCACTCAATTCCTCATATTCGTTCAAAACATCGAGCAGATTTTCACACTCCTAGAGATTACCCCGTAGGAATAGGTAAGAATCATCCACAAAGAATAGATGAGTAATACGAGGAGCACGGGGGGCAACCCTCACACCTTCCAGTTTCCCTTCCGTTATGGCCTTGCGAAGAATAGCCGCGAAGCCTTCTGTACAAAGCACAAACAGAAGTGGTGATAAAGGATCCCCTCTGCCGGAGTCCGCGGGAAGACGAGAAAAACCCCGAGGGAGTGCCATTCATGAGAACTGAAAAAGACGTAGACCGTAGGCATTCCTGTATCCATCCTCTCCAGACCGAGTTGAAACCCATTTTCTCCAAAACCGCTAGAAGAAACGGCCATTCGACTCTGTCATAGGCCTTTTCCATGTCAACCTTCAGAGCCATGTACCCTTTCTTACCACGGGTTTTGATTTTCAAATAGTGCATCAACTCGTGACCGACTAGGATATTTTCAATAATTTGCCTTTCTCGAATAAAAGCATTCTGACCTTCCGAGACAATTGAAGGTAAAATAGTCGCCAATCTATTCATAAAAAAATAGTCACCAATCTAGCCGCCATGATTTTAGAAATGATTTTGTAGACGAATTGGCATAAGCTTATTGGGCGCAATTGTCTCATGGTTTCAACATTTTCCACTTTGGGGATTAGTGTAAGCCAAGTGTGATTAAAGCTCCTAAGCATCCTACTGGAAGAAAAGAAGGAGCAGACCGCTTTAATCACCGAATCCCCAAATATGTTCCAGTAAGCCTTAAAAAACTTCCCCGTGAAACCATCAGATCCAGGGGCCTGCTTAGAACCCATGGAAAAGACCGTTTATCTAACCTCTTGGGGTAAGACTTCAGCTGTCAGCATATTGTTCATCTCCTGTGTCACATTTTGGGGAATGGGAAGACTTCCCACCCGGTTTGACATATTGGGCACTTGGTTTTCCGAGGTGAATAAATGTTGGTAGAAGTGATTGGCAATATCAGCCTTACCTTTCTCATCTGTAATCCAATCTCCCTCTTCATTCCGGAGACCAGCAACATAATTCCTTTTCCGTCTGGTCTTTGTGACCGTATGGAAATATGAGGTGTTTCTATCACCTCTCTTCAGCCAGTGAACACGGGATTTAATATGTTTATCCCTCCACGTTTCCGACTTTCGCCTTTCTATTTCTTTTTCTAGTCCATCAAAGAAATATATAATTTATGTTGTGCAAGTATCTTAATTGCATATGGAGTCATTTAGACCTTGTTTAAATAGTTGGATGATTGAAAATGAACCATTTAAACTAGTTTCGACCAACATGAAAATCTCAATATCGATCTACCTCAAGAAGTCCGCTCATCAATATTATATAAAGACTTCAAAATCGATGTACACAAGACTTAATGTAAATAGAACATATCATACTCGACTCATTGAAGCATCTTATTCGATCTAAAACTTCACATTGCATTTTCCATATTTCGGGTGACCTTCATTAGGTCACATTTTCTACATTGATGCATAGACTTATATTAATGGCCGGGTTTTTTTCATCATCACAATGAATGAACTTACCCATTTAATTGCTATCTAGTTGGTATATCACTTTCATTCCTTCACAATCCTGGCCATAGATTATGGTGTGGGCAATTTATGCAAGTCCTAACATGAAATTAAGTAAAAGATGGTGGAGTGAAAAGGGATCAATATATTAAATTTCCACCAACTATCCCAAGTTTAGAAATCTTGACAACCTGGTCCTTCAAATCAAAAGATTCTCCCACTCAGCAAGATATCTTGATTAAGCAAACAAGTTAGGACAGGCTGGAGCCACCACCACTACGCCAGTTCTATATTACTATGCATGATTTGATTAGGGAAAGGAAAAGAATATAAATGCTACTTTTGATTTATTTTTCCTAGATGGAATGTTGCTTTGTTTGATTGGATTTGCTTTATTATGGAGATAGTGGAGGAATTTGATTTGTTTATCATGATTTTGTGGAAAACGAATTTGTAAAATTGAATAAAATTTTGAAACTAGTATTCTATCACCTTGAAAGGAAATTAACTATGGGATCATCCAATGAATTGGATTGTTTTAATGGAAATTTGTGGAAGGATATATTTCGAGGGAGATTGCCATTTTATACGAGTATTATGTGTGTTTTTTTTATATAATTATGTGCTAATTTAAAGATTCGAATCTAGAATTTTCAAATTCAAACCCGGTGATAATCAGGGTCGGCCAAGAGGGTGTGTTGGTCCGCCCTCTGGCATAGGGCCTCCGAATATTAGGGGCGTTCACTTAGATCCGTTAGTTACCGATCATATATTGTAGGTTGTATTTTTGGTGTATGCTTAATAGATAATTTTAGCTATAATAACAATTGAAAATGATCTCATGGAAATACAAAAATCAGAGAAATAATAGATAATTTTATTTTAAACAACATAGAAAGATATTACATTTTGAATAATGGTATTATAATCATTTTAGTTTTATTATAGTTAAAAGTCAATTTGGACCACGTCTCGATTTTAAACAGGGCCTCCACAATCCATTAGACTGCCTCGCATCCACCTCTCGATCAATTAGACTATTTTCATTTCTCCATTCTATTTTTGCGCTATATCCATTTTCTCTTCCCTCCATATTTACTTTCCTCCCTACTAGGACTCGGAATTGGGTCTTGGTTTCTTGGTCAAACTGAAAACGGATCGTTTATTCTTTTTGTAATCATTTTCTGAACTTATGTATTTTTTATAATTTTTATTTGTAATAAATTTATGAAGAAAAAAATTTACGACCACATTTTAAATTTTTGAATAGGACCTCCGAATATCATGGTACAACCCTTGTGATAATTCACCCTTTGTTCGCTCAAAGGGATTGTCAAGTTGGGGCAAAAATTAAAACCTAGGTTTGGACTGAAGGTATACAAGAGTTGTAGTTGTGAAGTGGTTTAGTTGCCCATGATTATCTCTAAGTAGAGGTGGCAAATGGATTGAATTGATGGATTGGATTGGTGGATCCATGGATCAAATGGATTGGATCAAGTGGATTGGTGGATTATCCATGAATCCAAATGACATCCTCAACCAAGGACCAATATGTAAAATGTAAAAAGTTTAGGTACTAAAATGTCATAATGTAAAATTTTAGGTACCAAAATATAATTTTCCAATGATATTTTTCGTATAAAAAATTAAATTTTAGGTACCAAAATGTAAAAAATAAAAATTATAGGTACTAAACCGTAATTTGCCAATAATCCATGGATCCAATCATGAATCCACCAATCCAATTGGATTTGGATAAAATGGATTGGATTTAAATGGATTGGATTAGGTGGATATTTTTAATGGATTGATGGATTGGATTGAAATTGCCACTTCTATCTCTAAGTATGTTGGTTAAAACCACATTGTAAAATTATTGACGGTGATTCCCAAACAAATATTATGATAATATAGAAAATTTTACAATTGAATATACCATTATCATTGTAAATAATGATTTTTTGAGTTATGAATTTCGTACTCCTATATCTTTTCGTTGTAATGAATTACCTATAATTAAGAAGAACTTTGCATGTAATTTTTATAATTGAGTTTCAATATTTTGGTTCAAGGTTGATGATGGTTCGTGTTATTTTTATAAAATATAATAACCTATTTTTGAAAAAGGATAAATAAGGAATTTTTTTAATTTTAATGGCCATTAAAATATAATTAAAAAATATAAAATTTCCAAATTTCAACATAAAAATAAATAGCCGTTAAATATTATCCAGTTGGCATTTGGCCACTTGGCTAGAGACGTTACACTCCTTCGCCAACCCCAACTATAATATCACAACCAACCAACCCTTCTCTTCTCTCATTTTCCTTCCCCTTCCTTTCCTTTCCTTTCCTTTCTACAGCCAGCTTCTCCATTATTCACTTCCCTTTCCCCATTTCTCTTCCCACATCCCTCCTTCTCGGCTTCCCAAAGTTCTAATCCATGGCAGAAGAAGAAGCTAAGAAGGCCGAGCCCGAATGCCCTGCTCCTCCAGCCGCCGATCCTCCGGCGGCTGCTGCTGCTCCTGCCGACGAACCTCCAAAGGATGTCGCCGAGGAGAAATCCGTAATTCCGGCCACTCCTCCACTGGAAGAAAAACCTGACGACTCCAAGGCCATCGTCCCCGTCGAAAGTAATTACCTTCTTTCCCCTCAATTTTGCTTTCTGGGTTCTGATTTTTCTGTTATAACTCTGCCGAAATTGCGTTCCTTTTTATACTCTGTTTTAGAGGACTTGCGAGAGAGTGAGCCTCTGACCGACTGCTTATTGTTCAATTTGCTATGGATATATAAAACTTCCCCTTTCATGTCCCCCAGATTCACTCAGGAATCTTTGTTATGAATTAAAAAATTGATTTTTGTTGCGGTTGGTTGGTTTGCGAAACAGAGGTTGCAGAAGCTGCAGTGGAGGAGGCAAAGCCTGCTGAGGGTTCTATCAATAGAGGTAATACACAAAACCCTTTTGGCTTTCTGAATTCCAGATTTTCAGGGCGTTTAGGTTTGGTTGAAAAAGGAAGTAACTTTTTCCTTTGTTTGTTTGCTGTGTTGGTGTGGGTTTTTAGATTTAGTACTCGCCAAAGTCGAAGCAGAGAAGCGGACTTCTCTCATCAGAGCTTGGGAAGAGGCCGAGAAGAGCAAAGCTGAGAACAAGTACAAAAATCCCTCTCCCAACTCTCAAATTCCTCCTCTTACCTTTCCTCTGTTTTCAGTCCCTAATTGGTTTTTTCTTTTTTTCTTTTTGCCCTGTTTTCCGGTAACCAGAGCTCAGAAGAAGATCTCTGCAATCGAGTCATGGGAGAACAGCAAGAAAGCGAACATCGAGGCGGAGCTCAGGAAGCTAGAGGAACAGCTGGAGAAGAAGAAAGCAGAGTACGGCGAGAAGATGAAGAACAAGATCGCCGAAATCCACAAGCAAGCCGAGGAGAAGCGAGCCATGACCGAAGCCAAACGAGGCGAAGATCTGCTGAAAGCAGAGGAAGTTGCTGCAAAGTATCGCGCCACAGGCACTACACCAAAGAACCCACTTGGCTGCGGCTGTTTCTAAACCCAAAACAAAAAGATTCTTCCTCATTTTCTTTAGTACTCTGTTTTTTTTTTTTTTTTGTTGTATATCCCTTTTGCTTCATGTTTCACCAAATTACATTTCCTTACTCTGAAATACCTTTATTAGTTTGCTCTGTATGTATGGGATTTTGGGTTTTCTTACCGTTTCATAGAATTGTAGGCAGCAAGATTGAGTTTACAGTTTGTGATTTGCAGTGTGTGTGTGTGATTGATTGTTGATGTATTATTTGGCATGATTGTAGTTTTGTGGTGTATATAAACAGAGCATCTATTCTATAAGGACCCTGTTTCTTCTAGATGTTTGTTTGAGAGTGTGGTTTGATTGGTCTGAGAGTTATGAATGAAAGGATGAGCTGTGAAGGGGAACATTGGGACAAAATACAGGTAAGAAAGATGAACAGCTGCCCTGACATTCAGAACTTCAATCAGGAAGGGGACAAAGCTTGTGTTTGGGCCCAAAGTTGGGACAAGATTGTCTTGTAATAAGTCATAACTCATAGGTCATAGCAGACACTTCACCCACAATGTGGACGTTTAAGGCTGAGAGAATGTGGAGTAGGAGATGGTAGAACTCAAATTCATGAGCTTGCTTGAGTGAACCTGTTGCTTCAATCAATTTCATTGTTCTCTAATGACGTTTTCCCAGTGATGGAAGATCAGCCTTTCATTCTGATCGAGCTGATCATCTGAAATTTGGCTAGATCCACTCTTTGATACATTGCTTTCATGTTCTCCGGTGTTATTTATTTATTATGGACAATTTTTTTTTGACAAATGGGAATCTTTATTGGTTCCAACTAAGAGGAAACCCCAAGGAACACGATTACAAACAAACTATGTTAAGCAAAAACAGCAACCAAGAGCGGAACATAGCTTGAAAGCAGCCACCCAGTAGAGCAAAACCCTTGAAGTGAAACAGATCACTGGAATCTCTCTTGCACCCAACCAATTAGAGTACAACAAGATCGAAGTCAGCTTGTCTGATCATATCGAAATCCATGGGTAGGTGGTCATCATCAAACCATTTACCGCCATAATTCAAAGGCATCCATCATTGTGAATCCTAAAAATAAGATTGCATGGCGGTGGAGAGGGATATGAAACGAATGCTCCAAACTGAAAACGCAGAGAAAGTCGAGGGAGAGAGATCAAATTCCCAGCAGAGCAGAAGATCCCACCGGTAAGGGTGAACAAACACGCCCGCAAACCGACCCACCCGTCCAATCCGACCCAACCCACCCGTATTTATCGCTAAAACGAAGGTATTGGTTTGGTTGAGGGTTTTCTTTTGTACAACCCTCTTCTTTTGGGTTGGGTTTGGATTTTGGATTACACAACCCGTAGAACCCGACCCAACCCATGTTCCAACAATTGGTATGAGTTCGTATCCAAAAAATATTTATGTAGTATATAACCCGTAGCATAATTACATATTTTGAGTTGGGTTGGGTTTTTACTTAAAAATATTGCCAACCCGACCCAACCCAATTAGAAACAAACCATAGGGTTTAATTTTTTTTGGGTGGGTTTGAGTTTAATATTTCCCAAACCGTAGTGCATGGGTCGGGTGATTAAGATGGCTAAACCCGGACCACCCGACCCATGTACACCCCTACCCACGGGAGTCACACATCTCCACGGAGAACACTGATTTCCAACCACAACCACCGGGGAAGACCCAACCCTCCACGCTTCGACAGATCACCAAGCAACACTAACTCACAGGGGAGGTTGGAGGGGAAGAGACGATAATGGCTTCACCAAATGATGAGACCACCAACCTGAGAAAAAGCACCCTCGTCCAGATCTGGAAGATGCGCCCAAGCTGCTAACTCCGGATCCTACATTGAGCAAGCCTAGGACAGAACCCAAGACCAGAAAGAAGAGCAGTAGCTCGACTGGAAAGGGGGAAATCAGAAGGCCTCAATGGCAAGGAAAAACTAAACTTAAATCCGATTGAAAAATGACAGAACAAAAGCAAAAGAACAAAGCAAGAAAAAACCCAGATCAGGGGAGGAAGAGTCGACGACAGCCCCTAAAATCTGAATATGAAGCTTGGAAGAAGAGAGAAGGCAGAGCACAATTTAAACTAAATATTGAGTGAAGCGTGTCAGAATTAATTATTATAGACAATTCAAGAAAAACATAAGATAGACAAATTGTTAGAACGAGTTCAATTACTAAGTACGAGAGTTATCGAAAGGTGAACTATCGATAAAAACAACTTACTATGTTACTAATGAACAACACTTTAAATTGATGAGACCCAAATAACAACAAAAGCAAAATACAAAAATGAAAAGGAACTTCCTTCAAAAGCACTCCCCTCCTTGATAATATATATATTTTATTAGTAATAAAAAAATGTGGAGTTTTTATATGCATTGAGTTGCATGATATTTCATGTAACCTAAGTTGTTTATATCTTTTTCATACTCTTTTTAGGTGAATACTTTGTCTATATCTTATTTCATACTCTTATGCTTGAGTTACTCCTTACTAAAAAAAGTGGAGTTTTTATATGCATTGACTTGCATGATATTTCATGTAACTTAATCGGTTTATATCTTTTCGTACTTTTTTTGAGTGAATACTTTGTTTGTATCTTATTTATACTCTTTTTAGGTTTATTAACGACATGAATATATAGAAAAATAAACTATATGTTGATCTTTTTTAGTGCAATCAATATCATTCGTCTTTAAACTCATGAAATACATTCATCTATATGCATATTAAACACTCATCATATTAAATCGAGTATTACTAATTTTGGGTATATGTATTCTGGATCTCAATAACTCGATAACCCCCAAACCCAAACACAAGATTCCAACCTTTCGACCACATTTTGAACATCTTACAAAATGAGGAAAAAAAAAAAAAACCAAAATGAGAAGACAGACATTGTGTTTGGAACACAACAGGGGTGCTCTGTTTTCTTCACACCCCAACTGCTTTCCCATTTCCGCTGTTCCCGTCTTCTCAGATATCAAATGTGGCGGGGAGAGCAGCCCGATTCATGGTTAAAACCACAGCTAAGAACCTAAACCGTTAGCTTAATAAGGTCAAACAAAAAGAGACTTTGGGTTGATTAGAAGTGAGTTTTTTTTTTTTGTCATTGGATTCTCTTCTCATACGCATCTGAGGTCAAGGAAGTTAATGAAGTCATCGCTCTCGTCCTCCAGGAAATCCATACCACTCCCACCAGGGATATCCAGCAGCTGCTTCAGCGCCGTGTCGGAGTAATTCGTGAACTCGTTCGTCGTCGAAGTGATGGAATCCGAGCTGCTCATCATCATCATCATCACATCTAGACGACACGGTTTAGTCTCCTCCTCGATTCCCTCGTAGTAGTAGCACAACCCTCCCTCGACCTCGTGCTGGTGGTGGATCGCCTTGCTAGAATCGCTTCTCTTGACGATGGCTGCTGCAGCACTACAAGTCTTCGTCGTCGTAGTAGTAGTAGTAGCGAGGGTGTCATCGTCGACAGATCCGGGCCCCAATTTCGTGAGGGAAGATGCTTGTGAAGTCGAGCTCTCGCAGCCACCTCCTCCTCCCCTGCCATCTTTCTGAACCTTGTTGATGTCTCGAAACGATTTGCCAATGTCCGAGTTCCATAGTTTGAGATAGTAGTCCTGGTCGAACTTATGTTGTTGTTGTTGTTGTTGTCCTGGTCGCGAGAAGGAAAGGCGAGCGTCGGCTTCCACCCTCGTGCTCTCCCATTGCGCCATGTGACGAGTAGTAGTCGATAGCGGGGAAGATGAATCCCCCTCGATCTTGATGTTGATGTTTGGTAGAGCAAGTGGAAGTGGTGTTGAGAGGCGTTTCTTGAGGTGCGTGTTCCAGAAGTTCTTGATCTCGTTGTCTGTTCTTCCTGGCATTTGGGATGCTATGGCTGCCCACCTGCAATTTCTTCAGCAAGTTAGGATGGTTTGTTTAAGGCGGGAAATGAGAGTTTGAGGGACTTTTTTTGATACTTACTTGTTACCAAGCGTGCCTTGAAGCTTAACAATGGTGGCTTCTTCATCCGAGGTGAAAGGGCCTCTTTTGATGTCGGGGCGAAGGTAGTTTGTCCACCTCAGTCGACAACTCTTTCCACATCGAAGGAGACCTTTCACACATCCAACACCGTAACAACTCAAAGATGTCAAATGTTCATTGTTTGTGAGATCCTATCGTGTACAAACCAATTGTACAGTGTTAAACTATGTAACAATCATCAAACTAACAAGATCTGAAGATCGTATTCTACTATATGCATATGCTACGTCCAATTCGAACCGTTAATTTGACTGATTGAACATTCTCTCTAATGTTGTGCTTGTTACTTGGAAGCATTCGAACTCATCGATTTGAACCACGATTTTAATTTCACAATCAAGATGAATGACACTTCTTAATCTAGTGTGTTTATAATTGCTATAGATCAATTTGTTCAATTACTCTGACTGATTAGTCTCACCTATTGAACTACTAAGAATCACCGATTTCCCTCCTACTCGATGCAACAATTTCATCAAGTACACCAATTCTTCCAAACCCTAACATAAACCAGGTCTCTAAAGTAAAGCAAGACACAAGAGAAACTGACGAAAACAAACAACTAAAGAAGACGAGATTTCACGAGGAGCCAAATCGTGAGGGTGATGGGGGCAGAGTAAGAGAGCTTGGTTTCATGGAAAAGGCCAAAAGATGAAGTCTTTTTGCGATTCTGTCTTTACTCTCAACGAACCCAAAAAGCCATTATGAGAGAGGGAAGGAAGGAAGGACATACCTGCATTCTTAGGAAGGGTACGCCAGCTTCCATGGCCATGCTTGTTGATGTAATCAAACAGAATTTGGTCTTCTTCAGTGCTCCAAGCTCCCTTCTTCACTCCATCTTTGTCGCAGCAAGGAGTTCTCCCCATCTCCAGAGAGAGCACTAAAACCAGAATCAGAGAGGAAAAAGAGAGCCAGCCAGCTTTGAGAGAGCACTATCGCAGTGACTGATAAAGCAATGGAGGTATAAAAAATCATTAAAGACCGAAGCTTTAAATGAGAAAGAGAAGAAGAAGAAGAAGAATGGGATTGATGAGATTTTTGGGGCAGTCTTCAGAAGCCAGGGGAGAGCTCGGGAAGTAAATGTGAAGACAGAAAGAGCCACAAAAGCAGGGCAGTCCCCAATTGGGTCTCGCATTTATTGGCATTAGACCCACCAGCAGTCTGATCAGTTTTTCATCAATTGGTAAAACAAGACGACGGAAAGCTGCCATCTCCAGAACCCCGAATCCGGTCACACTAATTACACAGCCATTTTTAGGCTTTTCAGTCTCTTTGGAATTCAATTTATCGGAAAAATACACAGACCCAGATCATGTTTGCACAAACCCAGATCATGGTTGTTCATAAAGCTTCAGAATTTGGAGGAGAAATTGGGAATTTGTGAAGGGAATTTACCTCTTGTTGGTGTTGAAGTAAGCAGGGGACTGGGGAGTGAAGCAGAGAACTGAAGAGAGTGGCGGCAGAGAAAAGGGAAAGACTTTTTTTACTACTTTAATACTGCTACTGATTAAGGCAAATTTGACTGTGGATTGATGAAACAATGTTCTTTATGTGAGTTTGAAAAACGCAAAGATGGACAAGTGGCCACTTTGATAGCCTTGGCTCCTGCCACACACGTTTCCTGTTCCATCATACTTGTCATCACCCCCGCTATTTACTCCATTTTTTAATTATAAAGTTTCTCAATTTTTTACTTAAACCATTTTAATTGTGAATTTTGCATTAATTAATAAAGTTAAGGGGTTAAAAATATGAAATAATCAGTAAGGCTACCAAATGATTCTAAGGTAAATGCCACATTTGGTCACTGAAATTACTAAATTGTGTTATGATTAGTCACTATAAAATTTTAATATCAATTTTTGTCACTCGAATTACTGGAACATGTCACATTTGGTCACTCTCCTGTAGCCTCTGTCCAACTTCGGTCACTCGAATTATTGAAACATGTCACATTTAGTCACTCGAATTACTGAAACATGCCACATTTAGTCACTCTCCCGTTAGTTTCCGTCCAAACTAACGGGAGAGTGACTAAATGTGATCAGTTTCAGCAATTCGAGTGATCAAAATTAATATTAAAATTTTCTAGTAACTATACATGACACAATTTAGTAATCTCAGTTACCAAATGTGGCATTTACCCCTTCTTCTAATATTCTTTCTCTTTTAGCCTTATGCCCTTATCTATCTATGAAACCAAGCTTGAAAATGTTAAAAAAATGTCCAAATATGAAGACACAAGACCAAAACTATTCATCCTCCATTTTTTGCTCAAGTCAATAGCCCCAGGAAGGGATGGGAATAGGTGCTAACCCTTGGGTTAGCACCGTGATAACTAGCAAAAAACGCTACTAAAAATAACCAAATCACTACGGATTATTATAAAATCAATACAACATCTAAGCTAAATCACTACTAATTCAAACTAGTAGTAATTTTTCCCTTAATTAGGACGGTGCTAACTATTGTACAATTAGCACCGTAACTCCTCCCCAGGAATAGTCGCATCATGTGTGGTAGGCTGGTTGATCGCCTTCTAATTAGACATTATATATCGTTATCTGTCATAATACACATTTCTTTCAAACTCTACGACCAAACGATATAAAGGCATAACATAATGCACTATCAATTATTTGATTTTGTCTCTTTCTTTTCCTCTACACACTAACAAGATTCACTCTCTTTATTCGTTCGTCTATTTATCAATATCTAAGAGATTTCTTACGTAGTTTTTGTTCAATCCAACTAATTAAATACGACCAAAATTGGATCAATATCTATGAGTTATTTATTTATTGTATTGACTGAAAAATCACCCAACTATCCAATAGTACTATCTCTAAGCTCCAATCTTATAATTTCCAATCCTTCGAAAAATAAAAGAACTAACAATTTCTATTGTCTAGATTAACTGTAGAAATTTTGGGAAATAATAAGTGGCAACGAGCTCATTATACGGCTGGTCAAACTTCAAGGATATAATTCATAGTAGTCGGTGCATGGCAGAAAGGTAAAGAACAGAAGGATGTGATGTTTGTGTGAAATGATAAATCGAGCTGTCTTTCACATTCTTGTCTTATGACTCAACTGGTCAAGCCTTGTTAATGTAGTGCTGTCCTGCCACCCAAATTTGTCGGCGACTTTACAAGTACTCATGAAACTTGGAGGTTGTCTGGTTTATTTGATTGTTTGATTTAGGTTGTTAGCTGTTACAATACATTTTTATTGTTTATAATTCATATTTTTTTTTAGTTTGTATGTACAAACATTACATGTATTGTTTGCTTGATGTGACTGTTATTTTTTTATAGCTTTTAGTATCAGCTTTTTGGTACTCACGAAACTTTTAGTATTTAGCTGAGATTGTTGGGATTTGTCTAGTCAAGTTTTGCTTAGTTTGAACTCGACTTATTTCTTAATGAGTCGATGTGGACCGAGTTTTGTCTAAGATTGACTTGGCTCGTTAAGGAACGAGTTGAGCTTGAGCTTGAGCTTGGCTAATTCATGAGCTCATGAGATCTGCTCGACCTCGGCTCATCAATCAGTTCACGAGCCCAGATCATTTATAAGTCTAATTGGTTGAACCTTTAAATTAAACTCTAAAATAATTTGAATACCATAATATTTGTTTGTCATATATGATACATGTGATTATTTTCATCACTAATTGATCTCGTGTTTATAAAAGTTGGTGTAATTTAGTTCATAATTTTTAACTAATTCATAATGTTTTATAATTTAGTTTATAATAATTAGTAACTAAGCATTATATAATACATAATTTCACTTTCAAATTATAGTGTGATGTATATGGTCATATATTCAAAGTCTTAAATATTATATATTATGAGATATATAATCTAAAAAACATATTAATATTAAGAGGCCACATCATAATTCGCTAGTCGAACTGGCTAGCTAATCACACTGTTATGCTAGCTCACTAGTTGAACTCAATGAACCATTGAGTCGAACTAGCTCGCGAGCCTCATGAGCTGAACAAGAACGAGCTCAACCTCAGCTCGTTTAGACGTTTACTAATGAGCCGAATTACAAACGAGTTTTTTCCGGGTCGAGCATCGACCGCTTGTGAGCAGCTTGGCTCATCCACAAGAGATGAATCGATCTGAACTGGGCTTGGAATGGTGAGTCTCGAGAACATGTAGCTACATCAATCACTCAGTTTCCCTTATCTTTGAGTCGTGGGCTTCAGTTATTTGCCTTAGTGTATGGGCCTGGCCTGGCCTGACGAATTAGTGGTCATTGCCCAGTATAGTCGAAAGTCGATCTATCTTCTGAGTGGAATTTTCCCATGCTTATAAGCAATTGTTTTTCGGGTTCAAGTTTTGTATCATAGTATAAAAAATTATAAAGACAAATTGAAAATGTTTTATAATGTTAAGATACATGTTCTCTTTGTGCCATAAAAAATATGTAAAATAAATATCGGTACAAACTGAATTGTACAATAATGTTAAATATATAAATTAGTTTATACTATAATATTTCATTTAACAAGAACACCCATACTTAATGAAACTCATAGTTTTGAATACACCAAATTATTTGCGTTTTACTTTTAGATATTTTGTTCTTTACCAAATCGCTTCCTTAATCGAATTTATAAGCAATCCATAACTGTCTTGATTAAGTCTCCAAAGTTGGGTTTTTTATAAAAATGAAACAATTTATGGAAAGTCGTCTTCTGCTTCCCTTTTTTTTTTATAACGAGGAACACCCTCCACGGTCACCACCTTTGTGATGCCGTAGTCGGGCTAAACCCCTGGACCTCTGCCGGCGGCTCGGGTGATAGCGGGATGCCTCCGGGAACACCATGGTGGCGGTGAGGATCGAACCTGGGACCTGACGGTCACCGGTCCGCCTTCCTTTTTTTATTTATTTCTGAGTGATATAAATGGAAGAAAATAGTTAAACTTACAATTCTACCAAAGACCCCTAGCAGATTCTAAAGAAGCCACCCCAAAAAATCAAAAGAATCTAGCTCTACACGAGACAAAAGCAGTGCTTTACGCGCCACTCTATGGGCAGCACTGTTAGCGGATCTAGGTACCGCCCTAAACTCTATACAAACAGACAAAGAGCTAAGGATCTGAAGACACTCTCGTAACACCGGTCCACCTTCCTTACCACCAGGCTATGTAGAATAGAAAGTCCATCGAAAAGGTTAAATATGTGGGGAAAAAACCCTAAGAAATTAATACTATAGTAAGAGAAAATATTTTAAAAAGAGTATAAAAACTATAATTCACAAAAAATCGACAAAAAATCAAACGTAAGACCATGTGTTATTTTTCAAAGTTTGGGGTATAAATTAAGTTGTATAATATTAAGAAAATTCCTCTAGAAGCATGGTTAGTTGATAATGAAAGGGTCAATTCCAAGTATAATATATGCAATTTTATTAAACTACTACTAGCTACTTCGAGATGGAATTTTCTTCGTGTGTGATGAGTTGTCTCGAAACTTAGAAGAAGAAAAAAATTAGAAAGCAAACTGTAGACATCATTAGGGAGCCAGCGTTGCTCTTCAATCTTCATACACAGCCTGCAAGCCATCTCCTTCATTCGATTAAGTGTTTCATTCCTCAGGTTGTGTTAGTTACTGTCATTTTCATCTCATCTCACATTTGTAGTAATTTTTTATTGTTATATATTATAGAGGATTCGGGGGCTTATTGACCTGTTAGACGTTCTTGTATATTTCATTCAATTAGAAGATATTTCGAATCCCTAAATTCGAAGCAAAAAGAAGGTTGAGGAAAGTCTGTGACCTAACGACATATAGAATTCAACGGTAGAAGCTTCCGACCTACTAATTAAGATGAAGTTCTTGGCTCAACTTGCGCCATAAATATTTGGCATAAACTACCTTTGTAACTAAAAGGATTGAGAGAATTGTTTTTACATGATTAAAATCATTGATTAATTACCTACAACCAAGTAATAAAGAACGTATGGTGGGAATGCTTGATTGATTGATAAGATTGTATGAGATATAAGCTAAGGTTGATGAGTTAATGAGATTCCGTGAAAAATAGATCATGCGCCGATGTGCGCGTGAACACAACCTAATTTGTGTGAATAGTTGATAAACTTGAGTGAAATATAGGGTTGATTATTAATCCAAAGTTTCCAAAGTGTAATTAGAGATTCTACACCCTTTCCCAAATTAACTGCAATAGTGCAAAAAACAGACAAAATGGAAAATGAAGAAAGAAAAAATTAGAGTACGTCTAAAAAACCCTGCCGTACGTACGTGCTCCCTTTTTTTTCATATGTACATCCCGCTGAGCTGGAACTCGCTACAAAAATCAACGAACTGATTACTAACGTCGGCCGAGCTCTGATCGTCGAAGCTGAACCGCGACGAGAAAACGTCGCCGCCGGCCGATCCATCGCTCGTCGTCGTTGTCGTAGTCATCGAGTTCTGTCCGCTTGTAACCTGATGACCTTCGAACAAAGGGTACCCATCAAACAAACTACTATTATTATCACCGCCAAACAACCCGCTGCTGGGGACGTCGAGTCCGAAATCGGCGCTCCCGCCGGCGAAACCCTTATTATTATTATTATTGCAACCCATCAACGGCTGATGGCCTGCTGCTGACGTGGCGGCGAAGCTGTCTAGAGATAGCCACTCGGCGAACATGGGCTTCGGCAAAGTGGGCCGTGGGCCATTTTCTTGATGATGGCCGTTGTCATAACTCTGCGGGTTCCACTGGTCGGAGGTCGACGGCGGCGGTGAGTACTTGGTCGGAGATGGGGAAGAATATTGGTCGGTGATTGACGAGCTGGAGGAACATTGCTCGATATTGACATGCGAAGTCGTTTCAAGAGAAGTTGGTGGTGGTGCTTGTTCTTTGAAGACCTTTTTCTTGAGGTAAGAGTGCCAGTGATTTTTTATCTCGTTGTCCGTTCTTCCGGGTAAATGTTGCGAGATTTGTGACCACCTGGGACAAATTCAACAACACTAATTAATATACAATTATTATTATTTATAAGTGGTTGAGTTTTTTTTTTAAGCTTTCGTCATTGATCGATATATTTTCATGTACGTAATTGTTATGCAATTGTCGTGAAATTGACTTCGAGATTGATTCGAATTCCGAGCTTACTTGTTGCCGAGGTGGTGATGAAGGGCGAGGATTGTATCCTCCTCGTGGGAGGAAAACATGCCACGTTTGAGCCCTGGCCTCAGGTAATTAATCCATCTCAGCCTGCAACTCTTCCCGTTCCTCTGAAGCCCTGCATGAATTAATCAATTACCAAACACATAATTATTAAACTTGTTTAGGGTTTTACGATGATTTTCTTTTTAATCGAAAGTCAACTTAAACCGGGACTTATTCATTTCATTGTTAATAAATAAATTATTATAATTCTATGATGCAATTACAATAAGTCGTTATATATCTCTGTCCCTCCTCCATATTAGACATCTCCATCCATCATGATTACTTACTCCACAAGCCATTTGACAATAAAGAAATCCCCCCATTTCATTAGAATGCTAGTAGTTACATCATAGAAAAGAAAACGAATGCGCGAGCTAATTAATATTAACGGAAGGACACCAGAGGTTATATCGAAAAAATTCAATGATAATTGATAAGGATATACCCTAAAGCGTTGTGTGATCTTTACTCTAAGAAAAGAAGGTAATTTATCCACGCTGTCTTATCATAATAATCCAAATTTACGATACAATATAGAGTAGTATTAATTACTGCATTAGAAAAAGTAGAGTACGTAACGTGAGGTTTTCGCAAGAAGTCAGGGTTTCTTTCTTATGTTAGGGTTTTAGAGGGAGCTAGATTGATGAATTGACTGACCGGCGTTGACCGGTACGGCGCTCCAGCAGCCGTGGCCGTGCTTGACGATGTAGATGCGGAGGCGGTGGTCTTCCTCCGGCGACCATAACCCTTTCTTGTGCTTCAGCTTCAGCTTCTGGTCTTGTGATTTGCTTCCCATTTTCATTGAACCTCACCAAGAAAATGGAATGCTAGAGAGAGAGAGAGAATCAAGGGTTTAGTTTTTCAATTCAATTATCTCTAATGGGTTGGCATAATTCAATGATGAGACCGACCATATATATAAAGAGTCTACTAATGTGTAATCCCTATATTATAATTAAAACAACAATCACAATTATAATTTTGGTCATATTTGGACTTGCCCCTAAAAAAGATAAATACTAAAACTGCTGTCTTGGAAAGTTGGTTAATATAAAATAAGGTTAGGGTAGCTATTGTATTTATTGTACATGATGAGTTTGTTTTTATTTTGAGCTTATTATGTTTAGTTTATCTTTCTAGAAATGTGAAAGTGGACTTATACCTTATAAGCACAATAGGAGAATGACTTCAAGGTTTATATATTAATTAGAGGTGGAGGCTTTCATGTCCATTTCAGCAAACATCTAATTAGGTCTTACGTTTTGTTATATATATATAAAAAAAAATCCACGAGTAAACTTCAGTAGTTCTGTACTTATTTGAGCTATCATAGTTCCATGAAATTATGGGTTTATTACCATAATTCTACTTGTTGAAAGTGAGTACTGAGTTTAAACACAAGCCCAATTGTTAACATCTATAGTTATGATTTCATCACACATCTTTCGAACCATTCAAAATTAGGTCGTACGCTTTGTTAGGGGGAAAACTATTGTGATTAAACTTCAGTTCTTTCCGAGTGAAAAAACTAGTTTATCAGTCCCAAATGATTAACCTGAGTTAAGACTTAAAGACAAATACAACCGATATGAAGTTTAAACTATTTTCTACAAGTTTGGATTAACCAAACTACTCTTCATACTTTCTAAGGATGATAAAAAGGTCAAACCATGAAGAATATAGCTCCATAAAGACAACGGAGTACATAACTATACTTCACATCTTCAGTCTCTTCCTCAAAAATTGAAAAGCACTTTCAAAAACCGGGCTAAACATAAGGAAAGTCTTAGTACATTATACATCCCTAGCTATTTAGAGCTTCCTAAAAAAAAGAGAAGCTAAAATACCAAAGGAATGAAAAAAGAAATTATAGAGAAAGAAATTGGAAAAAATAAGTCTATAGTGTCCTTTTCTGGAACCCATTCAAAATATTTTTCGCATTTTTTTAATGTATATAAATGAATAGTGGAAATTGTTAGGACCTCACCTAATATATGATCTGCATGATTAGATAGATTCATTGAAACCAAAATTTCAAATATGCAAAACTTGAAGACAAAGCTTTAGTATAATTGGTTGTTCTTGGTTTATTATTTATTTTTCATATTAATAACAGTAATATTATTATTGCATAACCCTCTCTAACTAATTGTTTTCCTGCTAAACATACAAATAATTGGAGGTTTGACGTGTAGAAAGGACATCCCATGAATCCTAATATAAAATGAGTATTATTTTTAATACAAAATAAAATAAACCCTAATATTGGAATATTTTGAGACAAATATACACATTATTCAAATAGTTGCTGGGTATATGAAGCATTCGAGAATCATGAATAATTTTGATTGGGAATCATTTGTCAATAATTGGCCTGCTAATGCTTCCTAGCTTATCATTGGTCAACTATTAAAGAATATTAAATCTTAGGAAACCAATAAAACGCGTTAATGAGTTCTATGGTTGGAAATTGTTACCGCTTGTCAATGAGCTTAGATAGTAAAGCATAGACCTGGTCTACTTGATTGAACTTGATCAGCGGTTTCTTTGAAGTAGATGCTGTTAAAGAACGGCACAATAACCAAAAACGAGTTTACCGAATCTGGAGCTGAGTCGCGGACTAGGTCGCTCTCTTTAAAACGTTCGCGGCACTGTCCTCGATGCGCACGACAAACTATCAACCTGTTGAATACGGGATAAAACAACCCCTCTCGTATGCTCGACGGTTTTGTGCGAAAACCGGAGCTCTATGAACACTCTCTTGTGTTTTTTGCTCGTTGTGGTGTGTTTAGAGGGTCTGAGGGGTCAGCTATTTATAAGAGCCGAGTCCCCCTAGAATATTCCTCTTGTCGTGCTTTATACGATACGTAAATTTATGTGTTGTGTTATCTCATTTATTAAATTTGTTTGGTCGGGTTTGGATCCTAACATGGTTTGAATCTTGTCATGCATACGTAACGTGTTGCGCTCATATTTATGTTTAATGAAAAGTAAGAAATAAAAGTGATAATGAAAAGAATTAGAATATTGAACGAAAATGAAAGTATTAATTGAGAATGTTTGGGAAAAAATAACAAATAGGGGAGAAAAAATTGAAAGTGTACAATGAGTGATTTAACCTTCAAGTGTTTTTGAATTGTCCAACCAACATTAATTCATTATTTGCGTAGTTATATTTGTAAACTTTGAACTTATAATTGTATTTATATTTATTTTCTCTGGAAGGTATTTTTTTGTGGCTTATTGTGCTTATACTCAATGGAGTCCTAAAAACATTAGGTCGACACATCCCATTTGTATATCATATCATGCTCGTGTTCATGTTTATAAAGTTTAGACCCGTCAAAATCCATAAACTATTACCGGACTAACAGATATATTAATTTTGCGTTTGTCCTAGTACAGTACTCACGTATACTAATTCTTGCAACACAAGTAACAAACAATATCATGAAATCAACACGAGGCATGTATATAGTCATGGAATCATGCAAACACATATGCAATATCCTAGCCAGCATAATACAATGTCTCTCCTTAAAGAATCGTATTCCCCTCTAGTACCCAATGTTACAAAATGATTACTCTCAGAATAGAAAGGACGTACCTTTCCAGCGTAGCGGTACCTCAAACCCAAAAACCATCAAACGCAGCGAAACGACGAGAACCACACTTGACTCAATTTTTCTCTTTAGAAAGATTGCAGAAAATCAGTTTGGGTTTTGGCAGATTTTGATATGGGAAAAACATATATAAAAATCATAAGAAATAGATGCTATTTATAGAAAATGAATGGATGTGTACGAAGAGAGGCCACTCTGAGTTAACTCAAATTTGCACCTAGGGCTACATAGGTTTCCTACCAAAAGGGCAAGTTGTAATATATATCTTTTAATTTGTATTTCAGAAAGAAACTGACGATCTAGTCATACGTTGGTATTACTTTGTGAAAGAGAGTAGAGAGATGAATAGTTAAACATAAAATGGGAGGAGTATGGGGATATCTATTAGAGACGTACGTACTGATGGCTATTCATCATGTCATTTGATCCGAGCTAATTCTAGTCTTTTAAGTTGAAAATAAACTTAAGTACTTTCTGGAAAATTGATCTTGTCATATTATCCAAAAGTTTGTAGGAATACCTTAATTCATAGTGACTAATCGTCAAACTTGATATGGAATCTGATAGACAATCTGAAACTGGACGATACTTCTATAATACGATCCAGAAAGTATTGTTACCTTCCTCAACTAAGTCTTCTTATTTCATATACGTGAGACCCTGATCTTCCTAATTGGAAGAAGAAGAGATTGATAGTCTTGATATATTATGGACCACAACTGACCTCTAAAATTTCTTATATACTAATTGACAGGGTGACTCTCATAAAATTGTTGAGTTTCTACACATTTAGATTTGATTTATACAATATGCGGTCCATAATTATTACTAGGAAATAAATTTTACTAGCAATGGATGCTACAGTAATAGACAAAATGATCCATCTTATTCGAAATTAGAAAACCGTGGAGGCATCACAAATTCACAACAATAGAGTAAGGGATTATTAATGCATGTCAAGTTGTCAACTCAACGATGATATCTCATATTCTAATTGGTGGTCGGAGAGATTTTAGTTAAAAAATTCGACAAGAGATCTCTCCTAACCAGATCATTTGTCTATAAGAACACGTAATCAGAGTGATAAATCCCAGTTGTCAATGATATACCAAATCAAAAATGAAAAATTCCAAATACACGTGCCTAATTAGGTGGTTCGAAGAACAACTGTTAAACCCTGTCGTTTTGGCCACCAAAAACTTCCTGTTTCTTTTCTATATAACATATATCATATTCCCACCTTGTCGAAAAACCTTAACCGAAGTGAAATACATAATTAAGACCTGTAAACATTTCTTGAAATTGAAGCAAGAACCAATAGCACAGACAGTGGGACTTTATCAAATGTTTTGTTAACCTACTCAATTATGTATGTGCATAGGTTTGATTAATTACAATTGTTTGATCTAATTAAATCAAATAGATTAAGTGACACATTGATGGTTGGTTTATGAATAAAATATGAGTTGATTAGTATTATTAAACGGTGATCAACAACCCCGCAGTACTAACTCTGAGGGTTTAGTGAAGAATTTTTTTTTCCAGAAGGGTTTGAAATTATGCAGCCTATGGCCGGGGCTCTTAATTACTAGGACTAATCACCACATTATTCCTACCAGTCAGTGAAATTAATACAAATGAGTGTCTAACTGTCTATAATCAAGAAGAATATCCTCCTTAATTATGATCGGCTCGTAATTGTTATTTATGCATGTAGTAAGCTAGACATTTACTTGGTACTTATAGAATATATAGCATGAACATATAAATTAAAGAAGAACAAACTAGGATCGTCCCGACATAATTCACTATTGTTCCTCAATATTCCTCTCTTGTTACTCACTGTTGATAAATGATTTCTCTAAAGATAGAATTGCGATTAGCTCTTATTTAACTTAGTGGTATTGCAAACGAAAAACATCGATTTTTTAACGAACATAATGAATCACACGACTCATGTTTTTTTTATGCTAAAAGATAGTTGCGAATGCAGGAAGATTGCAGAGAATTTTCAAAGCATAAAATAAAACAGCCAAGTAACGAAAACTATGGCGTAATCTGAAAAAGTTGCTTTGGTGATGGTTGGCCCAACCGAACAGGTTCAAATTAGCTGAAGACTTACACTGTTTTGAGTTGGCTTCATCTTGGACCGATTGAACCATTGAATAGTGTGATTGGTCCGATACTGAATTCAAACCAGTGCAGTTAGAAGTGGCAAATGGATATGGATTGGATTGGGGAATCCATAGATCATATGGTATGGATCAAATATTGGTGGATTCATGAATTGGATCATATGGATTGGTGAATTCATGCATATATCCAAATGACATCCAAGTCTTGGACCAATATGTAAATTTTGAAAATTTTAGGTACTAAAATGTCATTATAAAAAATCTTAGGCACCAAAATATAATTATCTATTGATATTTTTTCGTAATAAATAAATTTTAGGTACCAAATCTACTCCACCAACCAATTGGATTTGGATCAAATGTCTTGAATTGAATTGATGAATTGGATTAAAAATTGTCATCTCTGAGTGCACAGTGGATCATCAACCTTTTTTCATTCTACTATATTACTAGCCATAGAAGTTTATCTCACATAATCACTTACACAACCATTTTCATTTCTCATTTCACCCTAATATTGTACAAACTAAATTAGCTTTTAGCTTTCCTTCCTTCACCAAATTCCAACAATAATTTAAGATGAAACTTTAGTTATAATTACTTTTTAAATGAAACTATGCACATAGATATTAACAAATTGTACAAGCCCAAACGGCTGGAATATTGAATTGTAAAGAACTATTGACTTTGCAATATTGGCGGTGAATATATATAAGACGACCAGCGAACTCATCTATAGTGACGAGTGAGGGTGCCGATAAGCCAAACAAAATTGGGAGCCGGACTAGAGTAGGTAATTGGGTTTGCCTTTAAGAATAAGTTTGTACAGATCCTCTATATCATATGCTTAAAAATAAAGATTAATATTGGTGGTCATGAGAACTTGAATATGTGACCTCAAAGACAAATATGCTATGATACAATGTTATAAATCAACCGATCAAATGACTCGAATTGTCGGGAGAGATCCATGTATGGTATTTAACCACATCCTTACACGTGCCCTCAAATGAAAGATCACTCATAGACTTAGAAGTTTTCACACGCTTGCCATACTATCTATCTACACAATAAATAAAGGCCAAATGAGAAAACTTGAAGCCTCATTTCAAATTTCCTGCATCCAGAGTGAACGTAGGAAGGACATTTTGGTCTTCACAATTACTTTTTTTTATTCATTAAAAAGACACTTACTAGAATTCAAACCATGACCACTTTAAAGAAAGACAAAGATCATAACCAATCACACTAAGTACATTTGTTGTATATTTTTAAATTAAAAACATATAATCGCAGAGAGAAAAAACCCTTCCCCCATTTCAAATTCCCTGCTCCGGGAGCGTTTGTAGGAAGGGTAGAATAGGGAGTGTCAATTTTTTTTCTTTTTCCTCTGTGAAACGGGCCAACTTACCGTACACATGCAGATTTAAACGGGTCCAGGAGTGTCAATTTTTTTTCTTTAAGTCCTTTTATTTCTCCGTGGTGGTAAAATATATATGAAAAAGCAAAAGCAATACTCCCTTTTATTGGTAAAAAGAAAAAATTTAACAATAAACTAATGCATGGATTCTAATGGGCTAACCGCTAATCATAAAATAAAAGAGTTGAATGGGCCTGACCTACACGGGATTTGTCATGCTAAAACAAGCTATTTTCTCTAGCATAATATATATTATGCTACTATTTTATATCTTAGTGGCTAAAATATAATGCATTTTAAAGTTATTCAATGGTTCAACCTCGACCAACCCAATTAGTCAAATTTTTATCATTTCAAATATATATTATGTAATTATTTGATATCATAATGATTAAATTATAGTGTATATTATAGGGAATCGTTTGGTATTTGTTAGTAGAAAACTAAACAGAAAGATCTAATTGGTTATTTTTAACATTAAAACGATCCTAAATATTTTTAGTTTCCTTTCGAAATTCTATAGTTTTATTCCCAAATCAGTGATGTGCAAATGGCGAATTGCAGTCATCTCTTTTCTTTCATTATTTTTTATTTTCAAATAGAAAGTTTAAAAGTAAAGAATAATTAGAGTTTGGCATGGGACGGTCAAACATGTTGAATTTCAAATTTTGGCCCGTTTTGATCAAGTCTAATTTATAATCACATGGTTCCCTGATACCCGATAAAAATCTCAATCCAAACCAGTTTGGCAGGTGAGTCCGTGTTTACCACCATTTTCTAGGGATACATGTAAGGTGGTTCCTATCCCAAATCGTTGTGTTCATTCTTGATTTCTTTAGATTTTATTATGGCTTGGCAAAAAACCAGAAAGCACAATGATGACAAGATGAAAGTTTTATAAAGCAAATTAGTCGGCCAACGGGTTGAGTAAAAGCTAGCAACGATTGTGAGATGTTCATTTCCCGAAAACCCGCGGGATAGGCAATTTTTTTATTCGATTTTCTGGAATTCGGTTTCTATAAAACTTACCCCACCTCATCATATTACCAGAAACAATATTGTTTCACAGGTAACAAATACTTGATTTTGGTTCATAAGGCTGATTTTTGATTCGTTGCATCATTCATGTCTCTTTCCTACTAAAATTCACTATTTTTATCACATGTTTTCCAAAAAATACTATACAACAATAAGCTATACACCTATTACATTATCGAATTTCATACCTCACCTTCCTCCGGCCAAATGGCCGGAGCCCACGCTAGTGTGCTTTAAAGACAAAGTTTAATGTTAGGGGTCACGAGGACTTGAACATGTGATCTCCCGAACAAAACAACTACAATACAATGTAACAAACCAACTGGTTGCAATAATAACTCGAGTTGTTGTAAGATATCTATTTAATCATTTCCTTTTACACGTTTGATATCCATCAAACGAAAGCCAACTCGTTAATAAAATTCATGAATGTTATAAGAGATATCAATATTCAACTCACAAATATAATCTGCTAGCATCCAAGGTACCTTAAGAACCCAGTGGTTTGTGATAATTTAAAAGAGTTAAATTGTATAAACATATATGTGTTTTTGAATAATGACTTTCTTAAAAATTTGTTCATGTAATTGTCAGCGATACCAAGCCGCCCTTAAATTGTTTTGAGAGAGATACTCAAAGCTATAGCCGCCCAATTTGTTGTTTATCTAAATTTGTTAGAATATATAGTACACTTCAATCTACCTCACCAGTCTCTCTCTTAGCAAATGAAAAAAGAGTAAACAAAAATTATATTAGTGATCAACTAAAATGTTATAGAAGTTCCATTAAAAAAAAAAATGTCATAGAAGTTAATGTACTTGATCATGCTCGAAGCAAAACCAGAGTGTATTTTATGATGAGTTGGATTCAAATTCTCGTTATGCATGTTATATTCATTTCTGACTTCTTTTATACCGTGATTTATTATTTTGGAGTTTCATAATATGAATTAACTAATATCGATTCTTATAAGGGTGGTACTGTTCTACTTTTTGTGGTTTACGTCCAAACCTGAGATCTTTAAATTTAAAGTTAGTACTATTGTCACTAGACCGAAATTTTGTTCTGTGAGATGGTTGATGTGTGATGGAGGATGAAGATGAGGATGATGCAGGCCAGATGAAAGTCCACTGCTTGTTAATTCCTTGTGGTCTCTCTTTTGGTGGACATAAATAATCAATGGCTGTATTTGGTCAAGCAAAATAAAACCCCAAAAATAATTGATGAAAGGACGTCTGAGATTCTGCAAATTAACAACGTTCCTCATTACTATGCGCATGATCAGTGATTATGTCATGTTTTCACTAGAATTTTACTTTGTTTTCATAGAGGAGAGCCACTCACATGGATCGCGCTCAGGAATGGTAATTCGGACCAATCCAAATTGGCAATACAAGTATCACGAATGGATTCTTGTATTGTAGAGAAAATATGTTGTTTGGATCTTGTAATTTAGGCAATTATTGCAGAATCAATGTTGGAACAAATTGTTGCGACAAGCTCTCATCGTCAGAGATTGGACAGGAAATAAGAATAGAAAAGAGGAGAATATTAGAATTTAAAAAAAAAACACTCTGATATCATATTGCACTATCGATGAATTTTCAAATGAATGGATGTTTACACGGGAAGAAGGGAACATAAATTAAAGCATATTAAGTATTTTATCTGAATTCGAGCGTGATATTTTCGAGATGTTAATCAGCAAAATGTATTTGTATTTCTTAACGATAACTCTGATCTATGCTTCTAGCCTCTCAGCCTTGAATTTCATAGAATTCTCAAGCATGTGTGAGACTCTTTGCAGACCTTCAAAGAAAGAATAATCCTACCCAATTCATGGGGCAAATTTAGCTTCTCAAATCAATTTTTAACTCCAACACATGAAGTCATGATAACCTCTTAATTTTAGTTTTTTAGGTTTTTTTTTTATTTTATTTGATCTCTTTAACATAAAATCGTATGCTAATAAAATCTCCAAATATATAATAGTTAGTTACTTTTTGACCATATATTGTGATGACAATTGGTTCCAATTACTATATTTGGGCCCGTCCGTTGGCCGGATACATTTTGCTACTGAACATAATAAACAACAATCTGGCCGGATACATTTTGTCGGTGAACATAATAAACAACGATCCCAATTGTATAAAGTGATATACATTTTCATTCAATATTATTAAAAATCTTCCAAATTATTTAATATTTGCAAAAAAATAACAAAAAACTACATCATAGAGTTTAGCGACATTCTAACTGATTCATTGGTGAAAGTTTCTAGGGAAAGTTAGACAAAATCTCTGCAATAGGATCCACTCCGAAAACATTTGTAAAACCACAATTTGATTCACTGCTTGTTGTTAGAAATTACTACACATTTTTGGACTTTTTGAGATTGATATGTCATTAACAACATCGAATTCAAGTAAATATGAAGTGTTTGATTACTATCATACATAGTATAGTAATTCAAACTTTAAAGAAATCTTCTTTGATTCACGTTTTATCAACCTCATTTGTTTTTAGATAACAATGAACATTTATGTTCATACTATGAACCATCGTACGCTTGGATAATTGAGGTAATTGATTAGAACTTATGACTAATTTGTTTGAATTTTATATGTAATATACTATTTTCATGTTCACCTTTAAGTTTTCGAAATTTTAAATTATTTGGACGCTTCAAAACCTTAATTTTCCATTTGGATTTAAAAAAAAACTGAACTCCTAAATTTTTGTTACTTTTCAAAAAGTAATGCATGGTTTTAGTGGTCGGCGAGTTGGTTGGATTACTATTTTTCTAACCGAATCACTTTATGTTTGAAAGTTTTATATGTTAGATAATGTAGAAACACATATTGAAGGATAAATAATTTCTTGTGATTTTTACTCATATCATAATGTAAATGAAAAATAATAATTGGAGTACTTGAAAAAAATCCTAAGTCAATTTAGTTCATCCTTGTCTAAGTACTTTTCTGTTTCTAAATGATTCAATATAGTTAAGAATTCTAATACATTAATCAAATATACACACTCACTGTAAGCTAGTTTGGAGGCTTTTTTTTATTAGTGACGTGTCTTTTGGCTCCTTGGAACTTCTTTAGAGCTGCACATGTAGTAACAAAATTGTTTATTTCATCGGTAGGCTAGTTGCATACAGACTATCTCGTGTTATATTCGAATCATTGTTTTATTGTGTCGTTGTACCATGCCTTTCGATAAAAAACCTCTCATTTATCACTCATACTTTCAACGGTGTTTGCTCATTACTAACCCTTAAACAACCTTTATTATTCCTTCATTCAGGTTTTTGAATAAGAACTCTATGATCAATGTACTCAACTATATACCTAAAATTGTGCCAACAATTATGACCATAATTTTTCGGTTAGGAGCATTCGGGTGTCAAAGATACTTAGCTAAGACGCAAGGCACTTAAACGTTTAACCTCAGTGAAGGTCCTTAAGAAAGCTAATTACATGTAAGAAATGTAATTTTCTGAGCATTTATGAATTTTGGTGAGCAATATTTTGGCATGAAAATGATCCTTAATTCCGAGCTCTTCCGAGCTCCAGATGGTTCAACTTACAGTCTTCAAAGACAGCATAGATCCTAAGTTCAGTATTGGCAGTTTAGTTTAAGAACTAAAATACAACCAAGTAGTTCTCTTAAATGATACCTTACTAAACATGTTCACAACTAATTAACCAAATACATCAATAACTAAAAACTTAAAAAGAACTAATAGATGAATTCACAAAGAGCACACAACATGAACAGATAAAAGAGTATACAACATTCAACCAAACTTCTAAAGCTTGTCAATAAATAGTATCATCATTTTCGTCAAGTTGTCGGCTCATCAGATATACGATAACAAGTCCTAACACTCATTCAACTTCGGGCAGCTAAGACGGCAATCCTTGAAATGCCAGGCAGAATTCATGTGGTGATCATGTTGAACTGGAATCTTGAAAGTTGTTGAGGGATGGTTGATATCACAGGACCATATCTCTGCCACCAAAGTAAGATGTAAGAATGACATTATTAGAAAGGAGATGCTATTTGGTACTCCCGTTCTAAAACTATTGTCGACACGGGCAAGATTGCATTACCTGCACATTGTCATACAGTTCGAACAATGGAACAGCGAGAAGCTTCAAATTTTTGGGGACTGCAAAGTACTCTCTTTCAGACAAGTGAACAAGAAAGAGCTTCTTACATTCCTGCAATACCAACCATATGAAAAGAGATGCATAAGTACAGTGCATGTGATAGTTATACAAAAGAAATGAAAACTTCAAACAAGTAGTCCACAAACCTTGGGCTTTGTTATGTGAGGGGGGCAGTATGGATACATGATGGTTTCAAAGTTTGGCCTCCACCAGATAGCCACACACTCACCAATCTGCAAGTTTCCAGTGGAAATGAGCAATCAAAAGAAAAAAGAAAATCAAGAGTGCTAAGAGAAAGCATAGGCGAAATTCTGCGTTCTGCTCTTCTATTACATTTATCTAGTTTCCTTGCAAGTTCAATGCTTAGTTTTGGAAATCAAGAGTGCTAAGAGAAAGCATAGGCGAAAAGCTGCATCCTGCTCTTCTGTTACATTTATCTAGTCTTCCTTGGGAGTTCAATGCTTAGTTGTGGAAAACAATGTATGCATAGCTTTGTTTGTCACCTAAAGTTTATTAATCCTTCTTCCCAAAAAAATCACTATCAATCAAGCAGCTATCAGAATTTGAATTTTACAGGGATAAGTACCTGCCAATCTGGTACAAGAGTAGGTGAATTAGCTCCAAGCTTGCTCGTCAATTTCCTCTTCAAACCTTCGATTTCTGTTACAGAAGTCCAAAAATAGTCAGTGCGCGATTCTAATAGCTTTGCACCACATAATTATAGCACAGTCCGTAACAAATGTGCGTATGAACATTCTGATTTAATGACCAGAACATATACCATTTTCCCCTGGCTTCAAACGTCCTCCTGGAAGTTTACAGAAGGTGTTTCCAATTTGCAGAAGAAGTATGTGAGGATGATTGTGTTCTTGTACCTGCAAGATTGTTGGACATTGTTTTACCAGACACATAAGGGCTTCAACATGAGAAGTCAAGAAAGGTCTGGAATGCACATGTTCTAAATACCATTCAACTCAAACATGGAAAGCAAAACTAAGATTATTAAAATAATTATTGGTGAGCTAAAGGGTAAGACATCATAAAAGTTTACATTCTAGGAGAAAGAGCAAAAACCAATTAAATCACTGTCTCCAAACCGCTGTATCATGCACATCAAAATCAGCATATGCAGCATAGCAATTACCAGTAGCTGGAGATTGATTCATGGCCGCCATGTGCCTTACATTGAAACCACCTAACATCAGTAAAATTTGACAGGATAGGAGGGAAAGACAAAAGAATGTGATGAAATAGGTACAAACAGTGAACTAATGGTTTCTTATGGCTACAAGCTTAGTGAACTCTAATTACATGAAGAAATAGTTCCACAATCAAAAAGGCATACTCTAATTACAAGAAGTAATAGCTCCACAATCAGTAAGGTTAACTCCAGTTACAAGAAGTGATAGCTCCACAATCAGTAAGGTTAACTCCAGTTACAAGAAGTGATAGCTCCACAGACCACAATCAGTAAGGTTAGCTCTGGTTACAAGAAGTAATAGCTCCACATTCAATAAGATCTCAAAGATTTTGCATTTTGCCAAGTGCCAATACCAGAAGAATAGCTTCCACGCTTGTCCTCATCCCTTCTTTCATATAGCTGCGCACAAACAAAAACAAGATTCAACAATGAACTCCACCACATTCTACAAAAAGTTCAAGAGAAGACAAGACTCTGGCAACCTTCATACAAGGCCAAGCTGGAAGCCTTCTCCCACATCCTTCATCTAAAAGGAAAATTTCAGTGCCAAGAGAAATTGCACCGAGAAAAAGACACAGCCTTCACCCTCGTGACATTACTCTCCCGCAAATCTAATGAAAACTTGAACTTCAACCTTAAACCAAAACCCTAGAATTCCCAGATCTTAGATCCAGAACCAATCCTAAGGCCAGCACAAAATCCTTTCAACACTAATCCAACCAAAAGAACAAACACAAGAGACACACACGTTTCAGTCACACGACGTTCCTGTTCCTACTACGATTCCAAATATCTCCCGGCAACCAAATGCAAGTGGCAGGTTTATCTAGGGTTTTCAAGTTCGCCCCCGGAAAGGAAAACATCGAACTACCAAAATCCAATGAAACCCAGAGCGACATAAGGAAAATATAAATAAAGACGGAGGAGCTCACTTGACTTTCATGCGGGCGAGGCGATCCGCGACGGAGGTGTCCTTCTCCATCTTGGGCTCTTTGGTGCCGAACGTGTAGCTCGACAGAGGGTACGTATTCACCACCGGAGAGCTCACCATCTTCTTCTTCCCCGGGTTCTGAAGATTAGGGTTTCGCTTTTGTTTTCCCGCTCTGTAAAATGGATCCTCTTCACCCTCAGTCCAGAAAGCTTGCGCGGCCGCGGAAAATTGGAGCTTCGGCTCGAGCCACTTCGCGGCTTGGTTTTCTCAGACAGTCAACTACTCAGTTTCGGGACTGATGTAAATCTTCTTCTTCCTTTTGGTTTTGGTTAATGGAATGCACAATAGCTTGGTGCAAATTAATCTCGATCTCGGATTAATATAGGGATTAAGGCGGTGTTAAATATGCTGGATCTACGGATGAGACCAGTTTGGACCGCTCTTTGCTACTACTATGGGCCTTGAGCCCAAAATGATGATATGGTAACATTCTGCAACTTTTCCCAATAAAGATATTGTCGGCTTTAATGTCTCAACTCTCACCGATTTCGACTTGTGGTGCAATTTAAAGTGACTTTTCATAAGGTCACTTATCCTTTTTGTACTCCACGCTGAGCATATTTAACTTCGGAAATCTCACAAGAACTCTTCTATTTCACCCCAAAATGCATATTGGCAGTTAAAGCCGATTTCTTACTTATGAACCATGGATCTCTCTTATCCTTTGTAGATGTGAGATTCGTCTAAGGTGTTACAATTAGCCAAAAAAAATTACCCTAAATTGAACTCTCCAAATATTGTATCTCTTATTCGTAATTATAATTTTTTTATCCAAGCAATTGATATATATTTTTTATGGGCAATGAAAAAAAATTCTTTTTAAGCTCAAGACGAGGAGATTAACACGCATACCCCACAAAAGTTTAGGTGATACAAAAACAACTCTTTTTATTGTAGTTCACAGGGTTATTAAAGACTTTGCACTAACATTTGAACAAGTAATCCCCATTAATATATAGTAGAGTTTTGTGTAATTTTCTCCATTTCAAATTTTTTGTAACGAGAGTGAAAGTAGGAAGGACATTTTTGTCTTTATAATTATTTATTTCAAATAAAAAATATCAATATCAAGATTTGAACCCAGGTCTCTTCAAACACGGACAACAAACATAACCAACTACATTAAACGAATTTGTTGTTCTTATTTGATACAAAACATACACTAACCTCTGGAAAGTTAATGACTTTTACATCATGATCAACAAGCCCACTAAGTCTACCATATTTATTTTTATGGTGCTTAATACTTCAATTTGCATAGTAGAGTTTCATGTAATTTTATCCATTTTAAAATTCATGCTCTCCTTAATTTTTGCTTAGGTAAATTTGTAATTGGCTAACATGGAAGAAACTATTTCTTTTACTACGTGTTGCGTCATTGTATTTTTCAATTTAAAATTAAATGTTGTGCTTTTTTATCTTTGTTCTTATCTCTTTATAACTTCCTCCAAAAGTCCCTCCATCGTGCAATAATTTGGCCCTTTCACTTCCCAGTACAAGAACGCATTTGAAAATTAATCTTCCGGTTTCTCTTGGCACGACAGTTTTATTTTTGGGATTTAAACTAGGCAAATAGAAAATTTCAAATCCGATATCAATCCATGGCGAATAGAATGGAGTTCAATCAAGTAGTTATGAATTTAAATTTGGAGTAGAAGAGTTGGAATTGAGTTTGAGAATGGAAGGGGGGGGGAGAAATTGTGTTTGAATTTGGTAGCAGGTAAAGTTCCACTACAACAGGTGAAGGCAGAGAAGAGGGAGTTGGAGAGGGTAGTGAATGAATTGAGGTGGGTGTTGAAAGACATGGTAGAGAAACTAGAGCAGTTAAATAGAGAGAAGTGAGAGATGATGAGGATAATAATGAAAGTGGAGAGGTTATGGAAGGACATGGAAGTGGACTAAAGCAGGTGAAGGTAGTCAAGGGGGAGATGAACATATTGATGGAATTGGAGATGAGTGTTGGTTTTAGCGAACTTATTACAAGTGCCCTGAGGAAATGAAGTTGTTTGGTTGAAACATATGCCTCTTGAGATTAAAGATAGAGTGGATAAAAATTTGGTTGTTCAACGGAGAGTGGTGGCTATTGGCTCTTTAGGTTTATGGTTTTTGCAGCTACCACAACCTATTTATATGTTAAACGAGAAATCATTGATTTACTGAATTAGGTCGATTCTTTATTAAATACTGAAACTTATAGAAAAGGAGTGTCTAATTTTGTGTCTTATGACTTTGATCAAGTCTATTAGTATATTGGAGATAATCCTAATTTTGTCGTTTGCTCTCAAGTTTTGATGGTTTCCTTTTAGTTTAGTTTGTAGTATATAGTTGACTTGAACCAACAGCTCTCAATTTCTTTTTTATTAGTGGCATGTTGTTCCTAAAAGAAGAGCATTAAAGCCTTTATGTAGGATTGTGAGGTTTTAGATTCAGTTTCAAACTATATATGGGTCATGTGGTAATTCCAGTGAGCTTTTATATTCTATCTTTCTTGACAATTAACTAACCAATATAATATTATCATTATGAAAATGAAAATGAAATCAATGATACATTTTTATATTTTATATTCTTAAAAGATGATGGTATTTCTTCGAGTGTTCAACCTATATATTATTTCTTTATGTATCATTTAATTCAAAAGATTATCAAAAAAATTAAACAGGTTGATAGACTTAAACTTAACATAAAATTATAAATAATCAAATATGAACATTTCGGCCAACGGGCCGAGTTATAAGCTCGTAGTATATACGAACTAAATCTATCTTCTTAATTGCATATCCAGCATGAGCTAGCTCAAATACGCTCTGAATTCTTGTCACCGCCCCAGTTGGATCAACACCAGAACCACCATAGAATGTGTTCAGCAGCTATGACCTTTTTATTATATCAATTAAGCAATTCAGCCGCCAACAAAATATTGTCACTTTTTTAACTCTTTTTTTTCGTTATAAAAGCAGACTAATTTTTACTAATCAAGATATATGAGTAAACACACTAGATACAGTCTATTATAGCCAAAACTTTTGCAATACATTTGTAAAGTACATTGCAACAAGAGATAAACCTGAATAGTTTCCTATGATGAGCATGATATATATCGTATGTGACTAACAAAAAGAAAGAAAATTTCAAAGGATCGTTAATATAACAAATATGTAACGGGTTCTGATGCAATGTTACGATCAACGATCACATAAATTGATAAACTCTAATCAGCTTATTATATGGATGGAGCATTTTGATTCGAAAGTTGCACCGAAAGCTTTGAGCTTGATCAAAAAAAGAAAAGAAAAAAACTGGTTGAAGAATCGAGATCTCGTCTATGTAGATAACTAGATAAGAAGTACAGATAATGAAGATTTGGATAGGGTGTGGGAGAAATCACTGCCAGCTTCATCGATCGTCGTTTTCTGGTCTAGCTAGCTACTTCTCTGCAATACCTTGGAAAAAGGTACTGCTGCTGCTGCTGCTGCCGCCTACTGTCCCCAGGCAATTTGTTCATTAAAAGATAAGGTGGGGGGAGACAGCAGATCGACAGGAGCTTTAAAGTAGGGGAAAGTGGCAATCGGTACCCAACTCATCATTTGCATAATTTACGCATATGATCATCACTGTACAGAGACACAGACGACTCAGATCCAACTGCCCAGGAACGTTGGATATCAGGACAGGATCATTAATCTAATAATGCACACCTCTTCCTTCCCATTGTTTTTAGCAAATTTGCCTCTTCTTTGTACCCCTCATCCCAAACTGCCAAAGAGTATTCTCTGTTTTAATATTTCTATACAACAAGAGTAGGAGGTTACTACTACAATTACCCATGAAAAATGCTAACAGATATATATATATATTCTCTTAAAATTACTATTCAATCATTTGATCGCAATCATTCGTTAAGTACATGCATGACTGTCAAACAATAATCGCCAAATTGAGTAAAAAAAAATTGATGGAGGGAAAAAAAATAGATCTCTCTCAATATATTATCTTAATATCTCCCTATACGTACCTACCGCCGGAAAGTAACGGCAGGACCGTCGTCGCCCGCCGTCTTCTTCGTCCCTTCAAACACTCGCAACGACCCGTCCGACCCGCCAGCGACAAACGTGCAACATTCCCCGCCGTCATCCTCCACGCCTCGCTTCCAGCACACGCTACTCACGAACCCGCCGCCATGCTGCTGCTGCTGCTCAGACCCAAAGCCCGCCGGCTCGAACCCATGCACCCAAATCGGTTCGCCCCACCTCCGGTCGTACACAAACGCCCGGTTATTCTCCGACCCGCAGCCCAACAGCCCGCCCCGGGCCCACACCGAAAGCCCAACGAAATTCCGGCTGTTGGAATGCCCGCGGTACGTCCTCACCGCCGCAGCCTGGGAGCTCTTCAAATCCCACAGCTTCAAGCTGCCGTCGATGGCCGACGACACGAGCGTCGACGTTTCGTCGAGGAATTTTACGTACGTCACCGTTTTGGCGTGCCCTTCCAGGATAAGCACCGGGTGGACCATCATCCTTGCGTCGTACACGTAAACCCTCCGGTCCGCGCATCCAACGGCCAGAACTGACCCGGCCCCACTCCCGAACTCCACGCAGCACACCGCACAGCCGGTAACGCTGGGCCGCACCGCAGCCACACACTCCCCGCCCTCGCACCGCGGGTCCCACAGCTGCGCGGTCCCGTCGTCCGATCCCGACGCGCCGATGGCTGGGTGGGAATTGGAGTAGTCGACGCTCCACACGCGCCGCCCGCCGTGCTCGTCGCGCTCGAAGGTCGGGATCCCTCGCTCCAGGTCGTACTCCGTCACGACGCCGTCGTAGTCGCCGCAGCCGATCACCGCGCCGCCGGCGTGGGGACGCCACCGGAGGCTGCTGAGCTTGGCCGGCGTGCAGATGCAGCGGGAGCACGCCGCCGCGTGGTCCAGCTGCTGAGGCGGAGCCGAGTCGTCAATTGGCGGCAGCAGTGTGTGGAGGGGGTAGAGGCGGATCTTGCGGGCGATGCCGCCGGTGGCGAGGAGGCGGTCGTAGGGGTCGCATTCGATGACGCCGAGGGCGTCGGAGACGGTGGAGGAGGAGGAGGAGGAGACGGTGGCGCGGAGGTTAAAGTCCCACTCGCATCTGGCGCGCTCTTCTTCTTCTTCTTGGACGATGATTGATTCTGCTTCTTCCGCCGTGGGTTGGAGTTTAAGATGGTGGTCCGGCGGCGATTCCTGGTGATGCTCCTCCTTTTTCATTGCCCATCCAGAAATTTTGTATACTGTTGTTTTGGGGGTTTATTTATAATAATAATAATAATAATTTTGAAATTTGGAGGAGCTGGATTTTGTTTTCTGTTTATAGGGGTTCTGGACCAATGAGAAGTTCCTCCCTAACCCTGCCTGCCTGCCTGCCTACACTCTGATATGGATAAATAGGCTGGACTTTCGCTTTATATATTTTTTTTATTAATATTCCTTTTTGTTTTGAAAAAAAAAAAAAAGATTTGTTATGTCTCTCAGTCCCATCCTGCAAATTGCACCACCGCCATGCCCGCCAGGCGCCAGCCACCCAATAACTTCGCCATAAGAGATTTTTGTATCAGTGAAAAGTCAGATGTTACAACTTACTGCGATTCTGCGAAGATTATGAGTCGCAATAAGTAAATACTAACACTACTTTTGGGTACTATCACCATACGTATAGTTTGGAGTTAGGTTGACTAGCGCGGAGTGTGTTTCTCGAATTTGATTTGCGTTCCATGTGAATCGTGATTCAATCTAATTCAGTAGTTGTGAGTGTTCATGTAAGTGGAGATGGACAACATTTTGCATCAGGTACTCTTATACAAGGATAATGTGCTACGATAGCGTGCTACGAGCTATATGCTTCTAAATCGAAACAAATATAGCATAATGAGCAACGACTCAAAACTCAAAAATGGAACGAGAACTACGACGAAACGTATTAATATGATCTTTGTTACGTCTTTCAAGCGGTACGGCCGTATTGGCACTAGGACTGCAAATCAGCCAAACTGGTTAAGAGCGGTTCGACGTTCCGATGGGGGGGGGGGGGACTCGTTGGACACTCGACTCTTTTGCTAACGAGCTATTAATCTTGAGTTAATAAGTCGTGTTCCGATCGCAAGACTCGATTACTTGCTAGACACAACTCGTGAGCTAGCTCCTTCTATTAGATATGAAAGGACTCGACGATATAACTCAACCGATTTCACGAGCTAATTGACGAGTCGAATTCGAGCAGAGCTCCCCAAGCTCATTGATGACTGCATCTCGAGTCAAATACAAAATCGAAGTTTTAGTTAACAAGTATTGTTCTAGGTCAAGTTCAACTCGTTTATTAACAAGTTGAGCTTAGCCGAGCCAAGCCCAATTTGAAACAAATTGTCAGGTAGTTGGAATGAGAGAGAAAAAATATGCCGTACTATTCGAGGAAATACAGGGAGGTGGGCATTAATGAGAAGTGGTGGGTGCTATAAAGAGGGGGGGGGGGGGGGGGCAGACTCGAGTGGTGGCTGCTTTTGTACCTCTAGATTTCTTTTGGGTATGCATATATTTACGTATTATGTGAAAGGAATGGTGTGAGCGACCTTTCCTTTCCCCAAAAATTGCAGAAACAAGAGATCGAATGGTATATATGGACTCGTAGGCTGCAACGGACAAGTACTTTGTACCTTTTCTTTTGTCTGTGTTACGTGGTTTAAGCCAGTCCAGCCTTTTTTCCCCTTTTATTCTCTCCGAGCTAGGAATGACAACAAAATCCGAACTCACGGGTACCACCCGACCCAACTCAGTCAACGTGGGTAAAACTCGTGTTGACGGATTTTGGGCCGCGTTCGGGTTTAAACTCGTTACACTATTCATCGGGTTGGGTTTGGGTTTAGATAAACCCGCCCTATGGGTACCCGCCCTTATCCATATAATTAATTTTCCGGGTTATTTAATATTCTAAGCAATATATCTTCCTCAAACAACTAATCTTCTTTATATTTGTGGAGACATGTCTAATTTGTTCTTTCTAATTGTGTACAATGAAGTTGATATTATGGAGTGGAGAGTGAAGAAGTTTAGTTGACGAGGAATGAGCTTTCAATTAATTATGTTATTTATAGATTTTTATCTTTAATTTTGAACAATTTGTATTGATAATTTGCGGTATGCTTGTATGCTCTAGATTAGTGTTTTTTTTATGGATAATTTTTATGAGAAAATTGTTGTTAGACTTTTTTTTTTAAAGAAATTTGTTATTGTAAATTTTTTACCACAAAAATCCATGGATACCCAGCGGGTTGGGTTGGGTTTGAGTTTTTCAAACCCAACGGGTTTGACCTCGAATTTTTTACGGATAAACTCATGAATTTGAGTTTGGGTTTGACAAAACCTGCCCCAACCCAACCCATTGCCATCCATACTCCTAGCTGCCTCTACTTCTAATCTTCAGCTTTTGTTAATCTCGAATTATGTGGCATCACTTTCCTACTTCACTAACTAACTAACTAACTAAGGGCTACGTCGTACTAAGATGGTTTAATCGCTTTACGACCCGGGTTGGATACTCGTGCTTCTGCATCGTTTCTTCCTGTCTGCAACTCTTGGTTGGTGTGGCTGTGAATGCAAGCTCTCATATGGTATTTCTCGTTGCTGTCACTGGCTTCATCAAACATGCTTTGATAACGGGCATAAAAGGAAGAAGATTGACAAAATCTGCGCTTTGAGTGACAGGTGATGTAAAATTGGAAATGGGGGGAAAAAGGCGGGTATTAGTTAATGCGGGTGGGCCGGATGGGGACGGCGCATTGTTTTAGAATCACATCACTGGGCCAGCCCAGGAGGGGTCGGGGGCCCAATCCACGTAAAAAAAAAATGTTTCTGAACTTTCGTTTTTGTGGTAAGTTGCTGAGCTTTGTTCGTTGATAGGTTAGTTTAAATTTTTGATTGCTCTTTTTATGGTATTGATGTGGACAATTGAGGACGAGAGAGTCTGTGGATTTGGAGGTATTTGCGTTGTGATAGAAATAGAGGGAGAAGCGTGGGTTTGGTTAGGGGCGGTAGTTCGATTACCGGTTAACCGACCGATTAAACCAATAAACGACCGGTCATCCACTAACCGGTAACCGAACTTTAGTCGGTTATCGGAGGCTGGACGAAATGGTTTTTGATCTTCAAAGTGGTTTGGTTAACCGATAATCGAGATAATCGAAGCCTGTTTTGGTCGGTTTTTCGGTAGGGGAGGTGGTTATTTCGGTTAACCGATAATCGACCGATCGATTACCGGTTATAACTGAAATAACCGAATTGTCACCCCCTGGGTTTGGTTGGTTGGTTAAAGCGTGAATGGTAGTTACTTGCTAATATTCAAGAGAGATAGAATGTTCATAGAATAGAAGGTATGTATATATGGTTGAATTAGAAGTTTCATTGTGTTGGTACTTTGACCAAATTGTCTAACAAATATTTCTGTGACCCGATGTTATTTGAGGGAGAAAAAATTGTTTTGCAACGCATCGTTGTTATGCTACTTTTAGATTACATTTTTTAAGAACCGTGTGTGTGTTGATGTTAGGCCGTATTATGGTTTGATCCAAATAAAACAAAGTTGAACTGGATTGAGTTAGTATAATCATTCTATTTGCAAGAACTACGGATCTATGTCGCGTCCGTCTAGGGTTCGTTGTTCATGGAATTATAGAAAATTGGAAATGAGAATAGAATTAGGGAATTGGGTTGAATGAGGAAGGAAGAAATCGACCTCCGGGGGAGGATGATGGCCAACGGTAGTAAGGAGATGAAGAGAGGATTTTCGGTGAGGAGGGAGAGACTAGAATAGGATTTAGGGAATAATTATTATGTTTCATACTGATCCAATCTTTTTAAATGTTTCCTTCTGATCTAATATTGAAATGTCACATGGATTCATGAATTAAATATACAAATTCATAAATTTACCAATTTATTTAATCCAGATCAATAAATTCAATAATGAATCCAATCCATTTCTCATTTCAATCTTCTGAGTAAGTGAGATTATAAACACAATATCAAAGATCTATTCTCCGTGAAAAATCAGGAAGTCATCTTTATGATTTAGACGAGACTAAACGATATGAAAGATAGTTGGGTGTGTGATTTGATTTTCAGCCTTGACGGTGACCAAAATAAACATCCTGGACAATCTTTTCGATCTATAACATCCTGGCCCAAACTATACATCAAAATAACTAAATTGGCCAAACACGACGTTTGACCGTTAACTTGGACGGTCAAACGTGTTGACTAACGGTCAACGCGCCACATCATCCCCAGTCAGCACAGAACACTTAAATAATTGATTTTTTTTCCACCTATTACCATTTATATATGTTATTGTTTTTTCTTTTCTTTTTATATTTATTTTTAACTTAATTAGAATAATGAGATTCTGTGTCTTTTTTTAAATTTTCAACATTTTTTATGCTGACTGCGCGATGATGTGCCCGTTGATCGTTAGTCAGCACGTTTGAACGTCCAAGTTAACGGTCAAACGTCGTGTTTGGCCAATTTAGTTATTTTGATGTATAGTTTGGTGTAGTTATAAATCGAAAAGATTGACGAGTATATTTATTTTGGTCAAAGTTCAGACCATACAAATATATTAACTCTTAAAATAGAAAAAGAAGTTGCAAAAAGGCGCGCCAAAACCGACGAAAGGCCTTACCGATATCACTTCCCAGCGCCAGAAGCACAGAACCCAGGTTCCGCATCCAACTCTTCCACTTCTCCTCGCCGTCGCCATGGGCAAGCAAAAGCAGCTAGTCATGTCCCGCTTCTTTGCTCCCAAACCCAAAACCCCCGACGATCCTTCTCCGCCGCCTCCGACCACTTCTCCCTCCCCGAAAATCGCCGCCACCGTCTCTTTCTCCCCCGCCAAGCGCAAACTCCTCTCCAACCAACTCACCACCGCTTCCAAAAAACCCAAACTGTCCCCGCACACCCACAATCCAATCCCTTCGCTCCACCAGAAGTTTCTCGACAAGCTCCTCGAACCCACTCCAATCGAGACCCCGCAACCCTCGCCGTCGATCCAGGCTTCGAAGAAATACACTCCGCTGGAGCAGCAAGTGGTGGGCCTGAAAAAGAAGTACCCCGACGTTCTATTGATGGTCGAAGTCGGTTACAAGTACAGATTCTTCGGGGAAGACGCGGGGATTGCGGCCAGGGTGTTGGGGATTTATGCTCATATCGATCACAACTTTCTGACGGCAAGCATACCAACTGTTCGACTAAATGTCCATGTGAGGAGACTGGTGAAGGCAGGGTACAAGGTTGGGGTGGTTAAACAGACCGAGACCGCCGCGATTAAGGCGCATGGGGAGAACAGAGCCGGCCCGTTTTGTAGAGGGTTATCGGCGCTTTACACGAAAGCTACGCTGGAGGCGGCGGAGGATATGGGTGGTGGGGTGGAGGATGGCTGTGGCGGAGAGAATAATTACTTGTGTTGCGTTGTGGAGAAGAATTTGTTAGTGGAGGAGAATAAGGATTGTGGTAAGATTGAGACTAGGTTTGACGTGAAGATTGGGATGGTAGCTGTTGAAATTTCAACTGGGGATGTTGTGTATGGAGTGTTCGATGATGGGATTATGAGGAGTGGATTGGAGGCTCTGGTTCTGAGCTTGGCCCCTGCTGAGTTGCTTCTTGGGGAGCCTCTCTCGAAGCCGACAGAGAAGGTAGTTTTGTCTTTGTCAGTGTTTCAGTTAGGAGTATGACATGATGAAAAATTAAGTCTTGTGCAAATTATAGAATGATTAAAAGATACATTTGGGTAAGCTAACGACTTGGGTGACAATCTTTCATTTCTCCAGTTATTGTTATCATATGCGGGGCCTGCTTCAAATGTTCGAGTTGAGCATGTCTCACGTGATTGCTTTAGCGAGGGTGGTGCACTTGCTGAGGTGATGTCGCTATATGAATATCTGGGTGAAGACAAGCTGGTGGATGATGGGAAGCGAATGGCAGAGATGTCTGGGCGGGAAAAGCACCACCCGGCAATTGAGGTGTTCAAATTAATGGCATTTGATGTTCTATTGGCATCTCCCACATGATATCGAATCCCCACTTGCTTAAAAAGTTATTCCCTAAAAAATATCACTTTTTTCTTGTTTCTGCAGGGAATCATGAACATGCCTGATTTGGCTGTACAAGCACTGGCCTTGACTATTCGTCATCTAAAACAGTTTGGGTTTGAAAGAATCTTGTGCAATGAAGCTTCATTTAGACCTGTCTCAAGCAATATAGAGATGGACCTTTCAGCCAATACGCTTCAACAGCTAGAGGTGTGAAGTGCTTAACGTGAAACTTGAAATTGCTCTATTCCCAGTAGCCTTTTTGGCTCTGAATTCATGTCCCTTTCAAGGATATCATAGTATATGTGCGATAGCATATGCATGCACCTTGTTTGCAGAAGATTTTAGGAGGCTTAAAACGTTTTTTCTGAAATCAGTTCACATGTAAATTAAGAACATGTCGATGAGATGTCCATCACTTGATAGTCAAGAATCTTGATCTGCTTAATGAAACTCTTTGGGATCTTGTTTTAGGCCATATTCTTATCCTAATTTATGCTTTTATATCATCCAGATTTTGACGAATAACTCAGATGGATCTGAGACTGGATCCCTGCTTCATGTACTGAGCAACACTCTTACCATATATGGTTCAAGGCTTCTTAGACACTGGGTATGGGGTTTCCTTGATTAATATGTGGTTAATTATTTTGTTACAGCTTTATTGTCCATTATATGTCATATACTATTTCGTTTTTCATGAGACAGGTGACTCATCCTCTATGTGACAGAAACTTGATCCATGCTCGTCTTGATGCTGTTTCTGAAATCTTGGGTTCTATGAGTTCCTGTAAAGCTTCTCGAACGGTTGGTGAGCATGATGAGGAAGGTTACCAAACGGCAACTGTGCATCATGACTTGTACTTTTTGCTTTCTTCTGTCTTGACAACTTTGGGAAGATTGCCTGATATTCAGCGTGGGATAACGAGAATTTTCCATCGAACTGCTACCCCCAAAGAGGTACTTATTGGGTAATCATGGTCTTGTTTTATATAGTCCTTGCATATTTTGCATGTTCATATACTTAGTGATATTAGTGACAGTTTGTTGCAGTTATTGAAGGCATATTATATGCTGGGAAACAACTTCAGCGATTCCACATTGAGGACCAAAGCACTGTTACGGATGTGAGAAGATCTGTACAGTCTGTTCTACTGAGAACATTGATTTCAACTGCATCCTCATCCAGTGTGGTTCATACGGCTGCAAAACTATTGTCTTCCGTAAGCAAAGAAGCAGCAGAGCAAGGGGATCTACTGAATTTGGTTATCATCCGTGATGGACAGTTTCCAGAGGTCTCAGCTTATATGAAGCTTCATCTTCAAAATCAGTGGTTTTTTTTTTGTTTTTTTTTTTTTTTACATTTTGTTCAATGGTGCTTCTTAGTTTCTGATGCATCCAGAAAATGGTTTTTTCTCTTAACTTATTAATACATAGGTTGCAACAGCCCGCAAAGCCATTCAATTGGCAGAGGAAAATTTGGATTCTCTTATGCATTTGTATCGTAAGCAGCTACGCAATCGTAATTTGGAATTTACTAGTGTATCTGGCGTTACTCATTTGATAGAGGTAAAGGACAGACCTTCTGCAACTAATAATATGAATTAAGCTTTTCCCCTCTTCCTTTCAGAAGCATTTGTGTTGATGTGGAAATTCACCCAGTTTGGTATATATTATATGTTTATTCTGAAGGCCATCTTCATCTGATTCTTCCTGCAGTTGCCCTTAGATGTGAAGGTGCCCTTGGATTGGGTAAAGGTAAACAGTACCAAAAAAACAGTCCGTTATCATCCTCCTGAAGTATTGAGTGCATTAGACCAGTTTCAAGTTGCTAAGGAGGAGCTGATGATAATTTGCCAAGCTACCTGGGACAGCTTCCTAAGGGGCTTTGGTAAATACTATTTAGAATTCCAAGCCGCTATTCAAGCACTTGCTGCTTTGGATTGCTTACACTCACTTGCCACTCTTTCAAAAGCTAAGGTACAATTTGAGCAAAGTATATATGCTGAGCTTTTACTAGTTTCATGACAATAAGTGATATATATTTGTCGCCTGTCAGAATTATGTCCGTCCAACCTTTGTGGATGACAGTGAACCTGCCCAGATAGATATCTGCTCTGGTCGTCACCCGGTATGTTTTCTTGTAGTAAAATTTGCTATTGTTTAAGTTTCAGCTTCAGTAAAGATAGTTTCTGAACTATTTTGGAAAGGTAATGGTTATAAATTTGAACCAGGTTTTGGAGATCATATTGCATGATACTTTCGTTCCAAATGATACTAAGTTGAATGCTGATGGAGAATATTGCCAAATTGTGACTGGTCCGAACATGGGTGGGAAGAGTTGTTACATACGCCAAGTTGCTCTCATTTCTATCATGGCCCAGGTGAATTCTACTATTCATTTTCCCTTTAATATTTGCCTTTTTAAGTACCTATTAATTAGGGTAAGTAACGTGTCGCCTGATCCATCTAGGTTGGTTCATTTGTACCAGCATCATCTTGCAAATTGCATGTGCTGGATGGTATCTACACTAGAATGGGGGCTTCAGATAGTATTCAACAGGGTCGAAGTACTTTCCTAGAAGAGCTTAACGAGGCTTCAAATATACTCCACAAGTGTACACACCATTCACTGGTCATAATCGATGAGCTCGGAAGGGGGACAAGCACACATGACGGGGAAGCCATTGCATATGCTACTTTACACCACCTTCTGGAGCAGAAAAAGTGCATGGTTCTTTTCGTAACCCACTACCCAAAAATATCTGAGATTAAAGCAAGATTTCCAGGCTCTGTGGGGGCATACCATGTGTCATATCTTACCTCAAAGAAAACTGTGGATGATGCTACCAACTCGAGCTCTGGTGCTGGTGATGATGTAACTTACCTATATAAGCTGGTCCCTGGCATTTGTGAGAGAAGTTTTGGGTTCAAGGTTGCTGAGCTCGCTCAGGTAATCTCTCTATTCTCAACATCTGAATGCTTCATGCGAGCTTTAAGAAGGTCCAACTTTGGAATCTATGATTGTCTAGACAGTAGGGTGTACAGTGCGATTAATCACGCTGAACTGCAGCTGAGCCAAACCTCACAGAAACCAAGAGCTCCTTGTTGCGTTCCAGTGACGTTACTTGACTGTAGAATTCACCGAAAATTCGGGTTCAGTTCGGTTTAAGTGCACCACCGGTTCCACCTAACCAAGAAACTTAACCAAATGTCTCAAATTTTCTTACACCTAGTTCCTTGTATTTATATGTCTCACTCTCATTTCGTGGTAACACTTTAACTTTCTTGCTACCTCTCGCAGTTACCATCCTCGTGTATAAGACGGGCCACTTTGATGGCTGCCAGGCTGGAAGCTGCTGAAAGTGGCAAACTAGGAGATGATAAAGAACGAATGCGGTTCATTGATCACCAAGACGCAGATCAAATTTCAGAATCTACACAAACAATGGGCGATGAATTCGGGGAATTGTTGATGGACATCAACTCTGCGTTTGCGGGTACACTGGATTGTGATGGTCCAAGATTTTATGAGCGTATATTGAATGCCAGAGAAAGAGCAAGGGAATTATTGACGAAGTGAGTGAACTCTTCTGAGTTCTGATATTACTTCCTTCTCTGTAATTTATAATTAATTATGGTCTTATGGATGATAACTGCTCTGTTTCTTGGTACAGGTTTCCCCCTTCGGGTTCTCATTCGTAAAGGAAGAAGCCTCTCTGGGCATTTAGCATTTTGGCCTCGAGGCATCTGCATGTCACTAAAAGCTCTTGTATGCATTATGTACAGTTATCATAATCTATAGCTGTTGATTCACTTATTTTCACTGGGAGATTTGAGTACATTATAACTTTACCATTGCAATTACGTGAATGTCAATCCTTAATGCTAAGCTACGAACAATCTAAGGTCTCTGCCTTCTTCTCAAATGCTCCTGTGCACCATTGTACTGTCATTACTATGAAGAGGCGAAATCGACATGGCATTGTTCGCTGAATCTGTTTCGTCATGCAGAGCGTCAATCGACCATGCCCTTTCTGTGATTCTGTTTGCTCTTGCATTTTGCTGATTTTGTTTCTTCGCCGGACTCCTTGGATGCAAACCTTCTGACTGGTGCTGGTGGCTATTAACGAGCACGACATATGCTATTGTTGTCACACAATTAAAATTCAACTTAACCCGTTTTAGTTTTAGCATCCTTTGTAGCATTGTATTGGTTTCATGATTAGTACCGATTGAACCAATGTAACTTTTTGAGCTTCGATTCAACCGGCCGATATGCTACCGACAATCCGGCATGACAACCATGGTTATTGCCCATGTCTTTCTTTTCACTTGGTACAGGGGGCAACAAAATTGGTAGTAGATGAAGTGAAAGGAGTAGTAGCCAATGAATTGGTCTAACGGAGAAACAAAGTTTGGGTGCCCACTTGATGCCAACTTGCAGAATTATTTGAGTCCGACAACAAATAGCAATATGGCACCAAATAAAGAGGTTGCCCAATCGGGACGATTGCCATTTGAAGGCGGCTGCTGTGCTTCTTCGGCCAAAGGATCACAAAAGAGTATAGCCAATCCTGACAGTTTCAACTTGCATTTCCACTAAGTAAATATCTTCAAGAGATCAATGGAGTGAACTCACATACCAACGCGATGTGTAATTTGATCCGGTGGTATCCACGGCAAAACTACAATTGAGAATTAGAAGGTCGATTTGAATTTTACGATATTTTTAATTCATCGTTTTCGACAAAAAATCTAAATTGTGTAGAAACTACTATCTAACGATCAAATCATACTTAATTGTGTATAAACTTGATAAATAGACATCATTTTATGATTTTTATCTAACAAAAAAAAAAGAGTAATTCTGCGGTAATTACATCAACTCCTTCAAACAAAGATTTGAAAGACGTACAGTATGGAACGTTCGACTAGAAAAACCTCATATCCAAAGCTAAACCGGTTGATGGTATTAAACATTATAAAATAACTGGACCACGATTTCATAATAAAATATCTTACTGCTACTTTTTTCGGTACAACTTACAATTCTTGCTTCAAATTCATTTGCATGGATGGTTGATGTTTTTTCCAGGGTACCAAACGCTTCCTTAGCATTTCAAAATGGGAACACGGGGAACATGAGATGAGATAGAACAATGGAAGGAGGCAGCCGCACGTAATTTTCCCGAACAAAACTAGACAGGAGATCCACTGGAAACCGTTTCTGTTGCAACATTTCTGCTATTGACCAAAAGTAAAGCCGGCACCGTGAATTTCATTTCAATTTCGTCAGCAACCCCAAAACGGATTCAAATTGGCGGATATAAACAAGATGAAGAAATCCCAGTAGTCTGAGCTCTTTCTCCCGACCAATGAAAGAGAGAGAGACAGAGGGCAATGTTTGTCTGAATCTCACCCTCACTGGGTCTCGCAGTGGACGAAAAAGTTTGAGGCTTTTTTCGTAAAATACCGCAGCTTGCCTCTTCCAGACAACCCAGATTCCGATTGCTCTGTCTCGTATCCTCTTTCTTTCAGTTCCACGCTTTTTTCTTTTTTTCTCCCCAAACACTCTTCTGTGTAAGGGGATCCAGTAGATTTCGGGTTCCCACAATTTCAACCCTTTTGCCCTTTGTCACGAAGAAATTCAGTAAACAGCAGCGAACAGGCTCCATTTTCTGGCGCCCTCAAGGTTTGATTTCCCTCTTGATTGCTCGCTTACTCGCTTTCCAGCCTTCTTTCTCGTTCTTGCTTTGTTTACGGAGCTGCATAGAGTCAAGCGTTCGAATTGGGATTGGGATTCAGATCGGGGTTGGTAATTTGCTTCCTGGGTTTTGTTTACTAGTTGAATTCGAAGGATCCAGGGTGATAATTAGATCCTCCGGGTCTTCAATTTACCAGCTGCTTGAGATGTTTTACATGGTAGAGATTCAATCTTTGTTTCTGCCTTTTGGCCAATTGGGTGAAATGTTGCGATCTTGCTTGCGGGAATTAACAGAATGAATCAGAGTTTGAAACGGTAGAAGACTGTTGTTCCTCTGTCAACTTCTTTTAGGGGTGGAGGGGTTTTCTTTTCTTTGGCTTCGATTCTAGGTCTCGTCTCATACTTGGTCTTGTTTAAGCTTCACGTTCTTGTGGGCTGCCTTGCTTTCCATGGCTCGTTCTAGTAATGTTGTCTGTTAGTATAACCAATGTTTACTTTCATTTCCTTTTGGATCAGACGACTTTAGGAGGTTGGAGGACTCAAGCATATGACCTATTTGAAGACGGTGGCTCAATTGGTACAGAATCTTGGTTCCCATTTAAAATCAGAAGAGGAAGATGGATGAGGGTGGACCTTCAGTGAGGAGATGGGAGGACTTGGACACAGATATTTTGGTGAAGATATTCCAGTCGTTTGATATCTTTGAATTAACTTCAGGGATCGGTCACGTTTGCAGCTCTTGGCGTATGGCCTGTGCTGATCCTCTTCTTTGGAAAACGCTTGACCTTTCGATTATGAAATCCAATTTCATAAAGATTCCTTTGGAGCCATACGTGTATGTGGATGGTCGTTCGGATAAGACTTTGACACGTCTGCTGAAGATATCATTGAGTCTCAGCAAAGGAAGCATTTCTTCGTTGATCTTCCATTTCAATTTGTACGTCAGTGATGAGCAGTTGACCTACACTGCTGAAAGGTAGGGTTCTAAATAAGTTGGTTGATGCTGATGTTATTACAATTCTTTCTACAGTTCTTGCTAGTGTTAGTCTCTTGGTCTTGGTAGAACCTTGAGTTTTGGAATGAATAATTCTGAAGTTAGGATTAGTTCTGGAACCTTGTCTTTAATGGCTTGATTTCTATTATAATTTTATACCAATTCAGGAACTCTATATGCTTGCTTATTGATGTGTTGTAAGTTCTACCTGTTAATTGCCGTACATGATGGTTGCAAATTCAGGATTCTATACTTCAGTTTTCTTTCTTTCTTTCTTCGAATTAATACAGTTATTACGACTGAGGTACATTCTCTGAATATGTTGTCCAGTCGGAAGACTATATGGTTAGTGAAGTAATGGAGTTGAAGGCGCATGAAAAGACTAGACAGTTGGCATTCTGCACATTGTGTTACAGACTTACAGTAGATGGTAAACAAAGTTGTCCTAACTAAATGAGCTTACTGCAGGAGAGAGACCATTAAGGGTAACTGGAATGGAACAGCATTTTATCTTTGCCTTGAGGTAGAAACAAGAAATCATGTATGTAGCATTAAAAAATCTGATTTGAGACATATATGTAATGGATATGGATAGTTATTGCAATCTTAGACTGTACATAGGTCTCATTAATACTGGGTATTGTCAAATGTCAATCATGCCAAGTATCGGCTTTGTTTGATTTGACATGCTACTTTATTCAACGTTGTGAATAATCAGAGTACATTTTAATCTTTTAAACAAGTCAATCATGAGCGATTATTTGGCTTTCATGTGAATGCATCTTTGTTTCCTTTGAAGCAACAACATGTTGCTGAAGCCCTTTGTGCTCTAGATTCTTGGTAGAACTACTGTCTTCATTTGTTCAGTTTAATAACCTTCCTTGCTTTATGATGTTTTATTTAGGTGCCCACATCTCAGAAGACTTGTCTTGCCAGCATGGAACAGAATAAAAAAGACTGGTATATGCAGGGCCATCCGCTCATGGAAAGATCTCGAATCCCTCACAATGCCTAGCATAGCAAATCCTCCTTATCTCATCGAGGAAATTGCCAATAACTGCGCAAACTTCTGCGAGCTCAAAATCATGGGCCCTTTCGACATCTTCTTCGCTACAACATTGGTAACACATCTCTCAAGAATAAAGGTTCTAAGCCTCCGGTGTTCCATGCTACTCAAGGACGCCCTGATCATAATATTGGATGGCCTTCAGAGCCTCGAAGTGCTCAACATTTCTCACTGTCTCTTGATAGAGATCCCACCACCTCCTGAGCCCAGAAGAGTGATGAAGGAGCTCGATGATACTATTCGTCAGAAGGCCTCCCGGCTCGGCCAGTTCTTGACTTGCATGGAGGAGTCGTGTGTCATGTGCCAGAGAACAAAAGCTGATGAAGGGCTCATGAGGTGGTATAGGTACGAGGAAGGGTTGTGGAAGGCAGACGAGGTAACCTCTCTCTCACTATATTAGTGTAGAGCATCTGTGTGGAATGTTTGTAACTCTTGTGGGGTGAAAAGGTTGTAACTTTAGCATATGGGATGTTGAGTGTAGGCTTCGTGTACCAATTTCTGTTGGTTATAATTGGATTTGTGTTGTGCTAGAAGAAAACAATAAACCCAGTATGTCTGAGCGGATATAAATATAGAAGAAGGCTTTTCTTTTGTTTATGTTTTTGCCTTGTTAGTTGTGGTGTTGGCAGAAGGCTGCTATGCCATGCCATCATCATCTCCTTCCTTGAAGATGGTTATGTAGAAATGAGAGAGAATCTAAGTCATTGTTACACATTGTTGGATAATATTGTATATATGTAAGTTCCCTTGTTTTGCCCCCTATTAGTTATTTTCTGGCTCCTGAATTTTCTTTGCCTGAATCTGAAAAGCAAACAGTTACACGTTCTGGTAGATCCAGGAACTGTGCCCAGATGGAAAAGAAAGTTGCAGTCTCTTTTCAATGTTTGGATGCTCTGACCCATTGTACGAAACTCAACCATGGTCAATCTATTCTTGGGCTTCAAGAAGAATAGCTTTCTGAAATCTATAAGGTGCAGAAGTTGGGATTTGCATCTGGGTTTGGCTTTTTTGGCATGATAAGATCACATGCCTTGAGAATCATCTCCACGAGACCAAATTCCAACACCAAAAAATGAAAAAGGAAAATGCTGCGACAAGTGGTATCAGATTCTGTTGAGTTATTGGATATAGTGTTGGTAGGGTGGAACAGTAAAAAAACAAATTAATGACAGAATCTTAATCAAGAATCTTGATGAGGTTTACAACTATTCTCTGTTTTTTACCATCAGCTGCTCAGCTGTTCCAACTTCCTAGTTCCTAGGCATTTATCACATTCTCTCTGCTTCTCACACCTACCATATCTAAAACTCAAGTGTGACTGATGGATACAAGGAAATACACTTCTACCCTCCACCCACAACGCGCCAAAAGATCAGCTAACCCGCTAAGCAAAACGCCAAAAAGGCAAAAACATACAAATGTGAAGAGTATACCTGCAAAAGCAGGCAAATATTGGAATTATTCATTGTTAATCGGCTCAACAGTTCCTGGACAATCAAGTAATTTCAGCATTGCGCACTTAAGATTTGCTTCTTTCTGTTGTAAAGATAAACTATTGCGCACTGGAGAAGAGGGCATGCATTAGTATCGCCTGCGGGCTTGGAGAAAGAATATAAGCAAATTTGCATCAGAAAGCTCGGACGAGCGGAAAGTGAAGAACATAGAACGAAAAAATGGCGGAGGAGGCAGCAGCTGCGAAAGTGTCATCAATATTCATCTACCCAATTAAGTCATGCCGCGGAATCTCTGTTCCTCAAGCACCTCTCACTCCTACTGGTAAACCGAAAACACTTCTTTCAATTACTCTGCTGACAGTAGTTCATTGAGAGAGAGATGATGATCATAATCATAATCCTCTGATTAAGAACAATTCCTAGCTCACTCAAACATCTCCATTTTCATTGCCTCGTTGTAAATTTTCTGTTGCCGAGCCGTATCGCACTTGTTGTAGGGTTTCGGTGGGATAGGAACTGGGTGGTGGTGAACTACAAAGGGAGGGCTTACACGCAAAGGGTTGAACCAAAGCTAGCTCTCGTGGAGATTGAGCTGCCAAAGGAGGCGTTTCTCGATGGTTTTGAACCCACCAAGAATTCCCATATGAGTAAACAAATGAAAAATTGTTCCTTCTTCTCTATGGAACTATTTAGTATCAACCATTCATCGGCATATGCAACTTTGCTTTTGATCTGCAGTTATAAAGGCTCCTGGAATGCCTGTGCTTTCAATACCATTGACGAAACCACAAGATGTAGCAGAAGGCGTATCGGTATGGGAATGGTCTGGTTCTGCTCTAGATGAAGGAGGTGAAGCTGCTAAATGGTTCTCTGATTACATTGGGAAACCTAGTAGGCTTATTCGTTTTGATGCAGGTTTGTGCTTTTGGTTCTAATAGTAATATGCATACTTTCCCATGGATTCTAACTACGAATTAGCCGAACTTAGTCTATACTTCCAAATTGCTGCTTATGAGTGCATTTCGCTGGTGCAGGATCACAAATCAGGCCAGTGGATCCAGAGTATGGCCGTGGACACAACATTATGTTCTCTGACCTCTTCCCTTACATGCTCGCCTCGCAGGTTAGATGACATGTTTACGAACTACTACTATTGACGTATGTCGCATCGCCTTAGAGATGTGATGGTGCTCATACGTGTGCTACTTCTGCAGGAGTCTTTGGATGCACTAAACAAGCTTCTGAATGAACCCGTTCCAATTAACCGATTTCGACCCAAGTAACCAGTTCATTACCTTTCTCTTCCTAGTATTAGTATCCAAGCATGACTCTAATGTGTGGCTCAATTGGACTTGTAATGCATAAAGTATGTAACTTCTGTTCATTTCGGGTATTGTAGCATACTAGTTCATGGTTGTGAGCCGTTTTCAGAGGACTTATGGTCTGAGATTAAGATAAATAAGTCGACATTTGGTGGTGTGAGGTTGTGCTCCCGCTGCAAGGTATAGCTATACCTTAACAGGTTCTATTTATCCTTGCCAAGTCTGGACCTGAACAAAAAGTGACAATTTGCTGTGTTGGCAGGTACCAACAATCAATCAGGACACTGGTGTTGCTGGGTCTGAACCAAATGCAACACTGATGCAGTTCCGGTCAGATAAAGTTCTGCGTCCAGACAAGAAACAGCAAGGGAAGGTGAGCTCGCTCGGACTTGAGTATACAATGTAATTAGTTGCCTGAAGAAAGAAGTGACTAGAGAGAACAAAACATGATGAACTTTTTTTGGGTATTATTGCAGGTTTACTTTGGGCAGAACTTAGTTTGGAAGGACAGCGAATCAGGATCAGGGAAAGGAAGCATCATCAAAATAGGAGATCCCATTTTCGTACTCAGAAAGGTCTCCTCTCCTGCAGAAGCAGCAGCCTGATGATCTCGTCGTCTCAATAAGGTGGTCGTGTCTGTACGATCTGCGAGTAGTTCACTACTGTGCAAGGAATTCCAGGCCATCTCTTACATGTATTCCACTTTGTAATCTGGTGGTCTGCATCTCTCCTGAATAAGAAATTAGGTATGAAATGATGTAACAGGTTTCCCACCTGAAAGTTGGTGTGACAGTGTTTTAACATGTAGTTCATGTATCTCACAATAATTCAACATGTTTGAATCCTGTAAGTTCCCCTGTCTGTTCAACCAAGGTGGTGACAGTCCTATAGCTCTTTTGTGGCTCCTGGTTTTGCTTGGCCCAAATCTGGAAATCTGCTCATTTTGGTAGAACCAGCCATTTGTTACCAGATGTTAAGGAAAGTTGGAAGTCTTTTTCACCTTAGGATTTTCAGCAATGTATGAGTTTTGAACTGCAACTGTTTCTAATTTGGCATACTGAAAGAGATCAGGATAGTAAGGCTGGGAGGATAGAGAAGGCTGAAGGCCGATCAAAGTTGAAAACTTTAGCATCCATGGCTGCCTTTGGTTGACCTGACCACAAGTGGTTTGAACAAATAAGAAAAATAGATTCCTCAAGTTAAGATGCCCTCGTTGGAATTGCATTTGAAGTTGGCACTTTTAGGCCTCAATTAAAGAATCTACAAACCTTGACATCATCGCCAAGAAGACCTACCAAATTAGTACACAAAAATTGAAAACAAAAAACGGTTCAATACCTAACAACTGATTTTGGGTGAGGTTAGTGTGCTAAGTTTTTCTTGTTTAACTTTGTCCTAACGTGCATTTCTGAGTTCTAGAGTAAGCGAATCGGAATGAGAAATTTGAGCGAGAGGGAGATTGGAAAAAAATACATATAAGAGGTTTAAGTAATGATAGTTACGAGGGATTAGACCAGGTCACCAACTATTCATCTTACAAATACGTCGCAAATTCTACATGCTTTCGATCGCAGGTACAATTTGGCTGACAAAACAAGGTGCATATGGATTTAATTGATGTTGCCATGTCGTATTTCATATGGCCTTTAACCAATCAACACACAATGAGGTTATATACAAAATACTTTACTACAGGGATTAAACTACTGCTACAACTGCACAAGAACGTACGCAACAACATCAATTGAACTCGCCTCATCAACATTGAATCAAACAATGGTCCTAACATATTAACGTTAACATGACCTCACATTATGCAATTTACAATGGGTATGAGTCTTATGACCATCGCATATATTCAACAACCATAATAAAACGCAAAGCGTACAATCTAAAACCGGGAAATTACACTAGAAAAATCCTTCCCTCATGGATTTAGGATCATAGCCAGATTGGTCAATGACAATAACTAAAATTGGGGATTACCAATACTTATACTCCTCTTCATCTCTCTAACTCCTACTTCCCACTTCCCAGGCGTTTCTCACATTCTATCTCATCTCACCTACCATATATCTAGAAAAGCAACGTGTAATTAAGGGAATAAAATGAAATTCCCCTCCTACCCTCTTGCCACATAGAGCCAACATACCTGCCAAACACCGAACAAAGCGAAACTCCATTCAAGATCAGAATTCAGATACACAGAATCAGAGCTTATGGCCCAGTGTACACATCTGCAAAACCGGCTAAAACAAAGCAATAATTCCAATTCAAACTCAAAGAGGGACTCAAGTCCCAACAACTGTGGAGGACAATCAGGTCATTTCCAATTGCGCTACAGAAGAAATCAAGAAAAGGACTGGTATTTATTCAATATTTTCTTTTATGGGTTGCATTTAATATCTTTTGGGGGACTCGGAGAAATTTAGAGAAAAAAAAAATGGTGAATTTGCATCAGAAAACTGAAAAAGTTTAATTCTTTACTGGTTGTAGCGGTAGCCACTGACTGGCGGACTAGAGGGTTCTTTCTCTCTTATAAAAACTGACTTTTTGCGGTCCGGCGGAAGAAAAAGATCGCTCCTTTTTCCTCTCCCAATCGAGACACATACACTCTTTCTTTGCTGGTAAACTCCGCCGGCGGCGATGGCGCTTCAGCTATGGGAGACCCTTCAGCAAGCAATCACGGCCTACACGGGTCTAACTCCGGCCACTTTCTTCACGGTACTGGCTTTCGGGCTTGCTGTTTACTATCTGCTCTCTTCGATGTTTGGGCCGTCTGATCCGCCGCCGAGGCCCAGGAGCTTCGAGGAGGAGGTTCAGCCTCTGCCGCCGCCGGTTCAGCTGGGGGAGATCGGCGAGGAGGAGCTGAAGCAGTACGATGGCGCCGATCCCAAGAAGCCTTTGCTCATGGCGATCAAGGGTCAGATCTATGATGTCTCCCAGAGCAGGTATGCTACTGCTACTATCTTCCTTCTGCCTTGGTTTTTTGGGCTTTGACTTGTAGGTATCTGAAATTTGTTGGATTTTTTCATGTATGAAATCCTTTTGCTTTAAAGGAGTTGAGTTTTTCCAGATTGCAAAGCTGTGGGAATTTGTTCCTTTTCAAATTGATGGTTTTTTTGGATGCTTTTGACCCCTTTTTTTTGGGTTTGATTTGTTTCCCTATGTGCTCGTTTTCCCCTTTATTTCTTGCCCTCCTCCATACTCTTTAAGCCTATGAAAATTAGATGCTTCTTTAGTGGCTTTATGTTAGTAGTGTTCTTCCTTCTCGCTGGGTCATGGATGATGCAGTGAATTAGTGGGGGTTTATGGCAGTAGCAAGCTGCAATCGTCTGTTGGGTTAGTGACTCCATTGAGCAAGATGGGAAAGTAGCCTTCTTCTTCGTTTGGAACACTAAAAATCTGTAGATATTGTTTCAAGAGCTTGCTTTGATTGTATCTGTCATCCATGTTGGTGGATGATTTTGCAAAGCTGTGATTTGGAGATGGACAATTGATTGTATTGTTGTTGACTATAATTAGATTCAGGTTTTCACTATACTTGTAGATTCACTGCATCAAAGAGATGACTTCACATCGTAATCCTGCATTAGAGTTTACACCATTGATGTGCTGCAGAGGAGGAAGAATGTGTTGAGCTCCATTAGTTATCTATATCTGAACTGTTTGTATCCTTGTGATAGCTCATCTTTATCCTTTCTCAAAGGAGAGGCAATCAGCTGCAGCAACTGTTACTTAGTTAGCTACTGATGTGTTTCATTCAACTTTGTGCTCTCAACAGGATGTTCTATGGTCCAGGTGGACCTTACGCCTTGTTTGCCGGAAAGGACGCCAGCAGAGCACTGGCAAAGATGTCCTTCGAGGACAAGGACCTGACCGGAGACATCTCCGGCCTAGGTCCTTTCGAGATGGAAGCCTTGCAGGACTGGGAATACAAGTTCATGAGCAAGTACGTGAAGGTTGGTAGCATCAAGAAGGAAGTCCCAGTGGCCGATGGTTCCTCCAGCGAGCAACCAGCCACCGAGAACGGTGATGCTAAGCCTGCAACCACTGAAGCAGATGATGCCAAGCCAGCTGAAGATGCTCCATCTACGGCAGCTGAGCATACCGAGGTTCCTCCAACAAGCGTAGAGTCCAAAGAGGACTGAAACTGCAGAGGGCAATTCTGGTGGTGGTGGGTGGCGGAGAGCGAATTTCGTAAGGAGAGATGATGCCATGAGAGAGAGAGTGAGATGATGTATGTATAAGAAGATTGAACATTGGTGGGTTCTTACTTCTTACGTAGTGTTTTAGTCTTTATTTTCAGCTTTCTCATCTCCAAACCCAGACATGTTTCTGTCACAAAGAAGAGACTAGCTTTCATATGTTTGTCTAATAAGAACACCATTCCGTGATATTTGGCCTTTCATGGTGGCTTGAGGACATATGAGATTGTTCAACATTAAAACATAGGATTGCACAGCCGTTCTTTTTTCTTCCTCCATCGCTTACTCCTAGTCCGCATCATTGCAGCTACAAAATACAGTTTTCTCTTTGCATGAGCAGCTGGTTATAAAGAGCTCGAATCACCGACAGAAAGCAGAAAATAAACAATTGGAGCAGCTGCTTTGTAGCATGAACAAATGGAAGAACTCAATGGGCTTATACCACTCGCTGCAAGTTATCGAATCACCTCGACAGAAGCACAGATTAAACAATTGGAGCATCTCATTATACAACCATAAAGAAAGAACCAGCAAAAAGGACCACCCACCAACTATTGTATCTACAATTGAACATTGTATCAATGAACCCAACTTATTCAAGAAAGCAGCCTGTGGCCCTAAAATGAAAGGCCATAGTTGGAACTCAGAAAGTGATTCTGATTTCAGCGAACTTCTCCCAGGAAGGTATCGCTTGTGGAAACCCCTCTTCTAGGGAGTCATCAAACAGATAGAACTCGCTGTAGAGAACCCCATTCATCCGCATCTGGGACAAACATGGGTACCTGAATTTATCTGCGTACCTGCGCAGCCATAACAGAAAGAAATCCCACACCTGCATTTTATGTATCTGCAGCCCGCAGTTCTCTCGACGTAGATTTTACAGTTGGGACACCTCTTCCACAGCTGCTTATCCGCTAGATTCATCAACATAATATCTTCCCTCTCCCTCTCGTTCTTGTGCAACTTCTGGAACTTCACACAGTCAATGTCACAATGCCAAGGAACTTTGCACCGGGCACAGAACAACCTGTAGCAATTGGGGCACTCAGCCTGAGTAATCAACCCCTCTCCACCACTATCATCAAGCAGCATCGCAGAGCAATCCTTGAAAGGGCAGTAAAACTTCTGAGCCCCAAGAATCACAGCCTCACACAGAGCATTCCCCCACCTTTCAAACACATCCGGGGGAAGAATGGAGCGGCAATACTCGGGCTCCAACACACCTTCGCAACCCGAAACAGGGCACCCAACTTTCGATATGTTGTCCTGCAGTTTCGTAGCTACGTATTTGGCCATGCAATCCTTGCAGTAAACATGAGAGCAGCCTTTAATCTGGAAAGAACTATTCGGTGTCCTGGGTTCCGCACAAATTTCACAGAGAATTACCGTTTCGGGTTCAGGGTTTGAATTCGAGGACTGACCCTTTTCAGTGGAAGAATCACTGAATGGCTTTCGTCTCGATGATCCAGGCGACGGGGTGGAAGAAGAAGAAGCAGCAGAAGCAGAATCATGGTAGCTTTTAGGCGCGAAATCGAGCAGAATGATGTCATCATCGATGCTAACATAACCATAATCATCTCGCGAGAGGTCGATGAAATCGCTCTCGATTCTGCGGCCGACGGCCGCCGTTTGGAGAGAAGCCAGCAGCGCGAGGTTGAGCTCCCTGTCTTCACTGTAGTCCTCAACGGAAATTGGACTTTTCTCGGTACCGCCATGGTCGAATATGGGTATGCAGTATCCGTCGCCGCCGTCTTCGTCGTCGAGGTCCACAATGTTCGTCACGTCAATTTCCCTCGCCATTTTGTGGAGGATTTGCTAGGAGTAGTTCCCTTCCTTGTTCCTCGCTCGTCTAACTCAGAACCCTAATTCCCTCTTCCCGCCTTCGATTTCCTCCACCGCTCATCCGACGAAGGAGACGATTGAAATCGCGAGGATTGATCAATGGAAGTCCCCCGGAGCCGGAAACCGTCGATGGGATCTGCAGCTCCTTGCTCTTCTCGACTGCCGTTTGGTCTAGATCAAGCTTCCGGAGTGCAACATGGTTTTCAGAATAAGAATCGCTTCTGTTCTGTGATTCAGTTGTGTTACAGTAATACAACTCTTTGGAAGCTTGGGAGGGGCAAGGCATGGCTTCGGAAATCGTAATCCGAGTAATCGAATGGGAAGTCAAGATAAATACTTGGGCCGGGCTTGACCGTACGGGGCCGCATATTTGTTAGGTCCAGTAAGGAGGGTTTGACGTTTTGAAAATTTTGGATGTATGTTCTTTTCTTCTTTTTTTTTCCCCCTAATTTTTTTTATGTATGTTGAATTGTTTGTTTAGGCATCGTTTGGATGAGACAAATCAACGGATTAATTTTGATCTAATTGTTTCGTTTTGAAATAATCTAACTAAATTGATCTGTTTGACAATATAAATTTTAGATCAAATAATTATGCCTGATGAATTTCAAATTGACTCGTTTTGAGGTGATTACAATTGTTTGGAGTTGGGGTAGACGATTTGAATTGGCTTGTTTTAAATGACTCATTTTGAAAAAATGAGATAATTGACCAAATTGTATTGTTTCTCAATTGATCCATCCAAACGGTTAGTTGATTTCCAGTATGGATTATAGTATTTTGTATTATGGGTCTCACAATTTTATTTTTCACCAACCAAATCTCAAATGAAATGTGAGATTTTCAAATTCATGGGTTCACCAATTTGAATATTAAAAAGTTTAAATCTTTGATTTCCTTCGATTTTTATAAAGAGTCGTTTGGATGAGGAATTATAAAGTTTCATTTTGAGACAGTCTTGCAAGATTGATCCATTTGGCAACATAAAATTTAGATGAAGCAATTATGTCAATGAAATTTTAAATTGACTCATTTTGAAGCAATTACAATTGTCTGGAGTGAGGGCAGACAATTCGAATCGACTCGTTTCGTAAAATGAGACAATTTGTCTCATTTTTTAATTGATCCATCCAAACGACCCCAATTTATTCCAACTTTTTACCTTAACAAAAAACAATGTTGTTCAAATCCATCATACTTTAAATATGGGTAGGAAGAATACAAAAGTAAATATGTGCGAGTGTGGGCCAAAGCAGACGATATCGTACTAATGAAACTACTCAATCCCAACATTCTCCGAACAAACACGCTCCACGACCTCCACCACCGTTAGAAGACATGGAAAGAGAGGCAGACGACGAGGGGGGTCGAGAAAGAGGTGGCTAGGGTTTGGTTCAAGGCGAGTTTGCCTTGATCTTTGACCTGCATATCTCGATAGCAGAATCGCGTGTCGTTGGGCTGACAAAGAAGCCGCAGTTGTTCGTGCTGAGAGGAGGTCGCCTGGAATTTGTGCTCTTCCGCCATCCTTTTTTCTTTCCTTTATGTCAGCATTTTGTCAATACATAACGTGTTAGCGCTCTATCCGATCCTGGAATAAACATCTCCCATTTACTTCAATCCAAAGAACTAGCAAAAGAGCCAAAGAACAAACATCTCCCATTTCCTGCGGACAAATTGCTACCTTAGAATAACCATACCAACCACAACCATCCTTACTACAGAGGGGAAAGATTCTGTCAAGTTGGCAATATGCTGTCTGGACTCGGCGATGTTATCTCCCTGCCGGCGGCAACTCTCCCCCTGCTGCTCTGCCCTTAACGTCCCCTGTTTCATCACACTATTGTAAAATGGCTGGCCGACCACATAACCTCCTCCCCTGTTTCTGTTGTTAGTGGGTGGCATCTTTATCATCACTCGAACACCTCTTGACTAAGATATATACTATTAAACTAAACAATGGCTAAACAATTCACGCAATGAAATGTGACTGCTTCTGACTTTTTGTCCTTGACATCATATTTTTATCCCCATCCTGCCAAGTGATTCCAATCCATCTCTCCTTCTCTTTATATATAACCCCCTCACTTTCCCATCACATTCAGACACCACTCTCACGGTCCTTTCAACATTTTTCTCCAAGTGCCTCAAAACTTTCTGCCGTCCTTTCTACCTTTGTTCACACAATTGGATAATCATGAGAACTACTTCCTCTGTTTGTTCACTTCCTGCTCTGTATCTGCTTCTAATCATTCTTTTGGCGTCAATCGACCACTCTGCTTCTCGGCCAATCAGGTCCTCTGCTTACGGAGAAAGGGTAGTGAAGATCAACAACGGAACCAAGACGAAGTTCCCTTTCCCGATTCCGGCGAGGCTTGCAGCGATGTCTCGGTTCGTTCCTGGGGAAAGTACGGCGAATTACGAGCTCGACAAGCCAATGCACAGCATTTCGGATCGGTGCGTCCCCGCGGGACCAAACCCACTTCACAATTAGAGTCCGGTAAACATGAGGTTGATCAATGGCGGTGGAAAGAATCAAAGTGGTTCTCGGAAAGAATGGAACTTTAGGGATCTTTCTTCTTCCCCTGTTTTTTTAAGAGCGTTTCTATTTTTTAGTCGTTTTTGTTCCTTCATTTTTCATTGTTCATTCCATTCTTTCCACGAACCAGTCATGATTCTGAGCTGTTTGAAGATAATAAAATGCCGCTTTGTACACTTTTGATTGGGAGGTATGAATACAAAGAGATCTTACATAGTTCTCTGTTCCATTCATTCTAGAATTTCATCGTCAACAATACTAGCAATTACCTGCCCCTGTATACGCGAATTGTCTTTGTCCTTAAGGAATTCGACTGAAAACGAAGCCCAATTCAAGTCACCAGAAGGAAGGAAAGCTTGAAAAGGTTCAATAACGAAGACCAAATCTCAGAATTGCGCTAAAGTTTACAAAGACTTCCTCTATGGAAGTTGCCATGGAAGGTTGACTCTGTTTGCAGCAGCTTCGATTTCTGTTCATGTCAGCAAATTACCTACTAATCACATTAACTAATCCTGCATCCATAGAATACAGCCAACAGTCCTTTTCATCATGATTAATCAAACTTCACATCTTCAGAATTCGAAACTTGAACATTTCTGGTTGATCATTTGAAAAGCTTAGGCCTGCCTGTAATGAAGATTAAGGACTGACTGATCTGGTAATAATCCAAAAGTTTAATCTCAACGAACTTCCCAACCCGCACACCTTAATTATCCACATTAATTAAATAAACAGGCTTACGTTTGTTTGAAGTTGAGTTGTCCTTTCTTGCTCCATCATATTGTCCGGCTCTTCAAGATTCCAAACTGTTTCTATGCCTCAATACCTCCAAAAGTTAACCATTTGTCACCAACCTTTTGTACTTTTAAAAGGCTTAATTCACTTGCATAGCCATAACTATGCACTTTTTAACAATAATAGCCACTTTTTAAAAAATGCACAATTGTAGCCACATTTTAGAAACTTGTTTGCCAAAATTAGTCATTTCCGTCAAAAACTTTAACACCGTTAGCAAGACGCTGATGTGGCTATCACCTCAGCTCCAACACACCAAATCAAGCCACATGGATGCCACATCATATTTTTAAATGAAAATAAATAATTTAATTTTCATAAACAACAATCGCTTCCAAACCACATCCTCCCCGGAGCTCCAAACTTCTCCATCAATCGGATCTAGGTTTCCCGATGGGTATGTTGGGTAAAGGCGCTCGATTCATCTAGAGAGTACTAAATCGCCAAAATTCGTTCGAGTTCTTCAGCTTTGGTTATCCCTTCCCAAACCCTCATCCTTTTCAAATCTCTATTAGCTAGGCCCTCAATTGAATCAAAGTGGAGGAGACGACGATGGTGGTGATTGGTTTCAGAATCGATCACGGTGGTGGTGGTGATGGATTAGGAGGAATGAAAGACAGGGGTCCGGGGGATGGAAGAGAGAAGGGCACGAAATAGGAGGAAGTTGCCACCAGAGCTCCTGCTCGTGCTCCAACTCCATCGCCGCCCACTCTTTGTAGGCCTCCACCTCGAACAGCTTCATAAATCGGAGTCGATTCTTGACGAATCGAAGATGCGACACCACAAGCAACAACTCACCTTCTCGTCGATTTCACCCGGCTTCAACCTCTTCCGACTAAACCCTTGTTGAGGGGATTAAAGATATGAGAGGTCACAAACAAGAAAAGGAACGACTGTCATTGTCACCGGCCCGACAGTCCCCTTGTTGCTTGATCTCTTAGGCAACGCTGTGATTTGTCGATAAAAGAGAGTGGAAGAGGCGGTAGCAGATTTGTAACCTTAAGTCAAGTAGGAGATCCAGAGAGACGACGGAGGCTTCCAAGTGGAGGTGAGCTTCGATTTGTCGTCGATTGAATGGATTCAACGAGCTTCAATTTGTGAGGTGGTTGCACTTCAGACAGTGGCTGAGAGAAGGGGAGAGAGAACCTTGGTCTAGGGTTCTGTACTTTTGTCCCTCCAGCCAGTGCTAGTCCGCACACTCGCTACGACGACCGGCGAGGGTTTTTTTTACATTGGTCTCTTCGACATTCCCCTAGGTTTTGACGGTGGGATTTTAGGCTGCGCAGAAGCCCAACCATAGGAGAAGATGAAGAAGGAGATGAAGAGATATGAGAGGGGCCAAAGAAGACTAACGAAATTTTTAATTTCCTTTTTATAGTTAAACTTTAGTTTATTTCTCATATAATTAAAATAAAAAGCCAACATTCCACCTGGCAGTTTGGTTTGACGAAAAGTTTTGGATGGAATGGCTACAACTGTGTATTTTTCAAAAAGTGACTATTATTTTAAAAAACGGAAAGTTATAGATATGCATATGAATTAAGCCTTATGAAAAGAAAGGATTAATCGCTTTTTTGTCCATAAATTATTCTCTTGTTCTTTCACCAAAACAAAAAAAATCTTGTAATAAATGTTTTTATATATTTGGTGAATTTTAACAAATAAGTTCTCACATAATGTGATGACAACTTCTTGCTGTTGAATCTGATTGCGGTCCCATACAAATAAGTGATTTTATCAGGTTTACATTCTATATTCAATCGTACATTTTTCTTACTAACAAAACCATGCGCTTGAATGTCCTCTATTTTGCGGTTAGATATCATTTATCGGCCGAATCAGACCACATATCAAGCAGAATTCAAACTTGTTTCTACGTTGATTAAGTATAAATGTGTATGTTCAAGTACACACAAGTACTGCCGAGATACAATCCCGAGAAACTTTATTACGTATTTTCGAACAATTCGTACCGCTTTTTCCCCATTTTGTTTGGACAAAAACATACATAATGCAAACAACATATGTTTGTTAGAAAGCACAACCGAATGGAGCATAAGCTAAAAATAGGTACATTAACCCACACACAACGAGATTGAATTAACAGCGCCACACAAAAGACCTTCCAATGTTTCTCTTTCTATCTCTAAATCCTAAACTCTCTCAATCCACCTCAACTCTTCCAGCTGCCAACATTGGAGCATCCCGGATCCAAATCCTGGAGTATCAAATCCATTCAATCCCTAATTCTACCAAACCAAAAGAGAAGATAACTACCTTCGAACCATACTCCCAAATAGACAGCTACCCCCAATTTATTTTTCTGGCACAGATCAGTAGGATTAACCCAGGGATGGAAGAAGCATTAAAGGAAGGAAAGATTTGGAAACCCCCTCCAGATTCAGCTCTGCCGCAACAATTAATCCCCTCTGTACAGCCATCAAGACCCATAACCAGGCATTTACCACTAACAGAGCCCACAACCACAGCTCCTATCGCCTATGGAGGGAAGGCAAAAATTTATGAGAAAGGACCATTCTACATTGAGCCACACAAGAACCCAGAAAAGATTTGGAGGAAGTTACTAACAGAGGAGACTAATCACCTCTCTATCAAATGTAAGATGAGATTGACTGAGAAGATGGTTAACGCTACCAGGTTTGCCTTAATGGCCAACATTATAAAACCCAGGAGGTTTGTGGAGAACTCACCAAAAAGCATCAGCAACCCGGAAGCTAATCCCAAACTTCTTTCCAAACTCACTAAACCCCTCCCTCTAGCCCCCTATCTGGAAACCGCAACCATGGAAGCAAACCAAAATGAAAGACAGATTGGGCATGGACACCTGGTGCTGAATATCCAACCACAGGTGGTAGGTGCCAGAGGTGGAATGTCGATGATGCTGGCTAAGTGGATTACACACCACAACACGGCGTTGCACAAGGCAAAAGGAGCCGCCCAAGGCAAATGGAAGGGACACGGTGAGATTGCAGCCCAGAGAGAAGCAAGAAACCTGTTCGTCTACTCTTTCCCATCGGAAGCAGGGAGAGATGCTGTCTGGGCAGGACGCCCATGGAACATGGCCAACACCCTTGTTGCTCTGAAGAAATGGGATGGAGAATTGAACCCAGAAGAGGTGGAATTCAACACCACCGCCATGTGGGTACAAATCCACAATATCCCCAATCCCCTGCGCGATGACGATACGGTGGAAGCCATAGCTTCGTTTGTCTTCCCACAGTTCCTCAAACTGGACCGAACCAACACGGATGCTAGAGGCTGGAGGAGATTCTTCAGGGTCATGGTGGAAGTCGATTTCAGAGAGCCCATCCCCACTGGCTTTGAATACCCCGTGGGAAAGAGATCTGTGTGGGTGAGCTTCAAGTACGAGCGACTCTCCGACCTCTGTTATTTCTGCGGTAAGATTGGTCACCCCATCCACCTCTGCGAAATCAGGGAAGAAAACAGACAGAAGGGTATGTCCATAGAGCCGTCCGGAATATACACTGCGGCGCTCAAAGCTGGCCCCGACTCGCCGACGTGTGTCCCGCCGCCGTCCTTCCTCCTGAGGAACAGAATCGAAGAACCCTCCACCACCATCACGGCAATCGAGGCTAGGCTCAACTCTCAATACAAGCCTGGGGAGACGACCCCAACTGCACTTGGCACAGGCCCCGACCATGCTTCTCCATCTGGACCCCCGGGATTTGAAGGGAGAAGGTATGATGGCCAAAGCTTGATCTACAACTCTGACTTCAACCCACATGGTCTGATGAAATCAGCCTACTACTCATACACCCCAAGGAGGCTTGAAGAAGATCTCGAGGCAGTGGCTGATGCAGTTGGGAAATCCCTAGATCTCAACATTGAGACAACGGGAAAGGAAAGAGGTAGTGGATATGATGGCTTAGGCCAGAGCTCAAAAACGGGAGGCCCGCCTACCACTCTCAACCTGATGGGCCTTGATGATGGGCCTTCAGCCACCAGCAACCATCATTCTCTCTCGCTGGTCCAGGAAGTCCAAATGAACTATGAGAGAATGTTGGGCCGAGCGGAGAAGAAAAGGAAGCCCGACCTCCGAATCCTACAAGACTCGAGGTGCTCTGAGCCAATCAGGCCTACTAACCTCCTCCCTGATTTTATTAGTTTTTCTCCAGGGGCAGTTGATAAGGGAAAACAGAGGAGGAAGCTGGAACAAGGAGAAGGTCGATGGGCAGAAGCTTGACTGAAGGACATGAATCTGGAGAAGAAGGATCTAGCTCCCCACAGGCAGCGGTGGCACGCCTTGAGCCACCTAATCCTGAATGATGATCCTGAGTTGGAATTGTAGGGGGTTCGGCCTACCCCCTACAAGAAGCTACTGTGGCAGGATGTGTCGCCAGCTTGGCCCGTCTATCCTCTTCTTAATGGAGACAAAAAAAGAAGAAGAATTTATGGAGAAAGAGAGGAGGAAGACAAATTTTTCACATTCGGAGTATGTAGAACCTAATGATGGTAGCAGCGGACTAGCCGTTTGGTGGAAGGCGGGAGTCGATTTTCAAATCCTTGACTCATGTAATTCCTATATAGATGCTAAGATTAACTATGGTAGGAGTTCCTTTTTTTGCACCTTTGTACATGCCCCTACCACAGCTGTGAGTAGGAGGATGTTTTGGGAGCACCTGAGCTCCATCCATAGCGGAGCGGATGATAGATGGATCATTGTGGGGGACTTGAACGTGGCCATGTTTGATCATGAAAAGCAGGGGCGCTGCCCTCTACGTAATGAGAACGTGGAACCTTTCAAGTATTTCATCTACCACAATGCACTTCTCGACATTGGATTCAAAGGCCAACCGTTCACCTGGTCCAATAAACAGCAAGGTGATAACCTGATCCGGGAAAGGCTGGACAGAGTCCTTTGCTCTACTTCTTGGAGAGCTGAGTTTGATAGTGCTACTGTTTTCCATGAGGACATGTTGGAATCTGATCACTACCCCCTGAGACTCGATCTCTGCCCCAACAAGAGGAGGAAAACAACTCCTTTCCGTTTTGATAAAAGATGGAGAGATAGCACTGAGTGTAAAGAGATTGTTGACAGAGTTTGGCAAGAGGCTGGACAGTCAGAGACAAAACTGGATAAATGTAAGTATGAAATGCAACAATGGGCAAGAGAGGATAGGAAGAACAAGATCAGACGTGAAGAGGACATCAGGCGAAGGCTTCAACTCTTACAAGGACCCATTCGGAACCAAGTGGAAGTCGAGGAGGAAAAAGTACTGATACGTGAACTGGAACAAATTTGGAACTCTGAGGAAGATTTCTGGGCACAAAGGTCTAGAGTCGGTTGGTTACAAAAAGGAGACAAGAACACGGGCTTCTTCCATGCGTCAACGGTTCAAAGGAAAAATAGGAACACCATTTTGAGATTAAAAAGAGATGACGATTCCTGGATGGAGGATGAGGCGGAGATGAACAATCATACTAGAGGGTACTACCAGGATCTGTTCACTGCTAGGCAAGGGGTCGGTATGGAAGACCTCATTACCGACTTTCCCAGGTTGGTGACGGAGACCATGAATGACGACCTCAATGCACCGGTGGAGAATGATGAAATCAGGAAAGCTGTCTTCAGCCTTGGACACTCAAAAGCGCCAGGGCCCGATGGTTTCCCTGGTCACTTTTTCCGCAAGTTCTGGCCTCAGGTTGGGGAGGGTCTGTGTGAGGAGATCAAGAGTTTTTTCCAATATGGTACTATGCCTGAAGGATGGAATGAGACCCACCTGATCCTCGTCCCCAAAGTTGACATACCTGAAAAGATCAGCCAATTTAGACCTATCAGCTGCTGCAATTTTCGGTATAAGATCATCACCAAGATTATGACCATACGTCTACAGAAATGGCTCCCCCAACTGGTCTCTGAGCTCCAATCTGCATTCACAGGGGGTAGACAAATCCAAGATAACATTATTATTGTGCATGAGGTCCTTAATCATTTCAGGAAGCATAAAACTGGCAACCGTAGAGATATGATGTTGAAGCTTGACATGAGGAAAGCCTACGATCTTGTAGATTGGAACTGCCTGGACAAGCTTCTGCAGGTTTATGGTTTCAATCCGATCTGGTGAGGACGGGTTAGAGAGTGTATCAGCACTGCCTCCTTCTCCATCCTCTTCAACGGAGAAGCCTCTCAACCTTTCCTTCCAACAAGAGGGATCAGACAAGGGGACCCCCTTTCCCCTCTGCTTTTCATTCTCATGTCCAATGCCCTTTCCTTTTTGATTGACAAGGCAGTGGCTAACCGCAAGATCAGAGGACTCAAGCTTAACCCGAGATGCCCCCTTCTCACCCACTGTCTCTTTGCCGATGACACAGTCATTTTTGGGAAAGCTTCGAGAGAGGAAGGCACGAACATTATTGAGCTCATCAACGAGTATGGAGCAATCACAGGTCAGGAGGTGAACGTCCAGAAATCTTTGGTCTTTTTCAGTGTGAACATCCATCCCACAGAGAAAGAGGACATCCTCCAGGCTATGGGATTCGAAGAAGCAAACAACCACTCCAGCTACTTAGGAGTCCCCACTGAGTGGGGCAGCTCAAAAAAAGAAGCATTCAGATTTCTCATCCAAAGAATGGAAAAGAAAGGTGAAGGGTGGAAGAGCCTCCTCCTGTCGCCAGGGGGGAAAGAGATACTGATCAAGGCTGTGCTCCAAGCTATCCCCACCTATATTATGATGCTTTTCCTCCTCCCCAAATCTATAACACGGAAACTGGACGCCATCCTCAGACGGTTCTTCTGGTCGGGGAATATGCACAGGAAATCCATCCATTGGTGCAAGGGAGAAGTCCTAACTGCACCCAAAGAAGAGGGAGGGATTGGTTTTCGATCCTTTGATGATTTCAACATGGCTCTTCTCATGAAACAGGGGTGGAGACTCCTAACATCCCCAAATGCGCTTTGGGCAAGACTCCTCAAGGGTCTCTACTTCCCAAGAACGGACTTCCTTTCTGCAAAAAAAGGGAGCAAACCTTCATGGATCTGGTCAAGCCTGTGGGAAACCAAGAAACATCTCGAGCTCGACATCCTGAGGGTTATTGGAAATGGCAAATCTACTCGCTTCTTCAAAGACCCGTGGGTGAATCACCTTCCCGGAGGAAGGATTGCTGGCAGCAATGACTCTAACGAAAAAGTGGCTCTGTGGATTGATCAGTTGTCTCGTGAGTGGGACTTTACCCGTATCGGCGCCTCCACGGCCCCTCACGAAGAGGAGGCAATTCGAAGGATCCCAATTGGACATGTTGGGGCACCTGATTTTTGGGCATGGAAGCATACTCTGACAGGGATTTTCTCAGTCAGCTCAGCTTACCATTCGATCCATGATCGAAGAAGAACCTCCTCTCCTGACTTCATCCCTCCTTCCCAGTATGAAAGAGATAAGTGGAAATGGCTTTGGAGTCTCAACCTACCTCCGAAGATCAAGTTCTTCTTGTGGAGATGTGCACGAAATGCTCTTGCAACCAACTCCAAGCTTCACCACCGGAATTGCTCGCCCTCTCCGGCGTGCCCCATCTGTCAGAATCCCATTGAATCCCCCCACCATTGTCTATTTGAGTGCAGACACGCTCAGGATACGTGGAAGGCTTGCTTCCCTCTTGTCCCCACTCCGCCCCCCCCCCCCCCCCTCTACCAACTTTCTGGACTGGATTTTTCACCTCTGTGAGTCTCTCCCCATGGATACGGTTCAATTCATTTTCTTCCTAACTTGGAATATCTGGAAATGTAGGAATGAGTGGATTTTTCGCCGCACCCATCCTTGGCCACCCCTCACCTACAGAAACGCTTTCCGGGACCATTCATCCTGGATCAACTGTCCTAAAGACCTCACCTGTCGGCAGCTCTTTCTCTGTCAGCCTAGGGTGACCCAGAATCAAAATTGTCCACCGCCGAGTACACCTGAATGGGAAGTACACTGTGACGGATCGTTCCTACACGATTCCCAGGAGGCGGCCTATGGCATTGTCGTTATCAATAGCTATGGACAAATTTGTGACGGGAAGGCTGACTCTTTTCTCTGCAACTCTACTATGGAAGTGGAAACTAAAGCGGTCTGGGAAGGTGTCAAGCTTGCAAAAAGTTTTAACCAGGCGTGCACGATCAAGTCGGATTGTCTTACCATCATCAACTCCTTGACCAAACCACCGTCAGACTGGCCATGGACTTGCTCGGCTATCATTGGGATGATTGTTGATGCCCTCAAGAACGCACCCCTCATCAAGGTTCAGTTCCACAAGCGGAAGGACAACTTTCGAGCTGATTGGATTGCTAGATCCCATGTCCGGTCTATTCTCCCGAGTGAATGGTTAACAATTCTCGATCTTCTTTCGAGCACCTCCCTGTAACTGCTCCTGTAACCTCTTCCATTAATGAAATGCAAGAAATTTACACTGTCAAAAAAAAAAAAAACCCCCACACACAACGAAATGATTCCCGTGGACTTGTTTCATTTTCTAAGAATTTGACGTGAGGGATATTTTTTTTTAATTAATTCTTAACAATTGTAATGCTTCAGGAAGTAGATAACACGTCCTGACGTCGGCAGAAGGTTAAGTCAGCTCAATAAACAAACCCATACATAACGAAGGTCAAATAGGTGCACTGCACATTATTAATGAACACAAACAAAGAGCACAAACTGGATGGCAATGTTTATTATTATTATTATTATTATTATTATTATTATTATTATTATTATGTAGAAATTGATGATGCGGAAATACGAAAGAACACAGAACACAATATTTTACGTGGTATCCTCGATCGATTGATTGATCGAGACTAATCCACGGTGAGCTCGGAACGAGCTCACGGCTGACGATTTTATTATGAGACTACATTGTGACAACTTGCTTACGGCAATCTCGTAGCTAAGTTTATATAGACATAGACTAGGGTTAAAACCCTAATGACAACCAAGTTTCCTTCTTTTACTTGAACAAGGAAAACTATGGACTTGTAGGACAAGGAATTAATTATTTTTGACTAAATAATTAATATCCTCAACATATTATTATTATTATTATTATTATTTATTATTATTATTATTAATATTAACTCTCCATATGTGACGGCTTTTTTGGGGTCACAGTACAGTACACATAACACATACGGCAGGCAGGCGGCAGCCGCCGGCCTGATGGATGACAACCGGCCGACTGACCCGGATTTAGGCCGTACGTAGCATCTTTTTGGTCCGGCCGGCGGCCATCGGTGACTAGCCAGCTGATGCCGCCAACCTTTTCTTTATTTTTACCACCTTAATTATATTCTTTCCAGCCGGTCAGGTCTAATAACGGAGAATTTTACAATATTGTTCTTTTCAGATATAGTCTTAATTTATACCTTAACGTTAAAAAAAAATTAAATCACAAATTTAGTTTGTATTATAGAAAAATTCGTGCGAAAATATATATATATGTACAAACTGAATTTGATCCACAAAATAAAATATAAAAATTCGATTAATATAGCCAAAAACATTTGTACGACAAAGTGAATTTGTGGCACATAATTAAAAGGAATCGTTCCTTGCTTTGTCTTTGTTTACCGATACAGCAATCACATTGGATAATTCCATTTTCTTGACTTGGGGCCAAATGTACAAGGAAATTAACCCACGTTGAGGATTTCAAATGGTTTCCACCAATTTGCAGTTGTAGCTAAATTACAAGGCTTCCAGATGGCATCAAAACCCCATTTCCCGACAGAATTTAGCAGAATCCGGCAGAGACTTCTTTGATTTTGCCTTGAATCTTTAGTCTTCAAGATGAGAGACATTTGTCTCGAAATTAATGGGTCACCACCGGAAGAAAAAGGAAGAAAAAAAAGTCTATCATCACTCGCGCGTTCCGGTCGAGATTTCAATCTCGTAACTGACAACAAGTCATTAACATTATATATTTTAACGGACAACGATTCAGTTCTCTGTCGTGGATAAATATATACTTGCCATTTCGATTACTAACAAACACTTATTCTTGTCCCGGAAAAAGTTCGATCGATCAGGTATGTTGTATGCGTTAATTTTTTTTTTTTTTAGCATAATCATGCTTACCATCTCTACTGTCAGATCCTTACTCTATACTAAATGCACTAATATCCGAATCAAAATCCAGAGACTTCTCTCTTGCATGAATCTGTCCACAATACTGTTTTACAGATCGACAATGACAGATTAACATCATATTCATGCACGTCGACACCTGTCCCGAACTTACGCCAAATGTTTTAAGTTTAACCCCCAAAAAGGCTCTAACACCATCCATGTTGCTCTTTTGTAGGGGGGAGATCGAAGAAGAAGTTATCTTATTTGCCACCAACGACAACCAGACGTGAGGAAAGAGACACAGATGATTTAGAGGTGCAAACCTGCAAAATGGACGTCCCGAAAGCCATAGTTGTACCCTTCTAGCTTGATGAGTGACACACTCCTAATTCCCTTGAAAACGACCCACGATCGATATAACCTAAAGCAAAGTCAACAATACATATAGTTTCATCATCACACCCGCCATTAAAAAAAAAAAACTCCATTAAAGAAGCCCAAAGTAAACGTTGAGGAGCGTGGAAGCTAGCAACACAAAAAAACTCTGAGTGGCAGGGGAAACAGAGAAGAGAGAAGTGAGATCTGGTCAAATTCCCAGGTGGCAGGCCTGCTAGCTAGCTGGCCCATCACCATCTTATAAATACAGCCCAAAAACCTGCCCACAAACAGAACAACCTACCAAACCCAAACCCAATTTTCCTTCTTTCTTCCTGCCTTAGACTGAATCCCCCCGTTTTCATGGCCACCAAGACTTCACATTTGTTCCTCTTGTTCGTGGTGGTGTTGGGCGCCCTTATCGAGGGGACGACCTGCCGTCGTTTGCTCGGCGGCGAGACGAAGCCGTCGTCGGGGGAGAAAGAAGCTGTACTGCAGGGGAGCAAGAAAGAGTACTCGTCCTTCATGGAAGGAGCGTCGGCCATTCGAAAGAGCTTGGAAGAATGGAGCAAGAACAAGAGCAGCCATAAGATCCGCACGGTTTCTCGACGACTGGTGCCCTGTGGGCCTAACTTACTTCACAACTGATGATATCTTTGATTTATTTATAGAGCCGCTTCCAACAACTCGCGTCTCACGTACACTACTGTTGTATCCAAAGTTTTGGTAGCAGCGTCGTCATCGACCATTATTACTTTATTTTTTTTATACTAATTCAATGATGTGTGAAATTCCATATATAATATATAGTATAGATATAGTACTTATCGTCTCCATTCTAATTGTTCAAACTTGTTACGGTGCTGTACGTAGGTGTCGATTATGTATCGTACGAACGAGTTTGAGCCATTAGATTGGAGATATATACCATAAACATATTCCGTATTGAGGCATAACTAGGATTTTGTAATGTTTATGTTGTAAGCTTGCAATTCATTTGTAGTTTTGTGGTAACAAAATTATATATGTAGCAAGGATTTGTCATGTTTGGGTTGGCATATTGATAACTTTGTTTATGGTGGGGGGAAAAGGATATTATTGACCGGACCTTGTTTAATGGGTGCGGCCTGCAAACTGAGCATGACAAACGCTACCTTTTTGTGTGGTGATTAATGATAATGATATCTTTTGCCACCACAACAAGGGTGGTGATAATAGAATTTCCGGCAGATCCAAACCATAACAATAATATATATGATATTAAGTCAGAACTCATAACCATGTATTATGATTAATTTTGAAACAAAATTCGATGCATTCCGTATAAGACTTAAGGTTAGGATGCTAATGATTAATTTATTAGCATGATACTAATATTAATTCGAATTAATAAGAATAATTTGTTTTTGATAATTTTTTTATATTAACGAGTTGACCACAATTAAGATTTGTTTTTAATTAGAGCAGCATGCTTGTTCAATTTTAAAAATTTAAAGAAGGAACGCGTGGTGCTGCCTATTTATTCCACATATCGTCCTTAGCTTACAGGGACAACAAGTATCATGGAACGTACTAAAAAACACATACCACAAACCATACAAAAAAGAACATAAAATAGATCAGAATGCTTATAAAGTATACCAATACCTCACACACACACCACAAATTAATCAAGCATACCAGGAAAAATTCAAAGTTGACCGCATGTTTCTTCAGCCAGACCTGAATTCTTATAAAGTTGATTGCAAATCCCCAGAAGCATACACAAAAATTTAATAAGTGTGGCCACAATTATAGCATACTGAAAAATCTCATAAAACATTACCATAAGTTCCCAGAAGCACACCACAAACCTTATAAAAACCGATCACAAGTTTCTTGAACTAGACTAGAAACCTCGTAAAGCATACCACAAGTTCTCCAACACATACCAGAAATCTCATAAAGTTGACCACAAATTTCTTAAAACAAATTAGAAACCTTATAAAGATACTAAAAAATCCCCTGAATAAAACTGGAAACCTCATAAAGTTGATTAGGCTACTTTAAGAAAAACGTATGTAATAACAATTGTTTTGCAATAGTTAACCATTAACATTTCTAATATTTACACGATGCTAACAAATTAGAGTATTAGGACTCTGAATTTATTCAATACCGCATTTAGATATGCATATACGAAAACCATCCATCCATATTTGGCCGAGTAGCTAAGAGCATAAACCAAACGAGACGTGCAAGCCGGCTTATATATATAGTGGCTTGGCGTATGAGATTGAACAAATGGCAAAATCCTTGTGGTCCGCGGATTGGGCCGTCATAAGCACCAAAAAATGCAAATGACATCACGGAAAAATTAAATCAAATGCGGTCGAATTGCAAGCAAGCCTGGTACTCTGCTCTGCTAGTCACTATCCACGTGTCATATTCTGCTTGCTTCCACCATTCAATGTAGAGTGTTATTTTCATTTTTTTCCCCATAACACAAAAATGAAACTGCTAGCCTGTAGGTCGTCTTCCATTATAATGAGTCGAGTCGAGTTTTTGCTTAGTTTGAATTTGGTCTGTTTATAAATTTTTTAGTAAATACAATATATTAGCCACAACTATTATGAAGCGGGGAATTATAGGCACAACTATTGAAATTCAAATTATTAGCCAAACGTTAACTATCTGTTAACAATTTCGTTAGTAATACTGACTAAACTTTTATGTTTTCAAGTTATAAACTAAAAGCATTCCTACGTGGCCGTTGTCGTGCCCGATGACGTGGCCTTTTCCGTCAAAAATTCAATAACAGTAACAAATAGTTAGCCATATCTTGACCTGCAACAATAATTATGGCTAATAATTTGAATTTTCATAGTTGTGCCTATAATTCCCCGCTTCATAATAGTTGTGGCTAATATATTGTATTAACCCTAAATTTTTCAGCTCAAACTCGAATTTTGATAATCCAGCTTGAGCTCGACTCGGTAGAGCTCGGTAAATGCTCATTAACACAGCTTGTCAAGCTGAGTACAAGCTCGGCTCAAGATAAGCTCGATTTGAAGCCATTCTTGTCGAAAAAATGTGTACTGATAAGAATTTAAATGATAAAAAGAACACTATAAACTAAAAATAACAGCTAAGTTCCATACACATTCGTATTAACAAGATAATATTACTGTTTATAAGAGTAATTAATCCTTTCACAAGCTCTAAACAAGCCAGCTCGCGAGCTTATCTCAACAAGCCACCAAGTCAAGCTAGCTCACGAGCTTATCAACCTAAACACACGGTCTAGCTCAAACTTGACTCGTTTACTAACGAGTCGACTCACAAACCGACTTCTTAAATAACGAGTTGAGTGTCGAACGAAATTTTTTCCGATTCAAATACCGTATTGCTCACGAACGACTTGCTTCATTTGCCGCCCTAATTTACAACTGTATCGAAAGCATAAGTTCTTGCTTGCTTGCCTACCGATCTCGTTTGTAGCCCATATAAGTCCAAACAATATATAAAAGCCCTGAGTTTATTTGTAGCCCATATATTCACCCATATCTGGGCTTGGATGGGAGAAACACAACTCCTAAAGGCAGCCCATATCTTCTTTAAATATATTAAAGGGGTTTCAGAAAACGCCCCACTCCACGTCAGCCTTTGAGCTACGACTAGGGATGGCAATGGGGCGGGTTTGGGGCGGGTTTGCTAAAACCATCCCCATACCCATCTTCAAATACCCAAACCCATACCCGCCTCATACCCATGCGGGGAATGTTTTGTAAACCCATCCCCATACCCGTGGGTTTTGGGTACCCATGGGTAATACCCATACCCGTACATCCAACATTATTATATCTAAAACTTACAAGAAAAGTTCTAATTATAACTCTAAACGAACATATTATATCATGAAGTCAACAAAACACGGTCATTTTTTAATATGGTTCAAAGATTATGATCCTAAAATATCCATTAATACATAATATATAGTATAATATTTTTCAAATTATTATGTTCTAACTCTGATACATCTACTAAATAATAATTAACTAACATAATCTTGTTGACAAAGGGGAAAGTGAAAGGGTGAAATGAGAATTGAGAGAAATGAATTAGATTTTGATTAAGATGGTCACTCAATTGCATTTGTACTATTTATTTTCTCAATTTATCCTCATCATCATTGATAGATTATAATTTGATGCACATATTTTTTTATATATGAAGAAACTATCATGGTGGGGCGGGTATGGGGATGGGTATGGGGCGGGGAGGCTAAAACCATACCCGCCCCATACCCATCAAACTTTTTGCGGGTTATACCCATACCCGCCCCATACCCGGTCAAAGCGGGGATTCCCCGCGTTGACTGGGTCGGGGGCGGTCGGATACCCGCGGCCATGGGTTTGATTGCCATCCCTAGCTACGACCGTAACTTTCGATATTTCCTGTTTTTATTTTTATTTTTTTGTTTAATTTATATCTTTTATACCGGGTGCTTACCATTTTTTTGCGGGATTTTCTTCCCTGTAGTTTTTCTTGGGTTATTTAATTTTGTTTTATAGTTTGATATTTAATTCTCTTTAAAATATTTTAATCTCTCTCATGCTGTAATTGGGGTTTGGATAGAATTAGGAATTTTTTTATTTTTTAACCAAAAAGCTATTTTCCCTCTATTTTACCAATGCCTTTATACAATTTTCAATATTACACAATAAATCTAGATTATTGAGATTATTTTCACAAATTAGAAAAATTGGAAACCAATATTACACAATAAATCTAACAAATATTGGAAACCACTCATACCTTTATACAATTTTCAATATTGCTATTACACGAATATTGGAAAACACAAATACCCATATACCATTTTCAATACTGCTATTACAAAAATTATAGTATAACACACTAAAATATTTAAAATACTAAATTGAAATTTGATTAATGTTATTGGAAAAATGAACTCACCCGCCAAAAGCTAGTTTTCATTAGGTGAAATGGGAGTAATGCGAGTGATTTGCTCCAAAAAGACCAGCTCAATAACTGAAGCCCATTGAAACACCATGTCTCCCCAAAGTCTACATAGTATGATTTCTTCTCGACCAAAGCTCTACACCACTATTAACTCACTCAATAATGAAAATGAAATCCAAAACGAACGAGGAAAGCAGGAAAAAGCTTCCTAATCACCACAAACAGCAAGAACAACACAATTCATCAAACACACACACACACTCAGATATGTTGATTCCAACACTTTCTACAAAACGAGGGAGAGAGATAGAGAGAATGACACTACGACGGTGCAAGAAATGGAGCTAGAGAGACCACTAGGGTTGGCAAAGAATCTTCAGAATGCAACAAGGACCATGTTCCAATAAAGCACCACCACCACCAAAAACCCACCACCAGAGACCACAAATTGAAATCAGTCAGTTTACATTGCATCCTCTCTCTCTCTAGTCTCTCTCCCTCATCTAAAAGGCTAATAAGTTATAACTGAACAATCATTGAACTCCCTAATCAGTCGGTTACTCTCCAAAACAAATTCTGTTACTATATGACTTTCCCTGTTTGCTTCTAAGATTTTGATATGTCTTTCGTATCAAATACATTCATACGAAACTCTGTTAGTATGTCGAATGAGGCAAACGTCAACGCGTGCTGACATCGTGACCGACCATCGAACATAGTATTTCCCTTTGTTGTGTGTCCATGTAGATGTAGAGCGCGGGAGCACAAAGTGGAAAGCCAGGCGCACAAAATATAATTTGGCCTCAACACGTGGGGTCTCTCTCTCTCTCTCTCTCTCTCTCTGCTAAAATCTCAGGCGGGGGAAGTGAAAAAGAAAAGCAGCTAGCTCACTCTCTTTCTCATTGTGCTTTCTTGTTTAGCCTTGTACCCGTCCCCCACCTCACCTCTGAGTCTTCGACTCTTTTCCAACTTCTTGCTCCCAAGGATAAAAGGAGTCTGGTTTCCGGCGATGGACGATGGGAACCCCGACGACTGGCTGCCGGAAGGCTGGAGAGTTCAGGTCAATGTTAGGAAGAACGGTAAAAGGGATAAGGTACCTAGCTTCCTTCTTCTTCTTCTTCCCCGATTTCCATTCTCATTTCCCGCTATCTCTCTGTCTATTCGATTCCTCAGGGCTAGTAATCATCAGCTGTTTTTTTCTGTGTGATTTTAGGGCGTCTCCCAAGTCCAGTGTAGGCTCTGTAGCTAGTCTCTGCTGTGTTCGCTAATCGAATCCCTCATTTTGTTGCCGTAGCTACTGAGTTTTGATTGTTTAGGTTATGGAATGAATCGCGGGGTTTTTTGTTTTTTTGTTTTTTGTTATACTGCTCGGACTATTTGTACCGGAAATGGCAGGTGTTGATTTGAACCCCTTTATGAACCCCTTTGCAAAGCTCGCTTTTTTGCATTTATGGAACCTTCATTGATACTATTATGTCCCCAAACTTGCTAATTTTATGCTAGTTTGTAAGTTGTGATTCCTGGAATCCACATTCAATCATGAATCTGCATGCACATGTGATAATGTGAACTTCTGCAACGCGGATGAGTAATTGAGTAGTATTCCCCTTCTTTATCGGTATGTCTAAACTTGATGGCATTGACCTTGTTTTGCCTTAATAAGATGGGGTACTGATTCGGGACTGAAGCTGATTTTGAGCGTTTTACCCTCTCGTGGACTTTCATTTCTCAGCGACCTATTTTCAATCTTAAGCGTGTCTGTAGGTAGAAAATAATCCAATCCTTGTGTTGTCATTGTGATTTGAATAGAAATAATTTCAATCTTAAGCTACAGCAGAAATCTGTGTGTTGCTCTGCTAACTGCTGGAGTTTGATGCACTATCAATGTCTGGACTCCCTTTACCTCATATTAATCTAGGCATGGTATACGTCGAGTTGGAGTTGCCTTGCTGATTGAAAATTGGTTGTGTACAAAGAAAACTATGTGGCAGCGTTGAAGTGTTTGACTATATATATTTTCCCTGTTTGCAGTGGTACTTCCCTCCCACCGGTGGGGCTAAATTCTACTCTAAACTTGAGGTAACTCGATATCTAAAGAGCAACGGTAGTGGCATCAACATTGGTGACAACGAAGGCCATACGAGCGATGATAGCTACAACCTCGACACAGTGAACAATACTGGAAGCAATAAGAACATCAGTACAATCGACAGAAGTGACAAATTCAACATTAGGGACAACATCACCACCACTACACCCGCCAATACTGTCAAGCATAGCAACAACCTCGACTTGGTGAACATCACTAGTAGCAACCCCACCTCCGCCGTGGGCAAGAATACCAACAACGTCACGGATAGTAGCAATCACTCTGCAAATAGCCATCCCAAGAGTGAAGAAGAGAAGGAGGAGAATGGCACGCTTAAAAGATCCTCTAAAAAGGTTTCTAACGGCAGTCAGCATCTTGCATGTTTCCTTTGTTGGTTTGTGTCAGTATTTTCCTTATTTTAGATGGACGGTTTGATTAATATGGAATTGAAGCCATCATAAGTGTGTAAACTGATAGGGCTTTCTTAAAATTCACTTGCTATTCACTACTGTTTCATACAATGTCTTTCACTATTTACTCTCTTATGTATCTTAAGAGAAGGGTTTAAATTCTCTTGGAATGCAGGTTACCTTTGAGAAGGCTACTCCGGAAGGGCTACCTCCAGGATGGACCAAAGAAGTTAAAGTAACAAAGAAGTGCAGCAAAGTCAGAAGAGATCCGGTACTCAGGCTTCTATTCTTGTCTTGGGATTTGAATGTGCTGTGTGTTGCTATTTTTAATAACTCAATTGCAATATCCCTTGGGAGATGAGTTATAGGCATGGCTTAAACGTGATTTTCATGAATTCACTAACTGAACCTTTGCGTTTGTAGTATTATACGGATCCTGAAAATGCGTACACGTTCCGTTCTATGAAAGATGTATTTCGGTACATCCAGACTGGGGAGGTTGGAAGACTAGCAATCAGGCGGAGGCAAGCAAGGCATCATGAAGACACAGAAGATGATGAAACTCCGGTGGGTCCTTCAACATTCACTTTCTGCATGTTTAGGTTCCTCTATTTTATCTGGGGATAAATATGGTTCCTGCTACTGCCAGCGAACTCCCCAAAATGTGATGATATGACTTGAAGTTAGTTAGCTGCACCATAACGATAGTTACAAAGGAATTCATGTCTGCTCTCGAACCTGTAGTGATTGGCTTGTCTGAGTTCTTAAATTGACTCAAAACTAGGGTAGACAATCTTAGTGAACCACCATGATTTTGGGTTTGGGCTGAGGACTCCGTCAAGAGTTCTAGTGATTATAAGTTGATTTTTTTTCGCTTTGAAATGTCCACTAGCTTCCCCTTCCTCACTTCCAAAGTTCCTTTACTCTCTTCTAAGTTAGTCTTTAGATGTATTGCCTTTTTATACGTGGAAATGCTTACAGTTCTATTACTTTTGGCTTGCCAGTCACCAGCTTCAGCCAAGAAACAAAAGTTGGGGACTGATACAACTATGAACGGAACTAATCAGAGCTTAAAGGTGCCTAAAGTAGAACCTACTGGAAACTATCAGACCTTCAAAGTAACTAAAGTAGCTCCACCAGCACCTGAAGCCCTCCTAGATGTTCAAGCAATGCAACGTGAAGAAATAGACCAGACCCTTGAGGCAACTGAACTAGCTACTACTATAGTATCTGAAATGCTCCCTGCAAAGAAAACAGTTCAACACGAGAAAAAAGAGATTGAAGCAACTCCTCCCGAAGCTGAAGGCGTCTCTGATACGCAGCCAGTACAACAACACAAAGTGGAAAACCATGAGACCCAGAAACATAGTACTACTGGCAAGTCCAAGAAAAAGGACGGCGTCGTACAGCTTCCTCGCCGTGCCTCGAAGCGACTTGCTGCTCTTCCTCTTGAGCCTACTACCGCAGAACTAGAGGCGAGTTCATCTTCTCCTCAAGCAGAAGCAGCTGTTAAAATTGTGGATGTTGCTATCGGACTCGATTCTACCTCAGCACAGAAGACCCAAAGTCAACAGCATCAGCATCGAGTAGCATTAGTTAAGCCAACAAGTGAGCCGACTGATCCCAAGCTGCAAATAAATCATCTAAACCAGAATAAATCCGAGGCAAGAAAAGCCTCCCCTGAATCAAATAAGAGCAAGCTTTTTGGAGCCTGTAAGAAAGCTGAAGAAGATGAAGCTGGGAAGCTGCCTCTCGATCCTCCCCTGGGAGAGTTATGGGAAGACCCATGCATTGCATTTGCAATAAAGACCCTCACCGGGTCACTTGATGACCTGCCATTAGGGTCGAACAATAATGGACTAGGCGATTCAGCCAGTACCAAGGAGCATTTAGCTACTCCAGAAGTAAGCATTCCTGAAGTGGAGCCAATCAATAATTCTCAGAATCCAGGATCGCCTGTCAGCTTGTCTGCATCTTATACATGGGCGGACCCCTGTATCGAGTTTGCCATAAAAACTCTAACCGGTGCAATTCCTCTGGACTCTGATCTTTTTAATATGCAAGAGCAGGCAACTTCATCACAGCAAGTTCAGCCAAGTTCCAGCCAGGTATTCCACCACTCTCCTACTATTTTCCCTACTGAAGCAGCAGCAAGGGTCGAGCAGCTGTCACTACCGCAGACTAAAACCGCGTGGTACACCGGTGGGAGCAGCCCGTCTGCTGGTATGGGAAGGAGAGTTACCAGAAGCCAGAGGAAGGCTGTGTAGGTTTGTCATTAACTGTAGCCGATTGTTAATTGTACATACGGATGGTGAAGCTCTCCGAGTTCGGAGAGCAACATCATTTCTGGCTTTAGTTCTCTGTTATCCTAGTTAGCTTGCTTTACCGTGTTCAGCAAATTTGCTCACCTCTGTAAACAAATGTTCTAACTTTAGGGTTCTTGCTTCTGGCTATGCCACCGCAAGTGGTGCTCCAACTGATGGTGATATTGAATCATATAATCTCCACGATAGGGTAGTCCTATATCATGTTTGTTTCAATCCATCTCAAAATTGAGTGATTGTTCGTGTAATTAACCATTCTTGTAAATTGAAGGGCCCAGCCCTAATCTCCAGTACGCTCTCCACCAATTCTCACTTTTTAAGTTTTAACCCTCCTCTTTGTCCATCTGTAGTTTTCTTGTTTGTGCTAACTATATATTCTTTGATCTCTATCACAGAACCTGAACCTGCAGTGCAGTGAACTTACGGAAAGTTGGAAACCGTGGTTTCGTAAGCACAGAATGAACGAGGAATGAAATTGCCAGTTCAATCTCTCATTCGTATTGCTAGGCTTCAATCTTTTGCAGAAATGTAAGCAGTCATGGATAGGGCAGAAAAGTTCTGAACTTTCTTCAACACTGTATCTCTAATGAATAAAGTAAACTACGAACTCACCAGGCCAAAAAAGCTTACATCATGATTCACGAACCAATGATCATCAATTCATTACACATATTTTTTACGAGTAGATCATGTAATCATATTTCCTCCCCTACAACTAACTTGCTCCTCCGCAGTAGAGAAGAGGAGGGTGAAAGAATATGCATAGTACGGCAGAATTAGTACACAAGTCGCGAGTAGGATGCTGCGTAACCCTCTGTAGTATATTTACAGAAGCTACTGAAAAGCCCAGGTGGTGAAAGGTTCCTCATCTTGATTCCAAAATTGATTGCATTGCTAGACACCAGGACCAGCCATCCCTGCACGCAGTCTCAATGTTTCAGTTCTCTTGCTCCGTTCCATTGCCCCGACTAGCCATTCTAGACTTCCTTTGATACCCAACCTGCACGAAGTCTCAATGTTTCAGTGATTATATAACACTTGTGGATGTTTTTCTCCATTGTGCTAAACTTTTTTTTATTCTTACAACCAATGAAAACCTACTCAGAACTCACACTCACCCATCATATGCTGAAACAGCTTCGAACATGTAAACCCTTTCGTCCAGTTTCTTCAGGTCTAGATATCTTCCCAGTTCTTCAGCTGTTACAGCATCTGGAAGGTCCTGCAGGTGAAAGAGGGTACAGTCACTCACTAGAGAGAGTTGCAGGAACAGGTAATTCTTATCAAGCTGAATCAAATGGCAAACTTTACCTGTTTGTTTGCCAACACCAGAAGAGGGGCACCTCGCAGGTCATCATGCCTAAGCACTTTCTCTGTCAAGTATCAACACAACAGTCACAGTTGTTAACTCACCTTCATGTCCAGATGTTAGCCTCTTCCTTAGACAGTAGTAGCCAAATAAAGTAATGCTAGTTACCTAAAGCAGATTTTGCATCTTCAAAACGAGAAGGGCAAGCAGCATCAATTACATACACTACAGCATGTGCTTCTTCATAATATTTCTCCCAAATTGAGCGAAGTCCAATCTAGACATGGTGCAGAGAAAAAACACATTCCAATGAGTAAACTATTAACTCATTCCGTGTGTAGAGCTACTTCAAGGATGAGCTTAGCAGCTAACATTCATCAATAACAAAGCTGCATAGTATTCCCCGCTTCATAAAAAGAAGTGCTAGCATGCCCATTGTGCAGGAAGGGAACCTCTAGCATAATTAAGAAAGTCTGCCAAGTGTCAACTGTAATGTGTACCTGCCCTCCAAGGTCCCAGAACACAAGCTTGGAATTCGACACTTCAAGACGACCAATATTGAGTCCAACGGTTGGAACAATTCTATCATGGGGGAGGCCTTCAGAATTCGAGTACACTGTCTTCAACTTTTCTAGCAAGGTCTACAAAATCCAGAAAAGAACAAACGGATATCCTTAATTATGATTGTTGAATTACTTGCACAATCACTTCTCACAAGGTCATGAACAAATGAATTAGAGGCAACAAAAGGTTAACAAATGAAGGAAAATGAAGCATTACTGTTTTCCCGGCCTTGTCGATCCCAAGAATGAGCACATGAAACTCCGTCTTACTGAACACGTACTTAAAAAGGCCATAGAACAAGGAGAACATGTTTGCGCTGCGTATTGGATGTATCGCTTGTCCCTTCTCACCTATAGGATTAAAAGAAACAATGTCTCATAATCCTAACTTGATACTCGCCACACCATAGAATCGACAATCCTGAAAGGTTTTGGAATAAATTAAACATCAGACTACATACATATGAAGTTACTCTACTTCATACTTTCACGCCGCCACTCTACAGATCAAGCGTTCCTCTCAACGTTACATGAGAGCTGTATCCGGCAGCAAAATCTACCAAGCCAGGCTTGTAATCACCATTCACCATGGACAAATAAATGCACAACAAAGCCAAAATAAAGTTTTGCCAAGCTATTATAGAACATCAGCATACAGCGCAGCACCACTTAGAGATTGTTCAACCAGAAACCCAGACAAAACCGAAAGTCTAATATCAAGTTCATTCCTCTAAGCAACATATCGCAGTTCCATTTCTAAATCACAGTTCCAAAGTTTGATCCCACACAGCCAATTCGAACCCTAACTTACAGAGCTCGAAGCCACCCAGCATCCTCTCAATGGTGGAAACATAAACACAAACACCGGAACATCCTAGATCACGCAAGCAGACGGGCAAGTGGAAAGAAAAAACAAAAAACTAGTCCAAACAAATCTCTTGATCCCGTCCAATTACAATCAATTCGGTTAAGAAATTCACGAGCAAGGAATCTTACTATCGGTAGCTGAGGCGCACGGCGGCGATCGCGGCGGAGTGGAATTTGGTTTTATCTCTGCAATTCGAAGAGAGAGCTTTCGTCTTTCCAACAGATGCCCGAAGAACTCTCTCAACAACAGTCTCCTCTTCCAACAAACAGGCTCTCTCCTTCCTTTCTCCTCTCCTACTCCGATCACGAATTCCCTAAATTGCCCCCGAGCCCGGTTCTATTTGTCTGACGGATTCGATGGTGCCGCGTCACTTTTTGTCTACGTGGCTTGATCAGGTTATAAGGGGAAAATTAATTAAAGTGTGAAAATACAAAAAGGATAATATATGAAAGGAGGGTAGTTTTGGGATAGAGAAAATAGTACGGAACAAGGAAAGAGATGAAATGAAGTTGCGGGGCATAATTGGATCGAGGAAAACTCTCGCGCGGAACGGAGGAAGGAAAGCGCGAAGACGAGCATTTCGGAAGGTACGATTTTCTTCTTTCTCGCCATGGAAGAAAGAGAGCACGGAATGGAGTATTTGTGGCCGAGATATGTGTCTGTAGTAGTGAATTGATATGTTTTAAGCCTAATCGCCGCCGGCAGAGTTTGATTGGGAATACTTTCTCGCACTTTCTCTCGGGCCAAACAGAAGTTTACGGAGATGAAACTTTGAATCTCTGCGTCTAGATATTGTGAGGGAACTCTTTACGGTGGTACTGGATTTACAGATTGGCGGGATTGTTGTGTTTAATGATTTAGCTGTTCCTGGAATTGGATTGCGTGCGTGACTCTAGTAGGTTCAGGTTTGTTTTTCATGAGGAAGAAGAAGATGAAATGTACTCATATTCATCTCCTGTGTGTCAAGAAATGCTGATAGATGTAGCTGACTGATCTTTTGTAATCCGTTTAATTGTATTCTCTCTCTCTCTCATGTTCTGCTCTGAAATGTGGTGTTCATTCATTTCCATCTTAAGCTGAAGGGAAACTGCTTAACTGCCAAACTTGTAGCTTAGCTATCCTGCTTTCGACCTCTTAGAGCGACTTCTGGTTCTCCGAATTTGATTATTATGTTAGAATGGCTGCTTCCTTTGTTCTTTTTTGTATGATTCATCATCGGATAAATCGCTCTTTTGGATGTTGGATTGATGTGTCTTGTACTCTCGGTTCTTCTCATTCTGATGGGACTGTTTCATTGCTGTGTTCCTGCGTTGCAATTTTTCTCTCCTCTTGCTGCATTTTTGCTTGAGATGCTTGAGATTGGCTTTTTCCGTTCTTTATCGATGGCCCGAGTGGCAATCACTTGGATTCTGGTCTTGATGCTTTAGAGTTTAGACTGAGTAATTTTGTCTCTCATACAAGATCATCCTGCATTCTTTGGGTATTGTATTTTGTTATTTCACTTGTTTCTTTGATGCTTTTGACCTGGTTCTTTTCTTTCTCAATGTATTCAGGCGAATCAACTGTCCGGTGTGCTATTCATCTCTGGAAAATGACGTAATTGTGGATTTCCCTGCTCTCTCTTGATATTTTTTTTCCCCGTTGGGAGGATTGATCATATCCAATTTTAACTAATGATTTAGAATATGTTGTTGAATGCTAGTTTCATTCTATCCTCTGGCATTCCTTTGGATATGCCAAACAGATATCTGAAGTGGAATTCTATTCTCTGAACATGTTTATAGGGGAAGCAAAGGACGTGTCAGATGGAATGAAGACAATTTAGGGGAGATTGAAGCAAATAAGCCTGTGAGGCAAAAAATTACTGAACCTAAGACACCATATCACCGCATGATTGATGATGATGGTAAAATATTCCTCCCTTATTTGAATACAGTTAAATTCTTATGTAATAGCATTAGAAAAGCATGCAGGCTGTAGTTATTCTTCATCTTTTAACTTCTACGGCTGGCAAAATTTGCTGTGCCAGAAGTTCTGTAGATCTTTCAACTCCTAATTTATTTTTAAGTTGCTGGCTGTTTGTCTGAAAAAAGAGGAGAATGATCTGTTAGAAATTCTAGTTTCGGCAGGACTTGTTTTTTGTTTACTTCTTGAAAATGTTATGATTCTTGACCTGTCCTAATGCAATCTGGATTTTGGTTAATTGGATACAGGTTCTCTATCTCCTACTAAGGATAGCCTTGATGAGCCCGTTGATGATGTTATGCATGCTGAAGAATTGAGAACAGCATTACACACTGTGGCTTCTTCATCAAGTGGAAACTCGAGCAGGCGATCTACTGGTTGGACATCATCTGAGGATGAAGGCGACCTTATGGAACAAGATGATGAAGGTCTTGACCTAATATTCTCTTCACTTGCTTTTTCAATTCAGTAAGTTAAGTTGTGGTGGCCCTTCTCTACCAAAAAGTGAAACCTTTAGGTTTATCTAGGGGATTAGCTTTTTCGTTCATCTACAAACCCTTTTTCTATGATCTTTGGAGCATTATGCTGTCTGATGCTCATTTCTGTTATAAGCATTCCAATCATTGTATGATGCAAGTAGTAAGTACTTGCACATTTGTCTCGCGGATAATTCCCTCGCAGTTTGATTGCATCTTTTCATTGTCCAAAATCTTGCCAGATAGTGAAACGGATAGGAAAGCATATTTCAGGGAGCTCAGAAGAGCCCATTACGACGAGTTCCGGAAAGTGAAAGAACTCCGACGCAAGGGCTCGTTCTTGGAAGACGAGGAGGCAGAAGAAAATGGACACGCCAAGGCGAAGGAGAACAATGGAGGATGCTCAAATTCGACATCAGCAGTAACCGCCGGTGTGAGAGACATCGACATCCAAGAAGATGCTACTGCTTCAACTTCATCTCATCCCGCAGCTAATGGATCATCTTAGAAAAGCCTCCCCACTTCGTGAGCCAATCTCACGCCATCTTTAAACTACTGACTCTGTTCTAGCTCATCGATTTTTCTTCCCCATGTTATTTCACTGCAATTTTTAATGCCAGAATCTTTGTATGCTTCCATTCACTTTACCTCTCTGTAAATAGTTCTCACTTCCGCCTTATCTGAAGCTACTGCTGCTTCTAATTCTCTGCACTCAATTTTCTATCGCATATTCGCATTTTACTTGTTTTCCTTCATCTATCTAACGAGTAGTGACGTGGCATCTTCCAATTGGATGCCTCTCCGAAAGGATATTATATAAATGATAACTCCTCTTAGTCACTGCCGAAGAGACGACATCCTTTTCACAATGGCAGACGAAGCTGCGCCTTCAACCTCCCAACTAGCTTCGCAAATCTGCAACCACATAGCCTCCGTCTTCTCCAACCCCACCGGAGCCCACCCACCGCCGCTGGACGAGCTGGTCTCCGCCGTCGCAGCCGCAGCAGCCCGGCGGGGCAAGGTCTTCCTCTACGGAGTCGGGAGAGAGGGTCTGATGCTGAAAGCTTTATGCATGCGGCTCGCTCACCTGGGTCTCGCCACCCACGTCGTCTTCGACATGACAGCCCCGCCCATCGCCGCCGGCGACCTCCTCATCGCCTCCGCCGGGCCGGGAGGGTTCTCCACGGTGGACGCTCTGTGCTCCGTCGCGCGATCTTGCGGCGGAGAGGTGCTGCTCCTTACGGCCCAGCCCGAAACGGGATCCTGTATCAAGCACGCCGATAAGGTTTGCTATGTCCCGGCGCAGACCATGGCCGACGATAAGGAAAACGACGATGGCGGTAATGAGGAGGAGAAATCGAGCGGCCGCCGGCCGCTGCTGCTGATGGGGAGCGTGTATGAAGGGGCGCTGTTCGTGTTGTTTGAGATGGCCGTTTATAAATTAGGGGAGGTGTTAGGGCAGACCGCCGAGGAGATTCGTGCCCGTCACACCAATCTCGAGTGAAGGAAAGTAACCACCGGCGTCCGGCAGGTCGGACGGCGGGGCAGGGTGAATAAGGAAAAGGGCTTGTATGGTTGGTGTTTACTGTGGGCTGGGAATGGGCTGGTGTAGGAGGCCCATTCTCGGACTTTAGGCCAATAGGGTCTGTTGACAAAAAGTGTTTTGTGTTGTACGGTACATGATCTGTATTCCCATCAATGTTTGAGAAATCCTATCCTACTACCTCCTATCGGATTGGGAATATTGAGTACCAAATTCTAAATCGGCATGTATGTTTAGCGATATGAAACTATTTAATCATGATTTTGGTACAAAAAATTTTGTTACCGACTTTTTTAATATAATTCCCGTTATATTTACAAATAGTTGACTATCATCAACCGACAACATTTTCCAAGAATTTTGCACTTCTCACACAAATATATCCCCTAATTTATTTTTACATCTTTGAGCTCCTTAAACATAAGTTCCAACTATGTCTTTCATTAAGACTCCTCATGGCAATGGCATAGTAAGAGGTTTTAGACTTTTAGTCTTTTAGCGCTCGTTTGCTTGTTGGATTTGAAAATGAAGGGTTTTTTTTGCTTTGAAAACCTTTGGATTTATGATAGATTTGTTGCATTTTGCATTTGAAATATAACATTATTTGTTTAGTTGAATTTTTATGATGGATTTAGCACACTTGGTATCTGGGTCTAAAAAATATGCCTTCTATAATGTGGTGTTTGCAAATACCAAATGAAATGTGGCATTTGCAAATACGTAGGGTCCACGGATTTGAAGCTAAAAAAATTATCCAAATCCGTGGATCCCACGGAATTACATACCTTAACAAACATTGACATTGGATAAAAAACATGATGATTGGTATTTGGAGATCAAATACAACATTCAAATCTCATTAAAAAAACACCTCAGTCGTAGAGTTATTTTGTTAATTTGGTGGGAAGAGGACAAATGAAGGGGAGGTTCGGATAAGGAGGGATATGGATTATGGAGGGGTCCAATTTGTGCTACAAACTTGCTAAGAGGATATAGCTTTTTTAATTGAGCTTTTTTCTGCAAGATGATAAACCAGCTTAAATCACTTATTACTTATTAGGTAGGGCTACAGAGTACTTTAGTGATGAGTCTCACCTAAGAAAGTTGGAGTGAACTTACTACAAGCTTGTTTGTACACAACTTTTGGGTGTTCATAGTGGTGCAAATGTGTCAAACTGCTCATGAATGACTCGGTGTTTGGTTCGAAAAAATCTCATTTGACACTCAGCTTGTTTACTAACGAGTCGTGTTTGAACTAAACTTTGTTCAGCTTGCAAAGCTCGCGAGCCGACTCGACTGTGCTTTAAAAAAGGCTTGATGAGTTTCTTTTTACTCACTTTTCTTAATGTTTCGTACAGAATTGACATTTAATTCGTTACAACATAGATACTACTCTGAATCCTGAGTTTCGCTCTTTGAAGTTAGAGGTTTCTGGCAGTAAGAACTTATCGAAGAAAGACTTTGATTACTTTTGCCATCTTTTCTCTTCAATGATCTTTCTATTATTCCATACTTGATACTCCTACATAAGTTATTCACATATCTCTATATACTAAAATTTCTCGATGATTTAATTAATCAGAAACATGGTGTATAAACATACAACCTCTTTTAACTAATTCCCTAGAAAATTTTCATTGTTTTTTCCTAAACAGGCAAAGATCGTTACCAAAACACTCAAAAGATTTTCTTCTTCTTTTTTCCTGTACTCCCTTCAGTTAATTTCCTACGGTTAGATGTCGATTGGGAAAATGAAAGAAACGAAAGGAAACAAGAGAATTGACATTTCCACTCTCTCACTTCTTCTCCTTCAAAATATCTTCCTTTTATATCCCTATCCTATCCCCATCCCCAATTACTCCTTCCATGCTTAGTCGCCCAGATATTTTCTCACTTCCCGCTCCCCACCCCCACCTACTTCTTCCACGCGCCACTTTCCACACGCTTTCTAATTGCTTCCTCAACGCAGGCCCACATACTGCCTCATCACTTGCCCACTTCAAAGCGCGAGTGAGCCTAATTCCCCACGCGCGAGCCGATTCGCTTCCGCCAGCTGTTCCCGAGAATTAAAAAAAGGGGAAAACGCCGTGGTTTTATTTCACTTATACTCACTAGCGCTATATATATATATTTATCAAAAGGCTGAAAAAAGAAAAGCATAACTCCTCTTGAAAATTTCGTCGAACGGTTTCATTCGCCGGCGGCGCCCGATGGACGACGGCGAACCTTCCACCGGAAGCAGCTGCAGCAGCGGCGGCGGGGGCGGAGGGAACTGGACGAACGAGAAGCACATGAATTTCTTGAACTCGATGGAGGCCACCTTCGTTCGTACAATGCTAATTGAAAACAACAACTCGTCGTCACTCCACCGCCACCACCTCCGCCTCGATCGGTACTTGCCGGACAGCTTGGAGTCAACTCTCGACTCCGCCGAATCGCGTAGGCAGAAGAAGAATTCCCCGATCGGCGCCGCCGCCTCATCAGGTGCGTTATTTTTTTTTTGTTGGATCGACGACAAATTGAGTGCAATTGCTAGTGCAATTTTTTCTTTCTTTCTTTCTTTTGCGTCGATCGAGTACAAGGTGTTCGACGATATTCCGCTGCGAAAAAGTAACCTGCTTTTAACCTTTTTGAACTAGCTTTTCTATTTGGGATCAGGTATTTTAATTTCGGCTTTGTCAGTAAACTTATATGTTATCTTATCTGTATATTAATTAAATCAGATACTAGATGGCTAAGATTTCCAGATTAATTATTTTACTTAATAAGTAATCAAATATGCTTAATGATTTACAACTCAAAAGTGAACCTTAATTTAATTATCTTAGATAATGCAAATTATATGTAACAAATTCTGACAGATTCTGTTGGATCAAGAAGCATAATGGGGAGTGGGGTTGAACGCAAGAGATCAAGAAGATTGGCGATGGCGTCTTCTCAAACGCGTACCCAAAACATCCAAACTTCCAATTCACCATCGAACGATCAGGTTCTTGCTCACAACCCTTACAATCGTTTTTTTTTTGGGGGGGAAATGGGTAAATAATTCCTATGAGATTTTGTGACAAAAATGGTCCCAAGCTAAACAAAAACTTTCAACAAAATGCTGCTTGAGGTATAAATTGATCTCCTACAGGTGGTGCCGCAGCTTGATAAGAGAAGTGGCGATAAAGATGAAAGAGATCCTCGCCGAGCCTGCTAGTTACTGAATGGTTTCGTCGCCAGCCTGAGGAAGTACAAGAAATATGAGCCAAGCTAGCTATCTAAACATATCTTTGGAAATATCTTATATTTAGTCAACCTAGCTGAGAAAATTATGTTTCTTGGATTTTCTTTGAACTGGTATAGCTTACTTAATCGAGGAATTTTATAATGCTATATAGCATTGGTGCTACAACTGTTTGTTTTTATGATACAACTTGAAGTTGTACCTTTAACGTTATGGTACAACTTTAGATTGTACCTATACTCTTTTGTACAAATTCTTTTATGGTACAACTTAAACTTGTACCTTCATGTGATGGTGCAACTTTAAGTTATAAAGTTGTACCATAACATAAAGATACACATTCTTTTATGGTACAACTTTAACTTATACATTTAACATTATGGTACAATTTTAAGTTGTACATTAAAGTATCAATACTTTATAGCATAGTAGAAGTGCTCTACTTAAGCATTGTCTTCATGTCTTGGTTCTCTCCTTTCTTCCTTCTTTACTTAGAAATAGAGATGATAGGTAACCTTTTTATGTAACAGAATAACATCTCGAAATGGACTTTTAATTGAATCAGGAACAAAAGTTTTGAATTGTGAATTTGGTGTACTAAATTATTTCAAACTTATGATGCAAAATGTAAATTTACGCTTGATAAACGCAACACGACGAATCTAATTACTTAGTCGACTAGTCCCTACATATAATCATATCGTTCATGCAAATTCAAAATATCATAGGTCGTTTGGATGGAGTATTTGTATGAGTTATTTGAGTTCAAATAACTCACAATGAGTTATTTGGACGCAAATAACTCGTTTGGCAGCGTTTTACTGAAATGAGTTATTTGGACAGCGAGTTATTTTCAAATAACTCAAAACGAGTTATTTGAAATAACTTAGGGATTTTTCCAGAAATAGCACTGTTTAAAAAAAAATTCCAAAAATAGCACCTAAGTCCGAAAAATTCCAAAACTAGCACCCTTTCCCAAAAACCGCTCCCTACCAGTGCGGTTTAGGCAAAAACCGCCACCCAGGGGCGCGTTTTTCGATGAAAACCGCACCCCTAGGGGGCGGTTTTGCATATCGCACCCCTAGGGGGTGGTTTTGCATATCGCACCCCCACCATGCGGTTTGGTTGCAGATCGCACCCCCACCATGCGATCTGCTTTTTTTTTTTTTGAAAAATCCTAACCTAAGTGGAAACTTCAAACGGACGTATCTTTGTGTTCGGGTATCCGATCGTCGCGAATTTTTTTTTGATTCCGCATAACTTTTTGAGATCTTGCAAGCCGAAGACCGCCGAATGTGGTTTGGTCCCGCCTTCGTCCCAAAAAATGTCGTTTGCTACCCCGAACGAGCTTATTTTCGAGTTCGTCAAACTTTAGACAACCATAACTTTGTGCTCCAAAATCCAAACGACATGAATTTTTTTTTATTTCGCATAAATTTTTAAGGAATACAACTTTATGTCGTTTGGATAAAAGTTGTCACCCTATAAGAGAAAAAAAAAATTATTTCATTCCATCATTCATGAGAGAAGGGAACATACATTGTCACCCTTATAGAGAAAGAAATTATTCACATTCATAAGAGAAGGGTACATACACTGTCACTCTTATAGAGAATACACCTCTTATAGGGTGACAATATATGTATATACCCGAAAGATCATTACTTTAACATTTCTTTATTGGTTAAATGGTTTCATAGAGATCATGCAGATAATTGCTCTTGGTGGAGATCTCTTGTCAACTACAAATTCAATTACCTGACAATTCCTGGAATATGCATATCACTTTAGGAGCCATGCAAAAATCTATTTGGAGAAGAATCTTGAAGGTGGAACTCTATTTTTGGCAAGTAGCGGTCATTAAACCAAGCATTACCTCATATTTGTCATTTTAGATGGATTGTTTGATCCCTAGCTGCTACCTCTCGGAGATGTTTCCATCACTTTTTGCTGCAGAGACTAACCGCTTTTGAAGCATCTCGAACATTCGCCAAATCAATAATGGTGCAACTACATGGAATGTCTAGTTCAATTATGCATTCTGTGGACAGCTTCTTAGACAACAAGATGTGCTTAACAACATTCTCAACACCATTCCTGCTATTTGGCTACAACCTACAAGCTGGAATAGACAGCCTACAACACTTACTCTAGAAAAATCAATTATCTATTAATGCTTGCTACAAATACTCCACACAAGGAATATTTTCGGATGTTGAAGAGGCCTTTCCGAAAGAGGTTATTTGGAACCCGATAACTCCCTCTAAAATCTCATCATTTTTTTGGTTGGTCTTCCCAAGGTAAAATACTCACTTTGGATCAATTGAGACTACGTGGCTGGTGTCTTCCCAATCATTGTTGCTTGTGCTTCGATGCAGAGGGAACTTCAAATCATCTACTATTACATTGCACATAACTGAATCAAGTATGCAACTTCTTATTCGTTAGTCTACAACTGCAAGGTATGAAACCAAAGCACTGTAAGGATCTAATTACATAATGGCCATCACTATGCACAGGCTGTCCGTTCAAGAAACCGACCGAACTACTACCGTTAATCATTTTTTGGCACTTGTGAATTGAAAGAAACTCCAAAATTTTCAGGAAACTCTGTCTTCCACCATCATCACCTACAACAAAGTGGTTAGAAGTATATGTGAATCATCACTAGTTCATAAACTTAGATTAATATAGACTGATTTGTAGTTTGTTTCTTGGGAATAATTCCGTACCTGCTTTTCAACCTCCTTGAGTTTCTAGCTTTTCTATAGCTTTCTCCTAATCTTGTACTCTTAATTTTTTCTTGTTTTATTACGGAGTTCGTCCATTCCTTATGAACCCTACACACTGATGAATACAAACAGTCACACATTCATAAAAAAAAATCTCCATTAACATCCTTCAGGGTCTCGATTATGTTCTTGTGTCTCCAAATGTTGGTAAGTAGGTGAAAGTAGGTTGTTTTCCTCTCCCCGAATTCGACCCATTTCTCTCGAGCTCTTTGAAACCAAATGAATTCTTCATGTCCCATAGTCTTGTCTAGTTCTGCTTCGAGCTTCGAATGCAACTTTCCAATTCCCGGAAAGCACCTATTCTAGGATGCTCTTACAAAGCACATTAATTTGCAAGTACAAAGGATAGAACAGGTCCAAAAATAAAAGAAGTGCATGCCGATTGGATAAACAGGAAATGCCACCTTAGCACACCTACTCTAGCCCGACTTATGGGCATAATTTCAACTCCAGCCCACTCTGTTCCCTCTCTTTTTCTTCATACTTTCTATAGATTCATTCAACCCACTGCATCATACTATCAAAGGAAGCTTAAACCAGAGCCAACTGTTATCAAACTTCTGTAATTTATATATTAGCAAACTGAGTGAGATTGTTAGTATCCACTACAAGCTCAACTAAACTCCATCGATCATCTTTGTTAAAAATCTATCTACTTATTCTTACAGAAGCTCGCTCAAACCAGATCATACCCCTTTCAACAACTTATACACTTCCTCCATAGAAGGCCTTCTAGCTGGGTTCTCAGCCAAGCACACAGAAGCAATCTGCAGAACCTTCAGCATATCACCTTCACATTCCCCATTGACCACAGCTGGATCAAGAACTTCAACAGCTACCCCTTTCTTTCTCTTCTGCAGAACCCACCCCACCAGATTCCCACCTTCCACTTCCTTAAAATCAGGACCAGTGGGCTCCTTCCCTGTCACCAGCTCCAGCAGTATGACCCCGAAGCTGTAGACGTCGCCCTTCTTTGTCGACCTCCCGCTCTGTCCATACTCTGGAGGGATGTACCCCAAGGTTCCAGCGATCTCGGTGCTGACGTGTGTCTCACACGCGCTGATCAGCCTCGCGAGGCCAAAGTCTGCGACTTTGGGCTCGAATTCCTCATTCAGGAGGATGTTGCTGGCCTTGATGTCTCTGTGGATGATGTGGGGGTGGAATCCATGGTGGAGGAACTTCAGGCCGCGAGCCGAACCCACTGCAATCTTGAGCCTCTTGTTCCAATCAAGCACTTCCAGTCTGCCAGTTCTGTTCCTGAGCCACATGTCCAGGCTACCATTCACCATGTACTGATAGACCAGCAGCTTCTCCTCACCAAATGAGCAGTAGCCAAGCAAAGGGACTAGATTCTGATGCTTTACCTTCCCTAAGGTCTCCATTTCAGCTACGAATTCTCGGTCACCCTGATCTTTAGCTTGGCTGAGCTTCTTCACTGCTACTTTGCTACCATTTCGGAGCGTGGCCTTGTAGACCGTGCCAAACCCGCCATCACCAATGATGTTGGTCTCCCTGAAGTTGTTGGTGGCTTCCAGGATGTTCCCCAAGGTCAGCTTCCGAAGAGGCTGCTCGAACATGGCGATGTTGATGCTCAATGGCTCTCTTGACCTGCTGCTGCTGAGGAAGTAGAGGTGGTTTTGGTCGATCAAGCTGTCCAGCTTGCTCACTTCAATTTCCTCAGCATCGCTTCGCCTGCTGCCTGAAGTGATCCATTGTCGTAGGCAGAAAGCGATTGTCAGGCTGAGAATGGTGAATCCAATTGCCAAACCAGAAACCAACCAGACCAGAAGTGATGACTTATCTACTCTGCTGATTTCGCAATGGGTCCCTAGGACTCCTCCACAGAGTTTGTTGTTGCCTTGAAATGAAACCTTTGAGAGGTTTGAGCAAATCCCAACTTTGGGAACTGGACCTTCCAAGCTGTTCTGTGCCATATTCAGGTAAAGGAGATTAGAGAGGGAGCAAACATTGGATGGAATCTGGCTGGAAAGTCGATTCATTGACACGTCCAAGTACTCGAGCTGCAGCAGATTCCCTATCTCGGGAGGAATCCGACCTGTCACCATGTTTCCATGGAGATCCAGACGGGATAAAAATGAAAGATTTCCAATCGATGCTGGCAGTTCTCCACTGATCATATTGCAACTTAGGTTCAGTGTCTCGATCCTCCAAGAAACAGAATTGGAGAGGAACTGGTCCATACAGCCAGAAATTCTGTTGTGCTGAACAAACAACCCAACTAAGTTGAGCATTTCTGGAAGAGTTGAAGGCAGATGGCCATCTAGGTTGTTGAAGCTTAGATCCATATGACTAAGCCCTTTCAAGTTGGAAAAACTTGTTGGAACAGAGCCGTGCAACTGATTCCCTGTCAAATTCAGCTTCACCAAGCTTCCCAATCCTCCCAAAGAAGCAGGAATAGTTCCTGAGATCATATTGTTCCCAATGTACAGACCTTGAAGCTTGGAACATCGTCCGAATTCAGCCGGAATCGAACCGATCAGCCGATTCGCAGACAAATCCAATGTGGTGAGGTTAGTCAACTCAGCAAGAGAACCTGGAATCTCACCTGAAATCATGGAAATGTTTAATCATCATTAGCAGAAATGAATAGCAAACTGCAGGCTTATAAGAAGAGCTGTGAACATGGAAATGAAAGAGGTACCAGACCTGAGAGCATGTTGTTGTTGAGCAGGAGATCAACTACTACAACAAGCTTACCAAACTCCACAGGAACCGAACCGGACAACATGTTGTTCGACAGATCAAGCACACCACGGTGTTGAAGGTAGCTCAAGTCAGGAACATTCGTTTCTCGAAAGTACGATGAATGCTTGGAAGGGATGGGTCCTGATAAGTTGTTGTGTGACAGAACCAGGCACTGGAGCTGACCCAAATCAGCTAGCTGATCAGGTATCGAACCGTTGAGCCGGTTGTTTCCAAGGTCCAATGTGGTTAAGGAGCCACAGTTCCCTAGCTCGAAAGGAATCGTTCCCTCCAGGAAATTGGAATTCAAATTCAGAACAGAGAGAGCTGTGAGGTTTCCAATCTCCTTGGGAATAGTTCCCCTCAGCTTATTGTTGTTAAGCACCAGCCGCTGCAAAGAACCAGCATTCCCAATCTCTTTAGGAAGAGAACCCTCCAATTGGTTATTCCCAGCTGAAAACTCCATCAAAGACTCCGAACTCCAGAGGCTCACAGGAATCGAACCCGAGAAATTGTTCGAATCGAGATCCATCACCATCAACGGAAGGTCAGTTAAGTAACTCGGGATGTGCCCATCGAGCCGGTTATCATCCAGAACCAATTGGGTCAAATTGCTACAGTGCAAAAACACTTCATCTAGATTACCTGACAGGAAGTTGCCATTGATATCAATTTCCTGGAGGGACACAGCATTGCAGATCTCCCTGGGTATCTCACCGCTCAACAAGTTGTCGCTGAGGCTTATATGCTGCAGAGAAGAACAATTGCCGATCTCGGCGGGAATTCTGCCTTCGAATTTGTTGCCGGAAAGCAAAAGGGACTCCATCTGTGTCCATTTCCCAATCCACGAAGGTAGTCGACCTGTGAACTCGTTCTTCTCGGCTGAAAACGTAAGCAGCGGCAAGCCGGAGAGCTCCTCCGGAAGAGACCCAGAAAGGGAATTGAAAGAGAGAGTAAGCATCTTCAAGTTCCGGCAGCTTCCCAGCTCGGCGGGGATTGAGCCGTTGAGCTCCGCGTAAACCAGGTTCATCATGGTCAAGTTCTTCAATTGCCCAATCGAGCTAGGAATTCCGCAGCCCAATGGGTTGTAAGAAAGATCCAGCTTGCTGAGCGAGCTCATCCCGGCGATTTCGTCCGGCAACGGGCCGGTGATTGAGCAGGAAGGCGCAATGAGATTCTCCAGGCGAGAAAGGGCGCCGATTTCCGGCGGGAGCTGACCGGAAAACGAGTTGGTGCCGAAGTAGAGATCGACAAGGGAAGTGAGGTTGCCAATTGCAGGCGGGATTGGGCCGGAGAATGAGTTGTTGGAGATATCCAGCGACGTCAAAGACTGCAGCTTTGTAAACAGAGCGCCGGGAAGATGGCCGGAGAAAAGGTTGTTCCCCAGGTCCAAGAACTGCAGCTGGGTCAACTCCCCAAGCTCAACAGTCAACGCGCCAGAGAGTCCGTTCCCAGAAAGGTCCAAAGTTTCCAATCTATTCAAACTCCCGATTCCCGCCGGAATTCCGCCGGTGAGAGAGTTGAGGCCGAGTTTCAGCGACCGCAGGTGAGCCAGCCCGCTGATTTCGGCCGGTATTTCGCCGGACAGCTGGTTTTGAGACAGTGACAGCTGTCGGAGACGCTTCAGCTGGCCGATTTGGGGAGGAATCCCGCCGACCAGAGCGTTGGAAGAAAGGTCGAGGAAGACGAGAGTTGAGAGAGAGAAAATGGAAGCCGGAATGTGGCCTGTGAGAGAGGCGGAAGCGAGTGCGAGCGACGTGACCCGGCCGAGTTGGCAGCTCACGCCGACCCAGTTGCAGTGAGGGACTGAATCGTTCCACGAGGACAGAAAGATGGGATTTTGGAGTGACCCTTTGAACGACAAGAGGATCTCTGCGTCTGGGTTCGGAACAGAAGAGGAGAAGGAAATGAAGAAGAAGAGGATCGTGAAAATGGCGAATCCCGGAAGCTTCTTCCCCATCTCCATTTTTAGGTAAGAGGCAGGAGAGGTAAAGGGGAATGTATAGGTTTATGAGGAAGAAGAAGAAGAAACAGTTTTTATGATAGGAGAAAGAGAAGAGATGGGCGGAAAGACGTGAAATTCCATAGAAGGGAAGGGAGGAGGCCGGACAAAAAACAAGCTTAAACCCATACGGCCATAGATGGAGGGAAGAAGAAGAAGAAGAAGAAGAAGAAGAAGAAGGAAGAAGGGTGGAGGACTGGTAATGTAATTTGCCAAAAGAGAGGGATTTTTTATGCCTGTCAGAGGAGAACGGCACACGCAACTCACGTGACAGAAGGCACTGGTTCGGTTTATCATGTTTTGTAACCGTATTACGGATAATCCATGCTGTTTATTTATATCAGATAAGCCCCCATATTATTGGGAAATAGTCCATCTGGACCCATTACTTTTCCATACAGCACAAAAAGACCCGTTACTTTACTTTTTGCTCAGAATTTGGGTTTTGTCCTTTTCCTAATCTCCCTCCCCCTTTGCCTTTCCTTTTGGTTGATGATTTGGGCCACTGGTTTTCTGATTGCTATGGCATTGAGGTTTGGCTTTATAGAGTTCTCTAGGGATTGCTTTTGATGGATGGTGTCCAATTTTGTTTTTTGGCTTTGTTAAACTATTTTAGATTCCACCTATCCCTACTCTCTTGTCAACAAATCTAGGTTCATATGGGGGAGCATGATTGGATGTTCTTTCTTCTCAATTGGGCTAGTGTGTTAAGGGGATTAGTATAAAATGTGTTCTGTCTTTTATAATTGTCACAATGTGCATTTGATGATGGTATTTTACGAGGTGCATATGAGCCGACGAAATAAGAACATTCATATTCAATGGTTCATAAGTATAGTAGCAAAATCCCTTCTTTATTATTTTTTTCCGTTTCTTACATAATTTCCTTCTGCTATACTTCTTTTGCATAAGTATCCTAGACCCAAATGAGAAGTTTAAAGCCTTTCGAGTGTAAACTATCGAATCATTGGCTACATGGTCTAGATTTTGAATTATTTCCTCCTCATAAAACTCATTGCTATTCATCATAAGCCGGCCACCATAAGTCCATAACCATAATAAAAGCAATGATGTGACAAAAAAAACAATGATTTGAATACCAATTTCTCTAAGGTGCTATACGAAACCTAGGGGTGATAAACGGTTGCCGGTTAGTCTGTTAACCGTAAAACTGCACCGATAATTTCGGTTAGTCGGCTAACTGAAAACCGTTTATCAATTGCGATTAGCGGTGTCGGTTGGGAGAATTAGGGGAAGCAGCTAACCGGGCGGTCTTCGGTTGCTAACCGTGAAACCGACGGTGCACCGCAAAAACCGTCAAGACGACACCGCAAAGCCAATTTGTCGATTCCATATCCAAATCCCATGACCTAACTTCCTCCATCCATGCCTCCTCCATTCCCTTCCAGATTTTCGCCTCTTGCTGCAACCAGCTTCCATCCTCGTGCCGGACGACATCGTCTTCTCGTCTAGTCGTCATCTCTTCCTCCCGCCGGCGTCCCGTCGAGTTGCTTTTTGTTATCGCCCAGTCGACCTCTTCTTCACATCCAGTCGTTGTCTCGTCCTCACGCCGTCGTCAGCCCGTCGTCCTTGTCAGAAACTGAGATCTCGTCGTCATTCCTTAAACTATCGCTGACGAGTCTCTCCGTAAAGCTAGCTGCTACCTGTTATCAGCTAACCGCCTCACCGAACCGATGTTGGCAGTTGCGGTTTTCGGCTAACCGCCGGAGCTTACGATTGCGGTTGCGGTTGTTGAATTATGCTCTTCATCAGTCTCGGCTAACCGATTTGGCGGTGCGGTTAAAACCGAAACCACACCGCTAACAGCCCTAACGAAACCTATGCATAGGAGGACCAAATTGTAAGGCCAGGAAATTCAGGGGTTTATGTGGAAATAAAAACACAGGTGGCCGGAGGAGCAATGAATGAAGCCCAGCGTTTCAGTTTTGTCTTTCCTTTTCATCTTCTTCTTTTTCCCATTAACCGTGACGAATGCTTGACCAGTGGACCAGGAAAAGAAGGAAAACGGGTTGCTTCTTTTTTTTTGGGTGGGGGTCAAGAGTCAAATCTTGCAATCAATTCTGAAAGCGAGACCTTTCCATAACAAGAGTTCTAGCTTCTAACCCAAATTAGTGGTTTCCAGAACTAATGAGGAATGCTGCTCTGTTTTTCGGTGCAAGTTCTTCAATAGCAGCTCTAATTACCTGCAACTCTTCCACACTAATGCTCCACTTACCATAAATATAGAGCAAATTAAGAGGTGGGTAAGAATGTGGATTGGGGTCAGTGGTTGGAATTACATTCTAAACAACAACAAAATTATCATATATTCGATACTTCCGTTGGCAACTAGACGAGAACGCTACGAGAGTGTCTTCAGATCCTTAGCTCTTTGTATGTTTGTATAGAGTTTAGGGCGGTACCTAAATCCGCCAATAGTGCTGCCCATAGAGTGGCGCGTAAAGCACTGCTTTTATCTCTTGTAGAGCTAGAATCTTTTGATTTCTTGGGGTGGCTTCTCTAGAATTCGTTAGGGGTCCTCGGTAGAATTGTAAGCTTAACTATTATTTCTCATTGATATCACTCAGAAATAAAATAAAATAAAAAACTAGACGAGAACGCTTGCTAATGAATTCTATCGAATGGTGAATCGCAGAATTCGTCAATTGTAAAAGTTATTGTTCAATCGTCTAACACATTCGTCAAATGTTAACTAACAAAATTATTAGAGGATCCATTTAATTTGTAACAATCTATTATCAATACTAAGTATCATATTTCGATCAATAAGTTATACCATTTTACTATTGTACAAAATTTTAACTCCATGGTCCCCAAATGCTGCCACCTCTCTGTATCAAAGAGAAGAGAGGGCAGAGAAGGACTGAGCAGTTGACGTATGAGGGTACTAGAGATCAAGAGAGGGAAATGAAATGCAAATAGTTGGGTTTGTATTTTAGGAAAGGGATTGCTTGCTGCCTTGGCCTTGCCCTCCCTTAAGCTGAGCTGTCGCTTCACAGGAAGCAGCAGACCCCCTGTTTTTGGCAATCCCTCCTTCAGTTCTCAACAAATAGGAAAATACAGATTTTTTGAAGATCTCTCTGTATCTTTCCTTTATCACACTGCAACAGCACAGTGTACTACTACTAGCAGTTCCCTCTGCCAGCCCAGTTGCTTTCATTTCTTTGCTTCCCCCTTATCTCTCTCTCTCTATCATTAACTTCTTCTCCTCCTCCATTTATTAATCAACCCCACCATAACAAAACAAGTGGGTTTCATTAGTTTGCGACAAAGCAACAGAACAATGCATGAAGTAATTGTTTTCAGAGTGTTCAAAAAACAGAGCAAGCTACCCTGGAATTGAACTGGCTGTGTAAAGAGAAAAATCAAAGCAAAAGAAAGGAATGATTTTGTTTTTTGAAGGTGGGAAGGAAAGAAAAAGGTGTTGTGGCAGGTGGAGAACAGTTCCTTTCTCAATTAATTAGGGGGCGGTGGCCATGGCATGGGAGGGGAAAAGCTGCTCTTTCATTAGTTGAGGATATTACAGAAGTGTGTATGAAATGATGAACTCAAATAGCAAGTGAAGTGTGACTGTGTGAGCAGTAGGATCTCATACGTATGCATATATTTGTAAGAAACGTACGCCATGACCATGTGCTTCTGAGCAGAAGGAGAGAAGCCTTGTTCTTCTTCTTCTTCTTCTTCTTCTTCTTCTTCTTCTTCTTCTTCTTCTTCACTCTGCTTTCCTCTCCACGATGCATTATTATGGTTTTCGGTGAATTCCGTCCATTACCGCTGAAAACTGATGAGCAGAGCAGAGCAGAGATGGGACGGTATGGGTATGGGATTCCCTCATTTTTTGCTTTTCTTTTTCAGCAGCGAATCATACAGAGAAATGCTCTTTTGCAGAATGTTTCAGAGGCTCTGGTTTTTGTTTGGACATGGCTCCAAGATAAAATGGGATTGGTTCTATGTTTTAAGAATACGATCTTAAATCGATAAAATTAGTGGTTTATGATTGAATGTTTAATGTGATAGAATTGTGGGCTAGTGGTTACTCTTCATATCCTATAAATTGAAGACATTATATAACACACACTAATTTAGGACTCAATTTGTCACTCATGCTAAATCCATATCATCCATCGCCAAATGTTCTAATAAAACCATCAAACGGTCTAATAAGAAATCATAAAGAAAAACTATGAAGTTCAAACTAGTAATTAGGGTGACAACCGATAATAGATCGCGTAAATCGAACAAGGAAGCGAGGAAATGAAGAAGATGAATTAGAAAAAAAAAAAAAAAATTAGTAGTGTTAAAATAGTCTTAGTTTACTTTATAGTATTACTTTTTTTTAATTCTTTTATGGATAAAATAGTGAATTAGTGAACCAATCAAACCGGGATGGTTCATTTGGTTCCATATCCAACCATGAAAAACCATTCGGTTCATCCTGAATTGCCCAAATTGAACCACTTTGGTTAGGTTTCTCAAGAAACCTACCACACTATCATCATGACATGAATGATGAATGAAACAGAGCCGCACCTGCCTAGCTCTCTGCTTGCTTCTGCCCAACCCAAAAAAGCATTCATTACCTAATCCGATAGTCCTCGGGATTTGGTTGAGAGACTTTCTTCAATCGTGCACGCCTTCCTTCCTCCGGCAAAGTTACGAGATTGGATTGCCATGGGGGGCTGTTTGGAGATGTGAAGTAGGGAAGTTATGAGTCTTGGCTTTGAAATTAGCTTGCCTCAAACACACCCAATTACCTTCCTTGGTCCTCACATGGTTGATAGACAAAATTTGTTAGGGGTGGTGGTTTGGATGAGGAATTCTAATAGATCAATCTCGCATAATTGTCTTGTTTTGAGATAATTGTGTCTGATTTGATTCGTTTGGCAGCAGAAAAATTGGATGGAGCAATTTGTTTGGGCTGGGGAATTCTAAAAATTAACTCATTTTGAGTAAATTACAATTGTCTGGAATGGGACATGTAATATGAATTGACTCGTTTTAAATAACTTGTTTTGTATAATGAAACAATTGATCAAATTGTCTCGTTTTACAATTGATTCATCCAAACAACCCCATATCTTTATTCATCAAAGGGGCAAGTTGATCTTTTTCATCTTGCATTGCTGGTGGGCTTTTCAAAGTGGGCCTGTATCTATTGGGTCCATGGGCAGAAAGAAAGAAATGCTTGAATATGTCTTCTACGTTGAGCCGACTCGTGTCCTATTACCTCTCTATGTATTAAAAGCCCAATCGTCGAGAGTTTCAAGCCCAAATGAGACGGACAATTCTTCCTCCAGCTCAAGCCCAATGAACAACGTCCCATCCCCGCAGCAATCCTACAGAAGAGATCCTCAGCTTTGCATGGGTGGATTGTTTAAGAGATGTTTATATGGATTGTTAGTCTGTAATTTTATCCATGGATTAAATGTTGAACAAATTTAATAGCTCACTTAAGTAACCAAAATAACAAAGATACATAGTTGATACTCCATGTCGAAGTCAACTACCAAAATAAGAACTATTACAAAGGCCGAAAACCATCAATTAAACTTTCCTATTGGTATTCATGTCGACAAAACGAACAACGAAACTTGGGTGTCTTTATGATGATGTGAAGGTTCCTCTAAAGTCCAAATTCGAACCACTCCGACCATAGTAGAACGATAGCAAATTAACTCCTTATTAATGATGGTATTCGTATGATAATATCTCCCATTAGAAGGATCTCCTAAAAGACCGAGCTGGAGGCACCAATTGAAAAACATTTCACAACACCACCAACTCCACTAAAGAAGGGTTTTTAAGAAGGTCTTGAAGAGATCTCGTGTTCGAATCCATTAAGTAGCACTTGATTTTAAAAATATAATTTTGTCACTCTAATAAAACAAAAAAACATTAACATGTCCTTTTGAATGAATTTATGATCGAAATTGTGGCAACTACTATTAGGTGATTATAACAGTCGTACTATGTGATTATAACACCTCTTTCAAGATCCTACTCAACCAAAGCATCAATCAACAGCAAGTTACTAAAGATCATAAAAGATTGTATGGATTTTATTTAAGATTCTATGTCAATAGTTGAGTCATTTCTACTCGTCTCTATATTCCCAAATCAAAGTGGAATCCGTATAGGACTAGGAGTCTTTCATCACTTTAATTATCATTAGCAACAGACAACATAAGCATCTCCTCGGCCGACCGATGATGTAAAAAATATGTCAATCGAGATTAAACCACTCTTAAGTACTTCTGTTACTGGTCTGTTCTTTTATTACTATAATATTACATGGAATGGAATGGAATCGATTGCTCTAAGGAAAGCTCGAATAGCCATCGTCCATCTGGAACCCAGCGAACCCAATTCCGACACGTGGTCTGACGTATTAATTTGGAAATGGAAAGTGGAGGGAGGTACGTGTCAAGTTGTGGTACGCCGCCCTTGATGGCTGCTGATACGTGTTCCAGAATTCTGGCATGCAAGTACGATCGACGACTCTTCATGGAATATTAATGGCGGGGAGAATTTTTTTGCAGAGGAAAGTTGTTTTTGGCACCATTTTCCTCCTGCGCTAGCTATTATTATTATTTTTATTTTTATTACATTTCAATGGACCAAAGACGTGTCGAGCTTACAGAGGTTTTTATAACATTCTCCTATTACCTATTTTCTCCATTTCAAAAAACAAAAGGTGGGTAACGACTAACGTATCAGCATAATCTAAGTTTCAGCTGGTTCGTAATTTGTTCCGTCAGTGTGGATTAGGAAATCGATCGACAATAGAAGAAAGTAAATGATACATAGATTAGCGTAGTCTACTAGTATGGCACGTGTTAGCTAGCTATATCCACGGGTAGGAGAGCGCAAATTCACTATGTTTTAGGAGGTATATATTATAGAGATTGAGAAGATACGGATATAACACCTTCTCCAAACGGTCTAAACCTAATCCAATATGAAAAATGAAAAGATTACACAACATGTCAACAGTAAAACAAAAGTGTATAAGTCCATACATCGTGGTTCGACTTAAAATACAATTGGTAAACACCATTTTCATATTTGGGTGTAACCCCATTCACTATTTTGATATTTTCATTTATAACAAATGGTTGTCAGTATCGACCCAAATTCTTCCGCTCGTGAATTAGGACAATGAAACATTAAAGACTCTTATATATCGGTTAAACGACCCCTAAGAAATTTTAAAGAATCAAACCAATTAGCCAAATCACACAAACCATATTTGATATGAAACAACTGGTTGGTGGAACCACTATAGTATAGTACCACCACATCGACTTCCTCAATAGAGTGTTTCACTTGATGAAGAGATAATGCAACAAGCTCATATTATATTTATGCCAAAATTGTATAATGAAACGATGAATGGCCAAACCCTAAACAGAAAAAGCGGGGAAAAAAGGCAATGTTACACTTTGTGGGATGGCATGCATATTGCAAACATATTATATACATCACCAAAAATGGCCGCAATTGTAATAGGATCGATGCATGAACCACTAATAAAATCAATTCTTCTCGAGTATCATCGGCTTTTTGGGCACCTACTAAATTGGTTGTCTGAGCACTCATCAGCTTCGATTCAGTACCTCTCTGCCGTTGGTTGGAAGGGATTCATATTGCAAGTGGTTTGGCAATTTGCTACAAACCGTGGAAAGTGAGGCTGACCAGGCCATGACCATACATGAAGTACATTCTTGATCTCGATGCACAATATTATCAGGGTCGATTCACGACGAGTAGTATTAAGTGCTTTTAGAAAAGGTGATCTCAGTTTTAAACCGACGAGAACTAATGACCGATATAAAATACGATAACAAAATCCCGCCGGACTAGATAAATAGTACATCGAGACGTCCCGCTTTCACATATATAGTTGCTAATGATTTCTATACCCTGTAATCTATGTGAAATTGGACTTTTCATGGCAGCTGGAGCCAAAGAATTTTTTTTTTTCTTTTCTACAAAGAACAAACATCGACCCAACTTTTGAATAAAAAGTAGCATTGATATCTTGCTACCACATTTGGGAGCATAGAGTATGTAGATATGCCACTAATGGCAAAGAACCAAACCAGATTACAACAAAAACAATTCCCTAAACAGAAAAGCAATATAAAACCTCCACCCCTCTCTACTTGCATTTCCAATGCACTGTTGATAACATTGTTTTTTCAAGCTCATGGTGGTGGATTTCAACTTTCCATTTCTGAAGGGAGAGAGAGAGAGAGCATGTGTATGGAGGGGAGTAGCTGCCTGGAAAGCTGAATTCCCCCATTTGCACCAAAGATATTATAACTAAAGTTGTTTTTCTACTTGGCCTCCTTCATAACCCAATGGCAATAGTCCAATTATTCATTTATTCCCACCAAACCAATAGGCCAGAGACATGTTAGATTCTCCTTCTCATTTTTGTCTATTTTTTCCAAGCCATTTTTCTCAATTTTCGTTTTGATGATCGATCATGAAGAGACAAACTAAACCCAAAAGAGGAAGGGGAAAAAAGAAAGAAAGGGAGAATTCTTTTCTAGTGGCTTCCCTTCTTGTATTCGCATTTTCAAATTTGCTATCGTGTTCACATTTCATTTGCGCGAGAATTATTTTACAGAAGTTTGAAATATCGACTTGCATACGATGCAGTTTGTATCCGTAAAATGAACACATACGCCCGTTACACGATTCAACTACTTCGAAGTATGAGTACCATATCCGGACCGTTTTCTGCATCTTGATGACTAGTAATAATGCTAACAAGACCGCACCAAGTGACAAAACAACTACAAGGACAATTGCATGAAAGCGAAATGATTTGAGGGTGGAGAGAAAAAGATTGCTTCATGTGACACTTGTCCTTTAATTTTTTTTCCTTAACCGAGACAATCATCCATGGGTCCTTCACATAACATGTCACCACGATTTTTTTCCTTCTTCCATGGACCAATCACTTTGCTTCTAAGTAGGATACGCAAATCATGAACTAAGCAATTAACCACTACTGTAGTTTACGATCCAAATCATTATACTTTGAGTCACATCAACCTCTAGAAGGTCAAGGTTATGATGAGGAGGAATATGCCTCACTTTCTTTCCCTTTGAATGCAATTTTTTCACATTAATTTGATGTGATCGTGCATGTAATGTATATCTAGCTTGTGAGTTAAGCTCTCTCTCTCTCTACAGTTCTATCTTTCGCCTATAAAAAGCCTGACCTCCCCTGAATCTCAGTTCCCCATCATCATCACCATAACCCAACACCAAAGAAGCAAACTTTACAGCAATACTAAATACATAGAGCAAAGAAAAGACCAAAGGGTGAAAACCCATTTGCTAGTTTCCATCAGTTTCTTCTTGTAATATGGCGAGAGGAGCAATGGAGCCATTGATAGTAGGGAGAGTGGTGGGTGAAGTGGTGGAGATGTTCAACCCCACCGTGAGAATGACTGTCACCTACAACTCCAACAAGCAAGTCTCCAACGGCCACGAGCTCATGCCGGCCGTCGTTGCTTCCCGGCCGCGCGTCGACATCGGCGGCGACGACTTGCGCACTCCTTACACCCTCGTAACTAATTTACTCACTACTCAAACAATCTCTTGCTACGTACTGTTAATGTTATATATTTATTCTTTCTTGACTCATCATGGTGGCCGGTGTTTCCCATGTTTGAAGATCATGACCGACCCCGACTATCCAAGCCCCAGTGATCCTTACCTCAAGGAACATCTTCACTGGTACGGTTCCCTTGCTTACCGTTTGCTATAACTTGAATACGTATTATCCGTCATCGACTGGAAGTCACAGGTTCTTAATCTACGGTATATTGGTTTACATACACATGTTTGTTTTACTCATGTTTTGGAACCTTCTCAATCTCTCTGTAAGTACGTATCTATTCAAGCATAGTGAAACTTATCTCTTCTATACGTGGACGTACGTAAACAACACACATTATATCAATGAAACGCGTAAATCTATGTATTCTTTATTTTTCTTTGTATTGTCGATTTCTCACCGGTTTCACCTTTGTTTGATAAACCTAACATGTTTGATCTGTTTTACTTTAGGATGGTCACGGACATTCCGGGCACAACGGATGCTTCATTTGGTGAGCTTATATATACATATATTCTCCCCTCTAGCTGTACTCTTTTTCGCTTTCCGAACCGAGTTGGTCCCAATAAATCAGTTTGTTCCAATAACTCGAGTTTTGTTAGAAGAAGGTTATTCTGGTTGTTATATAACACTCTCTAACAAATTAATGGTGATGTGACGAAATAACGCAGGGAAGGAAGTAGTGAGCTACGAGGTGCCGAGGCCGGCGGTGGGAATCCACCGCTACGTGTTCGTCCTGTACAAGCAAGCCAGAGGGAGGCAGACGGTGAGGCCGCCGACGTCGTCAAGGGACTGCTTCAGCACCAGCAAGTTCGCTCAGGACAACGGCTTGGGGCTCCCCGTTGCCGTCATTTACTTCAACTGCCAGCGAGAGACTGCGGCAAGAAGAAGATGAAGAAACTAAACTATATATATGTTGTTTTGTTTATAGCTTGTTAGTGAGCTACGTACGTACCCAATTAAGCAGCTTCAATGCTTCATTCATGGCTGCTGCAAATAATTGATGACGAGTAGTGAATAATTATCAGATGCGCACCATCAGTATCATATGTACGACGACGTACGTCGTGATTTATTATGGGCATGTTTCCAAAGAGTAATCACTACGTACATTTCATAATTATGGTGGGTGTGGTAGTAGCATGGTTAAGTAAAATAAGGTACGCGGGAAAATTACGTGTAAAATACATACGGGGTAATTTACTTCGTTGCTATGTTAATATTACGTTTAATAGTACGTTAATGGTCATAAATAAATAAAATTGATTATTTTAAAAATAAATGAATAAATAAATAATAGTAAAGTTTATAATTTCATTCATTAAATACGAATATTAAACGTGTTATAGGAGCCATCAAATGAACAGATGCAAAAATGAAACATTGAAACGGTTTGACAATAATACGAATACGAAAGTTTTAAACGGATAAAGTACGCGTACGGATATATATATATGTGTATTAAACGGAGTATTTACAGGGTAGTAGTAGTACTGTTTGTTTGGAAGCAACGTACACTTTTAGGGCCATGTGATTTTCGTTTTCCCCAAAGTGGCAGGCTGCCGGAAAGCTAGCTACAGCCTACAAATATATATAATGGGTGGTGGATGGGTCCGTTTTCTATCCCACATATATATGCAAAAACATATGAATCTTGCATCATGGATTCATGTATCTCACATATGCAAGCCGCATCAGTAGAAGGTAATAGTTAAAAAGAGCTCAAAATATGGTATTTCAATTTCACTATTTGACAAAAAAAAAAATCATGAACTACCACAAAGCAAGGTAGAGAAAATAGACCAGACCGTCTGAAAAATCAGAAACCAAACCAGATTGTAGACCGTTAAAAATGGTCCGGTCTGGTCCGATCCATGATCCGTATTATATGATGTTTTGATTTTTTTGTCTGGTTTGGTCCAAACTGTAGTTTACTGGACCAAACCGTAAAGCTAACCTAGATATGCACGCACGTCCATGCAGCAATTTGTCTTCTTCCAATGCGCCTGCCTTTCTCATTCTCGAAAATCCTAACCTAATTGTCTTCCATTGGGCCAATGTTCTCGGTTCTGCCATATAGAGCCCCCACCTACCAACTCCATTCAGATCCAATTATTGGGGCCCAATCCGAGCCTGAAAAGCCCAAACATTATCAAACTCGGAGCAAATATATCAACTTGTCGAAGAGTAAAATCCGAGGCTAATGTTTCTTCTGTGAACGAACTCCATCCCGCCCAGTAAAGCTTTCACGACACATTGCTCTCAAAGTCTCAGCCATGAGCCATGGCTAAACTTCCAATTAACACACTAGATGGGATCTGTTTGCACCAGATAAAACTCCCTCAACTATGGCTTCAAATTATGTAACCTGCAACAACCCATTTGCCATCTCTCTGCTTATGATTACAATGTATGTTCCACAATCCATAAGCCAGATTACAGTTCGAATGTTGAAACCGGTTCGTACTCTCAGCTTCGTACATAAGAAAGATAACACATTTACATCTAGTTCAACAGCTACATGCGGTTGGTTTGGTTGCAATTAAATTACATAACGTATAGGTACATATAATGTCCACCTAAAATGATAAGAGAAACAAAAACAGATCACCCAATATTTGCTCATTCCCTAAACCAGTTTCCTACCTGTCCAAGCCAAGAACCAGAAAATTTTGAACATAATAGGTGGATGGAGGAGGGACACAAGGGATGGGGAAAGGTCTGCAACCCTAAAATCACAGTTTTCGTCCAATCGAAGAATTACATATACCAGCTCTCCTAAAGAAAACCGTTTCTCCAGACCTTAAACCACCCCCAAGCCTCTTCCCCGCGAAACAATATATTAAACCGAAACTTGCAGTAGCAAAGTTTGGGAGAGGCAACAGAGCAGATTACCTTCATCTTCACAAAAACTCCCTCTGCCAACCCCCCGCCAAAATTAATGAGATGAGTATATCTTCTTATGGTGTCAGGCATTTATTTCGGAGTTGCACTGATGCTCGCGGCTGCAGCTTCTTCTGCTCCAAAACATGCTCGAACACGACGTCGTCTTCTCCAGTCTCGTCCCTTCCAGTTTGTCCTGGTCCCCACTGGGTGCTGCTGCGTGCGAGCCACGTGGGGATGATTCGGATGTTGATTCGCAGGACGATTCGGCTTCGAAAGGAGGGCAAGGACCATCATTGCAGGTGCATAATGGCATGGCCACCGATGGAAATGGGCTGCAGGTGACTGGGCAGAGGTATTCTGAAGATACCACTGCAGCAACCCGGTTCTTACGAATCTCGGGCACACAAGCTGCTCGCTGGTCGTCGCGAGGGTGAAGCATGCAAGGGGTGCACAGGCCGAGTGACATGGAAACCTGCTTCAGTTCTTTTGCTGGGGAGCCTGCTAATTTGATGAATGAGACGATCCCATTTCTGCAGAGTGGGCAAGGGACGGACCCAGGTGGGCCAGCTGTTTCTGTTGGCATGTTGCTAGTTGAGCACAGGTAAAGTGCACATCTCACACAAAGCTCATGCCCACAACCTGCACATACAGAGTTTAGTAATTAAGATCAACAGTTAGAAACTTCTGAGCTTCTTCATTCCGCTGAGGAGCAGACCATATTCTTTTAATGCAAGATGAGATAAAGAGGCTACAGAAATTCTTCAAATAGACACACACACACGTTCCGAGCTTTTAATTAAATGGAAATGACAATGGAATTATTTGGCCTCCGGGATACTGTTAACTTGTCTATTCTCTGTTACAGATAAACATTCCTTGTCATATTGTGATGCAATAGGAGCCTTATCAGACCAAAGAAAAATAAAGATTTCAGTCGGTCTCCAGAGCGAATATTAATACTCAGAACGAGACAAGTAGTTCTGAGGATCCTCAGTGAATAAGCTCAACTATTATGTAGAACTTCTCCTCGGTTATTTTCTCTTTATTTTAAAGCCTTTCCTCTTAATTCCTCCATATAGTTGTTCATCAGTGTCCTAAACTTATGCTAATGCACTGGATGGCGTCTGATCAGCATAATTCCCTCAGGGGCAGAGAGGGCAATTGAATTATTATACAAGGACGTGCAACGTAGACAGAGAAAAAGACATCAAAACCAGGAATATTTCTGAGGAGAACATAGCGTACACAACCAAATAGAAGAAAAAACAAACCTTCAGCAGCCACATTACAGTGTCTCTCCAGGCAGACAGCACAAACGTCTGGATCATTAGAGGATGTCGCGTATTGCATCCCAAACTCTCTACAAAGAAAAAGTAAAAATAAGTCGTCTACTAACTTCCTCGAAAACAGAACATTAAAGCATGCTTGTCACACAAATTACATGTAAAATTGAAGAAGTACCTTGCTATATTAAGCACACTCAAAAGGGGCAAGGATAAGTAACACGACTGAGGGAATCTTGGGATGATAGAATCAGAATTTGGTGTCAGCAATGGTTCAAGCCAATGACGGCCCCACATCCTAGCCACATCGACAGGCAGCCACCTGAAAAGTAAGATAGTATTTATTTAGACAAGAGCAAGTGCACTAGGTGACCAAACATCAAACACAAGGGATGGATACTCACCCATTGCAGTTCAGTGAAATTCGACTTGCACCTCTTGCTAGAAGGATCTGCAGAATTAGGGACACAGTTATATCACTTCTCAGGATTTAATCACACGCTTGAGAGCATCACGTTGCAGCTTGCATTTTATTCACCTGACAGCACTTTAAGTTGCCCCCGCAAGCAGCATAATGCAAAGGTGTACTCCCAGCTCCTGCAATCATAAGCACATGGCTTGTTCGACAAACTTCACAAGGAAAATTACTGAAGCACTGATTGGTCCGACAAAGACACAAGACATACCAATTAAATCCATCGTTGTTCCGTAATGAAATGTGACAGCCGAAACATTTGCATGAAGGTCAAGTAGAAGCTGTACACAATCGAAATAGCCGTGCAATGCAGCCATGTGAAGAGCAGTTATACCACCATCCGCCGCCTTATTTACAAACTTGGACAGTGCACTGCATAAGAATTTCATGGTAAGTCCACTACCACTGAGTAATCCAGAGACTAGTAAAGTTGAAAGCACAATCAAACTCAGAGAGAGGTGCCCTTGCACTAGTTGCACTCTAACTTGAATGTGGAACACAGTCATTGCAAATTTTGAACCAGAGAAAACGCTAAGTTTTTACAGATGGTCGTAATCTTACCTTGTCTTTACAGTAGCACACTCCCCTGCATGATTTTCTGCCCGATCATGAGCAAGAACAAAAGGAGCACTAGGAACGAAATCGGCAACAACTAGCCTCAGACATCTTGCATGACCGTTTACAGCTGCGAAATGAAGGGCAGTCCTCCCACTGAGATAATCTGCTCGCGTAACCTACAAATTCCAATGCAGCTATGAATGGTACTGGAAAATGAAGGGTAAAAAAAGAGAGAGATGAGGGTGACAACGGCAAGAAGAGAGCTCTTACATTGCAACGGAAAAGAAGAAGAGTTTGTACAACTTCCCAGTGTCCATATCTACAAGCTTGCATCAATGCCGTCTTCAAAAACAGAGCAACAACAAGACGATTATAAGAATGTTGTTGCTGAACGGAAAAGATCATACAAATCCAAGAGAGAAAAGATTCCATTCCTCAATTACATCGTTCCCCAATTGCGGCCATTTCCTAAGCTACCGTGGTATGATTCGGATTTCCAAATTTCCTAATTAGGTCGAGCGGAGAAGCGATCACATCTCACGCAAACTCGATTCGGCCGAACCCGATCGCTCTTATAAACCTCTAAAGGAAGACGAATCTTAGAACAAATGAGGAAAGGTACCGTACCTGGCCACAATAATTCCTCGAGTTGACGTCCGCGCCATTATCCAGCAGCAACGCTACAATCTAAACCAAGAAAAATGGCGGAGATATCAAAGGTAATCAACAGGAAGTGAAGATTTCACGCCCTAAAAATATTCCCACAGAAAAAAAAAAAAAGGAAGAAACCTCGTTGTGGCCTTTAGCTGCGGCGAAATGGAGCGGAGAGTTGAGGCCGCCGAAGGTGGAGTACTTGGCGAGGCAAGGGTTGCAATCCAAGAGCATCTTGGCCTCGACCAAATCGCCGTCCCTCGCCGCCGACACCAGCCTCTCGCCGGAGGCGGAGCAACCGAACGAATTCCCCATTGCCGAGACAGGCACAGACACTCACCCGCACCGCTTCTCCTCTCTCTTTCTCTCGCACTCACTATCTCTCTCTCTTTCTGGATGGGAGGAATATGTTAGGTAAACCGCCCGTAGGCCGCAGCAACAACAAAAGCTCTCACCGGAACCAAAAATTCTCTCTCACGCAGCTGCGGAACTCCCAAATCTAACTCCAACCTCCATTAAAATACCTCTACCAGCTCTTTCGGAGTATTGCGTGTGACCTCATTTCCATTTCTTGAATTTTTTGTCCTTTGTTTTATGGTATTGCCTTATTAATTCTTTTTTTTTTTCCGGCAAAGTGGTGGTGAAGTGTCATTTGGCCGCGGGATAAGGGCAAAGGGAGAAGAAAACGGGGGGCCCTATTTTGCTTCTATTTTTTTTTTTTTTTAATATTCATTTTTTGATGATCACCCTTTTGTGCGCCTTTGCGGTCGGATTTCCCGTTTCTTGTTTGTTTGTTTCGGTCTCCTTCTCGCCGTATTTCTGGGGATATTCGCCACTGCAAAAGTGTTAATTATTGTTGTTTCATTTATTTTAATTTTATTAATTAATTACGGGTTGCTTTTCAGCAGAGAATTCAGTCGAATGTTTCTGTGCATATTTAGCAGATCGCGGCGGGGTCGGATACTATGCTAACCCCTAAAGGGGTAGTGATTTTCGACACCCCCTTTATGATTGGCCAATTTTATTTCCAATCATTGGCAAATATTAATTAAACTGGTTTTTTATTTTTTTTAATCTTGTAATTTGGGGTCTCTCACCCACATTGGAAAGGGAAAGAATATGGGGAATCAGAAAAAAGCTCCACCCCAAATGTGCAATTAATTGCCCTTTTTTTCTTCCTTTCGTCTCCTTCTCTCTCCATTTGGGCCCTCTTTCCATTTTGATTTCATTTTAACCAGAACACTCCTCTACTCTGAAACGACCAAAACCCTCCAGCGCCTTCCCCCACCACCATCCTCCTATCTCCAGCTGCCGCCATCCTGGGATCGCCTCTGACCTACCTTGTGGATTGCTCGCACCAGTGGAGTGGTACGTGTACCAGTAGAGTGGTACGTGTACCAGTGGAGTGGTATTTGTATCATTGAAGTGGTACTGCATTGTTGCTCCGTTATTGTTTATCATTGTTATGAAAAATATCATTGCACTGGTACTGTTCTCACTCTAACCTACCTTGTGGATTGCTCGCACCAGTGGAGTGGTACGTGTAATTAATGTACCAGTGAGAGAAATTAATTATGTAATTAATGGGGGTGATTTCGTTTTTCCCCAGATTCTTTCTCTTTTCCAATGTGGTGAGAGACCCCAAATTACAAGATTAAAAAAAATAAAAAAACCAGTTTAATTAATACTTGCCAATGATTGGAAATAAAATTGGCCAATCATAAAGGGGGTGTCAAAAATCACTACCCCTTTAGGGGTAGTCAAGCTAACCGATCCCGATCGCGGCTTCTGGCACAGAATTTGGTCCTGAAGAACAAAATGATAGGCTAATTTCCATAATCACGGAACTTATGCCCCTAGCCCCACTTGCCCGCGTCCTTGAATTTTCATAATCCTCAAGATCTTAGCCACTACCCCAAAGATCATGCTCGCGATCTTGGCACTGAAAGTTATGGATCACAGCCACGATCTTTGAGGGAGACGTTGCAATCTTGAGAGTCGGCAACTTTAGTTTTGTTTGATTTTGGAAATCGCAGCTTGACTTCACGATTGCGATCTGTGAGTCGTGGCCGCGATCTTTCTCGCAGGCTCGGATGAAAAAGAGTCGTGAGTCGACTATCAGTACTTTATGTTCCTTCCTTGACGGCTACATCTCCAAATTCTGGCCCGAAGCTCCATAGTTCGCGACCGCGATCTTTGGCGTCAATGTTGAGATCTTGGTGCTCTAGTTCATGACCTCTTTTCATGGTCGTTGTCTTGGCACCGAAGGCTGCGATCTTGGCTTTTCCAGCTGCGAACTCCCTTTTTGCCCCGTTTCCTACACATTAGCCCAAATTTCTCCCTTTTTGCAACCTAGGGTCGTAACAAACATACCGTTTTGGGGAAGTGTATAGTGAACGAGAGTGTGCCGGGGATCATGATAACAAACAGCAATATCAAAATCATCATCATAGCGACATAGCCCATAGGGTCGTAATCGTAATCATGATCCAAACAAACTAACCAACCAAACCAGAAGGATTTTCCCCAAAGCATGGGCCAGCCTACCCACACGGGTTGAATCAGGAGGCAGATAAGATATTGAGATGAGGACAAATACACGCCGGATTAGTTAGTTCAAATTTCTTAAAATGGTTGGAAGAAAAGATTTCCCAATATTGGTGGAAGTTTGATGAAAGAGTGGACCGCTTTCTTTTTCGGCCTCGCAAATAAATAAGGATATTCACATTGCAGAGCTAGGATTTGAAGTTCGGGGGATCGAATTTTTTTCCGTTTACTATCGATAAAAGATCAATTTTGTGAATAAACTATTAAATTATATGAAAAAATAAATTCTATTGTATTAAATTGATATAACATACGAACTCAAAAATTAGAAACTAAATTGGTACTGTTTAAAATTACTATAAGAAAATATAAAACTTAAATGAACTCTTTGGTAAATGTAAACAAAAAATTGAAAACATTAATGTAATGTATTCCGGCTTGGAATACTGTCAGTAACTATTGGTTACTGACCTATAAATAATTAAATCTAGACATTTAGATCTAAGTGGGGTCAGAAAATTCAGATTTAAAAGTTGTGAATTAAAGACATTTTATTTTTCCTAGTTTTCTGAATCGGCTCTTATCTTCTTCGTTCAAACTGGAATTTCAATTTTTCAATGCACAGATGGAACGAGTTCATTCTGCTCTACAAAATGAGATCAATTTTTAATATATTTCAAGAAACTTTTTTCATACCTCCAATTACCAACTACATACCATATGATAACTTCTTCATTTTTAAGTCGTTTTTAAAAACGTTTGCTCAGAAGGAACGAGTTCATCATGATCTATTGAATCTACAAATTTATGGGTGAAAAAATACAGGGCAAAAAATTATCATACTTTACCACTATGGTATGTGGGTGGTAACTTGTGGTAAACAATGATGAAAGTCGTAAATGACAGTTAGTATACTCTTACTATCATGTATTCAACCTTCCTACCATATTGGTATGTTCATACCATCATGGTACGCTTTCTTACCATATGGTATTAAATAGGAGCATAGCCTCGACCTTATTTCATGATCTGTAGCTTCCAAAATCTAAAGAAAATGACATTTCGTAAAAATAGTCTGAAATCTGTGCTGGTACCCCAATGGAATCTGCCAAAAATTGAACAGGAAGAAATCCGTCCAAATCGGTGCTTAATGAACTTAATCATCGTTGTAGAATAACCTCAGGCAGAATCCGTGATCTCTAGCCTTCAAAATCCAAAGAAAATGGCATTTTGTCCCCCCAAAAAATTAGGAAATAGCCATACCAAAATAAATTGGCCCAAATTGGTGTTTAATTGACTTATCATCCGTGGAGAATATGATCAATAAACTCATTACCGGTGGAGAATAGTCTCGGCCTGATTCCATGATCTGTAGACTTAAAAATCGAAATAAAATGACATTTCGGAAAAATCGCCTGAAATCTGTGATGATACCCCATTTGGAATCTGCCAAAAATTGAACCGGAATAAATCCTTCCAAATTGGTGCTTAATGGACTTAATTATAGTTGAAGAATAGCCTCAGGGCGAATCCGTGATCTGTAGCCTTCAAAATCCAAAGAAAATGATTTTTCATCGCCCAAAAAATTACGAAATTGTCATCCGAAAATAAGTCGGCCCAAATCGGTGCTTAATCGATTTATAATACGTGGAGAATAGGATCAATATACTTAATTATCCGTGGAGAATAGTCTCGGCTTGATTCCATGATCAGTAGCCTCCAGAATCGAAACAAAACGCCATTCGGAAAAATCACCCGAAATCTTTGATGGTACCCCTTTGGAATATGCAGAAAATTGATCCGGAATAAATCCGTTGAAATCGGTGCTTCATATTTTTTTGACAATATTTTTTTTTGACAATACGGTGCTTAATAAACTTAATCATCGTTGAATAATAGGCTCAGGGCGAATCCGTGATCTGTAGCCTACAAAATCAAAAGAAAATGGTTTTTCGTCGCCCAAAAAATTATAAAAATGCAATCCGAAACTAATTATCCCAAATCGGTTCTTAATGGACTTATCATCCTTGGACAATAGGATTAATAGACTTTATTATCTGTGGAGAAAAGCCTCGGCCTGATTCCGTGATCTGTAGACTCCATAATCGAAATAAAATGGCATTTCGGAAAATCACCTGAAATATGTGATGGTACCCCTTTGGAATCTGCGGAAAATTGACCCGGAATAAATCCGTCCAAAGCGGTGCTTAATGGACTTAATTATCGTTGAAGAATAGCCTCGGACCGAATCCGTAATCTGTAGCATTCAAAATCCAAAGAAAATGGCCTTTCGTCGCCCAAAAAATTACGAAAATATCATCCAAAAATAAATTGGCCCAAATCGATGCTTAATAGACTTATCATCCGGGGAGAATAGGATCAATAGACTTCATTATCGGTGGATAATAGCCTCGTCCTGATTCCGTGATTTGTAGACTCCAAAATCTAAACAAAATGGCATTTTAGAAAAATCGCTCACAATCTGTGATGGTACCCCATTGGAATCTGCCGAAAATTGACCGGAATAAATCTGCCCAAATCGGTGCTTAATAGATTTAATCATCGTAGAAGAATAGCCTCAGGTCGAATCCGTGATATTTAGCATTGAAAAATGAAAGAAAATGGCATTCGTCGCCGAAATTTTTTCGAAAATGTCATCTGAAAATAAATTGGTCCAAATCGGTGCTTAATGGACTTATCTTCCGTGGAAATAGGATCAATAGACTTCATTATCGGTGGAGAATAGCCTCGACCTGATTTCGTGATTTGTTGCCTCCAAAATCGAAAGAAAATGACATTTCAGAAAAATCGCCCAAAATTTGTGATGGTGCCCCTGTGGAACCTGCCAAAAATTTACCCGAAATAAATTCGCCCAAATCGGTGCTTAGTGGATTTATCATCTATGGAGAATAGGATCAATAGAATTCATTGGCTGTGGAGAATAGCCTCGACTTGATTTCGTGATATGTAGCCGATAGAATCGAAAGAAAATGTCATTTCGAAAAAATCACTCGAAATCTATGATAATACACCTTTGGAATCTGCCAAAAATTGACCTGGAATAAATCCGCTTAAATCGGTGCTTAATGGACTTCATGATCGTGGAAGAATAGCCTCATGCTGAATGCGTGATCTGCTGCCTTCAAAATCCATAGAAAATGGCCTTTCGTCACCCAAAAATTACGAAAACACTATCCGAAAATAAATTGGCCAAACGGTGCTTAATGGACTTATCATCTGTGGAGAATGTGATCAATAGACTTCATTATCGGGGGAGAATATCCTCGACCTGATTCCGTGATTTGTAGCCTCCAGAATCGAAAGAAAATTGCATTTCGGAAAAATCATCCTAAATCTGTGATGGTACCCTTTGGAGTATGTCAAAAATTGACCCGGAATAAATTCGCCCAAATCGGTGCTTAATGGACTTAATCATTGTTGAGGAATAACCAATGTTGTCAGAACCGAGCCGGAGCATGACCCGATAACATACACGACTCGCATTTTAATGGTCCAACCGGTATTGGACAGTTAAAAAACCGTTAAAGAACCGATCCATTATAAACAATAATATCATATGTAGAAGACACATAAGATAGTAATTTAATAATTTAATGACTAAACATAAAATGTACTTTCTAGGTACCACTTAACAAATTTACCATATATATATATATATAACAAATCCTAATCCCACCCACCCTCAGCGAGCGCCGCTCTCCCTTTCTCTCTTTTTCAACTTCTACCCTCTCTCTTACCTCCCAATTGTGCCGCTCTCCCTTCTCTCTTTTTCAATTTCTGCATCTCCCTGCTCTCCCAAACACTTCATCTGTTAATTGTTCCCACCCACCCTAAACGCAACACCGCCATCGGGAGGGACCGCCGTCGGGAGAAGAAGTCGGATGAGAGGAGTTCGATGGCGCTGGGTTAGCCATATAAGACGATGGGTTCGCCGGCGGTGGGTGTATTGTCGGATTGAACCCAGAAAATTTCTACTTATCACACGGTCGAAACCAAAAACCGGTCGAACGGTTCGAGTGGTTCGAATGGTTAACCATTTCGACCGATCAAAAACCGACCTTTCTGACCGTTACGGCTATTGGAGGGTTCCGACCCGGGCTGACGTTTGGGTGCCGGTTTTACCGGTCGGACCGACTGGCTCGGGTCGGCTTGAACAATAGTGGGAATAACCTTAGGCCGATTCCGTGATCTGTAGCCTGCAAAATCCAAAGAAAATGGTCTTTCGTCGCGCAAAAGTTTAGGAAATGCCATCCAAATTTTTTTTTGCTCAAATCGGTGCTTAATGGACTTATCACCGTGGAGAATAGGATCAATAGACTTCATTATCGGTGGTGAATATCCTTGGCCTTATTCCGTGATCTGTAGCCGCCATAATCGAAATAAATGGTGTTTCGGAAAAATCGTAAGAAATCTGTGATTAATGTACTTAATCATTGTTGAAGAATAGCCTCAGGTCGATCTGTGATTTGTAGCCTTAAAAATCCAAAGAAAATGGTCTTTCTTCGCCCAAAAATTTACGAAATGCCATCCGAAAATAAATTGGCCCAAATCGGTGCTTAATGGACTTATCATCCGTGGATAATGTGATCAATAGACGTCATTATTGGTGGAGAATATCCTCGGCTTGATTTCGTGATCTGTAGCCTCCAGAATCGAAAGATAATTACATTTCCGAAAAATCGTCCGAAATATGTGATTGTACCCCTTTGGAATCTGCCAAACTTGACCCGGAATAAATCCTCCTAAATCGGTGCTTAATGGACTTAATCATCGTTGAAGAATAGCCTCAGGCCGAATCCGTAATCTGTAGCCTTCAAAATCCAAAACAAATGGCCTTTCATCGCTAAAAAATTTATGAAAATGTCATATGAAAAATAAATTGGTTGAAATCGGTGCTTAATGAACTTATCATCCGTGGAGAATAGGAGCAATAGACTTAATTATCGGTGGTGAATATCCGTTGCCTGATTCCGTAATCTGTAGCCTCCAGAATCGAAAGAAAATGACATTTCGGAAAAATCTTCCGAAATTTGTGATTGTACCCCTTCGGAATCTTCCAAAAATTGACTAGGAATAAATCCGCCCAAATCGGTGCTTACTGGATTTAATCATTGTTGAAGAATAGCCTCAGGCCGAATCCGTGATCTGTAGTCTTCAAAATCCAAAGAAAATGACCTTTCATCGACAAAAAACTTACGAAAATGGCATTTGAAAATAAATATGTCCAAATCGGTGCTTAATGGACTTATCATCCGTGGAGAATAGGATCAATAGACTTCATTATCGGTGGAGAATAGCTTCGGCTTGATTCCATGATTTGTAGCCTCCAGAATTGAAAGAAAATGACATTTCGGAAAATTCGCCGGAAATCTTTGATGGTACCCCTTTGGAATCTGCCAAAAATTTACCCGGAATAAATCCGACCAAATCGATGCTTAATGGACTTAATAATCGTTGAAGAATAACCTTAAACCAAATCCGTGATATGTAGCCTTCAAAATCCACCGACCTCATTATTCTTCTTAATCTTGCAATCGGAAGTTGTTATTATTCATAATAGGGTAAATACAATTTAATATCCAAACCTTTCATTTTAAACAATATAATAGGCAAACCTTTTCGAAAACAATCTGATATCCAAATCGTCAACTTTTCGTCCGTTTGACCGTTGGTTGACACTTCGAAAAAGCTTTGTTTAGGGGAAATTGTCACAATACAACTTTGTTTTCTTGTTTTGGCATTGCAGATGACTGAATACTTAGATATTCTATACCATCATGGTGGAGTCATGGACTTCTCGGGGTTGGAACCACGATATGTTGGTGTTTTTTCAGAGAAGATATCGATGGATATTGATGAGGCTTCGTACTTCGAACTTTTTTGAAGTGTCAACTAACGGTCAAACGAACGGAAAGTTGACGATTTGGATATTGTATTGTTTTCGAAAAGGTTTGATTATTATATTGTTTAAAATAAAAGATTTGGATATTAAATTGTATTTACCTTTATAGTATGTAAATAATTTACTTTGAAGTTTGAACACATATTTGAATGAGCCGACCTGCTCTGACTCTTGCACTATGCCAAAATACTCGACTTGGTAGGGGCGAATATAGGTACAAAGGTCCATTCCTAACTAATTAGGGATGGCAGTGAAACCCGGACCCGCGGGTACCCGATCCGACCCAACCCGGTCAAACCGGGTAAAATCCATGTTGACCGGGTTCGGGTCGGGTTCGGGTTTAAACCCGGTGGCTGCTTGGGCGGGTTGGGGCGGGTTCGGGTTTGGGGGAACCCGACCCGTGGATACCCGGACACGCAAGTGACTAAACCTAAATCCCTAATCGACCAAGACCATACTCGGCCGCCCCTCTCCTTTCTCCCAAAGACTGCTGCCGCCCCTCTCCTTTCGCAAATCGCGATCTCCAGTCATCCCTACCAGAACCAGAGTCCAGTCTCCAGTCCGGCACGGTGAACTCTCCTACGCGGCCGCCGCGCCTATGACTCCACTCCCGATTCCGTCCCGGCGAACTCTCCTTTCTCCTCTGCTACGCGGCCGCGCCTCCGACTCCTCTCCCGATTTCAGACTTCAGT